TTTTCATGGAAAAGGCTATAGATCACAAAATTTCATGCAATAGACTATAGATCACAAATTTTCATGCAAAAGACTATAGTACACGAATTTTCACGGAAATGACTATAGTACACGAATTTTCATGCAAAAGACTAAAAACACGAATTTTCATTCAAAAGACTATAGATTACGAATTTTTATGCAAAAGACTATAATTCATGATTTTCAAACATTTTCATGCCAAAGACTATAGTTCATCATTTTCACAAATTTTTATGCCAAAGACTATAGTTCATGATTTTCACACATTTTTATGCAAAAGACTATAGTTCATGATTTTAACACATTTTCATGCAAAAGACTATAGTTCATGATTTTCATACATTTTCATGCCAAAGACTATAGTTCATGATTTTCACACATTTTCATGCAAAAGACTATAGTTCATGATTTTCACACTTTTTCATGCAAAAGACTATAGTTCATGATTTTTCATGCAAAAGACTATAGTACACGAATTTTCATGCAAAAGACTATAGTACACGAATTTTCATGCAAAAGACATTAGATCACGAATTTTCATGCAAAAGAATAAAACACGAATTTTCATGCAAAAGACGAATTTTCACGGAAAAGACTAAAGTACACGAATTTCCACGTAAAAGACTACAGTACACCAATTTTTATGCAAAATACTATAAATCACGAATTTTCATGAAAAAGACTATATACACAAATTTTCATGCAAAAGACTAAAAACACGAATTTTCATGCAAAAGACTATAGATTACGAATTTTCATGCAAAAGACTATAGTACACGAATTTTCATGCAAAAGACTATAGTACACGAATTTTCATGCAAAAGACTATAGTACACAATTTTCATGCAAAGACTATAGTACACGAATTTTCATGCAAAGACTATAGATCACAATTTTCATGCAAAAGACTATAGTTTTGAATTTTCACGGAAAAGACTAAAGTACACCAATTTCCACGTAAAAGACTATAGTACACCAATTTTCATTCAAAAGACTATAAATCACGAATTTTCATGCAAAAGACTATATACACGAATTTTTATGCAAAAGACTAAAAACACGAATTTTCATTCAAAAGACTATAGATTACGAATTTTTATGCAAAAGACTGTAGTTCATGATTTTCAAACATTTTCATGCCAAAGACTATAGTTCATGATTTTCACACATTTTCATGACAAAGACTATAGTTCATGATTTTCACACATTTTTATGCAAAAGACTATAGTTCATGATTTTCACACATTTTCATGCAAAAGACTATAGTTCATGATTTTCATACATTTTCATGCCAAAGACTATAGTTCATGATTTTCACATTTTCATGCAAAGACTATAGTTCATGATTTTCACTTTCATGCAAAGACTATAGTTCATGATTTTTCATGCAAAAGACTATAGTTCATGATTTTTCATGCAAAAGACTATATACACGAATTTTCACGTAAAAGACTATAGTACACGAATTTTCATGCAAAAGACATTAGATCACGAATTTTCATGCAAAAGAATAAAAACACGAATTTTCATGCAAAAGACTATAGATCACGAATTTCCATGCAAAAGACTATAGTACACGAATTTTCACGGAAAAGATTATAGTACGATTTTCATGCAAAGACTATAGTACACAGATTTTCATAAAAGACTATAGATCACGAATTTTCATGCAAAGACTATAGTTCACAATTTTCATACAAAGACTATAGTACAGAATTTTCATGCAAAAGACTATAGTACACAATTTTCATGCAAAAGACTATAGACACAATTTTCATGTAAAGACTATAGTACACAATTTTCATTCAAAGACTATAAATCACGAATTTTCATGCAAAAGACTATATACACGAATTCATGCAAAGACTATAAACACGAATTTTCATTCAAAAGACTATAGTTACAGAATTTTCATGCAAAAGACTATAGTTCATGATTTTCAAACATTTTCATGCAAAGACTATAGTTCATCATTTTCACAAATTTTTATGCCAAAGACTATAGTTCATGATTTTCACACATTTTCATGCCAAAGACTATAGTTCATGATTTTCACACATTTTCATGACAAAGACTATAGTTCAACATTTTCACACATTTTCATGCAAAAGACTATAGTTCATGATTTTTAAACATTTTCATGCCAAAGAATATAGTTCATGATTTTCAAACATTTTCATGCAAAAGACTATAGTTTATGATTTTCATACATTTTCATGCCAAAGAATATAGTTCATGATTTTCAAACATTTTCATGCCAAACACGAATTTTCATGCAAAAACTATAGTTAACGAATTTTCATGGAAAAGGCTATAGATCACGAATTTTCATGCAATAGACTTTAGATCACGAATTTTCATGCAAAAGACTATAGTACACGAATTTTCATGCAAAAGACTATAGATCACGAATTTTCATACAAAGACTATAGTACACGAATTTTCATGCAAAAGACTATAGATCACGAATTTTCATGCCAATCACGAATTATCAGATCACGAATTTTCACGCAAAAGACTATAGTACACGAATTTTCACGTAAAAGACTATACTACATCAATTTTCATGCAAAAGACTATAGTTCACGAATTTTCATGCAAAAGACTATAAAACACCAATTTCCATGCATAACATTATAGTACACGAATTTTCATGCAAAAGACTATAGTACACAGATTTTCATGCAAAGACTATAGATCACGAATTTTCATGCAAAGACTATAGTACACCAATTTTCATGCAAAAGACTATAGATCACGAATTTTCATACAGGCTATAGATCACGAATTTTCATGCAATAGACTATAATCACGAATTTTCATGCAAAAGACTATAGTTCACGATTTTCATGCAAAGACTATAGATCACGAATTTTCATGCAAAGACAAGTGTACACCAATTTTCATGCAAAGACTAGATCACGAATTTTCATGCAAAGACTATATACGAATTTCAAAAAGACTATAGATCACGAATTTTCATGCAAAGACTATAGTACGAATTTTCATGCAGACTATACTACATCAATTTTCATGCAAAAGACTATAGATCACGAATTTTCATGTACAGAGTCTAGATCCGAATTTTTATGCAAAGACTATAAATCACGAATTTTCATGCAAAGACTATAGATCACGATTTTCACGCAAAGGACTAAAGTACGGTTTCACGTAAAGACTATAGTACACAATTTTCATGCAAAGACTATAGTCACGAATTTTCATGCAAAAGACTATAGTACACGAATTTTCATGCAAAGACTATAGAATCACGAATTTTCATGCAAAGACAATTGTACACCAATTTTCATGCAAAGACTATAGATCACGAATTTTCATGCAAAGACTATAGATCACGATTTTCATGCAAGACTATAGTACACGATTTTCATGCAAAGACTATAGTACACAATTTTCATGCAAAAGACTATAGTGCACCAATTTTCATGCAAAGACTATAGTACACGAATTTTCATGCAAAGACTATAGATCACGAATTTTCATGCAAAGGCTATAGATCACAGATTTTCACAATAGACTTTAGATCACGAATTTTCATGCAAGAGACTATAGTACACGAATTTTCATGCAAAAGACTATAGATCACGAATTTTCATACAAAGACTATAGTACACGAATTTTCATGCAAAAGACTATAGATCACGAATTTTCATGCAAAAGACTATATACACGAATTATCATGCAAAAGACTATTATAGATCACGAATTTTCACGCAAAAGACTATAGTACACGAATTTTCACGTAAAAGACTATAGATCACGAATTTTCATGCAATAGTCTATAGATCACGAATTTTCATGCAAAAGACTATAAATCACGAATTTTCATGCAAAAGACTATAGATCACGAATTTTCACGCAAAGGACTAAAGTACACGAATTTTCACGTAAAAGACTATAGTACACCAATTTTCATGCAAAAGACTATAGTACACGAATTTTCATGCAAAAGACTATAGTACACGAATTTTCATGCAACAGACTATAGTTCACGAATTTTCATGCAAAAGACTATAGTACACCAATTTTCATGCAAAGACTATAGTTCACGAATTTTCATGCAAAAGACTATAGTACACCAATTTTCATGCAAAAGACTATAGTTCACGAATTTTCATGCAAAAGACTATAAAACACCAATTTCCATGCATAACATTATAGTACACGAATTTTCATGCAAAAGACTATAGTACACGAATTTTCATGCAAAAGACTATAGTACACGAATTTTCATGCAATAGACTATAATTCACGAATTTTCATGCAAAAGACTATAGTTCACGAATTTTCATGCAAAAGACTATAGATCACGAATTTTCACGCAAAAGACAATAGTACACCAATTTTCATGCAAAAGACTATAGATCACGAATTTTCATGCAAAAGACTATATACACGAATTATCATGCAAAAGACTATTATAGATCACGAATTTTCACGCAAAAGACTATAGTACACGAATTTTCACGTAAAAGACTATACTACATCAATTTTCATGCAAAAGACTATAGATCACGAATTTTCATGCAAAAGACTATAGATCACGAATTTTCATGCAAAAGACTATAGATCATGATTTTCACACATTTTCATGAAAAAGACTATAGTTCATGATTTTCAAACATTTTCATGCCAAAGACTATCATTCATCATTTTCACAAATTTTTATGCCAAAGACTATAGTTTATGATTTTCACACATTTTCATGCCAAAGGCTATAGACCATGATTTTCACGCATTTTCATGCCAAAGACTATAGTTCATGATTTTCACACATTCTCATGCCAAAGACTATAGTTCACGCATTTTCATGCCAAAGACTATAGTTTATGCATTTTACACATTTTCACGCCAAAGACTATAGTTCATGATTTTCACACATTTTCAGGCCAAAGACTATAGTCGGAAATGTCAAAACATATTTGTAATTATGGCAGATGGAAATAAGTCACTACGAGGTTATTCATCGTTTATTATGGCTAGCGAAGAAACCAAGGAAGGAACAAGGATATTTACGTCTGCCTCTTATACGACTTATTTTGGTGGAGTGAAAAAGTTGTTAACAGAATATTTTACAACTCTTGTTATTCCTCAAGGTGAGCTTTGATCATTTTGCTCGTTTGTCAAAATATTAACCAAAAATTTAGTTTACCCTAAAATGCGGAAATCATTTGCACATTACTTTTATACTTTCTAGATTTTATTCTCTTTTTTTTCATGTCAACGATGGAAATAGTAAAGTAATTTTTAACAAATCGTAGCTTTATGTTTAGAATAATGTCATTTTATGGTATTTTACCAGATCTTCAAGAACAACATGGAAAGGTTGCGATAGTTACTGGTGCAAATAAAGGAATTGGTTATGAAACTGCTAAAGGTTTATGTGAACTAGGTGCTCATGTTATCTTTGGTAAAGAAGTGCTTTGTTTTTTTTATTTAGTGTGAATTGAATTTGTGTTTAGTTATTTTTTAGCTTGCAGATCAAGTGTTTCAGCAAATTTAGCAATGGAAAAGATTAAGAAAGAAATTCCAGAAGCTAAAGGTTGCAACTACCATTTTCTAAAACATTTGTCTCATTACTATCTTCATAATTTCATTTTTTTTAGTTGATTTTTTAAAATTGGATCTTGCAAGATTATCGTCAGTCAAAGATTTTGTTTCTCAATTCAAACAAAGAAATCTTCCACTTCATATTTTAATCAATAACGGTACAAGAAATGTTTATGTTTTTATTGACAGAATAAATGTTTCTCAATTTACCACATTATTATCTAGTGTGCTTATTTATACCATGACATTGAATTTTGTTTCTTGTGATGTATTTAGCTGCTGTGATGATTACTCCATTTGAAAAAACAGAAGATGGATATGAATTACAATTTGCAACCAACCACATTGGCCACTTTGCTTTGACATTATCATTATTAGATGTTCTTAATGAGTAAGTTTAACATGTTGAACATTTTATAACTTATGACCATTGCAAATTTTAAACTTACCATAGCATTTCATTCCTTTTTGTAAGTAAAACATTTTCCCATGTTTTTGTTGTCTTTAGTACTGGTTCATCTGACAATTATTCAAGAATTGTCAATGTTTCATCAGACGCACATCGTTATGGAACTTTAAGTTTTGACAATCTTAATGATAAGTAGGGAGTATTTTTGATTTTATTTAAGTTTCTTTCAGTTAACCATGCTAATTTACTATAGCAATTACCCCACAAGACTTATAAGTTTTGCAAATAGCCCTGTATTTTTGATTAGTAAACAACCATGATTCAATTTGTTCATTTCTATTTTTTATCCATCATTGAAGGAGCAGTTACTGTCCTTATGAAGCATATCAACAAAGTAAATTAGCAAACATACTCTTTACATATGAATTGCAACGAAGAATATTGGCTGAAGGCTGTCATGTGACTGTAAATGCATTGCATCCTGGGATTAGTAATACTGAATTATTTCATAATGTACCACAACTTCTTCTCACAGTTCAGAAGTATTTGTTTTCGTGGATGTTTAAGGTAAGGAAACAATGACTATACATGTTTTACATAATTACTGACCAATCAACAAAAATATTTTGTGTTCAAAACATTTATAGAGTCCTGCAGAATGTGCTTATACTTCACTGTTTGTGGCAACATCGTCTACTCTAGAAGGCTCTGGTGGACATTACTATGACAACTGTCAAGAAGTTCAATCCAGTGAAGAATCATATGATCAAGATATTCAGCATCGTCTTTGGGAAATTAGCTGCACTATGGCTCAATTAAGCCATTAAATATATAACAAGCTATTTTAATAAATTAATAGAGGCTAATTATTTGTTGCATTAATGCAAAAGGGGGGGGCATGTTATTTTGATATTGTAATTGATATCGTAGTAAATATACTGTTTTAGATGTTTTAAATACGTCTCACAGCATTAATAATGGTAGTTTGTAAATGCAAGTTATTAGTACACTTTGGCTAACCAGACTATTTAAACATTATGCATTATTCAACAAAAATATAATGTATATACAATGATTAAAAATTTACTAAATTTTAAAGTTAAATTCCATAATGAGCTCACTTACATAATGTAAGAAATTATGAATATATGATCTATATAGTTAGAATTATGAATATTTCTTGTAAATATAACATATGGATACTGCATCTGTTCTTTTTATAAATATTAAATATGTTGGTCATTTGTTGGTTATTGCCATGCATTGACTTGCTACATATGGAGATGTGGTTATTGACCATATGTGAATGGTAATATGGTTATTGACCATACATCAATGGTGATATGGTTATTGACCATACATCAATGGAGATGTGGTTATTGACCCTATGTGAATGGTGATGTGGTTATTGACCATACAATGGTGATGTGGTTATTGACCATATATGAATGGTGATGTGGTTATTGACCATACATCAATGGTGATGTGGTTATTGACCATATATGAATGGTGATGTGGTTATTGACCATACATAAATGGTGATGTGGTTATTGACCATACATCAATGGTGATGTGGTTATTGACCATATATCAAAGGTGATGTGGTTATTGACATATGAATGGTGATGTGGTTATTGACCATACATCAATGGTGATGTGGTTATTGACCATATATCAAAGGTGATGTGGTTATTGACCATACATCAATGGTGATGTGGTTATTGACATTATATGAATGGTGATGTGGTTATTGACCATATGTGAATGGTGATGTGGTTATTTACCATACATAAATGGTGATGTGGTTATTGACCATACATAAATGGTGATGTGGTTATTGACCATACATCAATGGTGATGTGGTTATTGACCATATATCAAAGGTGATGTGGTTATTGACATTATATGAATGGTGATGTGGTTATTGACCATACATCAATGGTGATGTGGTTATTGACCATATATCAAAGGTGATGTGGTTATTGACCATACATCAATGGTGATATGGTTATTGACATTATATGAATGGTGATGTGGTTATTGACCATACATCAATGGTGATGTGGTTATTGACATTATATGAATGGTGATGTGGTTATTGACCATACATCAATGGTGATATGGTTATTGACCATATGTGAATGGTGATGTGGTTATTGACCATACATCAATGGTGATGTGGTTATTGACCATACATCAATGGTGATATGGTTATTTACCATACATCAATGGTGATGTGGTTATTGACCATACATTAATGGTGATATGGTTATTTACCATACATCAATGGTGATGTGGTTATTTACCATACATCAATGGTGATATGGTTATTGACCATACATCAATGGTGATATGGTTATTGACCATACATCAATGGTGATATGGTTATTTACCATACATCAATGGTGATGTGGTTATTTACCATACACCAATGGTGATGTGGTTATTGACTATACATCAATGTTGATGTGGTTATTGACCATATATCAAAGGTGATGTGGTTATTTACCATACATCAATGGTGATGTGGTTATTTACCATACACCAATGGTGATGTGGTTATTGACTATACATCAATGTTGATGTGGTTATTGACTATACATCAATGTTGATGTGGTTATTTACCTGCAAGTCTGCTATGAATGGTGATATAATCATTACTGCTTACTAAATAGGGGTACCAAAACCAAGCTTGAAAGCAAGTTCAACCATATTTTGTGCTGCAGAATCTTGATAACAGACGTAAAATTCTTTTATGCACTCATGAGTAAATAGTCTCCTAAAATTGAGAAAATATTACAACCAAAAGAAATAACAAAATTCAAAACGGCAATGTTTAATGTAGAATGTTCGAAGTACGAAACAAACCCTTTAACCCAATATCTTAGAACAGGATCCTTCTTCTTGTAATCCATTACATTAAATTGTATTCCCATTTCATTTATTGAGTCAATTGAGGTAGACATAAACTTCGTAGAAACGTCACTGCTACATCTTTTACTGTCGTCTACTGCCATCTATAATGTACATAAGTAATTCTTTAGTCAACAAATTTTACAGTATAAGTATAGTCTAAACAACTTTTTTTGAGAAAAATGAAACCATAGTTTGCTTGAAACTCACATGGCGCCGAAAATGCTTTCTAATCTTTAGACACGCTTTATTGAAATTTCTAAGAACTTCATCGTGGAGTTTTCCATTAGACGCTGTCATAAACGGAGACATGACTATTCCGTGAAAGGTATTATGCACAATATAATGAAATACTGTGTTTTCTTCGCCTGAAGAAAGCCTGTAATATAAAATTTGTAAGATATGATGTACGTACTGATGTACAATTTGAAGCAAATTGAGTGGTAAATAAGTTGAAATTATTCGTAAAACAGGAAAGATAATCTGAAAGTGTATCTAAGCAAACATAAAAGTTAAAAACAATTCTATTTATATAGTACATACTTGTTAAGAAAACCTAATTTTACTTCCATATTATCTTCAGTATTTTTTCTCAGTTTGGCTAAAGTTAACGCTGATTTATTAATTCTTGAGTTCATTTTTTCAATGCTGCCATTTGCAACTTTAGAGCCATCTGAAGAACTAGATTCGCGATGAGTATGATTTCGATGAACTGGTGAAGCAACTGTTCCAACATTACCGCCACTAAGATCAGATTTGACTGAATCTATCTCATCTAGACCTGAAAAAAAGAATCAAAATGCCTTACCACAACTGGTCTAAAGATTTTACATGCATAGCAAATACGGTAGAAAAGTCGGAATGCTGTAGTTCAAATTTTTGCAATACAAACCTGAAGATCTGAAATTTTCGGCTAAACCCACAGTCTTTCCCTTTCCGCTGTTGGTCACTTTGTCCACAGAGCCAGATTTTGTATTTAACAATAAATGGTCAGCCAATACTGTAGGAGGACCAGCATCGTTTTGAAGACTGCAATTACGAAATCTTTTGTTCATACTTTGTAAAATTTGTTTAAACTGCATAGGCGTAAATTAAAGACTGACAAACTAAAGCAAAATAACCATTTGAACAGACCTTTTAGTGATCAGTTGTATATATTCAGAGATACATGCACGAAGCGAGGATTTCAGTATATAGATTTCATTTTATACATAGATTTATGTATACGAGGATTTCAGTATATAGATTTCATTTTATACATAGATTATTTTCAAGTTTCGCAAATGCGTTAGAAATACACTTAGTGTTCAATATAATTGTTAACTTTTCTTTAATATCGCAAAACGTTAATACAACAAAAAAGTGTAGACCACGTTCAAGGAATGACCTTATGATAAAATCATCCCAGACTTTGAGGTTTGCAGTCAAGACTTTCATTTGTGAATTCTTTCTCTTGGTAAAAAACATTGACCTGACAAACAATTAATTAATTGTCATACATACTTTGATTCACATGCTGAAGGAATGCCCAAACTTTCTACTTCATATAAAATATTCTTAGCAAGATTAATATAATATGGATCAGGACCAGGATTGCCAACGGCCCTGAAAGAGCAAAGTACAATTTTCTTTAGATTAGTTAACTAAAAAAAAAAAATAATTTCCATATTACCTTTGTGATACAATACCAGCTTCTAGGATAATGCAAATCAAGAAATGTTTCTATAAAAATTTTAGGATGATTTCTTAGTCAAATATCAAAGAATAATTCATTTTTATTAAGGAAATTATTTATTTCCGAAATATAACAAAATATTCCAAAAGTTTAAACATACCAATCCAATGATTAAAAGAAAAGTTCGTGGTTGGATGTCCAACGGCGAATTTTGTTGAATATTTTTCTTCTTCGTAAAAAACACCTTTAGCAAATAATTATTTCTTAATGTTAACATGCAACATTATAGCTACCTTTGATATATAATATCAACAAAATACAATAAGTAATGCTCGTGAAAAATCATCATTATTTATCAATATAGATTTCTAATAGCTAAATTATATTGTAATTATAAACTAAAACTCTTCATGAATAACAGAGACCTCTCTCCATATCACCAACTGTGCTAAGCGTTGTTGTTCTGATGTGTTAAACAAACAATGCAATCTACAGTAGAGCACAATATCTTCTAAATCTTCTGGCGGGATATGATTGCCAATAAGAACACCCTTTAAATTAAATCAAATAGAAATTAAATCATAATAATTGAAAATAAATATCCATTAACCAATACATTGTCGAAGTGATTTTTTGGTTTTCAAACATTCACCAACGTCAAGCAAGCTATATTGACATTTCTCATTATGTTGAAGTGCCAATCAATGAAGAGGAACGTCTTGAAATAAAAACTTTAAAAACAAATCAATGTCAAAACTTTAAGCTGTGTGCATAAAAACCAAAAACAATCATATTCATATAACAATTAACACAGAGATTGAGGAGCTGAGACGAAAAATAATCAAAACAAATATGAAGGGAAAAGACACAAATAAAATATTATTTGATAAGTAAATGTTAAATTTTCCTTACTAATGACATCTTGCATTAATGGGGATGTACCTTATAAAATAAACATGAACCAATGACAAGATATTGTCGTCTCATTGTAAAGATTTCATCAGCCTATGTTAAGGTAAATAATGAAAAAAATTATTATAATGTACTATGATAATGCAACAATTATGTGCACATTTACCCATTCAAAGTCATTCGCCTCAATCTCATTCAAACATGTATCTATATGGACCTAAGAAAGAACAGTGTTGGAAAACAGGTTTTCGCTATAAAAATTTAACCACACTTATATAAGAGAAGAAATCAATCAATTACAAGGAAGTTACCTGTGCTTGTGAGGGCATATCTAGCCATCTAGCAGCTTTTGTACAGCTTAAAAAATCCTCTATTGAATCAAATGGCTTATGGTAATCATTAAATATTGATTTTTCCCCAAGAATGAACTCAAATATTAAGGAAAAGAAATGTTGAAGACGTAAAGTATTACCACCATCACAAAATGCTCTACAGAAATAAATAACCAAAATTATTATGCAAGAAAAAATCACTAACAGACAAAATGCTATATTTTAAAATTAAAAAGCTTACATGACCACATTGATTGTGATACATCACCAATTACTACATTCAATTTGGTACAATAACCACATTGATTGTAATACATTTCAAGAAGTTCGTACAGAGCTTCTAACCTTTCTAACATAAAAAGCCTATTTGCACACATAACACGCCTTGAATATTTCAATACAATATACATTTTCACAAAGCTGGAGTGTTTGAGCAGTCATAGACAATCATATATAAAGCTCTATCATAATTTTCAAAAAATCCAATGACACTGTAAGCTTTATAATACTAATTTTTATATAGAGGTTGAAAGTATATTCATGGCATTTACATAACAATGAATCAAAATAGATTATTGTAAGTGCGCTAAGCAAAATCATATGTCTAAACAACTTTCACTGGGTGTCAATACAACCAACACCACAGTGTCAATATGACCAACACCATAGTGTCAATATGACCAACACCATAGTGTCAATATGACCAACACCACAGTGTCAATATGACCAACACCACAGTGTCAATATGATAACACCACAGTGTCAATATGACCAACACCACAGTGTCAATATGACCAACACCACAGTGTCAATATGACCAACACCACAGTGTCAATATGACCAACACCACAGTGTCAATATGACCAACACCACAGTGTCAATACAACCAACACCACAGTGTCAATATGACCAACACCACAGTGTCAACCAACACCAAATAGTGTCAACTCTCACCAACCTGTAGAGTGATCCAAACATAAAGCAAAAAAGTTGATTTAAATTCTCCATCAGTATTTTTAGGTGAAGTAATGAAGCCCTAAAGTTAAAGAAAGGAAAAAAATGGTGGTGACGAAAGAAAAAAATATTGTGAATCTTAATTATATTACAATTTCTATTGTATTCATTTTTGCTAAGTTTTAATTTCTCCCAAATGAATTTTGTGCACCTTTGTGCAGCGTTAAATTTGAACATGACATTTCTCTTGTTTTGATCTGTTAAATTATACTGTTTACGTTTTTATGGTAGTTGAAGTATTTGCTTGAAGCTAAGATAAGGTTTTCACAAACTGCAACACTTTTTTCATTCTTTTTGACCACAGAAAAATGTCGACAATAAATTATTTGTATTTTGTTTACACAGATGGTATTGCATTTAATAATAACTAAAAAATTAATTTATAATAGTTAGCAAGCATAGCCAGCCTGCAAGCGTAGCCAGCCTGCAAGCATAGCCAGCTTGCAAGCATAGCCAGCCTATAAGCATAGCCAGCTTATAAGCATAGCCAGCCTGCAAGCATAGCCAGCCTGCAAGCATAGCCAGCCTGCAAGCATAGTCAGCCTGTAAGCGTAGCCAGCCAGCTTGATGGCATAGCCAGTCTGCAAGCATAGCCAGTCTGCAAGTGTAGCCAGCCTGCAAGCATAGCCAGCCTGCAAGTGTAGCCAGCCTGCAAGCATAGACAGCCTGCAAGCGTAGCCAGCCTGCAAGTTTGGTCGTGATATGTAAAGTTTTCTGTGTTCACTTACTGTAAAAACAATAGATTTCTAAAGAAATGAAAAATGACCTGAATTTACATAGCAAGACCAAATTTGTAGGCTGGCTACGCTACTGATTGTGCAGTACATTATGGCATTCTAAGTTGACAATAACGTAAATATTTCACCTAAAACCTTTTGTTACAGAATATGTTTAGTGGAATATTAAATATTGCACATAGGTACAATTCTAGTACATTGCTGTTAACTACTGCATGAAATATTATGTAAGTAATGTATCAGATGTTACCTTGATGAGGGAAGAGCTAAAATAAAAATTTCTTGATTAAACTTCAAATATCCAATATGAACCAATTTTTCATCAATTATGACACTTGTACTGTAAAACAAAAAAAAGTTAAACCTTTTGATCATTTACTAAAAACAAATTCAAATTTTCTCCAAACTTACCTGCATGGTGATGAGCCCGTCAATGAAGTAAGTAAATCACCTAATGTCAAAAATATTCCTCGCAGGGAAACAATTTTCTTTGCATCTTTAGGATATTGAAACAAGACATCCTTAAAAATCAAATTCTTTAGTAGAAAACAGTATCCCATGTTTGTAAAAAAAAGCAAAAATTGATCAAAATAAAAACCTTACTTTCTCAACTTCATCTTCACTTGAAATATTCAATGACAGAAACATGACACCATAATGAAACCCCTTTCTGTTGATAATATTTTTATTGTCAACATTTTGATAACTGACAACTTTCAACAAGTGATTGTCGTTAGTTATTCTGCATTTGTCCATCAATGAAACTGGTACAATAGGTGAATGTTTCTGTACTTTAAGTGTAACCTAAAAACATTCAGAATTGCAAATGAAAAGTAAACAGTACGTATGTTGCACTTGTGTAGGAATGAAATTATAAAAATATTCTGAAGTTCAACAGATAACAATACGTAGTCAGTTCTGTAAATTATTAAAATCTTAAATATTTCATGAACACTACAATATTATAAAATTACAACATACTCTGCCAACAATAATAATAAGTTCATGTGGATCACATAACTATCAATTATTATTCACCTGAAATTTTTGCATTCTACATTGATTGAAAAAGCAAAGTTTGTACCTCCATTGAACCAGGTATAGCACCTAGCATAGCATTAGCATTGTTCGTATTTAGCTCTAAGCCATTAAGTGCAAGGATAATGTCACCTAAAATGATTAAAGTCAACCATTATACAATGTCAATAAAAAATTAAAACTGTTCCATGAAAAAAGAAAAAATTTAAAAAATTATCAAAGCAGATAATGTCCATTGAGATTATAGAAAAGCTCTGAAGGAATTTCTTGTAGATGAATTTTAAAAAACATTTCCTTATTGAACAAACATTCTTTAGCAATTCACACACAATGATGAAAATCTTTACCTATTTCCAATTCATGGTGAGAAATTGCAGGTCCATTTGGACTAAACCCAGCAATAATAATTCTTGAATCTTTGCCATATTCGTATGAAATATTGAGTTCATCTCTGTCACTCACATCAATGGCATTTAATGGTATAATGCCAAGGACACTTTCTAAATCATCTCTTTTGTAAGGTCCAATTCTTGGAAGATTAACATGTAGTTTGACATCAATTTTTTTATTCTTGCAGATGTTTTGTTTTCATATTTTTTGTAAGGTTCAGCAGAAACAGCGTCTAAAGACTGTTTACTTTTCCTTTTACCAGGCAAAAGATCCAGAAATTTGCTTCCCCCTAAACGACTCTCCTTAATAAGTTCACTCCTATTCACTTCATGTTTAGTTTGAGCATTATCAAGTTCTCTTTCCAAATATTCTTCGACATAAAATAAATCTCCTTTATCCTGAATCTCCGACATCCATGGTGCTTTGTCAGAGCTAAACAGAGAAATAGTTACCATTAAACTCAAATTCTGTCGTATTTCCATCAATTTTGAACAAAGCAAATCTATATCCCATTTCTAATGTCTAAAAATTACAGTACGGTACTTACAAATATATTATATTTGAGCGTACCTATTTTGATATTTTGTTTTATTTCTTATAGACATCATGAACGTAATTTCTTAGGAAAATTTTTTTCATTTGGCATGTAAAATGAACATAAAAATAGCAAGATAATACTTAAACGTTCAAATATAAAATTCCAAACGAGAAACTGCTTTTGTTTATACACTGAACTTGTCTCTGGAGAAATGGTGTTTGAATATGTTTGAATATATTATGAACGTGGAAACACGCGCGTTCCCCACGATCTTTGATTAAATGTTTGAAGGTTGGAACCATGGTTGGAAACAGTGGTTAGATGGCAGACGATAACTGTTAAATTGTTTCTTCTTTTCTTGCATCAACTTGAATAGCGATTCTATCCATTCGATATATAATTATTTTGAAACGACTTCCTTATGAACTTGTGTATTAACTTTGTAAAAATACTAATTTGGGACTTTGAGTAGTTAAAGTTCCATTGTCATGTGCATTTCCTGTTGACTGAAACTCATTTGGAAAAATAAACCGGTGAGGAAATGCTTGAATCAAATTAGCTCAAAAGACCTTTGAAACATTAAAAAACATAGCAAGAACAAGGGATATAGTCCCCACTTGATTATGACAAAATTTCTTGCCTTAATTCTTCACAAATAACACAAAAATTCTTTTGGTGGAGACTTCTTCATAATATAAGTTTGTTTTATGAAAAGATATATGCTTCCTGTTATAGAGAAGTTTACTATACCTGCCCTCCTGGCGGTATTATCAATCAATAACAATTTAATCAGACATACGACAGACGTACCTATGTAAGATATGGTTTCGTGTATTTTTTCTTGACCGTCGACGAGGTTGAGGCCATCTTGATACTTTGGTAAATCTCTCAGGCATTGTGTTATGCTTTACAAATACTTCTAACTAATCCATCTTGCCGCATTGAACTGTAAAAGAAATACAAAGCACATAAAGAAAATGAGCGATTCTTTTTTGCTGACAACACTGGTCCCAACGCAAACCTTCCATTTTCGTTGTCTGTGTGTGTTCAAAATTAGACTAACACCACAAAAGGTGTTAATAATAAAATTTAGCGAGTATTGATGAAAGATTTACATGTAGCAGGAGATTTGTTTTTCCTCTTTATAACGTAAACAGTAATACGAAAAAAACGCAACGTGTTTCAGGAAGATAACAACTCACTTGAAATCAAACCAATGTTTACGAACACCAATACAGGATAAAATCAGAAAATTTCCATCAAACACATCACAACAATGAAAATACATATTATTGACTTCACACACACAATAGATTGAAAGTCTGGATAATCTTATATAAACAAAAAGAACAGTCGTTGTTATACAAAGAATTGTGTTTGCATTATGACATTTCAATTAATGTCTATAAAGTTTATTAAGCTGAAAACCACCTCTTCCTGCAAGCTTGATTCTAATTTGATCTTTGTACCACGAGATGTCTTAATTAAAAAAAATCAAAAGTATAGAGAAATAAGCGAAAAGATTTTGACTTATAAAAACTTAAACAAGACGGAATATAGTCAGTTAAAAAGTACGAAAAATGAGATGAAGACAGGCAAAAAATCAACAACAAAGAAAGCTCACAAAGCTATATTTTAAAATCATAAATAAAATGAAGATAGCAATGACAGATTTACGTCCTAAAGCAGAAATGAATTGAAAAGGTTTATAAACGGCAAATAAAATCAATTCAGTATTTGTTTACACACAAGTGTGACATAAGGTAGCTAAGTAAGCTAGCTAAGTTATGAATTATTTCCATATTGTGAAAATAAACCGAAATATAACAAACTCTGGGACACTCTTTACATCAATAATGCCGCCCAATTAAGTAAATTCATCCAGTCATGTGGAATTGGGTTTCTTCATACATTTTGAATGATTTAATTTTATAAAGTTCAATATACAGCCATTTATTAGCTGATGTATGTCTGTCTGATTGAAGATTTTTCATTTAGCATATAGCCAATGTTGGTTTCAGCAAAGAAAAAGCTCGAAATATGTCAATGTATATGAAATAAGATTACAGACCGCATGATGCCGTAACAACGCTGTTTGAACTCTAAAGAATATAATGAGCTCACTGCAGTTTTAATGTCTACTCTTATTTTTCTTAACTCCATCAAACAATCTTCGCGTACTTGACGAGAGGTAAACACAAGAACAATTCTTACTCAGTGTGAAACTCAATTATATTCTTTCCGACATTGACCAGGAAACAAAACAAAAATAGAAAATAAATGATGTAAATGTATTTAAGTCTTTCAAATCAATGAAATAATTACAGCGACCATGGGAAAATACAGAAACGAGCAATAACAAAACACTGAGTAAAAACATCCACCGTGATCATGTGTAGTATAGGTAACTGGTTGAAGGTAGATCAATAGGCGGAAATTTCAGTGTTTCGTATAATATTATTCATATTTATTGTTATTAAGTCGGCATTTTGACTCAAAATACACCTCAAAATTTAGTAACGATAACATAACAGTAGCCAGAAAACTATTTTTCGCACCACAATGCTTTTACTTTGCGATATTCTACAGTTCAGTCAAATGCACCTTGCTAATATTTATCATTTTAAAATAAGTATATTTTTATGAGTATATTCTTTAAAATATAATTGAAAATTGAATGAAGGGATGGAAATATCGCCTGAGATATCATTGATATCCCAGTTTAGATTTTAGAATCTTCGAAGTTTTATTAAATAGAAATATTTCTAACCTTTTACAAAATACTTTTCCAGTTTTTTTTTTCACCCAACGACAAAACAGAGGAACGTATAATTATCTCAATAGCTGACTGAACTTGAAAGATGACAAGTTTGTGTTGAGTCTAAATTTGTTATGAGCAACGACTTCTTGCTGTTTTTATCTAAAATAAGTTCCGACAAAATTGCATGATTTCTGCATCATGAAGAGAGCGTGATATTCATAAAGTGATGACAGTTCTTGCGCCGAAGCGTGGCCATGAGATTACAGAAGACAAAAAAAGTACAAAAACATCAAACGCAAAATTCGATAAGGTTCATACAACCCTAAATTTGATTTTGGTACAAGCAGTTCTTTGACTATCTTTTATCTTAGAGAGTTTGTGCATTTTTTAAAGGATATTAAAAAGCTTTTTATGTTTATTTAACCCAGTTGGTTTTTCAATCAAATGTGAAATTCGACACGGATGAATTTCGACATTAGCGTGCCTAAATCTTGATAAAACATTACATTTCTTCATGTCCATTGGCAATATCCAAAATTTAGCTTTAATTGCGAAATAGATTTTACTGAATGAAAAGTAAAATGGTTTGTATCTATACTAAAGCTTCCCCAAGCGAAAGCTTTTTTGATGAACGCTATAGTTAAATTGGTAAATATAAAATACAAAGAACTTTTTCCGCCAAGAAAAACTCATCAGCTGTCTGCTTTTTTGTTGTAATTATCTCTATAACATACGTGTGGAGAATATGGCAGCCAATGAAAATCAAGCTAAGATCGTTATACAGGAAAATACGTTATCTATTCGTTAATCGACTAATTGATACGGTTTCTCTTCTTCACTACCTGGAGAGATCAAACATTAGCGAAAGACATCAAAATTTTTCTATCGAAAATGCGCTTGACAATAGACGCTTCTGATAAGACCACCCTATGGTTTATGTGTTACATGTCAAATGTATAACATGTGTGCTTAATATTTAAACACGTTGTTCATTTTAAGAAATATATTGAACATAAAATAAACAATATATTGTCGTCACGATTTAAACATGATATGACGTCATCTCCCTCATTTTGCACGACGCTTGCGCAGTAAAGCAATGAACAGGACAAATGTTCAAAGGTTTTACATTTGACAAATGTAACATGTGCTATTTGCAAGATCCTATCTTTTATGCAAGCTGCTTATCAAGTCAATGTCAAAAGATTCCCTCCTTCTGAACCTAACTGAGTGATATGCGTGTATTCATAAAATTTTGCAAGAGTTAAGTTGAAATCAAATGACAACCATTATTGAATAAATGGTCAACTTGACGCCGTAAAATCCTTTTTGTCTAGGGTTTATCACACATTCCAGAGAAGTAAGGATTAGTGACAAACAACAAGCTGTGATATTCTACAGCGAAATTATTTATTTTGCTTTCATATTGAGTATGAATGTTATTTTGTTTTCAATGAAATAGCCTTTTCTTAATTCATTGAGCCCAAAAAACCTGAAATTATCATGAAATATTCGAAATTTTTACCGTAATAATGTTCAACTAACAAAAATGGTTAAGAATGATCTCAACTCAAAGACTAAGAACCATGAAGTAAATATTATTTATGTATGACTTCTGACTACTAAGTTTTCAATAAATAAATCTTTTTCAAAGAAGACTCGGGTAATTGATAGTATTGTTAATTGATAGAATTGTTCAAGAAATACGATTAGTATCTTCTATTTGAAGTATGAATCTGGTATTAAAAATGAACTTGACAATCAGGGCTGCCATCACACACCATAAGTACACACGTAACAATAGTTTTTAAGCAATCCTAATGGTTTGGTAACAAAATACATGATTATTGTTCGCGATGAAAATTCTATCTAGCCAGAAAATCTTATGATCAAATTACGGAACCTCTTTAAATGTGTCTATGATATGTTGACTTGTAGGTATTAGATCCAAGTTCAAAATCAATTTTGAAATGACCAAAATGCGTAAAGAAAATATTACACTTACCAAGTTGTTACCCATGAAATATACGAACACAAAAACCGCAAAAAAGCAGGAACACCTTCAGGAAATGACTTGTTCACTTCACATAACGCCTTTAAATATTTAAGTAGAGCACAAGTGTCAAGAATGGTTTCCTATTTCGACCCAACTTAGCACACTTCCATCGTCGTCATCAAATATTAGATTATTTTTCACCTTCCTGAAGATGGTTATCTAAAAAAATCAAACTAAAGGCATGCGATCTAACAATCACACAAACGTTAAATTAACACAGAACGATTTTAATCCATATACAAAATTATCTGAAAAGCAAATTCTATTTCTTTGATAAAGTTATAATAATAAAATCTAGAATGATAGATAAAATAATAAATGTCGGATACAACGAAGTGAACAGTCGACACCACAGTTTGATAAAAATACATTAATACACAACCTACGTAATGAGAATGTATGAAGAAATTGGCTGATTGTTCTAAATCTAGACATAAATATTAAAATATTTTCTCGGAAGTTTCAGGGTGATTAAACAGACAGTAAACAAGGAGAGTCATTCACACCTTTTATGTATATAAATATGTATCTCTTTTAAAATAATAACTATTGCACAAATCAGCGTTAAGAGTAATTTCAAGATTCCACAATGGCGACAATTCTGGTTATTAAGTTTTACATAAATGGTTACTTGAAAACTTTACAGATATTTCATATATAGTGTACAAAGTTATAATTAATGTGTCACGAAGCTGAGACAAATAATTTGATGACATCAGGCAAACCAGCAAGTTTCTTTTAACTTCATCTGGAATTCTGTCTTTCTTTGTAAACCTGTAGTAGAAATAAGAGTAAAAGATAATAACAATGGTTTCTCAAACATTATTATTTGTCAAAGTACAGGTCTAGTGGCTCTCTTGGTGTTTTAATACCTCGTCATCAAACCATATTTATCAATGAACTTAAGACGACCAGGTTCAGAATGAACTAATAACTGTGAACCGTCATTGTATTGCATCCAAATCTCACCATTTGACATCTAAAATAAAAAATATCTTTCTCTCTGCGAAATGAATTAAATACCATACTTTAAATGCTCTCTCAATGTAAAAAAACATGCACAGGATGCAACATTAAGAGTACAAAAAGCGTTACAAAAATTATATATATACCTGGAAAGGTCAGCCAACAAGTAAAACAACAAATATTACAAAGATTTTGTATTAACCTGTGAAGACCAACCAATGTCTGTGATAAAAATGCTTTTCAAAACTTTTGCTTCAGTCTCAATAGAATTTGCTAAGTTCTTTTTTCAGGACTTTTGTTGAATTATTTCCTACGCAACATCGACAAAATTACAAAGATTTTAATAAAGGTAGATCAGTAGAAGGGATTATGATTAATTTGTATGATTTACAATTTAATTTCAACTATGAATGCTTCAAATGAAATACTAGAGAAATCAACGAAGAAAAGAGTTATTGGGTTCGTGCAATGCTAACCAAATCAAGCACTTTAAAAGGACTTCAGGGACATTTTTTAAAAATAGAAGGATGAGGCAAAACTTGAATTGCACTCAAAGCACAATTAAAGTAAAAGTCATCAAAAGCATGATCACAATTAAAACAAAGGAACTTTTTCTGATGAATCGAGAGCAAATGGTGAGTTTTCAAATGACTTGAAAGGTGCCATGTTAGGGGAGATCACTTCAAAGTCCTGACATTAACCCATTGAGTCACTTTCATCTGAATTTCATTCGATTCGTGATAGTCAAAATACTGGACAATGTGTATTAATACAATTTCAAATCCTCCTTTGATAAGAAATTAGTGTGATGACATATTTACAAAAATTTGATCAAAAATTGAATTTAAGCACTTTTAAGGACATCTTAATAAATTCAAGTACTTTGAAGGCGTTAAATTTTTCAATCTAAATTCAAGGACACTCAGGTTTTGTACGAACCCTGGAGTTAAAACTGACCTGCACTTGTCGACACGTTCTCGTTAACAGATTTTGAAAATGACGTCTTATATAAATCACTTGTGATGTCATGATAAGACTTCATCGTCGACACATGCACAATGGGAACAGGTGAAGTTGAAGCAGTAGAAGATGTTTCATTATTATTCCTCAATCTAAAGGATAATCTTAATGTTCACACGATTGTTTCTAGATGAGGAAAGACAGCAAAAATACTGTACCTGTCGTTATTTGTGCGTGACTCTGAATGAAGTAACGATACTTTATTTGATAATGAAGGTCGTCTACAAACAATGATAGGGAAAAACTGTGCAGTTCCGTTGCATTCTTCTTGAGCAGAAGTTAACACACGATCAAGTTGAAGACATTGTGCGTAAGCTGAGTAAAAATGTTCAATAGTCGATCTCATTTCATTAGGAATACCATCTTTACCACCAATAGATTCCAGTGTATATGATACACCACTAGCTTCAACAATCTTTGTACATTCTTGAGACTGTTGTACTTTTGCTCCTACAAAAAATTCATAAATTTACTTAACATGCAAAACACAATTTACAAGCATAATAAACATGCAAAACACAATTTACATGGAAAACAACATGCAAACACGCGCATTGCCTTGTTTTAAAATGATTTCCTATTTTAACGATGTATAAATTTAATACGACTTATTTATTACTTCCAAGGTTTTCAATCAAACCATTATTTTAAACATGGTTCATTAGACCTTTTCAAAACATTTCAATACAGTATTCAATAAACAATACCATTGTAAAAGCAAGCTTCGAAATCTGCATTCGGCGAATTTTCCATCAACATACATTTGGTCAATTTCGTATACAATGTGATCTTTGGTGTCTTCTTGCGTACCAAGTCAACAAATCGAGCTGCATATTGATATTTCTTCCAATATTTCATTGGTAGCGAGCAATAAAGATAGAAATTTATCTTAGATTTTGATGGAGGTGGTGAAGGATGAGATTGTAGTGTAGCGCCATGAATTCCATCTGGATGATATGTTGTTATTTTCATTCCATTTGAAGATATTCTCAACACTTCAATAACATAATTTAAATTTTCTTTCTCCTGAAGAAATTCCAAACAAACTTCATTTTCCTCAGTAATGCTAACAACTGCATTTCTTGTTTTCTGCCTGATTGGCTTTAAACGTTCGCAATTCAATGGTTCCACTATATCACTTATAGATTTGGTCTTTTTTTCATGCTGGTCACATGATCGATCATGTGATCTCTTCACCATTACATCATGATCACAAGTAGGTTTAATGTGACATGTTTTGTTAGTAAGCTCTCCTGTCTCCAATTATTTTCATTGTGTTCATTCCAGCCTGTTCTCTTTTCATCTTCAACCATGGAATGTTTCACAAATTTTCTCGAGCAATAAGAATCATGGTCACGTGATTTGGGGACATGAGAGGACACTGATGGATGTCTAAGAATGAGAAGACTAAAGGTTGGAACGGGAAGACAAACAGAAGAATAAGCTGAGAGGGCAGCAACAGGAAAGAAAATATCAAATAAAATCAGATCGATCCAACCAATTTCAAATAACGTCATTTATTTTCATTTGTGCATACCAAGCGATATTTTTTGATTTCCAGAAATTTGATTGGCTGCCTCAGCAGATTTAAATTTTTAAAATTGATTAAAAGCGATGTACATAAAAGAAAAAATGCCTTCACATGGTAGTTTTCATAGCGAGAGTGAATTTTACCATCCAGACGAAGTGAATTTTGTACAAAACAATTCAATTTCAGTATTAAACAAGCCGCATATTGTCCATTTTACAACGTGAATTTCTTCATAATGAAAGTAAAAGAAACATATGCTATTTACCGTTTAGGTTGGTCCATACTTAAATAATATTTTCACTCGGCCTTCAGCCACTGGCCACTTTTCAAGCCTCGTGAAAATATTTTTTCCCTTCGAACCTCCAAGCCGATAAATAACATATATTTTAAGGCTCTAATGTAAACCTTTCTCAAACCCTTGCACTTACTTGTCGTCTTTAGAGGAGCATTTAGATTGTTCACGTAATTTCTTAGAAATTTCACTCAGCCAAGATCTTGAATGTAATGGTTGTTTGTAATTGGGCACAGAATCCAGCTGACCTAATGTACAACTAGATTGATAACGACTGAAAAGAAAGCGTCATAACAAGATTACAATGTTTGATGATGTACTCAGCTAATTTTATTAAACTCACTTCGAACGTTCCTTGACGGGGGGTGACGAAGGATGAAACGGGTTACATTTGGATTGACTTTGACGAGATATGGGACGAGGTAGGATATCAATGGATCTACTGGTAAAGTGAAGGTTGGATTGGTTAGTTATACCAGTGAGAGTTGTTGCCATCGTGCTGTTTCCGCTGTCATAATTCTGTTGCTGTCGGAAAAGAAGAGATTTTTTCAACTGTACTATTCAATAATAACGACAAAAACACGATAATTTATAGATTTTAGTATACTTTTCCATCGCTCAAAGATTCTGAGCTAACGTTCCAATCACGAGTTCGTTTCCCAAGTAGAAATGGATGATCCAAAATTCCTGGATAAAAAAGCAAATATTAGCTAAGCTTGTGTGTAGGCATTAACTTTACTTGTATCTCTTCTCGTAGCGCATGTTAGCTTGAAATGTCTGTCAGTGTAACATTGTTTTACGTACATAAAATGCGCGGTGTTTTATGTCAACTGATATGGTTAAAATTTTTCAACAAAGCAGTAAATAGAAGAATTCTTCAAGAAATGTTTAAAAAAAATGAAGTAGTGACGACTTTCCTATTGATGTAAAGATCAATGTTTCAATACTGACCTGATAATGGGAGTCTGTCAGCTGGATTCTAAAGATTTCATAAAAACATTATCTTTTACTTTAATATTATAATTGAAAATTATAAATAGAAATGACTTAATCAACTCATATCATCAATTTTGAAACAAAAATACTTTTTTGAGTAACTTGGAGATTAAATCACATATTTCAGGTGATATATATCTAAAAAAAAACAAATTTTTCACATTATGAAATAATTATTCTAAACACACAAAGAGTTACCGAAGAAAATCATATCTTCATAACTTACTGTGGAATCGTACTCTCCCAATACAACTTTATTCAAAGTTCTTTTACAGCCCCAGTCTTTAAAATAATCAAGCAAAACATTCAAATAATGTTTATATGAATAAAAAGTCATTCCAATAATTTACCTCAAATGGTGGTTTTCCAACAACTAGTGTATACAACATACAACCAACAGACCAAACATCAGACTCCATACCATGAGGACCACGAGTGGCTACTTCCCTACATAAGTTAAATAAAAGTTGAAAAATTGAGGTTTCAAAATGAGCTTCTTGCTCATGTAAAAAAATATGACTGATAAAAAAAAATTGGTGTATAAATACCATTGCTAGATAGAATTACATCTTTTTAAAACTTACGGTGATATAAAATTAGGTGTTCCACACATTGTGTAGTGTTTTTCATTAGGTATGCGAAGTTGAGTAGCAAGACCAAAATCACCAATTTTCTGATAACCATACAAACATTGATAGTTATAGATAAATAATGCGTGTTACATAAATAAAATGGATTGAAAGGCCAAAACTTACAACATTCATATCTTTAGTAAGCAACAAATTTGCAAGTGTTAAATCCCGATGTAGGATACCGTGAGAATGAAGATATAACAAACCATTCACAACTTGACACATGATTTTACGAGCTACAAATAATAAAATACAGCATGACACATGTGTTGAAATTGATATACGAGGTACGTATATAATCATAATACATAAATTGAAAACACAAAATAGAAATAAAAGTACCCTGGCATTCGGAATGGTTTTCCAGTCTTCTTCATATAACGATTGACTTCACCATTGTGGCAAAGTTCAACAACCAAGTAGACATAGTTTGTATCTTCAAAATAGCTAAACAGCTAAAAACATAGAAAAAAGAGTAAATATCACAAGTTTGTGAGGGATCATAATAAGACATATTAAAACACATATCAAACCTCGAGAATTGACGGATGTTTAAGCTGACAATGAATTTCAACTTCATTTCTAACTCTTTTAACTAAGCCACTCTTCTTCATGTGTTTCTTGTCAATCTGTCAGCAATTTTCAAAACATGATCTAATATTTTGTGGCAATTCTTATAGGACAAACTAGTCCATAGAAACCAAATGTCATCCCCTTCTCCCATGAAAATAAGCACCCTAAAATATTAGCATTAAGCACTAACCCAGGTTATCAAGCACCTTATTAATTTGTTTACAAATCAGAAAATGTTTTTTATCGTCACAAATGAGAGCAAACTTGTAAATAGAAGTGAGTTCAAATAAAAATTTTGTACATACTGTACAGTTAGTAAAGATTAAACAAAGACATCATTAGTAATACCATTTTTATAGCAACTTCTACACGATTGTTTACCAAACATCTTGCTCGATAAACACACGCAAATCCACCTCGACCAAGCAAATCCAGCACCTCATAATTCTAAAAGCAGCAGAAATGTACTTCTTTACAGGATATGCTCGATGTTATCTGCATATAGCAGGAAAGTATGATATTATAAAAATAATTATTCAAAATCAACGAATCTTTGATGAATCATCAATGATGATAAATTACCTCTATGGAATCGCAGAAAACATCAGAAGAAACAGCATTCATTTTTTTATGATCAAAAAAATCATACAAAATTGTAATATATTGTTTTCCATAATGCTTCTGGTCAAAAAAATAAACATTTCTGCAAGTCTTTCAACACAATTTTCATGAAGATTTTGATGGTAGTTTGAACAACGCGCCAACGGAAAATAACAGGCGCGTGTGGCATTGTGGTATATTACAACTGATTTCAATCACTGATCTCGAAATAAGACTGGAACAAGCATCTGGCACAAAAGTTGAAGACAAAAAATAAGGAGCGCCGCCATTACTAAGGGACCAACTTTCGCAAATAAGGGGCAAATATATTGTAGATTTATACGAGAATAATCAAGAATTTTCAACATGTAACTACATGAACATAACTAAGAGATAAATCAGCTTATAGATAAGCTAAAAATACGATGGAATATGATGAAATATGATCAAAATGCTCTAGTTTCGCCACAAAGGTTGTTTTTCATCTTCAGCGTTTTCTTAAAGTATAATTTGGCCATGTGTTGCTATGTTTTCCATAGTTTTTTTAAACATCTTTCGATGTGTTGGTCCCTTAGTAATGGCGGCAAAAATATAGAGTTGCTTGATCTAGTCTTATTTCGAGATCAGGGATCTCAATATCACAATATCACAATCACTCAATAGCAAAGGTCAAGTGATAGATGGGCGAAGTGAACGCAGTGAGGAAATTTTTACTTCAAGTTAATCTTCGTTTAACAGTCAGGGCCCTAAAATGAAAGAAAACATTTTTGACGTGGTATCCAGGACAAAAATTACAAATGAAACCTATTTCTGCAATTCCTAACACGTTTTTTTAAAAAAATTCTGTAAAATTATATTGCTCGTAATATTTTATCCATTTAACCATAATGACGTGTATTGAGCAAAATGCTGCAATCTAAATCGGACCTGTGGCAAACCAGCAAACGTCAATAAAAATTACAACTGGATAGTTCAAAATATCTTAGAAACACTTCAGACTTGGCAAGATTTTATTCTTTAGAAATTATTAACCTATATTCGTGAGAAAATATATCAATTTTACAATTGAACTAACAACTTTAATTTATTATGCTCAATTTCATAACATATATCGATTTTTCAGTGACTGATTTAAAGTTATGTTAACTTTTGCTCCCCTTCAAATTTATTGAAATTGAGCTTTATGATATTTTAGTTTGTTAATTACTCTTAGTAATCTTGCATATTTAAATTCACAAAGTTTAACCTCCAACAAAAATTGATAATTATCGTTTCATTCATCGTTATCTAAAATGCAGTAAAAATCTTACTTCGTTTTCGACCCCAAGTGCTTTTCATGTCGCCTTAGACAAGCTACAAGCTGAGCCTATGCTAATTGGACAACGATTGTTATCATATTTGATACGAATAATGAACAGATTGAGGGATATAAGATGTCACGTTCCTCTTATGAGATATCTTTCGAATCAACTCAATGACGGTCGTTTGTAATCAATCTAGCCAAATTTGTATCCAGCTTATGAATAATCGATGAAGTTCTGCATTTATCACACAATTTTTTGTGGTAAACCGAGCCAATGACTATTTTTGTTGCATTCCAAATGATGCAAAATAAAAGTGAATTGAAATCCGTTTACGCTTCATAGTATCTTTTTGAAATAATTGGTTAAAATATTTGAAAACACACTATACTTCACCTAACTGTCTTCTGAGATAAATGGATTTCTGAAATATCCGTGCTTGTGGAGTTTCCCAAGCGGCATCTTTATTCTTTGATAAATTAAAACAATACATTTTATGTACAACAAACCATATGACGAAAAATACAAGAAAATTTCCTGTAAAGAAGTAAAGATTTGGAACTTCAATTATACTTATAAGAAGGAAGTAAGTGAAATTATAAAATTGTAAAGACATCAACCTCGTAATTTTGAATCGAGTACTGAAAAGAGATATTGAAATTAAAAAAATAGATGCTGTTTGTTGAATAAAGCTTCTGGAATTGTTAACCAAGTCAGCACAATAGATAAATGATACAGAAAGCTTGTGGTTATAAAAATTGAAAACAATTTAATGTAATACATAGCTAAACAGCTGCAATTTTTCTTTTCAAGTCATTTGCGTGCTTTTAAGAATGTTTTCATTTTGTGAAATAAAGGCATGATGACGTTATTTAGCTTCAATATGAAAATTCAATAAAGCTTCAAAAACGGACAGTTTCAGCCCATAGTCCAACCGATATGTATAAGTCAAATGTTGTAGTCGGCATGAAACACAGTAACTGTTGCATTACTCAGTCATATGTGTACTGTTTGTATTGTTTTGTTTTTTAATAGTAAAAGTTATCAAATGAAAATCATTCATTTGTGTTTGTATTAATTTGTCATGAAACATAATGAAATGAAGAGAAACAAGGTAGCCGGCTCTCTAGTCGGCTTAGCCCGTACATTTACAGAAGTGTCGAACAAATTTTTGTGGATTTCTAAAGAAATTAATGGTTATAATTTTCCGAAATTTACACCGCAAGACTAAAATGTGCTAGGCTATACACTCCTAATGCAGAGTTTAATGTTAGGCAAAATATTAATATTATTGGGTTACCTCAATAGCACTAAAAATTGAACGAACATGTTTGACACGTTTTTTGACTACAAGGAAAAATTTATTGTTTGCAGATGCAAGTTTGAACTTTCTAAGCAAAAACAGCTAATAAATACTTCAAAAGGAAAATACGAATAAATTACAAAAAGAATTGGTAAACATATGTACAAAAGCTTCAATAAGGTTTGCCATTTTATCATTAATACACGATTATAGGACTAAATAAACTTTGACACTTTACCCATGTGGTGTCAGATATAGTATATGAGGTGTGGAGCGAGTTTCACGAGGAACGAGTTGCGTTGTTTAAGCTTGAGTGGAAAAGCCTACATGAATTTTAGACTTTAGCACAAGATGACTTTGGGCTATATGGCGTGATTTACAACTTTGCAGAAACAACTTAAATGATATACGAATTTACACTTTCCAATTAATTTCGTGGAGTCTGGATGAGATTCTTATGCTATGGTGGTAAATGGGGGCTTGTTATAGGGACATGTAATGCTAAACCTTATTATTGGCTGTACGCGTTGAACAATTAAGTGATGTACTCATATGATGATGAAATATAAGAGGCAGTGCTTAATCCTTGGTTGAATATTAGTTGTTTTTGGAAATAACAAAAGATGTTATCGACAATCATTAACATTGGCTTGAAGACTTCCAAATCTTCCCCTTCCAGATGGAATTTACAATGTTTTATCTTCAAAATTGAAACTCCCAACATTGAACTACCAGGGTGGGACCGTGTTTTGACTGGTTATATTAATTTTGTGTTATAAGGGCCCACCTTCATGAAAATGTCACAGTCAAACCATATGAAAATGTATATTTATGATAATAATTATAATAATTGAGGCGGCAGTTGCAACGATGAACACGCTCTTTACAAATATGGAATGTTTTACCTTATATGGAAACATCGGTGCTCTAAAGAAAAAGTATATTATTGCAGACAACTGTCCATCAGCGTCACCTGCTTAAAATCCTGTTCAAAGGAGACAAGCTTACAAATCGTAAATAAAATATCGTACATATTCTAGCTATAACATTTTGGAAGGTTTTTTTGGTATTTCGATCGAACGTTCAATGAGAGTTTGGTGAATATAACATTTTGGATAAATGGTCTAACATACCAAACTTCATCTGCTTAATAACCCACAAAATTACAACTTTTTCAAGACTTTAACCAAAATTAATATATATTACAAAGGTGAATTGATTTTCTTTGTATTTGTGTAAAAGTGCTTAAAGACAGCTTGATTCGTAAAGTGTGCGTCATAAATGACGGTAGGAATCGTAGGATTACTTGTTTTTGTAAGATGGGTTTGTTTTTAGTCTCAATATTAATATATATTGTTTTCCTTTAAAACACTTCTGAGACCTAACGAATTTGCCATCTTATGCAGTCTAAAAAACCTTACATGTAAAGGAATATTTATTCAATGTTCAATTTCAATTTGATATTTGCACAATGCAGACGAACATAAAGGTATTTCATATTATCCATAAAGTTCCTTACACTAAAAACGTTGGTTCTTAACTCCTTGCTCATATTTTTGCAAGCTAAAATGCAATTTATCGTGCGCTTATAAAGTTGTAATGACTGTGTCATCAAAATCTTCATTTTGTTGGTATAGCCTAAACATTTCTAATAAATTCAACAATTAGAATTCATGATTGGAAAGAATTCCGGATGTCGTAAACAAACTTGTTTATTGTGTATACTGTCCAACATAGAGAAGAGAAGAAAATGAATTTGAACATCATCTTGTATTTTTAAGTAATACACTGTTGATGCAATTTTGTATTTTCTGAAAAGTCTGTATAGAAAAGGTCAATACCTATATATTGAAAAAATGCTTTGGGTGAGGTTAAAATGAGCTTCGCCATGTAAAGATTGGCTTTGAAAATTGTTGACAATCATGTTCCTAGAATATTGTGGGCAAAAATGCTGCATAACTGTATTCTTTAAAATTATGAAACACGACGGTCTTATTAATATGTTAATACTTTCACACAGGTATAACTTAATATTCATGTTCTGTTTATTTTATTTTATGTAATATATTCTAAATAGAAACATTCATAAATACATTTTTCTAAAAATTCGAATGACGATCTTTTCAAAGGTAAAGAAATGTGATGGATAATTAGTTGGAAACCCAAGTATTGAATGTCATTGTATTTTTTATGATATAATATTTATTCATTACTTTAGTGTAAGATCTTGATGCCTTTTTATGTTTAATATAGAAATAAATTTCCCATGCGGCTCATGATCCGAAATAATCTTGTTATTTATTGAAAAATGCCTTTTCGTCCCGAAACAAATATCTTTGTTCGCCCACTCAGTCTCAGACACAGAACAGATGTTAGTGAAATTAATTTGAAATACATTAGCTTAGAGTAGACGGTCTTCCAACTTATTGCTGACATAAAATTGTCATTTTGCTGCACATTAGATGCTTTATCAACTGGCAAGCAAAACGATGTAGCTGTTAATTAAAATATGTTGCAATATTTGTGTTTCTGATGGCCAACATTAATGAGATGTTTCCATGGAAACGTTTAGATACAACTCCCTTTTTGCCACATCAATGAAATATTTAAAAAGCATAAAAAAACTAAAAAATAGTTTCTGTATTAAATCTTAGGGTATGCGGAAAAAACAAGCAGTGTAATAAAACTTGTACCAGTTCATCAAAGACCTTCTTTAATTTTGGCAATATGATTTATTGTCCATCATATGTAGATTGATTAATTTTGTGTCGTACTCATGAATAATTAATGTCTTATATGTTTTTAGACTTTACTCTCAATTCTGTCAAAATAAATAGAAAAATTATAGTTTAGTAAGACATAATCATCAATTGTGTGAAAACAATAAAAAAGCTCTGGAAGTAAAAATTTCATTGTTATTGAACAACGCAATAAAAATACCTAAATACATTGAACAGTGAAAATCGAAGGTATCTCACATAGTTTTTCAAATTAAAATACCAAATGCAAATTTTTATTATGTCTAATAAAGCAATTTTCAAGGACGTCTGTGTCAACTAGAAAAACTTCGAATAAATGAACGATCCAATAAGACAAAGCATTGCTTGCATTCTCCACTGACCATTAAACAGTAAAATATGGGCAATGATATTTTAAGTGCAGTTTGTTTCAGAATGTATAAGTAAGTCACAATGTCAACTATCATTGAAAACTTCTGAAGTAAATGTTTCTCAAACCTTCCTTTATTAAAGCAATCCTTTTTGTAATTCAATTCTTTTCCATTTACAGTAATGAAAACAATTCATTTCATCTTTACAGTGAAGTATTCTTTTATCTTTACAGATAACGACATGAGAAATGAAACAATGACAAGTGATTTACAAGATCAGACATGGTTCATCGTTATAAAATACATATTGTTTGTAGGGACATTCATAATCAGTATTTGTGGGAATAGTTTGTGTGCTTATATCATTTTCACTCGAAGACAAATGAAAAGTGTCACCAATTTATTCATCTTAAATTTAGCAATTGGTGATTTGATATACACTTTCAGCATTCCATTTGAGTTAGCAGTTGTGGAAAATAATAACAAATGGATATTTCCTCCTTTTTTCTGCAAAGTTTTGTCCCCACTGCAAACAATATCGATGTCTTCCTCATTGTTTACATTAACTGCTCTCAGTTTAGCAAGATACAAAGCAATTCTCAAGCCTTATAACAAACAGCTCAAACAAACAGCTGCAAAATTAATTATCATTTTAGCATGGCTTTTCTCAACACTGACTGCTTTGCCTCATGCATACCATCAAACTATTATAAATAACGAATGCCAGGAAAAATGGATGAACACAGATGGAAACAAGATTTACACATTAATATTATTTTTGTTCAATATTTAATACCATTGACAATAATGACCATTGCATATGGGTGTATTGGTATGGAGTTAAGAAAAGATTTTCCAGGTGAGAATGCATTTCCTGAAGGAGAACGAGCAAAAGAAACAAAAAAAGTTGTTCTTATGCTCGTGATGGTTACTGCTACTTTTGCTGTTTGTACATTGCCTACATCAATCATGTGGCTTTGGTCAGAATTTGGAAATGCAAAAAGAAATTTTCCACAGTTTTGGGATCTTCTACACATACTAAATTTCTTTGATTTCATCAATCTTGCCGTCCATCCTTTGCTTTATGTGTATTTTAGTAAAAAATTTCGAAATGAAATGAGAATCACATTTCAAAGAAATAGAAATGCTGCAACTATATCACGCATTTAAACATTTCATTAATGAAAATAAAGGACATTCTAATAATTTAATTTACGCAGAGACATACAATGTACATATGTTGAACTTATATAGGCGTATGGGAGCTATATCATTTCGGGAAGGGGGGGGGGCAGTAAATATTCTCACTAACACACAAAGAAGGTACCACCGTATTTTCGTCGACTAACGTTAAAAATTTGCCAAACTTTTCAATCTTTATGCGAGCTTGTAAATGTTTAAGTCATATGTTAAATTAAGTTTAAATTCGTAGATAATATACACAACATATATATTATACGTATGAAGTATAAAACTTTTTTCGAAAGCGTATTGGGAAATCATAAACCTGTAAAACCGTGTAAATATTCAAAAGATTTACAATATTTGAATTATATGGTGTTTGTCACATTTAAAAGTAGTTCTTCATTACTTTTCACAGAATCATTCAACAAAATGACAAAACTGGATAGTTCTCCACAGTCTATATTTGTCTGTTTCATACTATTCTTTGATAAAGTCCTACAACAAAATACTTTAAATTGTGTGGAATAGAAAGTTAGATAATCATGAAAAAGGTATATTCGTTTACCTGTAAAGATCTCTAAACAGCCAACATTTTCAAATTATACATTTTAGACATTTTTTGATAAGTTACGATAAACCAAAGGAAAAAACAGCAACAAATGTTCACAATATGGCAACATGGGTCAAGTATTTGGACGTGCGCGCGCAAAACTTCAATAGAAAGTTCTGGAATATTCTCAACAATTTTTACATTCAGTTTATTTTTGAAATATATAATGAATGAAAGTCTTGTCTACTTACAAAAAAAGCAATTCTATCCTATTTATTGTGATTACATCTTCTTCGTTACTCAACATGCTCGGATATCACTTACATTAAATATGCGTATATAATTAATAAATACGTTCTGTTTTCGATCTTGTTTCAACTTTCATCTTCAGTTTATTAATTTTCGACGTCAATAAAATTGGTGTTAGAATATGAAACCGTATCAAGTCAATTATTTTCCCATCAGGTGATGATCGATATTATCATTTCAAATCGATGATTCTTGTTTTAAATAACTAGAGTTGCCTTTTAGACAATCTGTATTTGTGTTAATTGTTTGTTGATATTGTTCTTCCTCAATATCTTGTTCATCACAGAAAGCACTTTCAGAGAATCTTTGCGCGGAATTCCAGAATAATTTCGCTTTCATTTTTCTCAAATAGCAACAAAATTCCCGGCGAAAATCTTCATTACAAGCGAGATAAATACACGGATTGACAGCAGCGTTTCCAAAGTCCAAAATGTTTAAAAACGCAGCGATATCTTCGAACGACTTAACACTGCCGAAATCATTAATCAACCAAAGAATTGATGTTGGCAAATTACAAACAGCAAATGCAACTGTTACGACAACCAACATGCGTATTACTTTTTTTGATTCTTCGTTTTTAGTTTTATTCAACGAACGATTCTCGCTTCGTTTATTCCCGTTTTTCAACTCTATACCCACCATTGTGTAAGCGAATGTAATTGCAGATAATGGAATCACAAATTGAAAGAAAAACAACGACAATGTGTATGCCTTTTTTACTCTATCAGACCACTTTTCAACACAAACATTTTCGTCCGTGACTCGTAAAAATATTGCATACGGTAAAACTTCAAATATGGCAAACAACCATACAACAACGAGAGCTAACTTGATTTGTAACACTGTTATTTGTCGTCGAAGAGGAAAAACTACAGCCCAGAATCGTGTGAGCGCTAAGGTCATCAATGTTAGCGCTGAAACGCAAATAAACAGAGTCATCATGGGGTAGAACAAATTGCAGAAGAAGTGAGCGTACGGCCATGTTGCGCTTTCAGTTATAGCAACATCCAAAGGTACAAAAAGAGTGTAAAATACGTCCGATATGGCAAGATTTAAGATCAAGAAATTTGTTGTTGTTTTCATTTTTTGTCTTCGAGTAATGATTAAACAGACCATCAGATTTCCCGGTAAGCTTATCACAAACATGATTCCATAAAGAGAATACTTCAACACTCTAAACCACATTACTTCGCCAATGTTAGTATGACCACTATATGTATTCGTTAATGCTGTGTCGTTTGATTGCTCCATCATAACGGCCGACAAACAGACCAAATACTAATTTTCCTTAACTCCTACAAAGAAAATAATTAAATTACAAGTTAACGACTTCGCTGCATGTTGTTGTATGAAGAGAAAATTCTTTAGAAAAAGAAGAGGAGAAAGAAAGACACAGCGGGTTCTTTATAAAAATGCACGCCCATTGGTGGTTGCAAAGATTCATCTTGTGCAACTGGCACAAATAATTTCGAACTAAACGATTTGACATCTTAAGCAAATAACAAGTTGAGCCCAGAATGAAAAATGAAATTACACGCTGAGAATAAAATCAACGTTATGGCTAAAGCCCGCCTCACATTAGTGACTTTGTTATACGTGACAAGTCAAATCAATAAAAACTCCTATTGCAGTGCGGGAAAGTTTTCAAACATTTTTCATATAGCTACTGAGATCATCCATATATTAAAGCACAAACAGAAAGTTAAAATGGTGTATTCATTTAATGAAGAAGATTTGTCAGACTCAGAATTAAGAGAAATGCAGGAAGACGTCGCAGACCCTAGAGAACAAATCGTGAAAAATAGACGAAACAATGGCTCTTGATTAACAAAAACACGCTTGAAGTCTGGTAAAAAATTTGTCATAAAAACTAGAAACGAGAATCCCCCAAATTCCTTCAATATTACAGATTGGACATGCAATCATTTACAGACATTTTACAGCTTTTTTCTCAATATATTGTGAAGAAAAACACGAAAATAAGAACTACTGGCAGTATGGCTAATTCAACATTTTGTTGATAATAGAATATCAAAATCACTATAAAGTTATTTATAGCATACAGATAAATAAAATTTTTTAACAGTTTTAAAAATTCCCCAATCATTTTAATCACGTTCATTTTTCATCATTTTTGTCAACATGTGAAGTTGTTTTTAGACAATTGACTACACATGTCTTTATATTCCCTGTAAGCAATAGACAACCCCCCTGGAGGTTAAGAAAGCATTTTGTAAAGAAATTCCGCCTTTCCGTGTGCGAGCAAAATTGAAAAATCAACAGGAACTCACAGCATCATTGTTCTATATCACGTTTTGTTGTGTTATTCGCTAGTCAAATACGTAGTACAACATATATGGCCCTCCGAGGGGAAAATAACGTTACCATGGAAACATAAAGCTTTTCTCACTTAAACCGAAAAGTGTTTACGATTTAATATTATATTTCAAAAGTAACATCATCAAAAAAGTCGGACGCACATTTTATAAGCGGATTGCAAATGGCAAACTAAAATATCGTATGTGCTAATCGCGATTATTAAGTAAAAGCTGGTTATATTAAAAAAAAACCCGACATCATACAGAGTTTTATCACTTTAACAAGCCGAAACCGAAAAGAAATTTCAAACGCTAGACGCCAAGGAGCACAGTAAGCCGGAAATTTTTTTTACCAGCATGAAATTTCTTTTTAAGACATTCTGTAATTTTGTGCTCATTCGTCAGCACATACTTTCAGTAACGCCGCGGAGAAAATAAAAATTTGAGTACATCATTGACTTTCATGACGAAAGATTAACATCTATAGTTTATAAATGAACGGTTAACAAAAATTGGAATCTGTTTTTCTCGCCAACAAATGCTATAGCTATATACATTTATTTTTGCATGTAGCTAAAATAATGTTTACACGGATTGAACAATAATACATAAATTAATAAAATGACTATGTGCCATGTTGTTCACTTAGCTACATGAACGATTTCTAAATTTTCACAAATCTTCACATAAGCGCATCGCGCGTCGAATTTTGAACAACGTTTGAACCTAGACGCTCACTTTAGCGATAAGTTATAAGTAGAGTAAAAATATGGAGAAGAAATTAGAAAATTGGGAACAATTTGTGAAACTCCCGGTGTAAAACAGTTGAAGACGCCTCTAATGGCGAAAAATTGACGAAAAATTGTATTAGGCTGAGCAGCAAAAAATGAAAGGCTAGGCAAACTTATCGTTACTTTCAAATCAACTTGACATTGAACGATAGTACACATCTTTGAATATTCGGCGAACGTCACTTTTGATTTGCAAAATCACCTGCATTGATGAGTAAGTCATGCAAATTATATAAAAATCAATGCATTCTTCAAACATTTTGCTGATGTACAATCGCTAAAATGGATCATGTTACCCGTCAAAGAATTAAATGAAGTATTTTATTGACATTTCATAGTAATATGGCAGATATCATTTAACTGAAAGACTTATAAATAATGACTTACCGAATACCGAAAATAATTATTCTATTTGAATTACAGAATGTTAGCATAAAAATAATATACATCGTAAAAGTTGAGAATTTATATCATAGCAAACACAGAACTCAGGTGATGAAGAAAAATCGATTAAAATTTGCATTCAAAAATTTGAGCCTTTGTTTCATTATTTTCAAAATCTTGCCTCCGTGGGGAACAACAAAATACATGTCATCAAGTGTTTTTGATCGTAAAAAGTACGCAGTTGCTTCCATCTGGTGATTTGAATGAAATATGAAAACATAAAGAAAGTATAGAGCGCTACACTTACAATCTGTAGAATTCACTTCTAATATGAATTTAGGACGACAACAAATTTTTTCTTTTCAAGATAGACCGTTTACTGCCAACGTTCTTCCAAGAGCTATGTAAAGAGGCCAGCTTCCTATTAATTACAATGGAAAATTAATACTGTGAAAGGTAATGTTCTGATGTTGCTTTTGATAGGTCAAACATTGATGATTTAATTCGATTAAATTTTGACGTCAAAATTTGAATTCTTAGTGAATTTTATGAGCAAAATAAAACATTATGGACGACGTATATTCTCAAAAAATATCTTTGGAAAAACCCATGTATATATTGCACTCGCAAAAAAACATACAGATATCGCCTGTATGACGTTCTGTTTATGTTGCTGGCAAGAATTTTTAAAATTCAATATAGAATATTGTTTCAATGAAATTTTCGAATTTTTACTACTGTCTGATGGTGAAGTAAGGGTGTTTTTCATACTTTTTAAAGCTGATTGTCTTCTATTACACATGAAGTGATCGAGTTTTATTCAGTCGTAAATGGCACCGTAGTGCAGCATGCTTTAATTAGTATAATGTAAAATATTTTTGATTGCTTGGATAACACATAAATTTACTTTGCCAGGACCATGACAAATCGTAATTAAAGCGTTTTAACTCCTTGGCCAAACTTAGAGTTTTTGTTTGTTCCACTCTCGTCGAAATGACAAGAGCGCACCAAATTAGAAATACATTTGACGGAGAAAAGCAAAGTTATATAAGAACAAAAGGTGTTAATTACAACATTGTTTCTTGTTTTTGTCATAAATTTACTAATAGTTGTGTATTAATATGAAATTGAAACATGTATACTAATTAGTCTTCAAACTTTATTTTATATAACATATAACAGTAAGTTGCTTAGCACTTGGTAATAGCTATATTGGAGCTAGTAGAAGAAAAATACTTTATTTATTCCTTGATATAAAACCATTATTTAGATCATTTTTATGATTATTCAAATAAAATTTTCCAGAAACGTCGGTTGACATTTTCGATATTGTAAGATTAACAGGTTAAATTTTGTAAAAGCATCAAAATTTCTGATATTTGAGGACGAGAATTATTGACAATTTACAAGTGTACATTTATGTTAAGTATAGCAAATAATTTGAGAGACTCAGCTTAGTTTACGATGTTTATAGCTAGCTTAGCCTGTCCATCATAAATAGCGTGATTTCACAGACTATAAACACGCGTCTATTTCTGTTTTTGTCAAGTTTTTGTTTAGTAATTACGTCAGTCATAAAGAATCCTTTATATTTCCTTTCAATTCAAATCAACTTCATTTCTAGACAATAGTCATTAATCACAAGTGTTGGTGCTTTGGCAAATGTTTCCATGTAGTTGTATCGTTTAATGTTTCCGAGTTTATAAGGCTGGTCGCGAAAATTTTTAGCAAATGTTTAATTTTCATAGAATTATATTAGCATAGTAGCTAAAATATTCATAAAATTATGATAAGAAATGGAACTAAAAACGCAATGAACATATTGTAAAGACACATTAGCATGCCCGTTAATGCATTAATTATTCCCACCAGACATATCAAATTTTTCTGACATTCTATCTGAATCTAAAATAAAATTTTGTAACGATTTTACTTTAAGCTTGTTTGTGTGTGTAATAACATGTAACTTTGCTGAAGAGTGGTTTATAATTTGGGAACTAGCAAGAAAATTGTAACGTTGTCGCTCTACAGACGAAACAAAAATAATTTGTTTTGAAAGCAAATTGTATTTTAAATATATGATAATGATAATTTATTGCCTACAAAGTACAGTTCATTATTTCGTGACTGCAGCAGAAAAACTTGCTTTTATCATAATCATTTCGCTACGATGATTCAGATAATCCAATCAAGAATCACAATCTCCACACAGACTGCTTTCATTTTAATTTGTTCACTCAAGATATACGTAAATCATGATTGCTGCTACGTCTAGTTCATTTTTGTAGCTATATTTGCTACTTACCAGTAAAACACAGAAGAAAATAAGATTTTAGGAACTTGATTCTTTTGTTGCTCTGCTCTCACGGGTCGTAAATACGTTGTGGTTTTTGTTTATATTAAAATTTGTGTGTCGTTCTTGTTGATGTTTGTGTTGAATTTTTATCTCAAACTCATAAACCCTTAATAACTAAATGCTTAGTATGCATAAAATCTTTTCAGCTTAAGTCTTAAAGATTTATCTTCAATACATTGCACTGTTGAACACATCAAACATTTGCCGGATGTGACAAATTATTCAAAACAACCCTAGTTAGTTAATTGTATTGACACAGTAAGATGCAAAATTAAATTTTCTACATAAACATTCCTAAGAAGTTGGAAATTGTCTATTGGTTATTTGAAATTTAGGTTACAGAAATTTTAGTCTTGAGTGTTCATTAAGCAGAATTTCTAGATAAATTATAAGATAAATGAACGACGTTTTTGAGATGGAAATAGAATTGATAACATCTTGAAGATTTTAAACGATGTATCATTTGTCTTAAATTATAATTACTTTAGCATCTGCAGATAACTCAACATAAGTTAGCTAGCCAAGGGCTTTATTTTCATTGAAAGTGTATGAAATCCTTTGTAAATGTTTTTAAAAATAAGAACATAGATTTTTCAAATTCGGCCAACCATATATTAGTAGTAAAATACTTTACATTTTTGCGTTTTCCATCAATCCCACTGCCACAAAGCAAACCAGCGTACAATGAGAAAATTATCAAACAGTAAACATCACATAAAAGTAAGGGTTATACATTTGAAGTCTTTCTGACTTTAAGTTTCGTCGTTTTGAAAGCTCAATCATACTAGCTAGGCTTTAAATAGACTTCATGGCAACTGGATGAAAATGCTTATGTTTTCAATTTTGAGTTAAGAATGCTGTAATAAGTTCGTTGTTGATTGATTTTATTTTAATTGCACATACTTGCGGCATAAAATTTGACTCTTGCTTTCGTTTGAAAGTTGGCACTATTTCGCCTTGGGCAGCCAAGGTCACGATGTCAAAATGTCTTCACCAATGGTTTTCACACTCTCCAGATCAACGCAAGCCGGCATAAAGTTCTATAATTTTTGTCAGTGAATAATTCATACGGCGCTATAGCTGCTGTTACCTCAAAATTTCTGAATTATTAGGCGATAAAATAAAAATGACAGGCTTAATTTTATTAAAGTTTCTTACGATGTTTCGTTATTTTCACACCAATCACTTCCATGGACTAACTTGGAACAAAAAATTTACAGTTTCCGGGGTATAAATAGTTCGAATCCATTTCGATCCAAAAGCATTCGGATGGACTAATTAAATCGGACATTGTACGTTCAGTGTAACTTTGTTTAGCTCGAGATTTTGCGAACAGTGATATATTTAGAAAAGAATGATTTTTCTGAATTCGTATAAAGAAATTGATATAGCTTCGTAAATATTGTTAATCTTTATTATGATTTCAAACTGATGATATACAAGTGTTAGCGACAAAAAAAGCAAGCAAATGTTTTAGACATTTTTTGTGTAGAATCATATTTACATTTTTTAGATAAACTGTTAGTTAAATTGAAATGAAGTTACGTGACAACATTAACATGCAAAGCAGTTGTGTCGCAGTCTCTCTTGAATATACAGATGTTTACTGTACGATTTCACAGTGGAAGTTGTGGTGAGAATACATGCATAATATAGGAAATAAACCATTGATTTATTATACTTTAGTCGTACTGTTTTGATTAATATCTGCAGAAACAAGCAAACTTTCCCTCGTGTTTCTATTGTTGGACGCCGAAGATGTCATCATCGAAACTTTTCCTGTTTCCGAGCTAAGGTTTGGAGATAAACCAGGAATAATGCATCCCACTTGTCTTCGAAATTCCCGACTAAAACTTTCGTTGCAGAAAGAATATATGATAGGATTTGACGCACAACTTAAAAAGTCTAAAATGTATAAAACACCAAGAACGTCATAAAAATGGGAATATTTTTCTCCAGCTCCACCAAAATCATTCCACATCCACATAATTGCAGACGGGAGAGTCAAGATCGCAAATGCAAGTGTTAATATCACAAGCATTTTGATAACTCTTCTTGCTTCTTTGCTACGAGCTCTGGCCAATGATCGATTGGTTGTGTTAGTTTGTCCTCGCGTTAACTCGAAACCAATTTTTAGATAACACGTTGAAATTATTGTTAGTGGAATAGCGTATTGTATGAGTAGTAAAGATAATGTATACATTTGTCTGTGTTTAAAAACAGGCCATTCTTCCTCACATGTCTTCTGTATGGGCTTATACCGTAAAAAGTGCACATATGGCACTACAGTACAGATTGCTAAAGTCCACAGCATAGCAATAACTAAAATAGATTGTTTCATCTTCAATTGTTGACGTAACGGTTTCACAACAGCCCAAAATCTTGTCACACTTAATGCCGTAAGAGTAAAAGCAGAAACTGTTATTGCAATGGTTTGTGATGGCCAAAAAAACCGGCAAACAACTTCTCCATAGGGCCAAGTTTTTTTGACAGTCTCATACACATCAAATGGAACAGTAAAAGTGTAAAGTAGATCACTTATGGCTAAGTTCATTAAGAAATTATTCGTCACATTTTTTACTTTCATTCTTCGACAAACAACGAAACAGACCAAAATATTTCCAAATAAGCTAATTAGAAATATGATGCAAAATATTGAATACTTTAAGATTATAAACCATTCTCTGTCACCAAGTGGTACAAAATCGTCAGTGTTGTTGTGGTTGCTATTATTCGATGCCAGTGTTTCTCCAATCATATTTCAACGTTTTCACCATACAAATAAGTTCTTCTTTTTATACATCAACGCAAGTTGAAATTCTCCTGAAATTAAAGATCAAGTATCAAAATTTAAAACAAAACAGCGCTTATTCTTTCAACAATATCCAATGGCCATTGAGATAAAGATTTAGAATTACTGAAAAATTGAATTAAACAATACGACATATATTTCTTGTTCATTTAATGCTCCATGAACAATTTTCGGCTGTTCTTTTAAATTAATTTTATCAATGTGTTACCGTTAGCCTGGAAGGCAGTTATCGGCCAAATATTTAACTGCTCATGAAAAAACCTTTTGATATTTGTGTGGGATGAACAATTCGGTGCTGCATCAAAGAAATATCGCACAAAATGTAATAACAGGTTTAGCAGCTGCAAAAATCCGCATTAAATATAAATTTATTTGCGAACTTTTCCCGGCCTTTAATTCATAGCATCTCCATCAACAAAAATATATGAAGCAAATTTTTAGTGACCAAAATGTGATATTTTATAAGTGCAAGAGTTTCATCCGTGGACAACTGAATCTTACTGAATTTTATCATAGAAAGAATAAAATACAAAGAATTCACTCTTTAATATATTAGAAATAGTGGCTCTTGCTGTTACGTTGCTCTGGCGACTGTAAACTGTTGGAAACAGTATGACTTTTGTGTTTAATTTGATCAACAATTATATTTGTATTATGTTTATGATAATAACAAAAATTATTTCGGTGTTTTAAACAAAAAACGTATATTAGGTACATAGCTCAATATTTAACAAAATATGTATACCTTTGTCTGCTGTAAAACAGATTGACAATTTATTAGCATTCAGCTACACGCCTGCATGATTATATATATGTAAAATAGTTGGTCTTGCGATGTGTTTTATATCGTTAATGTGCTAATTAAATTATGTCATTCCCAAACAGATTTCACGAGATATGAGAGCAAAGATCGTTTGTTGACAACATTTCCTTTCTTAAGAGAAAGATATAGCTTTACTATCGCCCACACAGTGATAAATATTTTTACAAGAACTTTATCAGATGAAAGCAAGTCATGTTAGTTGCAACAGTACATACATAGCAGCTGTAAATATATTCAATAAATGTAGACAGTGATGTAAATTTTCATGTTTTGATGCGCATTTATAACGAGTATACTTTATTGATAAGAAAATTAATTGAATTGTCGGCCCTTATTTTGAAGTCTTGCATGTACTGAGATTAAAAACGATTGCAATCCATATTCATTGTCAAAAACTTACGTCAACTATAATCTTTTGCACTGCACGAAAAACTTATCTTGCTGAGTGATTTAACCCTTCTACTGAGAACAACGTCATAAAATACATTGAGCAACTTCGGTAGTCACAGTCTTCATGAAAGTTTCTCCACAGGAAATCAAATTCCATCTGAAGACCAATTACGAAATAAAATGTACAAGGTCTATTGTGATTTTATCAGTTAGCTACATAGCATGGTTCGCGACATTACAAAGAATTTTTTATTGCTTTATATATTCATGAAGTATTGTGAATTTCTTCTGATACGTGATTTGATAGAAAAACTCAAAATTCAACTTATTTTGAAATTTACTGAAAAAACAATTGCTGTCCAATAAAGCACAAATTGTACATATCGTAAGGAAAACAAATTTCGAAATAGAAAAAAATTAGACGAATTGAAGGAAAATCTCATAATTGTATAGACTTAATGGCTCTAGGTCAAACTGTGACGTGGCTATGTATTATAATGCCTATTCTTATAAAATATATCTCATGAAACGTGTTTTTCTTACCAAATTATAGTTTGCCAGAAAATTTTGAGCTATACAATCAAAGACTGTTCAAACTAGAATAAAATACTGTATAATTTATTTAATGTCAACTGTGATGACAGTATTTTACATGTAATAAAATAATAGCCATGACAGGAAATAATCACTGTAGCTACGTTATTGTATAATTCATAACAAATATAAAATTGTCTTAAAACGTATGCTTCCGACAGTTTTATTTTAAGACGTTCGTGTATTTTATTTATGATTTAGTCATCTTAGATAAAAATCAACAAAAGCATTGCTTTTTGTGATTCTCGTTGATTCTTGCTTAATTTAACTAAGACACAAGTACCACTATATCTAAAAGAGAAAGCAACAAAATAAAAGAAAAAAAAAAGTTTTAATCCTATTACTCACTAAAGCGGGATCTTAGACATCTTAATAACAAATAAATTGCTTGCTAAAGTGGTAAAAATCTATTGATAGCAACACATATAAGATAGAGAGAAAAATAATTTAGTAATACATGTTAAATTATGTATGTCTTGTTCAATACGGTTTCTATGAACTAGGCTTCGTAAAAGTACCAGATAAACTGGATTATTTTATTGAATAACAGAAACAACTACATCTGTAACGAAATGAAATACATATATGTAATTCAGACTTATACATAGTAAATTTTCGCCATCATATTTAATTTACAGTTTATTTCTAACGGAAAACAACGTAAGTAATGTTTACGTCAGGGTAAAGAATCTTCAACACCATATTAAATATAAAATCTTAGATATTAAAACATGAAGCATTTCTCTGTAGAATCTTTCAAAAGACATTAGCCACGCATAATATGTTACACAAAACTTCATTGCAATGCTGTTATTGTTCTTTAGTTCAAAATTTTTTGGAATGCAACTGAAGAATTGTTCAAACGCTAATTCTCATCAACTTATGTTTAGAAATGCAAACCGGAAAATGTTTTAAAGATTTCTATGCATCCGCTATACAAATAAAAAAATCTTATAGCTACACAAACCCTACGCACAGACGATACTTCTATGAAAATATGTATGTTCATTTAAGAAAATAATTTTTTTTCATTAAATTCAAAGGCGTATTTTTATTCATTTGGGCTTTAACGAAAGTAAACAGGCAATGTTATAAAGGATTATATATTATTATCCCTAAACTGTTATTTATGTTCATATTGAACAATTTCAGTTGATTTTGGGTCCAAGTGAACATGGGACTTGGACAAACAAAAGCAGTCGGACAATATTTCTATGATAGACGGGTAAATAGGCAAACACTTGGGGGTTCTTCATGATTGAAAATTCACCGACCGCCACCCGAAAAAATATTAGCTGGTTTAGCCATTCAGCTGAAAATGAGTTTTATGACAAAAATGAGAATTGTATATAAACAGGTGTTTTGAAATTATTATAATTAAAAGAACTCATCAGAGTAGAAATTTTCCAGTCAAACTATCGACATTGGCAATGAACATCCACACAAACTTATAAGTAAATCAGCTGATTTTCACGTTTGTGTACAGTCAATAAAATAAACACGGAAGATAATCCTTTCGGCATCAAACACGACAGCTTCAAAGCTCCTTTCCAAATATTGCTCGTGTTCCGAGAGGATACAATTATAGAATCATGCAAGGCAACTGAATTTATCTGAAATTGCCATAACATCAAAACTATTTGTGCCGGAAAAACAAATTGAAAATTTGCTTGAGAACTTAATTGTTTTGTTATTGTTATAATTTATGAAAATGTACAACTGTCTTAAAGTTACACAGATATAAAACAAAAAACCAAAGAAATTTACTATGTATTACTTATATAAATAAAAAAGTCATTACCTCCCTTTCATTAAACCATTAGACTGTCAGTCATTTAAAAATAAAACTCGTTCAATCAGCGGACGTTTACCACTTTCAAATTTGAAACTTTCATTTTTGTATATCATCTCTTCAATCAGTTAAACACATGCAGCGCGCCACCTGCGTGAAAACTTGGCAAAGGACCATTTTTAATAAAACGTCCATATTTCATGTGAGTGTTTTGGGATTTCTCAAGACCCAAGTTCCGCATAGTGTTGTAGAAATCCTGGATTGTTTTATCAGCTTGTTCTTATACAAAGTTATAATGAATTGTAAGTTACACAAGCACGACTAATGAAGCATTGTTGCTCAGCTTTTTCTATTAAATGTAACTTATTTGACCCTTAAATATAACCTGTCATAATAATTTGTTTTTAAAATAGCAAATCTCACGAAAGGAACCTATCAAATGTCATTGTTCACAAACTGCCAATAATTTATAATGTCATGCTTTATTATGGTAAAATTTAGCCAGGAAAGCAGCACTTGTTCTTGCCACTAAATTCAATGCAGTGTCTTCAAATTTGTTAGCATTGATGGGCATCTTAAAAGGCTTGAAGTGTGAATTCAAACTGGAGCAACATAACATGACATGCATGGTGGATTTATGGCAATATCTGACTAATTGTTTATCAATATCACAATTCTTTATTCATTATAGTTATAAAGAAAATTGTAACTAAATATAATCATAATCAACAAATACGATAAAATTTATCTTTAAAAAAGACATTTACAAATTTTTGTTCATGTCGTGACATGAACGAATAGCGGACGACACGTTTTTTATAAACCAATGTCAAATAAACAATTAATGTAGGCACGACAAACGAAAAATATCCTTACAACACGGTAATATATGTCAATCATTTGCAATTAAAAGTCATTAACAATAAAATACTTATGTATATCCAATTGCCAATTAAATTTTCTATACATCAGTAAGTTAAACATTTGCAAGCAATGCTCATAGTCAACACATATATACATTAATAATTTTGGAGTTTAATTGTATTAACATGTCGTACCTTAACATTATGAATATATTTGACAATGATTTTTGGGCAATAATCGAATAAAATTGTTTTTGTCTGAATACTGTTCTACGCAACTTATGCTAATATAGCTATCCTCTTGTTTTTAAACAGAAACACATGGCGTTTTGCGTCATTTAACATATTTTATTAGCGCAATATTCTTCATGTAGATATATTCTAATTGAAACAATATAAATTGCCTTTCACCGGGAAAATTGCAAAAATTTCCCAACGCCCTGAATTTTTGAGGATGAATATTCAATTTTTAACAGTTTGTTTATTTTAACAATTAAATTTACCGGCAAATTGAAAGGAACACTTTAAAAAATAGTAAATTCTTTTAAGAATTAAATCAATCATGATATGTTAGTAAAAAATTGATTGTTTCAACAGTAATGCTAAATGGGAAAGCATTTTCCTCGTTCTACGTTAAAAAAGTTGTGATAATGAGAAAGAAAAACATATTGGTCACACAGGTGGATCTAAATGATTTTAATACACAGTAAAATCTGCAGGAATCTACACAATATACAGTAAGTAGACAATTTAAGGTCATTTTACTACAATCTTAAAGTAACTTAACTATAAAGCTTACCTTCTACTAAAACTGCTCGTTTACTACCAATTGCGTCGTGATCTGTTTGAAATGATCACATGTATGTGTATGTGTGGGTGCAAAAATATTTTCGTTTACGGTTCAGCATAGTTGCTTTTATACATCTTTCAACACCGCCTCCCCCCCGTAGGAAATACTTCGATTATCTAACCGTTCACCTTAACAAAACCTTAATTCATAAGTAATATTTTTCAATTTTTTTCTTAACTTAGAACGTGGAACAAGTAAGGTAGTACTTCATTGTTGTTCACCATAAGAATTGATAAAAGACTTCATCAGATTTTATCATTGTAAGAAAGTTAGCATCGTATTTCTAGTGTTGAGATAATGTAAATGATACAGTTATTTTCATACGTAAAACAGCTAGAGCATATATGTCAACAAACACGTCAAGTAATGTTGTCCTGCTTGTGTGTGTGCATACTATCGATGATTTTTTCTTTCAATCAAGAGTATTCATTCCATATCAGCAATTTTTGAACAAGTCGAACTTGAAACCGATTAGGTATGTGTCAAAATATTGAATGCCACAAGCAAGATATGCAAACAAGTACACCTAAAGTGGGTTTAAGTATTTAATCTATTTTTTGGCCATCTTCTAGAAAGGAATCATTACGAAATAAGAATGCAATGTTTTGAATTAAGAGAAAAAATGATCAACATGATCGAGTCAGACTAAATCAACAAAAGAAAAGAAATGATACAATCTTTTATGATAATGTGATCAAATAACATTACAGACGAGATTCGTGACTATATAAGTTGTAAAAACGAAGTGGTTTATGCAGTACTTATATTAATGACAGAATTTTTCTCTAAGTATTTTGGAATATGTATTTGATGTTTATTAAGGGAGACAATATTTAATGGAATTTTTTATGGAACACAAAAATTATGGTTGGTTTTCGAACAATCGGATTAAATATATATTTATTATAGCATTACAGTAAACAAGATTAGTCTTTGAAAGAGAAGACATTAGTGATATAATGACTTTTAGAATAGGCGATAATAACTTGTTGACTAAATATTCTTTTTCAAGCATTTTAATAACAACAGCCAGTCAGCCACAACTAAAGTAATTTGGCATTTACCAAAGCTATCCAAACTTATTGTTACACGTTTCCAAATTTTCTAGAACTTGAGATATATTTCTGATTAATTTGACGATAAACGAGCTTCATTACTTCGGTGTTCAATAAATGTTTAGCACATGTTTGTAGATGTAGATCGTCCAGGTTGGTATAGTCCTGAGAAGGACTGTTTTTGTTGTTGTTGACTGACGTTTCGACAACCTTAGCGGTAGTCATCTTCAGAGTCAAATGAGATGCGTCAAGTCATGGACGATCTACATCTACAAACATGTAACGATACTCCCGAGTTCAAACCATTTACTTTAAATGTTTAGCATATTAATTAAACAATGGGTCTTTACAACAACAAAACAAACTGCCTTAATTAGTCGACAAAACAACTATACGTTGAACATTATTGAATTATACATAGTCATGATACTTTAACCAAAATTATCCAGTTATTCGTCCTGACAAGAATTTTTGAATAATGCACGGTAGATTTGGTGCTTATCATTGAAGTTCTTTTACTTCTCCAAGTTTAATTTTAAAGCATGAATTTCCCGACAATTTCGTAATATATAAATTTTCTGTTTCATTTCAAAGAAGGTATTCTGAGATTTTGAATGAAATTGTCATTTAAAATACATACAGATTATTAAACACGTTCAACAAAACAATCTTGTACTTAATAAAGTCAAAACTCTTGGACTTAAATTCTAATTCTTGTGAACTATAAATATTTTTATCGTCAGTATAACTAATGCGTCAAGCGACGTTAATCACATCAAAGTTAAAAATTTGAAAATATTTGGTTGTATTTGATTTAGTAAGGAATTTATAATCGCGATTTTCTTTCTATTTAAGAAATAATTAATAAACTATAAATCTAATTTATCAAACTCTACGTTTTTATTGAAATTTAAAACAAAAATGTAAAAATAATGTCAGTTATTGACGAAACTAACCTGCCAGGCGTTGAACAAATCTTGGATTACAACATAACCATCATTCAGGTCAATACAACAAATGATCAATTTTAGTTTATATTTCAAGTTAATCAAGTGACTAATCATTGACTTTCTTACCGAGAAAACACGATTTTGTATCAACACTTTAAATATTTATAATTTAAATGTTCATAGCGCGATGTCTGATGCACGCATGACTGGATACACAGTATTTTAACAACAATCTCTTCTTAACATCTTGTTTTACGTCTCTAGATAACCACAATTATCAAATCTTCATGATATCTTGACTTCACGTATTGATAGCTTTACATTTCATTGCAATTCAATAATCGTTGTTACAATTATAATAATTCCGGCCATTTAATGGTGATGTAAATTTGTATATATATTACAGCGTACAGGTAACTTACAAATATGAATACTGACCTTGCAGGTTTTGACAAAATTCTGAAATTAGTCGGCTTTTGGCTGAAACTTAGTCAGTGTTCGTGACTGCTTGTTTATCTCAAATTACATGAAAATGACAAACAAATATAGTTTATCATCATGGTGACCCATATTTATGGTCTTTAAAAAAAAGGTAAAAAACTTGTGGCGGTAATTTGAAAGAAATATTTTGTCTTATCCTTATTACTATTCAAAAAATTCGTATGAAATGACAAAAAGGTATTTTAATCTATAAGCACAAACGTTTTAGGAATATTGAATTTGTTATACACATCCAATTAAGCAAAAAATCCTTTTTCTTCCTTTTAATGCAAATGAAAATATAATTCACAAGTCAGAATTAAAAGAAAGTTATCACTGCCGAAATTTAATTAATCATTTCTTTGGCAGTGATGTGGATCTGAGACATTCACCGAACGAAATGACAAATGACTTTTGAAGGGTTGAAGAAATTCAGCAACTCGAGTGTTGAGGAATACTCAAGAGAAATCCAAATCCTAAAAATATGTATTTTACCTTTTCTATGGTCAATGGCATGCTGAATTGATGAGAACACTTGTAACAGGAACACAGGAAATATCAGGTTTGAAAAATAAATCTTCAATCCATGTCTTTTCCAGTCGACCAATGAGTAAATTAATGACAAGTAAACGTCCAAAACGTACGTCTTTACTTCGATCAACTTTATGCTCATATTCTCTCAAAACTTCTTGCATTTTATCTTGAAGGATTTCGATTCTTGTTGCATCTCTCAAACCTGATACCTCTGTGAAAAAATCATAATTTATTAACCAGGACATTTGACGAAAATATGTATTACAACAATTTAAAAAATATCGTGGTTCTTTAAAAAATTGGTAAATTCTGATACTAAATTACTAAGAGGAACAAATTGCGTCAGCGAAAGCAAACTGTATCATCTTCAAACCTTAAAGTTTACAAGGAAGGTTTTTACCTGGTCTCAAAAAACACATAATTCTTACAAGAAGATGTTCTACATGATCCAAATTCATAGCATTAAGACGTTTCAAAACTCGTCTTATATCTTTTACTTTCTGCCTGTTCATGTGATCGCATTCTCTTAAGTCACGTGATTCAATGAACATGATAAGATTTTCAATAAGATTATGATCTTGTGATACGTCAAGTAAATATAAACTGCTCCATGACAGCTCGAGTAGTTGAACCTGCATATGTGAAAGTAAAGGTTATCAGTTGAAACGTGAAAATAAATTTTTACAAACAAATAAGGCAAAAGCTTGGTTATACTATTAACCTGGTCACTCAAACAAATTCCAAAATATTTAGCCAAATTACCCATCCAGCCAACACTTTTGAATAACAGTCTCGCTACGATTTCATTAAAGGTTTCAGGATCATTTATTGCTTCGTTGTGATGTATTTTGATGGAAGGTTTTTGTAAAAGTAATGTTTCAAGAAATGCGTCTAATGATTGATAAATCTCCGATTCAACCGTTGGACTCTTGAGAAATTTTTCATTTAAGTTGTTTTCTTTTTGTAGAAGTAGTAAAGCATTTCGTGGTCCACGTTCATGTTGCACAGCTAAGTTCACAAAAATAAAGTTTCAGCTGCTGTAGGATTACGAAATTAGTGACAATTTCTTTTGGAGTAAGTTATACAATGTATTATCTTGTCGTTATGAACTATGTCTGGCAGGGTTGAAGAGTAACAAAATCAACAGCGCAACATATATTCTCAATTAAAAGTAAAACTCAGTCTAAAAATTATAACAAAAGTCATATATGTTTTATCGTTGCATAGTCCTATTTTTCTAAACAAAACAAATTTTCAACGCGGTCATTGTCAACACCAGCTGCATGGATGTGTATCGATTAAAATATTTTATATATACCGTCTTTATTCATGTTGACTTGAAAACAACGTTTCAATCGACAAGCGCGACATTGATTTCTACTTTCTTTATCGACAGTACAGTTGCCCTTCCCTGCACTAGCCTGGCAGAAGTATCTTCTCTTTCGTCGAATACTTCGTTTGAAGAAACCACTACAGCCATCACAAGCATATATGCCATAATGTTTGCCTGTAGAGTAGTCTTGACACACTTCACACAAAATAGTAAGTGTCCGAGCTATAAAAAACAATTCATCGCTATAATTATGAGAGATTGCTTCTTCAACAAAAAGTTAAATGTGAGTGATTTTTAAAATGTGACTTTTCAACTTTGTTCACAAAGAAAAAGAGAAAAGAGAAACGATCTTATCATCTTACTGTTTTGTTTTTGTGTTTCATTGCCGCCCATTTTCTCATTCTCCATTTTATCAATACGAATATAACTGAGTAAATATTTTCCTGCCGTCAACGACTCTTCAACGTTTTAAACTAACTTTGTTATAAGCAGTAAGCATAACTTTCACCTGTTCTTGTCAAGATAAAGACGAAGATCGTCACTTAAGAAAGACGTTTAATGATTGGTTTGATATTTTTTTTGATAAGAAAGTGATTAAACCATTATCACCAATTTTTGATTGAAAATATTGCTTTGTAACTTTTTTTCCTAAGTATCTTAATAATTATTTTGCCATTTTCTATTTAGAATTAAGCATATTTCTGTCAAAGATAGATTGATAAAAATGGCAACAGCCATAAAAAAGTACTTATGTCAAAAAAACTTTTAGTATTCGTCAGCATAGCGGCAAAATATCATGAAATATAAATATCATGTAGATCAACTTAAAATAAGCTAATCGTATGGGATATTACAAATGCAGATATCTCAAAGCTGAAACTGATACAAAATTCTTATATGATACTTTTCAATTCATTCCTGCCAGTCTTTAACTTTATTAATCGTTGATTTCAAACTAATTAAGGCAAATACTTGAAGACCAAAGACGTTAAAAGATGAATTTCAAACGAATTTTTATAATCAGTAAGTAGTCGTGAAAGCTGATTAAAAAAATATTTACAATAGCCTCCGAGCCAGAGGCAACTAATATATTTACATATAGACAATTGTAAATGAAGAAACGCAATTACTTTCTACTTTTTCAAACATTTTACATTCTTATAATCTTTCTAAGAGCAAAACATATAAAAATGGCTCATAAAGATTTCACAGTCGATGAATAATTTTTGAATTGTCTTATTGTATGGTATTATAGTGCATGAGGCAGAACAATGGAAGATGGAAAAGTGTTTTACAAAATAATAATGGAGTTTGTAATTTTCCTATACAAGTAAATAATTATCGATATTATAAAGATTGTATATTTGTCATTTACTCTTTCCTTCATGGCTTTCTGGAAGGTCAAAACTGTTGACTTCATGTTAAATGGCAGGGGGTTAGGGACGCTTGGTGATGTTAGCGTGATGTGATTGGTGGTTTGCTGGTAGCGTGGGTGTTTTTTGGTGGTGGAGGTTGATGGTGTTGGTTGATGGTATTGGTTGGCGATGTTGGTTGGTGGTGTTGGTATTCGTGGTGTTCGTTAGTGGTGTTGGTTGATGGTAGTGTTGGTATTGGTATTGGTGGTGTTGGTTGGTAATATTGTGGTGCTGGTGGTGTTTTGGTGGTATTGGCGTTAGTGGGGCGAGGGATTTGGTGATGTCGGTTGGTGTTATTGGTTTTGGTTGGTGTTTTTGACTTTTGGTGTAGAACGGATGTTGAAGATTGGTATACACGAAGTAATAGACATGGAAATGGATTGATGGCAGGTCTGATGGCAGGCTCGTAATTCTAATGGCGGTATTTCATGATGAAATTGAAATCGAAGATTTTGAGTATGACGAAGAAACTGAAATATATACATATCCATGCCCTTGTGGAGACCAGTTTGAGATAACTAAGGTTGTGAAATGTTAAAATGTCATAAAATGTTCATTAATTTATTTTGATTTCAATGTTTTGCGATTAGGAACAACTTGAAAATGGTGAAGATGTGGCTGTATGTCCTAGCTGTTCGTTAATTGTGAGAGTTATCTACGATTTAGTAAGTAATAGTTTAAAATTATAGGATATTAACGAAAGAAAATTTATTGAAAGTAAAAATTTTTGTTTCAGGATGATTTTATGCAAACAGAACATGTAAAATGTACGTCAAACATATTGGAGAAAATATAATTTCAATAAAATCCAAATGAAAGTTGACGCTGTAACATCAAAACTTTTATATAGTTACTCTTAAACACATTGTAGACAAAAACATTGCGCACATTTTCCTTGCTTCACCAGAGTAAAGTTGAACATTGAAAAGAAATAAGAAATAACATTCTACATAATGTAAATTACTGACAAATTTTAACCATGAGAAACTTACCATACAAGATAATGTGGTGTCAATTTGGTGGAAAGGACTAGATGACGAGAAAATATGGGCAGAATTGATCAGGATAAATTATCACTTCCCTATGTAGTGTGGAACATTCTGGTAACCATCTGCAAACAACATGATGTCAGACTTTTATAAATATTTTGAAAATCAGGGGGGGGGAGTTTATTACAATTACAGTCTGCAGTTTGTATGATTAGCAGAATTTAAAATTGATGTAAATAAGTAATTTGCACAATAAGTGTTATGTGTATTGTTAAAATGCATAGATTATGAATAGTATGAATAATTGATATATCTCTTGGTGTCTGTGTGCAAATAGTTAAAATCTGCACTTCATCATTGTCTACCCACTATTAAACCTAATATTGTCTTTTACTTAAGTAACTTAAATGATTGCTTTGTGTTAATTCTTCAAGTACAGGTAAGGTTCAAGGCTCTCCTTCATCTCAACAACTAAAAAGACAAACATCAAGTCCAACAATTAATTTACATTAGGTAGTTTGGTAGTATATCAATTTTATCCCTGAAACAATGAAAAGATGTATATTGCAATTTAGGACATCATTCCATGTTGTATTGAACAACAATTGTCCAGAACTTTCTAAGACAAGTAAATTTAATTTTGTACAACAAAGTTTTAACATAAAGAACATTAAAATTTCCAGGTAACTTCTCCATAATGCATTGTTGGTAGAATTTAAAAAAGTTTAATCAGGCACATCTATGTGAACAATGCACGGAGCTTCTCTTGATTTGTTTATATTAATTGATGATCGTTTTTCATTTATCAATTCTTCTGTAACAACTTCAGTAAAAAAACTTTCTGGAAATTTGTAGGAAGTATTTCCATATTCCTTTAAACATGGCAGCAATCCAAGAAGATATTCACAAAAATCCTTTCGAATACCAAACCACCCTAAAAAGCATTAATTTAAACATGACAAAGTCCATTTCATGTTATAATATTATTCTATAAAACTTACAGTGATTTCCACCTCTATTACAAAACGAAGTTGCTAACAATGTGAACAATGCAATCTGAAGAGGAATCATAATTTGTGCAAAAGATTTCTCACTTGATCCATCCAGTCGATTTACCAATAAAATCTACAAATGCAAATGTTTAATGATTTAAATTTACTTGGTCAAGGATCACAAAAATGTTCATTTGGATAAGACTGAACTGCATGATTATGTACAAAAAGCAGTGCTGTAGAAGTTGGAGCGCTCGGGGGAGAAGCCCCCCTTCTACCTTTGAAATGGGTAATTTTTCATAATTTCATGGTTTCAGTTTTGTCAAGAGAGCCCCCCATCTGATAAATTTAGTTCTACAGCACTGATAAAAAGGTATATTTCTCTAATGTAAACCATAATAAAGTATATTTTAACAAGGAAACATATTCATCTATTTTTTGGAGACAATAGTTACTAGTCCAAAGTATACTCCAATATTTTGATATTATTGTCATTGTCTTACTCTACTTTGGTCATAATGATTATGATACAAAGAAAGAATATTCTAACCTCAAAAACTAACAAAGGTATGACAACAGCCAATGAAATTGTCACCATTGTTAAATGATTTTGTTTTTGAGCGGAAGATACAATATCAGATCTTAGAAATAGCAAAGACCAAATGATGTAATACACAACCAATAAACACAAAAAAGACATGACAATCCATGTGGGAACAAATACTACCTAAAGAAATAAAAATACATTACTAGCACAACAGTGCAAAATGAAAGCTGTAAATGATATTGAATATCTAAATACACTAGCATTACTTAACACAAACATATTGAAATGATATAATTTGTATTTATGCTGCAAAATTATTCTGAGTTTACTTAGAAAATCAATTAGCATTTACATCATTTGTATGAAATTTTAAAATACATAAAAGGCAGTAATAAGAAAAGTTACACTATAAAATGTATAAAATAAAGCAAATTTTGTTCTTTTCACATGGACCAGAGAGCATATTATTTTGGTAAAGCGTAAAATCATCCTTGCATTTTCTACCACTACCATTTAATTTTATAACACACACATTTGTTATGTTTGTAAGTTAAAGAAAATTCATAGATGGCTATACAGCCCAAACTCACTCACAGTAAGTAGAAATGGAAAGTCTAGAATTGAAATGAGCTAGGTGTCAGTTTGAAATAATAACTAGATATTGTATCTATTGACGTTTCCTTATTTCAAATATTATCTAAATAACAGTTTCAGCTTACCGCCCATGACCAATTGACAACATTGTCCAGTTTCAGAGAAAGGAAAATGAACTGTAGAATATTTACGGCAAAAAACATCTCAAACTAAACAATTAATAAATACAAATTTAATCAAAAAATCCTCAAAATGGTTTTAATAGTCTTTCATATTGCATATTATCAATGAGGAATGTTTTTCAAAGCAAACTATGAACAACAAAAAGGATACAAATAAGGTCACACTTAATAAATATAACATAAGAATTATTTTACCTCAACTGAGCGATCATTTCTTAGTCCCCAAACACAAAATATTACAGATAGTGGTGAAATTATGTATATTGGTGTAAATGCCCAAGTCCATCTGTACATTGCTTCATGAATATTATTACACAGTAGGATTTCAGAAAACATTAACAAAATATGGATTATAAAAGATAAAATCATTGCTTTAAATTCAACATCTCCATCTCCATCTTGCCTATGAAAATAAATCATTTTAAGTTTTGCAGTTCAAACAGAATGCATAGACATAAAGTGAAAAATGTGTTGAACTATATTAAATTATGAACCTGTATTGAGGATTGTTTAACCAAACAACAATTCCAGAAACTCCAGCAATAAGAGTAATAAGTTTCCATAACCATATTGGTAAGAATACTGCCCAATAACTCCAGGTTATTGAACCATCGAGACGTAATGATAGAAGAACAGAAAACCAAATCAGAAGGAAAAAGAGCATAAATTTGCTAAAAATTATGAATAAATTTAAGGCTCATCATTTAATTAATATTGAAAACTTTGAATGAACAAGTTGCTAAGTATAAATTTGTTGAGTCAGTACCACAAATGTACGAGAAACGAGGCATAAATATTAGCACATTTTCCCAACAAATTTAGAGTCCTTAGGCTTTTAAATTTTTCAAATTGCCTTTCTAATCGTCAAACTTTTTTTAAAAAAAACCTTATAACTACAAATATAAGAAAAAACAAGTTGGTAGAAGCATGTCACTATTATTTAGAAGAAAACAAAACGGTGGTTTTTTATCACACACTACTAACCTAGGATTGAACTCTTGAAATAAACTTCGGGAATTCATGTCTTCAATTTCACCCTTTTACAAAGAACCACAACCATTATAAGAGCGATAGTTACTCTGTTTCACTGAACGGATTTTAACATAGCAATTAAATTATAAAGGTTTTCAAAAAAACATAATTTCCAGCTGGGAATTTATTGTAAGTTCCACACAACTTTTAAAAATATGTAAATATTTATAACCACAGACACTGAGCTAAAAATCTCAAACTGGATAACTATCGTAAGGTAGATTTTGAATATGTAGGAAGTTTTAGGCAGGGCACCACCAAATTTAAAATTTTATTTACAGTTGAAGCAGTTATATATTGAACATTATTGATAATATTGCCTTTTTACCGTGCAGTAGCAATTTAAGTATTCAGTGTAGGGTAGTTTTATAAGGAATATTCCAATATTTATAAGATGGATTTGTAAACAAAGTCTTTGAGTGGCAAGAGTAGGTACTTTAAAATATGAGGGCTCTACACTGGTTGCACAATGCTAAGTAATAATTCACCAAGTTTGTTTTGACATGTCATGGTTGTATGGTTGCACAACTATCTTTGCTATCAAGATAAAATTGTGATAAAGTTAAAGATGGTCAATAGTGCAATATCCTATATTCTTTAATGTTTAATTACTATAGACAATAAACAAGCTCAAAGTTGTCCACAACTATATCCAGTATTTTGGTAAGTGTAGCTATAAGAATGATGCAAATAATACCTTATAAAGTACAATGACTGAGATGATATCTCTGCCAGGTACAATATCACAGTCATCACATTAAACATAGACATTTAGGGAAATAAAATCAGTAAAATTCTTAAATGCAAATATCAGTGAATAATCATGATTTTTCAGTAAAATCCACACACATACATATATACATCATACATAGAGATATAAACAGGTCCAGCAGTAGAATTGGAATTTACATTGAGTCAAAACAACTGAGCTAGTTTAAAACAACTATTTACTATCGTGGAAATAAATATATTATTTGTTCAGTTTGAGGTATGTAATCAACCAAAAATAATTGAAGATCCTCCACCAGGAGCCTTCAAAACTTTTGAGGATGTGTGCACGGGAGATGTGCTCGCTGTGTCAAAAATATGCGATTCCTGACGCTTTGCTTGACATGGATTCACTTGAACATTACTTTTCACAGAATCAAATACATGAGATTCTTGTCTTGCAGCCTGACATGTATTCACTGGTTTAGATTGTATTTCAGAACCAGAGCTTGCACCAAATAAATTGATATTAGATTTTCCACCGGGAGGTGCAAGTACTCTAAAATAGCAAATACTTCAAATTTCAATCGTGAATACAAAGAATATGTGACACGTTCACATTTTTCATTTGCTGATCAAACGTGAATTTTACATGTTGTTTTCAGAAATTGTTAAGTTCTTTCAAACAAATTTTTGTTTCAGTAAAAACATTGATCATTTCAAAGTTTAATTAAATATTTGTTGTGATCGCGATCGATAATCCAAGCCCTAACTTCTAGAGGTTTAACTTCTTTGTTAGATTTCATTGTCTTGTGAACTGTGACGTCAAAAAATATACTTTTAAACTTTACAAACATACCGTTTCATAGATGCCGTTCTTGGATAACACAAACTACATTTAAAATCTACCACCTAACTTAATAGCGATAACGAAACTTGCCAAGCGAGTTAACCACATCATAAATAAATTCAAAAACTTTATCGTTGAATTACCTAGAAGTATTGCGATCAACACTTTCGGCTCCACAGAAATTACGAACAGTAGTCATCGTTAATGTATTTTATCGAGGAAAATCTTGCAAAAAATCTTGTTGGCTTCTCTAAACTCTACTTCTAAAGTGGCGACCGTTGAAGAACACAATCAATAATTTATTTGAAATATTTCAAACCGCCCACTACAGTATCTCTGATAAAAAAATAAGGATGATTTGATTGGTCAGATGTGTCCAATAGTTTGCATATAATGATTTAATTGGTCCATCAAAAGATTTAAATTAACGGAAAGACAAAACACGCGTTCCGGTATCCGGTAATAAACGCATTCATTTGAAAATTACCGATCAGTCTTCGGTTGCTGTTTGTAAATTATGCATCATCGAAAATATAACTATTTTTGACTTGTGAATGATAAATTTTTCAACAGGTTGTCGATAGAAAAAATGCGTTTAATTATGTGTGAATTTACATGAAGTATTGAAATATAGTTTATAGACTATTTTTTATATTATAAACTATACATTTTATATATTATAAAAAGTTCTTTAAGTTCTTTACACATGAAAAATCGTCTTTTTCTTAAATTACACATCATATTGATAAAATTTACTCATTGCAATAAATTATCAAACTACTCATGATTTACAGAAACTGTTGCTATACATTCATAAAATCCATCATCCTCTTTCATTCCTTGCATTGAACATAAATATAAATTCTTTATTGTTTCCTCACCAAAGATAGAGTTAATCCATGGTAAATAAAGATGACGATTAACTTTTCTGATTCCTGATTTTTCAAAGATTTCTTTTTTGACAGTTTCAACAATGTTAAATGTGGATAATATTCTTTTCCACATTGATAAACAGCTCATTCTTCTCAAAGCTCTGAGTTATTATGCTGTTAATCTTTCTCAAACATTCAATTTGTTCTTTTGTTTTAATATCGGCAAAAATTACTTTGTTTCCAAAGTTTCCTACTCCACAAAATGTTAGTTTAAAGTCAACATTTTTAAGGGCAGTTATTATGTCTTTGCTACACTCCTCCAGTGCATTATGGGCAATGTTCAATTGAGTTGCATCTAAATACATTACTGCTATAGTTATGTGAAGGGTAGATGGTGATATCAATGCCGCTTTCAATTTACTATTTTCTTTTATCAAATCATTTTGAAAGGTTTTAACAACTTCGTGTATTTTGTCATCAGATATACGTAAAGCAATAAAATAATTTGGCCTTTTCTTTTTTATTTCTAATTTACCAGTTGTTCCTTCAAAACTAGAAAATCCCTCACTAATCAATTGTCTTTTTCTGTTTCTTTTCTTATTTCCCTTTTCATTATTATCCTCTTCATTAAATAACCATTTCAAACCAAATGATTCAGATGAGCAGACACTGTCACTATCTTCGCTTTGAATTACATCTTTCACAAAATTTGCATCTTCTGAAGATATGGAATTCATGGATATTCGTAAAAAGTTCGGTAAAAGCGAGTAGATTTAGAATTTTAATTTCTTTAACAAGTGACCAAATACCAAGAATCCAAGATTCCTCAAGATTTTTCACTCTATGATGATCCTTGATCACCTCCCCTCCTTACATTCCCATATTCATTACTATTATATTTTAATACCCCCCTGAATTATTCCAATATGGCGGACATACAAAATAACGTTAAATGCAAAATCAACTATAAAATTGATATTGATCTAAGAAAAGTATATTCTATCATGATTTTTATAATTCATATAGAAAATAAACGTATAATTTAATGTTATGTTTTTATAATTTCTTAGCGTATTTGTGAGAATGCATTGCAAAACGGAGAAGATATTTTGGGCATTTTAATTGGAGATGGAAATGAAGAGTTCGGTTACGTTGTGGGCTGTGTAAGAAGCTATCAAAATGCGATATTATCATGCGAAGGAAAGTCTTTTGCTAAACTAGACTGGGTTAAAGAATTATCTGAAATATGTACGTTGATGCCAACAGGTATTTCATGACTATAGATCTAAATTAATGTCTTTATGAAATAAACTCTTGAAACTTGTAAATTGTGAATCACTCCCTGTCATATAACTCATATTCACTGGTCAGTACAAACAGTTGTGTACGCAATATGTGAAACAATGATCAATTTGAATGTTGGTTAAACCTGAAATATGAATAAGCCTTAAATGTTTTTCAAAAATACCACTGACTCCTGAAACTCATTTGTATCACAAAATTCATTTTTAGGAATGAAAATTTGTGGTGTGTGTATTGTGTCCAATTTGGTTTTTTCTTCAATTAAAGAACTATATTCTGATGTGCAACTCTGTAAGGTAGATGTTTTTTCTTGGCAAATTCTCTTGAAGTGTGTAAAAACCACATTTTCTTGACTAGTAAACATTTTTTATTGTTGTTTAGCATGAGATATTTTTTGAGCAACAGTTAGTGTGGAGGATACAACCAGAAATGGAGTTTAAAGAAAAGGAAGCATTAGTATATTATCTTTCATCAAATGTTGTTGAAGAAACACCAATCATGTTTGATAATATTTACAATGAATTTCTATCAACGCATCTTACTTTACGTTTATATCACCCAATTAAAATAATGTGTGAGAAACCAATGATGGTATGGGGAAGTATATTTTATCATATGTTTCTATTGGTTAGTTAACAGCCAATCCTAAACCTTTGATCTATTTGAAATTAGTGAAACCACTTAATCCAGGTTATAGCATGAAACATTTGAACTAATGTGATCAAAACACATCATCATATGAGTTAAAACCTTAAAAACTTTTTTTATTTTTCATTTAAAACTATCATGCTTAAACAACGATGACATTTCTGCATAATGTAATTTCTTTGTGCAAAATTAATTAGTTGGGCTTCAGATTTTTTCCTCACAGCATCCTTGTTGTAGGCACATTCCTAAATTTCTTTGAAATGAAATCATTGTTTATCACTAGAACTCAATCATAGTTGTTAGGAAAATTCCCTTTACAAATCGTTTAAAATGTTGAGATATACTTATTTTTTGCTGCACTGAACAGTCACCCCATAATATGACCGTAAAATTTTGTTTTTCTATGTCTGTTTTTTAGGTATAGTTTTGAATTTAACAAAGAAAGCGACTCACTTCTGTAGTAAATTAAACAATGCAACATTTTATCTCCACGAGTGTCAAATGTTACTAAGTGATGATGTAACAAGTGAGAGTTGCAGTTGTCTGCTTGAGGGAGTATGAAATGTAATCAAAGTTACAAGAGAAAACAAAAGGTTTGCTGTATTATAAAAGAGAATGTATTAATTCAATAACAAGGGACAATCGTGATTTATAATATTTGGAAATTGTTTTCATCCATCATTTATTAAAATTAATAGGATGTATTGAATGTGGAGATTGTTCAACCATTGTCAAAAAATAACATTTTAAAGAATCATTCCCCAGTTATATGTTATCAAAAAGGTATTTCTCTTTTTCATCAAACTTATACTATTATACATGATTTTCTTAAGGTAAAACGCTATGTTTTGAAATTTATGTTGTGATTTGAATTGCCAAACTCTGATTTTTTACAGATGAGAAAAATTATCAAACATTTAAGATTGTTGCGGACGTCATTGTCATGGTTGATTTAAACAAAAGTTTATCGGCTCTCAGACATTTATTGATCCGTGGACTAAAAGATCAAATACAAGCTATTTTATCGTGCGTTGATAGATTTTCGGAAGTGAGCAAGTTTTTAAAATATACATGCATTGCAATATAAGTAATTTTAATCAAGTTAACCAGCAGTCTATTGTCACAATGAATCATTTATTTCTGTCTATGGTATCTTCTTGTCTCTAACTAACTTTATGAAGTATTTAATATTTCCATACACCTCATTCTTAGTCTTCCCTCAGGTCTATTACCTGCAAGTTTTAAACTCAACATCATTCTTTTTATACAATCATTTTTCCTTTTCTGTATTTAACTTAGCTATGTAAGCCTGATGTTTATAACATTAAAATGTGCCGTAGATATACTTGTTACCAGTCATTACTGGATTTTTGTGAACCCACATTACCAGCATTAAGTTTTGGATTTGTTAAAACAAAAATTATTCGTGAATTATTACGTTGGTTTTTACTGCAGTTTTCAATGTTATACCGCGAATCGTTGTAGGATTCTGACTTCTGCATTCCGAAAATATTCCATTTTCAAACGCCAGCATCACCTTGTCTGTCAACTTGTTTATACCCATGGAAAAAATGCAACGGAGAAATTGTTGATGTTTCTAGTTATGGTTTGTATTCTTTAATTAATGATTTTGTAGATTTAGTCTATTTTACAAAAAGGAATTACGTGAAATATTTTTTTACATAGAAAACGAAAGGAAAAGTGTTCTGAAGAAATTATTTCTTTCCATACGACGACCATTTGTACATCCAAATAATGTGTACAGATTTCAAAACAGTCCAAAAGGTGATCTTGAAGTTAATCTGTAAAAATATTCTAGCCATTTTGCGTCAATACAGTTAAATAAAACGATATTATTTTACATTTTAGTTTCCCCCTACTTGTTGAGTCCTCATTTACAGCTTTCAAGTCCTACAGGTAGGAGAGAAATTGAAGTCAAACTGCTCTTTAAACTGATCTTTTTACCTTAAGATTGTAATGATAGAAATATTTTAGGTGATGACTCATACATTGCGGTTGTTCAAGGAAACTATTCTTATCATCATTACATGCAGGATAATTTTGACGACAATGTTAGTACAATATTAACATTTATTCTCTCTCAAACCAATTTGAATTGTCTCTGAGGGTTTAAATATTCCTTTATAATATACGTTGATGTTATAACAACACTGAGTTTTGATTGTTTATTCCATATTGGGTGAATCAGATGATAAAGATGTAAACATTAATTATTCGTTCATAGATTTATCATGATCAAACCTTGATCGTATATACCGAACCCTTTAAACCTCATTTAATTTGGATTTTATCTGTTTGACTGTAATTCGAGTGTATCGATAGAAGAAAAAGTAATTAATTCATTATTACTGCTGTTTTATTCAGAAATGGGGATGTGCTTATCGTTCTTTTCAAACCATCTTTTCCTGGTTTCGTCATCAAGGCTATACAGAGACCTCGGTACCAGATCATCGCTCAATACAAGAAGCTCTGGTCAAACTTGGCGACAAACCTAAATCTTTTATTGGTTCTAAGAAATGGATTGGATCATTCGAAGTTAATCTTTGCTTGGATTACTTTTTGAACGTTAGCTCCAAAATAATGACCGTTAACACTGGTGCCGAGTTAGCTGGCAAAGGAAGGGAATTAATACGTCATTTTGAAACTCAGGGAACCCCAGTAATGATTGGTGAGCTTGTAAATTTTGTCCATGTGAACTAGAAAATCTTACAGTTGTAAAAACCATCGTCAGAGGATGAGATTATGAATTCTTCGACGATGTTACATATTTTCATCACTTTATATTTAGGTGGTGGTGTACTTGCTCATACAATCGTTGGTGTTTGTTTTAATGATAAAACTGGAATAATTAAGTAAATAATTCTGCTTTCTTTTTTTGGAATGTCGACATAACTGATACTGATATATGATTTTATTTCGTAGATTTCTAATCGTCGATCCTCATTACACAGGCGGAGAAGATATAAATATAATTATTGATAAGGTAGGAAAAGAGAAACAGTCAAAGTTAGGATTTATCTATATTGAAATGCCCAGGATTAAACATTTTTTATTCAATTGTGGTGTTTACGTAAAATTCGTCTAAAGTGAATATCTAATTTCTTTCAATAATACGTTGTTTTTCATTATGCATGTTTCTCATGCTTAAGTCATTCCATTTTTTTCTAAGGGTTGGTGTGGCTGGAAAAGTGATAAGTTTTGGAATCAACAAGCTCACTACAATCTTTGTATGCCACAAAGACCAGAAAAAGTATAAACCACCAAACTGACTCCTGTTGACTTAAAAACGTTTGGTAGTTATCAAATATACAGGGCCAAATATAATATAAATAAAATACTAACACTACACTAAATATATACTTTTCAATAGTTTATTAATTACATATTGTTCAGTTCCTTTCATTAGGTTTCAATTAAAAACATAATTAATTTACAGCTGTTTAAGGAGAGATGTTATGCTATGATTATTCACGCTCACTTTTGTCAAAATTCAATGATTGAAACGGATTGTGTAGAATTTTTTCAACCGACTCGGCAATTCTTTCAAGACAATAAGCGTCCAGGCCTTCAAACAAGTTCACTGAATCAAAATCTGGAGGTTGCATAAAATAATGAGGTAAGTATTCAGATTGCAGGAAACTCAACAAACTTTCCAAGAAATCGGTAAAACGTGCAGAAATATTTTCACTAGCCCATTCTTTCACGTCGCTAACACGATGTGTCACATGAAACAAGACATGCTTTAGATGATAGTATGAAAGCATGCGCAGTCCGCTTTGACTATCTCTGATTTCTGTGAATATCCGTAGTAACTGGATTTGACAACCAGGCCCTGAAAATGATCGAATTCTATTTTTTTCTGCAACAAAATAAGACCATTTCCAAACCATTTTGATTTTTCTCGATGAAGCATTAATGTACGGTTTACACACAACATGCGATGTACTGGGACAATCTTGTCTCGAAGGGTCCATTCGTGAATCAGGCAATACAAACGCCGGCAGGAGGTTAATAATCATCAATTATTAATTACCAATTTTATTTCTTCTCCATCTTTCATAACTATACTTCTAAGGTCGTTGGGAATCTTTTCGTGAGCACCACTTTTAATATAACAATTAAAAACTTTAACAGATTTCCATACATAGAAGCGTAGTAATCTACAAATTTTATCTGCAGAGAGAAAACCGTTTTTTGATAGACAATCTTTCCACATTGTACTAGAGTCTGGTAACAAATTCAAGTTTTCATGTGTTGTCTTGAAAAGCACAGGGCAACTCTTTCCTAAAGATAACTGGATCAATATATCTAAATGAATTAATTGCTCTGCATGTAATCCGTTACAAGGAATGCCCTGGCTTACGACACTTTTTTCTCGAAAACGATTATCTGCCGTTTGAATCTTCTTGAATATTTTATCAATGACAGACTGCGCAATTCTTTCACAAATTTCCCTTCTTTCGACACCTGCACGAACTTGATTTTCATAATATTCATTTAGAGCAACAGCAAGCTGATCTCCGTCAAGTAATGTTTTTCTTGTCTCTGAAGATAAAATATCTTTTTTCTTTCCGGCGTCCAACGTATTTGGCATTGTTGATTACTGGCACAGATGATAGGATATTAAAAATAATTATGTTTGGTTATTTTTCCATAAAATAGCACCGGTGAATTCACGCACGAACTTCTCTAGTTTTGTGTTAAATGATAGACTGAACAATATTCCATGTCAATAAAAATATGCACAGCTTTCATGCTGTTGAAATTGAAGTTGTAATTAGTCTTATTACAACAAACGACATGAAAATCTGTTTCATGAATAAAATACTTCTACTGCCTCTAGCATACAGTGTAAATAACATTGTCTTACATTTAACTAAGTAATATTGAAAACATGCCATAAAATGAACAACATACCTTGTGAAGCAAGTATACACTAAATATACTTGGTTAAGTCAGAGATGATTCAACCATTTATACATTCCAAAATAGAATGGTTTAAATTTTTAACATTCAATTATCCATGTATCATGTCAATTGGCGACTACATACGACTTAAGCATAATTGTTTAGTCCAAATGGTGCGAAAATTTTAATTTTCATCCTGTTTTCGGCTTATTCTTTGTAAATTGTAGCACAATTTAACCCGTTGCGCAGTATGTAAATAAATAAACAGTACGAAAATAAAATCATAATGAAGACAATTTAGCACATGAATCTAATTCAACAGACTCAGAAGCCATTTTACAATGGAAGCATAAAGAAATTGATAATATCGGAGATCGCATGGAATAATTTCATTTAAAACTATCTTTTCCAAAATCTGCGAGCCATTTTTTGGCCGTAAAAAATGATAAAATACTAATTATACCCACATAACTTTTAGTTTATAATAACAACACAAAATAAACGACAAATGACAGGCCTATATTATTAAGGATATACGTTAGATATTCCTAACTCCACATTTTCTTTAAAGGTTTTCATCAGCACAATATATATTGCAGCAATATAATACATAATTTTACAAGAGAAAATCTAATCAAGTTTTTATTCATGTGTTATTTGTGTGCTACATATGCACAGCTTATCAAGAATTCAACCAACTCTGTTCCACAATGGCGTTTACTTTTTTCTCATATTCACGTCGGTTTTCTTGGTAAAGTTGCGCTGCTAAACTATTTGCAGGACTATTAGGATTAGGTTCATCGAGTAAAGACTATGAAATAAGGATGAAAAATTGCAAATTAAACAGTGCACAAATGAACTGTTTTCCTGATATTTAGTCAACATAAGTTCTGTTAAGTCAAAATTTTTCTAAAATTTAAATATTGCTCTGAAGTGCATATTTGTCATGGTAAATGAAAATTGAACAGTTCCTACAAGAACTGTTCAAAACAAAAACAAAGATAGCTATAGAATCAAATGACACGATGCGTTTCGTCAGTTTTGACCACCGGTTTCGACTTTTCGATGAAAACCAAAATTTTACTTTTATTTAATAATGAAGAAGCAAAAGGGATTATGTCTTTAATTTGTCCCTGTCTTAAACATCCCTAGCCGTTTGAGGGTTATGTTATTCTTGCTTGTCTTCATTATAAATAGAAGTAGATTGGTCATTTTTGGTTTTCATCAAGGTAGATGTGGTCCCAGATGAAAAGTCAGTCACAATTATTGGTTTTCAATAGTTCTTTAAGAAATATTCAATTGTTATCACCAAAATAAAATATACATTGCTCAGAAGAGAATCTAAGATGGAAATCACAACCAATTCTTTGTTTCATAATTTCTAAAATTTAATGCAAAATAAGACTCTTATTTTCTTAGTGAGGTTTTCCTCAAAATAACAAGATATTTATTTGCCAATAATGTATTTCATAAAGAGGCAGATTTGTGCTCATGTGATAGAAGGTTTCATCTGCATGTTGTCAAATGTCACCTCAAGACTGATGTGTACAAAGTGTACACTAACTCATTTTAGAGGACAATTACATATCTATTCTACAGAAATATTCAACATTTTCTGCTTGAACCTCCCCGGATAAACCCAGATAACTTGAGGTCATTATAAATCATTGCCATTTTCTGCTTGAACCACCCCCCAAGGTTAAACTCAGATAACTTGAGGGGTCATTATAAATCATTGCCATTTTCTGCTTGAACCACCCCCCGGATAAACCCAGATAACTTGAGGTCATTATAAATCATTGCCATTTTCTGCTTGAACCACCCCCCCATGGTTAAACTCAGATAACTTGAGGTCATTATAATATTCTCTTTTTGATGTGGCAGGCAAAATCCTAGCCTCTCATGTAATCTAATTGCTTTTAGCTACTGAATCTAATAGTTAAATACTTGATTTGTTTTGCTAATTTGCAAATGATTTTGTTTTGCTTTGTTTTGTTTAACAAAAAATTATCCGTCAACTTTCTATTGTATGTAGTAATGTAATTTAAATGAATTTTAAGTTTTCCAAAGTAAAAGGAATTGAACAGGTTTGACTGTTTTCTTTGTTGCCATTAGTAAACCTGAATGTACAATCAATATGACTGTTATTTTTAGCAAATAAATATGTCATTTACTATTTAAGTTTGTCAGGATAGACAAATATCTTCATAAATAAATATTTATATTTCAAAACCTCCAAACCAGTAAATAACATAACTATGTTGGTGTATATATTTCAATAACACTATTTTAAAGCTCAATTTTCAAAGAAGTTCATTTTTAAAAAAATTTATAGCAAGACTATTCTTGCAGGTTAGCAAGTATAAAGCTGACTATTTGTGTCATTCTAACGATGAGCAATTTTTTGTGTACATAGTTTTGATAACTGTTTTATAAACAAAAATTTGTTTTGGTTTATAAAATAACTTATTGAGTCACATCTTTTATTTATATAACACAAAATTTCACCTGTATTGAAGTAAGAATGGCTGATACATCATATGTTGGTGACCATCTATTCTGTAAAATATCTAGACATATTCCACCATCTGCATAAACTGAAAACAAACACATCTCCATAATTATTTAATTCCCAATCTTGTAAAAGTTTGAGTTTAAATATGTTGGCTTTTCATAACAGTTAAACACTGACTTTTCATAAAAATAGTAAATTTTTAAGACAAGCACTGCATTAGAAAATAGTAATAACTCACCATTAGGATGAAACATTCGTGACAAAAATCTTACAGTTGGTGGTTTATTGGGATATTCCTCCGTGAACTCAATTTGAAGTTTAAATGTTCCTGAAACGATTTGTACTTGTTTTATACAAGACTAACAACTGTGTTATGACAATTCTTTCACATGGATGAGAAAATATCATACAAAAATATCTTACCATCTTCAAAAGGCGTATCTTGTGGCCTGAAATTAAAAAAGATATCCTTGTTCCGTTCGCCGCATCACATGATACTGAAATTATTTTTAACAATACTCACAAAAATTATTACTTACCCGAAAATTACAGCATTCCATATCATTATGTTATTTTCTGATGGTGCTCCACTCACTCCCGCTGGAGGATCTTCTTGTAATCTACAGAAATTAAACTTAGTAAACGTCGGTAAAACCCTTACATAAACAAACATGGCGGCCTTGAGAGCAAAGATTGTAAACATAAGAACAGAAATCGAAAATTTACTTCGTAATTCCAGTTTTATGACCAAATTAGTATATAAATACTAAAACATACCTTTTAAAATCTCTCATCAAACGTCTCCTAGCGGGAGTAGACATTTTAAAATGATTTTTCGGTAATTTTACCGGCTGTCTTTCACCTTCTATTTAACTTTGGCAGTTTCAGTCCTCTCTCACAAGTCATGACGTAGCAATTCCCAGTTCTCCTCATATTTGTTCACTGCGCAACTCGAGCACATTCCTGTCTAATGTAGATGCTGTGGATTTCCTGTCGATGAGTAAATTATAAAATCAGGCAATCTTCACATTTATATGTTTCAAAAATCTTCATTATCAATGTTTTGAAAGAGAAAGAAAGGCTTTGCTTAAGAAAGTTAAGCTTATTGAAAGAAAGAATCTATTCGTTCGCATAGCGGGAAAATGTCTTTAATTGATCAAACAAAAATAAATGTATATTGAATAATAGTTATGTAAAAAAAACATTCATCAGAGTTACAGGAATACGTTAAGGCAACTATTTATAAAGATTTAAATTCATCTAACAAAGCTTCCGCTTCGTCTTCTTCTTTATTTTTTGAAGAGATTGATTCTGCTCCGGGCAGTTTTACTGCGCCAGGAGCGGGTTTCTTTTCGTTAATTTCAGAAGATGTTTTCTCTTCAGACATTTTATTAGCTTTTGATTCTTCGTCTTTCAATAATTCCTGTACTGAAATATTCGATCTTGTTCCAAAACGTTGAAAGGTACCAGGTGTCTGACGATCTGGAACAACAAAAATTAAAATCATTTTTATTTTGCGATAAAAGAAATAATTTTTCATTCTTTAATGAATTTTACTTCTATGATTTTTCTTTTTCCTTGCTGGTCTCGATGGATCTCGAAATGCACTTCCTGTTTTCAAAGCCTCCATTAAACCATCAAGAACACCTTCCTGTGTTTCTGAAGACATGTCAACTAAATTTTTACTACGGTTGGCTTTTTCTGCTTCAAGTCTTTTCTTACGTTCCTTTTCTTGTTCCTAGAAATGATAAAAATTCCAGAAAGTTTTTAATACAATTTGAAGCACGATTTTAAAGTAAAGTGAAGTATATGAAGTTTATAACAGTTGAAATAATTAACCGCTCTATCTTTTGCTTTTCTTTCCTTTTCTTCGCGTTCTTTTCTTTTCATGTTGTCTTTTTTTGCGTTTTCATATTGTTGTAAAAATGAACTTAAATCACCAAAGAAATCTTCTAATTGTGTTTTCTTCAAATCAAAGCAATAATATTCCGATAATTCTTTAAACAAATTTGTCATGTTGTTGAACATTTCCATTATAAGGTCACATTGGTCTTTCGCATAAGCATGAAACTCCGACATTACAACTTGAAATTTATCCTCGGGGTCATCACTTTCTTTGCTATGTTCTAACTCGCGTCCTAATTTCAAGATATTTGTTTCCATTGTTTTGGTTGCTTTTTGTAAGACGTCTTGTGAAACTATAAAAAATGAACATAAAATTCACGACATGTACGAGAGTCACGTTTAGGTCACATTAATGATTTAACAGAAATGATTACATTAACGGCAATGATTGGAACAAAAATCAATAGATCACGTGATTGGACCAGCAATAGTAGTTGGATCAAAATTCAACCGAAGCGATTGAATCATGATTAATGATTAATAATTTGATCAAGAGGTTGAATATTAAGTTTGCTAAAATCCATACCAATGATTGCACTACAGTTGAAATAATACAAAACAATGAAAAAATTTCAGTGTTTTCACGCTCATCGTAGCTATAAATGCTTAAATAATCGTAAAGAACTTTAAACACCAAAACTCCTCCATAACCACGAATGCAAGAGGTTTTCATTCCTGTTTTACTTCGGATTTTTACACACAAACATTGTCAATTTGCTCTCTGACAAAAATATGTATTACATAGAGTTTATCGTTCCCACTTATAATCTTCATACTTCCTAATCCTGATCTAATAGAGGCTGCCTTAAGATTAATAATAATCTTTGATACCTCGAGATGCTGCCTCAACATGACTGATTTCTGTTTCAAAACCAGCAACGTCTGGGTAATTGGATGATACAACTTCTTCCAAAAAATGCAATAAAGTTAATTTACCATCCACAGACTTTGTTGAACTTAGCTAAAAAAAAACCAACAATAAATCATCACAATCCATAGAACTCCTACAAAAACCAAAAGTACTCCTAAACGTCAAGTACCACAATATTACAATTGGACTTGGCATAATGGTTTTTTGCTGTTCTTTCATTCTGTTGATCTATTTTACCTGAATGTTCCTTACGAAAAAAACGAAAGCAAAATCCATCATGACATGAACATGTCGTGTGCCTTACTGTATCAAAGTGATGTATCAAAGTGATGTATCAAAGTGATGTATCAAAGTGATGTATCAAAGTGATGTATCAAAGTGATGTATCAAAGTGATGTATCTCAGGATATAATAAATCATGTACCTTACTGTATTGCAGTGTATGATACTATCATACCTTGGTTAAGAAGGTCATTTCAAAACCAATAGTTTGTTCATTCTTTGAGCCAGCGTTCATATAATTTCCCACCATTAAAACAACCTTAATTGAAAGCAAATTTGTTATTCTCAAACACACGTAGGTATGGAAAGTCAAAATACAATTTACCTCTAAGAACTTGGCAAACTTTTTACTCGAGCGAACTTCCTGACAAGCACAAGTAGCGCTAACAATATTCTAAAAAAAGACAAAAGAAAAATGTTACACAATAAAGATGAGATGTCAATACATTCAATACATTCTCATTAAGTAAATAAACCACAAATGAACTTACTGGTTTAACATCTTGAAGATCTTCGGGAAATTTTTTCTTAACTAGCAAAAGTTTTAACCTTGACTCAAGTTTCTTGATATCACTGATCTAGAACAATTGTGTGAATTTAAGGCACAAAATTGCTGAATCTTGTACATAAACAATAAATTATACATACTACACATCCAAATTGTTCAGCTTCACTAAGTTCTCCATATTTATCCTTCATTTCGCCAAGTTTCTTTAACTGAACAAAAAGAAACGTTGGTGTAGAACAAAAACAAAAAACAAAACAGACATGCTGTAATTTAATAAACGTTGATTCATACTTGTTTCCACTTGCCACAACGCATTAAAAATAATAAAAAAAACATACATCATTCGGAGAAGGGAGATATCTCAGCAAAGATTCAATTGCACTTTCTTTCAAATTCTCATCACAGTTCAATATCATTTTTCTCATGTTTTCAAAAGATGTCTTCTGTGAGCCCAAAAATATGGCTATAACACAGAGAGATCATTTTACAATAGAATAAAAAATATTCATTTTTTAAGATGGTGTCAATTGTTTGGTATTTTACTTGAAAGCAAAAACTTGTCACACAAATGGAAGTGGGGATGAAAGACAATAAAAATTCTTACATAAATTCTGAGCACTTTTGCATCAAGAACCTTTAGCGCCTTTGTCTTTTTTTTGCTAATTTTTATGGGAGTGTTTCCACTTTCATCTTTATCTTTCGTTTTTGTTATAACCTTGGCAGCAAACGTCTTTGATAAAGCTTCAAATACTTCGTTTTTTTCAAATTGATCTTCTTTAGCTTTGGCCCAAAAGGAATTCGCTTTAATGTTGTTATTCTTTATCTAAAAAGATCATTTTTCAATACAATTTATGATTATGTAAAGACATTTAAAAATAACATCGTAACAACAAATACTCAATACAACATATAAGATATCTAAGGCTACAGAGAAATTGTTATAATTTTTTATATCTTTTCTCAGCTACCAAAGTCAGGAAATACGATTGTCATAATACCAAAATCTTATAAATATTAAAACTTTCTGTAAAATTTTGTTAATACTGCAGAGTTTCTCTCTTTAAAAAATTTCAAGCATATACTTAATGTTAAACATTAATACTTCGAGTAAAATATTAACTGTAGTTAAGCTAAAATTCTATAAATAATCATTCAATACTTCGCCTTAATTCCACTACTCACCCTTCAATACCAATCTTCAAAAGATTTCTAACTTTTTAATCCTAACCTTAGTCCAGTTAGCTCGCTTGGTTTGGACTTCAGGTGTGTATTTCTTTTTGGGTTCAACACCAGGTGGTAACTGAGGACCACGATTAAACATTGGCATTCCTGGAGGAGGTGGTGGACCTGCACCTGGCACAGGTGGTGGTGGAGGTGGTCCACCACCAGGTGGAGGGGGTGGGGGTGGAACACCACCAGGTGGAGGGGGTGGGGGTGGAACACCACCTGGTGGAGGGGGCGGGGGAGGCACACCACTTGGAGGTGGTGGTGGAACTCCACCTGGAGGAGGTGGCGGGGGAGGTATCCCACCAGGAAGAGGTGGGGGTGGTGGCACACCACCTGGAGGAGGGGTGGTGGCACACCACCTGGAAGAGGTGGGGGTGGTGGCACACCACCTGGAGGAAGAGGGGGAGGAGGAATTACTCCTGCAGGTGTTGCAGGTGTACTAGGTACTAAAAACATAAGAAATTCATCTGAGAGTTCCACATTGAAAAGAAAATATTCTCTTAACAAATAAATAAATTAAGTAACAAATTATGTTGAATATGATTTTCAAAAACCTTGCTTAAAAAGTCTGATGGTTTGTGTAAATTAAAATGTTTCATTTACAAAAATCTTACCGGTAGATGCCACTACAGGTCTCTGAAAATATAAATACACCACGCAAAGAATAAATTATAGAAAGAAATTAAAATTTATCAGTTATTTAATACAAATTACAACTGCAACTCACCGCTTTTAAATCGGAATTTTCCTTTTCAAGAAAAGCAACTTTCTTCTCAAAGTTACTTGTAGCTAGATTGAATTTTGCTTCTGCCTCTTGACGCATTGTCGTTTCCACCTCAAGCTAAATGAAAAATATTTCAAATGAAACTTATTTTGTTCATGAAATAATTCAGTCTTATTGTTCTTAAAGATGTTGGCAATTTATCGCAAGACTATAAACTACTAAAAATTTTAGCAGCTTCAGACTTCAGATTTGAGTTTCAAAATTTCAGAATCAAAGAATGCAATAACGTTAAATAAAAAACATGAATGGTAAATTGAATGTATTTGGTCCATTTCAAAAAATGTTCACAGTGAGGAATAAATTATCAATTTTTCAGTGTTATTTATTAAGAAAGTAATCTAATTCAGGAAAGTTTAAATTCCTTTCGTTCAAAAATACTTGTAGATGCGCACCAGCCAAAATATTACTATGTAGTGACAAAAAATATTGAAAATAAAAATGGAAGTCAAATTAACCTTCGTTTCTAGCGATTTGGCTTTTTCTGCAAATTCCACAAGTTTTGCTTGATCAATCATGTTATCTATTATAGTAAAACATTTTATTAAGATAAATTAGCAAACATAATTTCGCATGAAGCATCAATATTAAGATCACTGAGTTTTGGTAAACCCCTGGGTTCAAAGTGTAACCTTGAGTTTTCGTAAGCCCCTGGGTTCTAGTGTAACCACCTTGAGTTTTGGTAAACCCCTGGGTTCTAGTGTAACCACCTTGAGTTTTGGTAAACCCCTGGGTTCTAGTGTAACCTTGAGTTTTGGTAAACCCTGGGTTCTAGTGTAACCTTGAGTTTTGGTAAACCCCTGGGTTCTAGTGTAACCTTGAGTTTTGGTAAACCCCTGGGTTCTAGTGTAACCTTGAGTTTTGGTAAACCCTGGGTTCTAGTGTAACCTTGAGTTTTGGTAAACCCCTGGGTTCTAGTGTAACCTTGAGTTTTGGTAAACCCCTGGGTTCTAGTGTAACCTTGCATTTTGGTAAGCCCCTGGGTTTTAGTTTAACCAAGTGAGATGCAAGCAATGATTCAATGTTGATTAAACTTAGTCATATGCTGTAGAAAAATAAATTTCTAACCTATCACAGTGTCAACATCAATTTGAAATCTTTTTGTCGCAAAGTCAGGATCAACCCCACTCTTGTGTAAAACAATTTGAGAGATGCATTCTTCAATAAGAGAAAAATATTGCGTCCTATGAAAAATAATGATTATTTTAAAAGTTTTGATGAAAAGATGAACCAATTAAATTGCATTTTGTATAGACAAAAAGTAGTGAGGTATACAGAGGATACTATATTGAATATAACCTGGCATAAATATCATCTCTGATAAGGAGCAGATGTTGTAATATTGAAATAAAAGAATTTTCAGATGGACTATCCTTTGTAATACTGTTCAACATCTGAAACAAATCCAATGGCTCTCTACAGTTCAGTCAAGGCCAATATGCCTTGTATTAAGAGTAAATAACATGAACAATTAATGTCATAAAGGATACTCAAAATTCATCTGAATATCAGAAAGTCTTTGACAAAGTTCATTAAAATCATCCTCCTTATGCTCATCAAAGATATCCAGTTGCACATTAAGTTCATCGTTATCAATTGCACGGAGATCCTAAAAAAGTTTTTTATGAAATGAAAGTGTTTTGTGATACAGATGAAAGCATTTCAACATACCTTTAAAACTTCAGTAAAACCATTTCTTAAAAATTCATTCCTCAAATGCAGTCGAAAATCTAAGTCATCTGGTTGACTAACAAGAGCATTGATAAACTGCACACAGGCAATCTAAAATAGCATTATTTAACATAGTTAAATTTTCTAAAAAAAAATTAAGCATTACTCTTGTAGTTATTGGTAGTTAAGCAATAGCAAATGAGATATTCTACAATTCACCCATTTTACCTTCAATAAAACACTTTTGCTATTTTTTAATGCATGCAAAACATGATAAAATCTTCCTCTTTTGCCATTTTCTTCACTTTCACCATAAATGGACATGACCTGTAAGGCTTGAGAGTGACTACAAAATGAAGTATTGAAAAAATTTGTAATCATAATGGATTTACAAAAGATTTACAAAAGCATGGACTTACTCAACTAAACACAATGCAGCCATCAGTTTAACAACATCTGTCTTTATGCTTGTGTCTCCAAGAGTCAGAGACTTTACAAGCAACATTAAACCATCTTCACTTTGCATCACCAATTTCAAACCAAACTAGAAAATATGATTTCAATATAAATTTTAAATAACATTTCATGAAACTATAAAGTTAGCAAACAAACAAATGTAATGAAAGACAATTATCCTGCCTTCATGTTCAACAAAGAAACTCACATTATTATTCATGAACACTTTTAAACATCTGATTATCTCATGTTGTATTTTAAGATGTACTGAACCATGTCTAAAAAAACACATAAAAGTCAAATTTGACATTTTATTCCTACAATGATTTCATCCTGATTTTTATGGCAATCACTTAAAACTTAAACAATTAAAACATTAAATGTTTTATTTTCACCATTGTTCTTCATCTCATGTATTCTCAAAGATGTGTCATGAAATATTAATTCTTTTTCTGAAATCATACTAACTTTGTTCTGTGTTCCCTTAAATGTTTCAACAATAGCTCCATCCCTTCTTTACCAAATTCTTGAATAAATCTAATAAAATATTTCACCTCAGGTTTTGGTTGAGTGGGAAAATATACAAAGATATTTTCAATTCATAGACAAAGCAATTTACCTTAATGGTCTTCCAGTCAAAGAAACACGTGTTGATTGAAGTGATCGTAACAAATGTTCAGATGAAATGTCTGTTTTATGTAATTCATGAACATAATCTGCTGCTGTCTCAAGACCTTTAGATGCCACCTTACATTAAGATGCAAGTTTTAAATAATAAAGTGATGTTTAAAATTTGTACAAATTTCACTCATACTTTCTGCTTAGACATAAATTGCACCAGCATGTCAACTTTAAATTTTTTATCTCTGTTTCTGATTGGAGCTCGATGACCTTCAGACAAATTCATCTCATCCTGTAAAAAGTATTTGCAAATACTTTTCTATATCAAATATCAAAACATTGAAAAAGAACTTTATCCCCTACACAACTGTATTTCTGCAGTAGAATTATAACTATGTATCATACTCAAAGTTTAATACTCAAAGTACTAATTCAGAAAACAGAAATTGAAATAATCATATCCTAATGAGAGCTACATTTGAAAGTTTAGAATTGAGAAAAAACTTTTTGTTCACAAACAAGAAAGATAAACTATAAATTCCATTAATTATAAATATCACAATACAATTTACACTGCTATTTAAATGTAAAAAGTTTTTTTAAAAATTAGTATAAAAAAGGAAGAAGGAATTACAAACCAACATAGCTTCAAATTTTTTATCAAACTCATCACCACCAAGATTGTTAACGTCTTGTCCCAACTTTTCATCGTTTTCTCCTAACTCCTCTCTAACTGTGTAACTGCCGGTATTCGCTTTCTCTGTTTTAGGTTTACTTTTTGTTTTTCGTATTGATGTAAGCCTGTCTAGCTGTAAAAATACAAATAACAGTGCGTCAACTTTATAGAAATATGTCTTTCAAGATAAAGTTAACTGAAGTAAAACCGACTTACAACTGATTTTCCACTATTTTTGTCTCCCATTTTTATGCTTACAAAGATGTGGATCGATTATTGTAGATAGTAAGAGTAATTATCGAGAAAATCTTTTTCGTTAAATAACATAGCTGTCTATTGAAGTCAAACTGTTTAACTATCCTTCCAGCGTAGCTTGATGTGTTGATTGTACGCAAGTCATTTAGTTACATACATTTTCATTAGTTTATTTACTCTTTCTTTACATTATTCAAGAATTTTCCATCCTTCGAATGACCATGACGTCAAAAATTAACATCCCAATTTGTAGCATCTCTTCCCCTCACGAATAAATTCACACATTTCGTAATTATATATAATTTTATTAAGTGATAAAAGGGTTCATTCGCAAAATTCATTGAGTCTTCATTGACACATCGCATCTAGTTTAAAATGAGGTAACATAAAACTCTAGAATATAGAAACACGAATGCGCAAATCTAAAAATATGGATTTGATGTAAGATCTTCGCGCAAAAAACGCAAATAAAAATTATATTTAATTACAAGTATAAAAGTTGAACTGTTGAAGTAAAAAGCGATAAAATACAAATGAATAAACAGATTAATATTAAACACCATTAACTAGTGTTATTAACAACATCTTCACGAGTTTTACGTAAACCATCTGTCTTAGCGTGATCGATTGTTACATAATTTGTCTTTGGGCTTTGGCTTGCCACTCTCTTCGTATCAGTAGAACATACTACTGAAATATCTTGATATTGAAAACGTTTCTAAATGTGAACAATCAACAATTCAAATGGTTGATCATTCCCCAACATAAACTTAATTACGAGAACAAAAATGATCAACATCTCAATTGACAAAATATACTTACTGGAGATTTTTCAGGCGAAGATTGCTTCCCAGTTTGTGAGGAGCTGTCTTGTTCATTTGCTAACGGTGACGACATGTATTCATAGGCTGCATCATCATCTTCATTCTCAGAATAATTTTCTTTTTCTCGCTTTTTATATCGAGTGGAGGAATTTGTTCTTTGAGGACATTCCATAAATAAATAATCCTCGTTGCCAAAATCTACAGGTCTTGAACTTTGACTTCGTTGCACAGTTCTTGGTAACTTTGATGTCTCTCTGAAACTTCTTGCAGGCTTAAGATTGACATATTCGTTCGCCTTTCCTTTGGGTTTAGTAGAGCGATTTACTGTAGGTATGCCAGGTTTGATACTTCTGTCCACTGAGGGTGCAGAATTATCTAAAAATACATGTTATTCAAGGTTGATTTTGATAGTAAATGACGTATTATACCTGTATAAAATGTTATTGTTGTATCGTACCGTGAGAGTTTATAGGTGGAACATCATATACATCTTCATCAAGAACTGCTCCAGAGTCACGTTGTGATTCTCTCACATAACTGGTCTTCACGGGAAATGATAAGTTTACATACATATTTATTTTTGGTTTTGTGTCTCTAGGTACAACAGGAGCATCCACTTCCTCAATATTTTCATTTAAGGGTTTAGGAGCAGGAACAAAATCATATGTTGTAATTCCATCATCAGGTAATGAATGTATTTGTTTATCACGAGATGGCACAATGTCATATACGCTATTTGTGTCATAAACATTCCTTCCTGAAAGTGGTTGATTTTTTTGCCTGTTTTGATGATTTCTCTCTTTGTTTTTTAAATTATGTGACAAGGAAACAGGCGTTGGAACAGTATCGTAATTGGAGTGTGGAACTTTGTGTATTTGATCAGATCCTTCATCGCTACTTGATACAGAAGAACGGTTAGATATGTTATGTATACGGGAATGTAATGGACTTGGACTAACGGAAGGAAGGGTATCATATGTGGATTGATAAGGAGGGGTGTCATATGTGAGTTGATGAGGAGGGATATCATAGGTGGATTGATGAGGAAGGGTGTCATATGTGAGTTGATGAGGAGGAATATCATAGGTGGATTGATGAGGAGGAGTGTCATAGGTGGGTTGATGAGGAGGAGTGTCATAGGTGGGTTGATGAGGAGGAGTGTCATAGGTGGATTGATGAGGAGGAATATCATAGGTAGATTGATGAGGAGGAGTGTCATAGGTGGATTGATGAGGAGGAGTGTCATAGGTGGAATGAAGAGGAAGATTATCATAGGCAGATGGAGATGGCAGGGTATCATATGTGGTTAGATGAGGAGGGATATCATAGGTGGCTGAATGAGGAGGGATATCATAAGTGGTTGGATGAGGAGGGATATCATAGGTGGCTGAATGAGGAGGGTTATCATAAGTGGTTGGATGAGGAGGGATATCATAGGTGGCTGAATGAGGAGGGTTATCATAAGTGGTTGGATGAGGAGGGATATCATAGGTTGTTTCACTTTTTCCTTGCCGTAAAGTAACGTATGGTTGATCAGCACAATGATTTAGAGGTAAAGTATCATAAGGTGGTTGATTTGTGACAGCACAAACATCCAATGGTTGTTTTCTACTCGCTGCAGCATTATCTGACGAAGACCTCTCCAAAGGACACAAATTTTGCTGGGAAACATTTGAAAAATCACCAACATCGTTGGTTGAAGTTACATTTTTGTAAGGATATGGAGCTACTGCCACAAGATTACAATGGTCATTACTGTCATAATCGCGAACAATAATCCCACTATCTGCTCTTTGCATGCGGCTTCCACTATTAGCTGTCGATGCATCATTTAAACCGTTATCTCTGACCAATTGATGTCGGATCACTAAATTCAAAATATAAATAAACCAATTATATTGTCTATAGTATTTGTGTGGGATATTTGTAGTTTTGAACAGACGGTAAAAAAGGAGTTTTAAAACACTTGATTTATTTTAAGAGCTTTTGAGAAGCATAACAAAAGCGATCAATAGAATTTATTCGCCACAAAAAAATTGGACACAAAGCTTTTCTTCTTTGCCAAAATTGTATTCATAGCAAATGATAAAGGATGGATTCCTGGATCCCAGTCCCCAGGATAAGATGCATATTTTCTTATCAAATTTGCACCGAGTCGAAAGCTCAATAAAATAATTTTATAAGAATCCTTTCATTTTAAAATTTCTATAAAAATGCTATAAAAACTTTCATTTTTATAAATTAAACATGCCTGGATTACAAATCTTCAAAATCAATATATATAATATAGATACAATCAATTGATACAAAGTTTGCGACGCACGGTGTGTAACAATGGGGACTAGGGAGAGTTATCGTTTATTCAAACTATTTATATAGCTGAGTGATTTTTTTGGCCGCCCATAGTTAAATCAAAAATTTTCTTAGAAGTTATCTATAAACTAAATAAATTTTAGGCCAAATTAAAATACGTAAAAATGTTACAGGTGACAAAAATTGACAAAGGCAGTGAATGACGAATCCTTCAACGGTTCAAATCCAATAAACTTCTATTCTCTCCGCCATTTCCATTTACACAAACTATCTTTTGCAATACCTGTATTGGTTGTTGTTTCTTCTTCCTCATTGACATTAAATTCACAAAGTTTGCATATTTTTTCAATCCAATCTGTCATTTCATATTCTGTATCAGCAGCAAGAAAGTATGTCCGTCCATCATCTTTCCCATTTATACCTCGAATTTTGATGCTGAATATATACCGAAATTTTTTATCAAATAAATTCGCGTCTAGGTACTCGCAACGGTTTAAATCAATGGTCTTTTTGGGGCGATTGTCACTTCTTTCTTCGAAATATCCCAGAGTTTTATCCTCCCACAAAACAAACCAACGCCTCAACCACTAAAACACAAACATACATCAAGTGAGCATCATATCTTTTAATCATTATAAGATAAGCAACACATGCAAGTAACAAACATTCAAAAATAACTTTTAATCATTCAGTTCAGAATTCTATAAAAAACACGATTGTGGAAAATATTTCAAGAACATATTTCTCTAGTTATATTTCTAGATCAGAGGACTCGTTGTGTTAGGATAATGTTTTCGCTTTAAATGATACGAAATATAGGTGAAAAAATTCATTTTGCTTTATAGAGTAGGGCATAAGGATCTTTGTTCCTAGCAAAGCCATGCAGTGCGCGTTTTGTATTCATTGGTACACTTTGTTTTCTTTGGGCTTCTGCCTTATATCTCTGAGCACTTTAATTAACACATCTGTGTTTAATATTCCCCGGCGTTTATAATTTTTATAATTTTTATGGTTAACAAATTGTACGAAAACAACAAGTCTGATAAACTTACAGTTCTTAGTAATATTCAATACATTGTATGTTCTGGAAATAAATAATCATGTAGTGAATGATATCATGTAAGTTACGATGCAACACAGATCAATAAAATCGAAAACATCCATATGCTCGTAATTGGCTTTAAAGTTTAATTGTGAGGCCAAAAACAGAAGAAATTTTTCTGAAGTTTGGTGTTTTGGTGAAAATGATATGGACGAGTAATCTCAAGAGAACATTGGAATGGTGTTTGCATAATTTATGTTAATTGCTAAGGTGCGGTAATATGCACATGCACACTTAAAGTTGGATAATGACAATTTTTGAAAAAAGCATTTTGAAATTGCCGAGCCAAGTGTATTTGTCAATGTCTCTTAGAAATACTATCACACACACTTAATTCAACTTTCACAAGTGTCTATTGCAATATAATCATCAGAAAGCACATGTTGTCTATATTGATAACACGACGAAAGGACAGGAAATGGATGTGATGCCTTTTTTGGACAATCGAAACATTCAATAATGTAAAAACTATTGTCTTCCGTCGGCGTAAGCAATACAGACATATTTAGTTGTTTAGAGCCCACTAAAATGCGATTTAATTATAATTAATTATAGCCAAAAAGTTCAACAAGCAATTTAAAATTAACAAAAACATTAAACAAGTTTATACTGTAGCTTGGAAAGTTATGAAATAATCTGATAAATGTACCACTGACGTCGACTGACAATATGTCAATATCAGTTATTAGCTGGTTCTACTTGATATTCATAGAAACTAACTACACCAAGGCAAATCTATCGATAATAGTAGCAAAAAGTTCATAATTTTAGAAGTTTCATTATTTGAAGTAAATTACAAATTCAATGACATTCGTGGAAAAAACACACACAAAAAGCCCCTATCTCACAGGAAAATGATGTAATTGTGTTTAGATATTCAATTAGCTCCGCTTTGATATAAATAAATGCAGTTAACGCAAAAATAAAATGTCTCAAAGTAGCAGTAATATATAATTCTAAAGTAGCTGATTACAGGATTAATGCTGAAATATAAGTTAATTATTGATTACAGGATTACAAATTTTGTAATTATTTAAGGAAAGTAAAAGCGCAATGATAACAATCAATTTTACATCATATTACAATCAAGTTGTCCCTTAAATAAATCAAAATAAAACACACGTAGAAGAATGATTAATATTGGCTTAATATGGTCTGTTACGTCGTTTGTGTCATCAACTATTAAAATCGCCATTCTCACAGACAACATGACTACATATAGGCAAAACATGAAGAATTATCATAACATTGACAATGAATTTTCAAGTTAAAAGTACAGTCAAATGATATAATGATGACGAGCAATGAAATATATCAAATATTCGAGACTGCCAACATATATCATTTTAACACAATTGCTCCAATGTTGAAGTACTTACGCGTTTAAAATTTCTCGAAGAACGAGCTTTTGGCGGTGACTTTACCAAATATCCTGCATGAATAAGAGGCACATGATCCCTATCCATTTTGCTTAGGAAGGATATATGTTTTGCGATGAATTATCGGTCACGATTGTTTACAAAAGGTAAAATAAGGAAGTAAAGCAACCAAGTTATAGACCGGAGGTCATATGCCTGTTCAAGCGATATTGTTTAACCAATAAGGGAAGCAAATGATTCGAATAAGCTTTCTGATTGGTTGTAAATGAGCAAAAGAAAAACCAGAGAAATATAAAACATAAACTTCTTTCATTTCAATATAATCACATTTCATAATCAGGTCACCCACACCTTACGTTCACACTTCAATGCTTCCAAGTGTTGCTTACAGCAGTTCTTGCGTTTAACTCACAGCCGACTGTGCCCACCATTAAAAGCCCACAACCACGACGAAACGATAATTCAATGTGAGAAAATAACTTAACGCTAAAATCATGTTGTCATGACGTTTAAAGAGCGATTTATTTTTTAGTCACACTTCGTGAAACTTGATGTAGGAGAAATACAACAAATATTCCTAATTTTGAGTTCGCCTTTTTTCTAAAAGTAGGATATGAACTAAACTTTGCGCTCAAAAAATCAGTTCTCGCTCAAAAGAAACCCGTTTCACAGCAAAATGAGAACAAAATCCATAAGAGAAGATTAACTGTAAAATCACGACAAATGTAATAATTATAAATCAAACCATATACACTAAGTGGTCAGTAAGTTACCTCTCTAAGTTACAGTAAATTACAGAGAATAGATCTGTACTTCATCATAAAAAGCTAGGGCGAAATAAGTATTTAGAGAAGACGGACTAGTACTTTACAAAAATGATCGATATTGAGAATCTGAGATTAAAATAAGCTAATGGTCAACATTTCCTGCTTCCTTCAATTGTTGCTCTAGATTAGCAAGTGTTTGCTGAAACCGTTGCTGCAAAGAAAGAAAATAGTACGATGATTGAACAACGTGAAAAAATACACACAGAAATACAAGATAATTTTCATCAAAATTTACACATCTTAATGATGTTTTTTCGTGAAACGTGCTTTGGTTAAAAACATTACCTTTAGAAATGGATTTTCAGCACTGTCAATCCGGGCCTTTTGAGCTGTAATCTTTTTCTTCAATTCATGAGAAACATCAAATCTACGTCCTTGGGATAATGGTTCTGATGAAAACAGTATTATACGATTTTATAGGTAAAAAGATGATGTTTGGATACAGGACATTTCCCTGTACATTCAACTACACACCCTAAGGCTAATCGCAACTTAATTTGTTCAATATTCTAAATCTTCAATACTAATCTGTTCATAAATCCTTTCAATACTAATCAAGTATTTAGAGTAAACAAAAAACCCAGGACTTTTGAAAGTTGCATCATTAGCTACAGTTGATATATTTTTTACTCACGTGATGAAATCTCCATTTTTTGTTCATTGTCCTTAAGTGAATTACTAACACCTCCCTGATCATGATCTGATGTTGTTTCTACTGGATTAGATGGTAAAGAGTTTTTTAAAATATTTTCAACATCTAAATCATCTTCCTCGTCACTCATTGGTTCTTGCAGAAAAGCCAAATGATCCATTTCATTTCCCAGGTTACCGAGTGGTGATGACATCAAACTAAAAAATACAAGCAATTAAAGTTGAAGCTATGTTTTACTGATTGACGATCATTTTAACACAAATTTTAAATATATACATAAATGTTTATTTTGGTGCTGTATAAGGATATATTGCTTGCAAACCTTGGAGTTTCTTCGGTTTTTTCTTCATCTGCTACAACTTCATAAGCTAAGAAACTAGTTAAGTCATTAAACCAGTAATTCACCTATTAATGCCTCTATTTTTTGTGTGTGAAAACAGCTTTAAAATCAAAAGATACTAACACTTTCAGCCTGAACATCTGCTCTCAGCAATCTTTTTAATTCCTTCTCAATTTCGGGGCTTTCTTGATTCTACAAAAAGAAAGATGGTTGACCTATGGCAACACACACCAGTATCAAATGATGCTAACATTTTCTATAAACTCATTTCAATGACTGCTATTTCAGATAAACCTTTTCAAGACAGTGGTGCTGATTATTTTAAAAATAGCAAATACCATGGTGAATGATCAAAACAAAAATGTAGTAGTTCTTAAAAGAACTGTTTTAAAGCTTAACACATTTTGGAAGACTACTCAACAGGTGTCAATGTCTGCTATATAATGATAAGAAAAAGTTAAGGTCATCTCTAAATTGGGAGATGATGCTTAAAAACATATAAATTAAACATATAATCCTTTTATCAGCTGAGGGAATTAGTTAGCTTAATTGGTACAGCCTCCATGATGTTTCACTGAAATATCAAGCAACATTTTTAATAACTCTAAAATTATTGTCAAAATAGGAAAAGATACAGTGATTGTTATACACTAAGAGTGTTACAGTAAGTGTTAATTAGTTAAATATACCCCAAATATTACATATTCTATACCTTTTTTCTGGCTGTCTTACGAAACCTTCGTTTTCTAACATTCTTTAAAGGTGGTGTTACTATAATATTTTTGAAAATATAAGTACATTAGTCGATTTCTTAATCCAAAATATTATTTCAAAAGCAAAAGCATTATATAAAGACAATTATAAGATCTTTGCTTTTGTTCATCCTGTAACATTAGTCTGAGATAAGTTATATGTGGAAATATTTCCTTGTTTTATGAGAGAAAATAATTCTTACCACCATGAACAAACATGAATTTCCTTTCTTTCTTATGAGTTGACAATTGTTGACCTGTTTCTTCAACATCTACATCTTCATTGTTGCCTTCATTACTGCACAACAACATCTTAAGACATTCAAAATAAATAAATAAATTTGACAATTGGAAAATCCATCAACATTATACATAAACTAATTCTAATCAAAAAATAAATATGCATGGTTTTCACACAGCCTCAGACTGACCATAGTAGTCAGTACCACCACAGTAGTCAGTACCACTACAGTAGTCAGTACCACCACAGTAGTCAGTACCACCACAGTAGTCAGTACCACCACAGTAGTCAGTACCACCAGTAGTCAGTACCACCACAGTAGTCACCACTAGTAGTCAGTACCACCACAGTAGTCAGTACCACTACAGTAGTCAGTACCACGACAGTAGTCAGTACCACCACAGTAGTCAGTACCACCAGTAGTCAGTACCACCACAGTAGTGAGTGGTACCAAATCCATAACAAAATGCCCAAGCTAATGACCAAAACACTTCTCGACATAATCACTTTTCTTTTGCTTTTCAAGTTACATAAAATACTCTTTAAGTTTATATACTATATTGATAGTTGGATTTTTTAGGTTTAAAATTTATTAGCTATAGAATAATTCCCTTACTTAGAAAGATCTCATTAAGGATTTTTACATGCATGTCAAATAAAGCTCTTAAAAAGCCTACATACCTGGGAAATATCAGCAGTTTTATAGAAACTTTTCTTGTCCACAGTTTTGTGTGACTCAACTATGGTAGGCAAATCCATTAACTGTTTATGAAATGAGATTTAAGATCAATATGAAGTAATGATAATTATAAAATGAATGATAAAAGAGTTTTACCTTTCCTGAAAGGCAGGATTTTCCAACTCGAACAGTTGCATGACGATTGCCGTCTTGAAAGAAATACAATTATTATCAAAACTACAAACTTTAACATTGCAACCATCAGTTTGCAAGATGGTAGCCATCAAAATAAGAGCAGTGAATTGTATTATTGTAAAAATGAAAAAAAAGAATTAAAAATTATTTCTTCAACAAACTGATTTTTTAATTAGGATCTTTATACCTTGGAATTCAATACTTAAATAATCTTTCACAAATCCTGCATGAAGAGATTTTCTTGTCATTTCTGCCTGGTGCTTTAAAATAAAATACATAGAGATATTAAAATCAATTTCAAAGACAATGTCAAATCGACTTGTGATGTGACAGACACAAAAGTCCAAACTAGCATAAAACCTTAAACTGACATTTCTCTCCAACTGTAGGGAGCTTAAATTTATTATTAAAAAATACTCTCGACACATTGTGATGAATTCGTTTTAAAAATTACAGAGTTATAGAGTTTTATTACGAGCAATATCAACGGACATAAAAAAGTTGACTGTTGAAAATTAGAAAAGAGAAATCACAGTAGAACTATTTTCACAATTTTATTAAAAACCTCGGGTAATCTGAGCAAAAAGGCACGTTCCAGTTGTATACCATCTCTCTGCTTACTCCCCATTACTTTTATTTACAGTTGAAAGTTGAGAAGACGAGTAGAAACGGTAGAAATGCGATAAAAACGTGGATAAAAACACTGAAAACGAGAGGCCATCTTGATGTTGAACATTAACATGACGTCACCACATACGTCACAACAACATTTTTCTTCAACTGTCAACTTTGTAGATTTCTTGAACTATTTTCCATTTTTATCTGCATCTTTTGACAAACTGAAAATATGGCTACTTCTTCTGACAGCACATTAAAAGAGGTATGAAGATGTGCAAAAGTTTTCGAATCGCTTGATATTAGATTTCATGTTTAATTGTTATCAATACGGTGCCGAAAATCTTTTTACAGGTGCAAGTCTCAACAGTCATTCACAACAATTCATTATTAAACTCAGAGTCCAACATCAAAGAAAAATCCCTTAATATTACAAATGTTTGTATCACATAAGTTAAATAATCGCGATTTTCATCCTTTTCTCGTTTATCATGTATATTTTTTAATAATTTTTTTATCAATGGCAATTTTAGATTGTTACGAAAGCCAAGTCTGCCTTCAAATGGAAGTCGCGTATAGGCCGTATTTTACAGAACAAGGCAAAATCTGATGAAGATGTCAATGACAATAAGTAATTGTCTCGATATTTTGTTTTTAGCGAAACACTACTGCAAAATGATGGTTATCAGTTGATTCAGTTTGTAGATAAACTGCTTTCAATAACAACTGTTTTTCATGTTTCTCTCTTCAATATGAATAAGGACATGGTTCCATATCAATAAACCCCTCATTAAAAGTGAAGTTATAAAAGTTGAATGCGTATAAAACTATTCCTATTTATTCAGTAATGAATCTGACGTTGAAAAAGTCATTGAGATATCGAAGCATCAATAACTTCATTGATTATATTGGCATTTTTACAAACATTTTACGTTGTTTAATATGAAAAATATAGTAAATTTGGCAGTAACGCTCAGTCCAGATAGATGACATTAAGCAAAGGTCAGTGTTTTTATAATCTCACCATCTCATCTTCAACAAATGACAACCAGCCGATATGTCCAAGTGCAAAGTCCAAACCATAATGCAATTTGTATTTGTGATTTCTATTTTTTTAAAAAAAGAAACATTCTTATTTTCCTCTAGACATTTCCAAGCTTATTTTCACACAGAGAAGATGGAGGTATGTGTATGATGACTGAATCTTTATTTATCGTTCATTGACTTGCATATGAAAATGGCAACTGACTGAAAACTATTTTATTAAACCAACCACAGCCTAGTGAACAAGTCCTCAGTGATCACGATATACAGGAAGAAAATTTATGGGACACTGTTGACCAAGATGATGAAGCTATTGAGGAATATGCATCTAACGAGCTGATGGGAAATTTATTATCGAATAAACATTTTCGTACAGCAATCCTCACTGCAATTTTGGCAAATAGTTTGTTAATTGTTGTTGAAACAAATGAAGATCTGGTAGTGATCTAAGATGCTTTACATTTCCATATTTCCCTATCACTTCGTTTTATTTTTTTGTTTATTTCAGGAGAGAGAATACAAGCATGTATTTTCTGTTCTTGATCAAACTCTAATGACTGTGTTTGTGTGCGAAATATTGTTCAAATGGTATCATGGATTTTTCATGTTTTGGAAAATGGGATGGAACATTATGGATTTCTGTATTGTCGGCGCATTACTCCTTGGTCCATGTAAGTTATTATTTTCATTGAAGCTTAAGACCATTTCACTGAATAATGGTAAAACAGAGACTTTGTCGTGGTGACAAATTAAAAATTGTGAATGAACACTATTCAGTGAAAATTGTCTCAAAAAGAGTAATTACTGTGCTAAATGGCCAAATACTAACGTAATAGTTTTTAAAAGAACTGTTTAAGGCAGAAAACTAAACCAACAATTCTAAAATAATTGTGTTTTTTAAGGTAAAAGACAATATGCCGAAATGCGTAGTGTCTTTTTAGCTTAACTAAAAACACACAATTATTTTAGAATTGTTTGTTTAGTTTTCTGGCTTAAACAGTTCTTTTAAGAACAATTGCGTTAGTATTTCACCATTTAGCACAGTAATTACTCTTTTTGAGACAATTTTAACTGAATAGTGTTCATTCACTGCGTAAGAATTGTTAAATATTTTGATCTATCGTCAAAAAATTGAGACTTGTTCTTATCAAGACATTGAATTCATTAAAAATGTTTGCTGGCAAAAACACAGTAAGTCAGTTGATAAAAAAATCATTGCTACAAATTATCTAGTTCTTGAAAAGAAAGCTATAGATGCAAAATTTCGTAAATTTTTATCGCTTTGTAAGTTTAAAAGAATTTCCGCTCGGTATAGAAGGTTCCCGGAACATAAACATTGAAAGTAACTATATATTTTTTTTAAGAACTTACTAATATTATCTTTAAATGGTTACAAGTAGAGTATTTTTGTTAAAGATGTTCGTCTTTAAAACAGTACTCACTGGTTCAGGATCGGGCAGCCGAGGAGTGCTAAGAATTTTACGAGTATTGAGAGCATTCCGAAGCTTGAGAAGGTAAAGCAAGATAACTTTAACTGTTCATTTATGGCAGTAAAAATTGTTTTTGTTAACAAGTTAGATCTGAAAAGGAAGTTGAACTTATATATTAAAGAAATTAGGCTTAAGACTTTAAACGGAAATAATGTAAAAAGTACAACTCAATTCAAGTTTTATTTATTTCACAACGACACGGATGAAGGAAAAAACACAAAAAGAAGATAAAATCACCCACGTAGCTAGAAACGCAACAATATTAACATTAAATCATTTATACAATAATCAAGCGTCTATATTACGCTATGAAAATCTTTCATAGAAAAAAAAACCAAAATATTCGAAGAAAAATTTTCGTGATCAATACAATATTTCAAAATTGTTGAGTCAATTATAAGTGTTTACTGAATAAATATATTTTTACTTAACTGCCAACACAGCAAGACGGGTGCTATATTAACATATTTAAATCGCCATAATAAGCAGCATTTAAAGTTACATTGATTTTCTATGATAAAAAGGTCACGAAACTCTAACGTTTTCGTTTTTTATTAGCTGGACACAAATGCATCATTGCGTCTCGTTTTGTCATGTATTCACCTTTGCATTCTGAACAGACAAATGGTTTTTCTTTTACATGACTCCAATAATGACGTTTAAGATTGGCAGGGTCATTAAACGGCTTACTGCATATATTGCACGAATAAGGTTTTTCTCCCGAATGAATTAATAAATGACGTCGTAGTTTGGATGGCGTAGGGAAACTCTTAGTACAAATAGAACAACTGTAAGGTTTACTTCTCGCTGGTATTTGTGGTAAACTACTTTCAGAATCTGAACTCCAGCTTGGCGATGGTAAATCTAATGATATATTGTCGTCATTGTTAACGGCCAAACTTTCATCACATTCCCGTACTGTCGCATTTAATGTTTGTGTTGCTTGATCTTTTTTCTCAACAAAACATTTGCATCTAAGATGATCAAACGGTAGCAATGTTTTAAATGTGAAAGTTGTCTCACAATCTGTATGATTTTGCGTCGTTGTATTCTCGAATGAACCGTTTATCAGTTTAATGTTCATATCAGATTTCACTGATGTTTCGCTTATTTTAATGGTAGATTCATCTGTGTCATCACATTGAAGTTCTGTTTGCCAAACATTCTCTTTCGATGAGATTTTTTTCGGATTTTCTGACTTTGTTCGCATTGTGGAGGAATGTGCTGATTTGACAGGAAAAGATCAATTGAGTTTTAAGTGTCGATCGTTGATGACCAACCGTTAACAATGAGCTAAGATAAAACGCATTAATTTTACTAACCTATATCCACCAATGTAACTGTTGATAGTTGTTCGGTTAATGTTTTAAAGTCTTTTCTTTGTCTTGAAACGTTTCAGTTCCGAATCAGCGCTTCTATGCATCTATTTCTTCTAAATGAATGTTGCATCGCTCGAATACCATCGTATCAATAATCTTTCACACTTCCGGCGGAAGTCAAAAAGTATTTGCGGCACCCTGCGGCAGATTAAAAAAATTTCATTCCCAAATAAATAAATGATCAAATCCCAATATTTTAGATCATGAAAAAGTTCTGTTTCTATAAAAAATAGATACTTCCTTTACAGTTAATATTTTAACTAATTTTGTCACAAACTTTTTTTCTGCAAGTAACGATGAATGCAAGAACAATTTATCACAGAAAAATTTCTAGCAATTATGAGGACAAGCTCGCCACCAGCACGACATCATCACGTTATCTTAAGAATTAAATTTATCTTACACAAACGTTGATTTCAAATACTTACGAAATCCTTCCATTTGATCATTTAGTATCAGCTCATTACCAGGATTACAAATAGTCGTTCAAACAATACTCCAGTCGATTCCAGGTATTACGTAAGACGGACTGCAGCATGTGTCACAAAATGCTGTCTAAATGCACATGTGGTTTTCAATTCACGGTGAGTCAGTGATCATTAAACTAAATATTGTTTTAATTTACAGATATGGCAAATATTGTGTTATTACTAGTAATAATAATGTTGGTGTTCTCTGTGATTGGTATAACGTTGTTTCGTGAAACCATGCCAGAAAATTTCAATAATTTATCCTCAGGTATCTTTATTGCTATGATTTTTATTCTGTGAGTAGACCCATAAAATGTACCATTGGTATGATAAGTTAATGATTAGTGTTTATGACATGGTACCCACTGTATGGTAACTAGTGTTCATGGCAAGATAACCACTGTGTGGGAACTGGTTTTTATGCCATGGTAACCACTGAATTGTAACTAGTATTCATAACATGGAAACCACTGTGTGGTTACTAGTGTTTATGACATGAAGCCACTGTACGGTGACTAGTGCTCATGACCTGAAGCCACTGTACGGTGACTAGTGTTTATGGCATTGTAACCACTGTATTGTAACTGTTGTTCTTGTTAACCATGTTTGGCAAAAAGATTTGATGTAAAAACTTTCATTTTTTCATCTTCCATCAGCAATGTTTTCACTCTTTATCTGTTTAACGTTGGATGGTTGGATTACGATCAACGAAAAGTTCAGCGTAAGTAGACAAATTAAACTTGACGCATTGTTCAGCAGTTCTCCTCGTGTGTTGATATTTGACAAACGTGAGCTAATCTTACGAAAGTGAAATAACATTTTAAAAATATTTTCATTCGTCAAATATCGTTAAATAATTTAATGTAGCTTTATTTTAGGAGAGCGGAGGTACAACTTACATTGGAGGTACACTTTACCTAAACTTGTTTATCGCTATTGGAGCATTTGTGTTTGCAAATTTGGTGGTCGCTGTTGTCGTAACAAATCTTGTAAGCTTTACAAGTGACAATTTGAATAAACTTTATTCAGCCATCAAATATTCAGATAAATTACATTTGGATGCACGAAATTTATAGGAATTTGCCATGGTTGATGTAAAGAAAGAAGAACAACAGGCTTATGAACATGATGTTGTTGTCGGAAAACAAGAAAATGGTAGTATTATCTGAATAGATAGAACATAGTTAATTGGAAGTATACAACACTTAATATAACAGTTAAAATAATTTATGTTTTGACAATAGATAAAGATATAAACACTCCTATCGTTAAAGTTGATAACATATCACCATTTGTTTTCTTCAATCAAAAACCTTACCAACAGCCGGTAAGGTTCATTGCTAAATGCTTATATCATTTCTTAACATCTTTAACAATAAAATGTCATATTTCATTGTTTTATTTAGGAAATGGATGATATAAACTTTCGTATCAAAGACATAGAAAATATATTTATCATTCTTACTGCAATTGAAGACAATCTCGTTGAATACTTGCGCATGAAGAATGAAATCATTGAGGTTAAATATTCATTTACAAACTCTTGTAAATAAAAACTTTTCTTCAGCTATTTTGCTGAAATTTAGGCGAACACTTTACATTTATTTAAGTACTGGCATGGTTTCACGATGTCTGAATAGCGTTATCTTTTTTAAACGTATGGTTATATTTTTCTTACGATGATGAAACTTTGTAATCTTAGAACCAATATTTTATTTCATTGACTATACGTTTGTCTGGTTGATGCAAGAAAATAAACAACAATGGTGATAGCAAGGTTTTGATTTATGATGAACAATGGGGAATAATTTTAAGAAATTTGCTGTGTAATGTATGTTTTCAGGTGTTTGGGTGCATTTGTGACCTCCATAAGAAAGCTCGGATGGAAGGATTGCTCAAAGAAGAAAATCCAGAAACAGATGACAACGGACAAGATAAAATACTCAATGTATGAAACTTTCGATATCTTTAACAAAACGAGAGATTTCTACATGGCTTATTTATTAAAATGAATAACACATTTTCCTCGCAGCTTAAGGGAGATATTATATCAAATCTTATGGAATTGGAAGAGAATAAAATGATTAACTCAAAACGTCGAAGTTTAGATAACTTGATTCGTGGAGGAGCTTCTGCATTAAGAGGAACCTTGAATTATCACAGCATACCTGCCAGTGGAATTCTTCCTGCAAAACCGATTCCTCACTCACCAAACAAGTGAATGGTTAACTGTGAACATTCACCATTTCAGTTTTGTTAACACAATTTTATGAACATTCATATTTTATTCCATTTGAACATTTGTTAATTTTTGTTTGGTACATAAAACCTGTTTCACAAGCATAGCAATTCTACCTTTCCTTGTTTGAGTAGTTCAGTAAATAATGAAATTTTTCCTCACGGCTAACATTAAAAAACTTGTTTAGCTGCGGTTAAACCTATAGACGTCCATTTCATTTTTGCATCAGTGCAACACTACATTAAATAACCAAAACAGAGCTTTAAAACGTTATTTGTAAGGTTATGGCTACCAACCACTTTTCTTAACCAAATTAAAAAAATCTCAAGCACGAATACGAAAACAGCCTCTTGACAGAAATAAAAGAAAATTTCCTCTAAAACATACTTTTTATTTTTTTTGTTTCAAAACCATGAAATTCTAAAACGCCATGCTATGATCTTCCAACAGTAGTTTTATTTCAATTTATAGTATATTACACATCATAGTTTACAATAATACAATAATTTTTCACATAATATACAATGTTTTTTTAAACAATTCAATTTCATGATTATTGTTAATTTCTATAACCTCTTTAACCAATGGATGCATTTAACAAAATATTGCCCAAGTCATTTTCATCATTTCTCTCAGTCTGACAAGGAACATCATATCCAGATTGAATATTATCCATTAGATCAATACTAGGGTGATGCATTTCAGTTTCAACTCCTGTCAACGATTCAGTGTCTTCTGACTGAATGAACAACTCACGTTTATGACGATTTGAAAATAATTTACGAATAATTGTAAAGGAATTATTGAAAAACCGGATGATGTAATGAATAAGAATTTGTGAGAATGTTGCAAGAAATATACAGAGACCTCCAACATAGGCGAAAACTGTAAAAATAAATGAACAAAATGTATGAAACGCACCTCCATAATACAGGGGGGATAAAAATACCCCCCCCCCCTGTGAAAATAATAAGGTTACGTGAAGGCATCAATATATTACATGATGGTGAAGAAAATTTTTTATTTCAGGGATGAATCCACCATAGTTTTTTAGGTGTGGTGGGTGGAGTTACATAGTTTTTAGGGGAGAGTGGTATGCTCTTAGTTTGGAGTAGATACTAGTTGCCGTGTGATGTCAGACGTTTTTCATAAATATTACTGGTCTCTACTTTTTCTATCATTGGCAAATTTTTGAAAGTGTGCTCCATTAAACGCTTATCAAAATTGCTTTTGTTAAATTGCTTCGTCTATTAGTATTTTTTAGGTAACTTGGCAACCTCTGAACCTTTCTTTTAATTGTTTGATTAAATTTATAGTTGACCATCGCTAAACATTTTTGTTTCTCTTTTTTTTTCATCTGTATTTTGACACAATTCTCAAAATTTGACGAACAACATCCCAACCTCTGAGCTAACGACAAATTTCTATGGGCTAGGGAGGGGGTACTCTTTTGTTCACTCATTGTAAATAAAGCAATACAACATAAAAAATAATGAGAAATAACGCTATCAAAGAACGAGAAAATTCAAAAGAGCAAATTGTATAATAAAATGACAAGCTATTGATCAATACAAAACTTACCAGTTAAAAATGTGTAAGTTCCAACATTGTAGTTGAAGATACAAAAAGCTTGCTAACAATAAATACAACAAAAGTCACTTAAGCATCTTGGTGGTAACAAAATAAAGTAATTGCCATAAAAAATACACACCTGTCTCGTCGAATTTCGTGGCGATTCACAATGAAACGATCTGTAATTTTCTTCGGCAGCGCAATGAGAAAACGCGTTAAAATTACATTCTTTGCAAAAATAACATTGCACCTAAAAATAATGAAGGTTGTCGTTGAAATTGCTTCAAAATATTCTTCAAGCATCTTCAAAGACATACATCGTACCATATTTGTTTTTTCACAAAGTTTCATGACTTCAGATTGTGTTCTAAAACACGCCCATGATATGTATAACTTTGAAAACCAGAGAAGAAGGCATGTGAAACATACTATAAAAATAACGCCAAAATTCCATGCCAAATGAACGACACCAAATGCTTGAATGGTTAACGAAGACTACAAAATGACAGAATTTTTATTTAATTCATATTTTAGTACAAAGTTATTTAATTGTCAAGAGTAAGCTTTTCTTGCTTGCAAATTTAAAAAACGCTATAGGAGTTAAAAATACTAAATTTGTTAGAGAAGAATGAAGTCTATGGCAGGGCAGGTTGAAGAACTTTCACTAAAATAAAAATGCGACTATATAAAAAAGCTATGCACTCACTTTTAGTTTAAATGGCATTTTTCGTCTTGTGTAAAATATAACCATAAATATTGATGATGCTGTCAGAGTAAATGACAGAACTTGCAGTTCAAGTCCTAAGTTACGAGAACTGTAATACCTACAATAGCAAAGCAAAAACTAGTAATGGATATCAATGATTCAATGGAACTAGCTGCAAAGTTTAACCCTTGACTTGGTATGGTGGCAGATTTGCAACAATCACCAAATGTAGTGAGAACAAATTTTTGAAAAAACTTATCTAGTAAAGGGTTAAAAAATGTAATTTTATGCAGTCAAATGCAATTTAAGTAATTAATTTTGATGTTACAGCCACTGTGTTATATATATCATACCAAAGTTGACTGATGGATTTTTTCGGTGACCTATAGGGGTTTCCACTCCGCTAAGTATCAGATTCCACCCCACCCCCCCTAAATAAATGTGAAATTATCTCCATGCTGCCAGACACAACAACATGGCTGCTGAATGTAAAATATAAAAATGAATGTAAATCTTAAAAGGTACATGGGGTGATTTGATAGAATTGTTTAAACCCTTTCCCCTTAGATACCATGTGTTGTAACTTACTTCCAAGAGAAAAATTCCTGAAACCAGAAGTTGACAATAAAAAAACAAACAAGATTTACACTCATGCTAGCAGTGAGCAACCAAGATAGTCCTTTATATTTCAGCCAAGAACAAACAGTAAAATATGCCTAAAAATAACAAAAGACTATTCTTTAAATGAACAACAAGATGCACCTAAGATTAAAAAAACTTGGGCATAATACTTACCATGATCATAAGGAATATTGGCAAATCCATAAGACGAAGAACATGCTGTTGACATACAAACAAAATTTACTAATAAATATTTAATACTTTCATTAATTTCCATACAGCATCACAACAACACAATAATAAAAAATACCTACAGACTCATTGGTGACTCTAGGATCATTCTGTGCAAAAAAAAAATGTAAAAGTTATTGCTAACTTCCAATTTAAGATATGACAGATATGGTTCAATGAAAGGTAGAATCTCAGTGTTTCATTAACTAATTAATTATAAACAACAATGGCATAAACATTGAAAATGTTTTGAAGAATCGAAGTCTTTGTTTCCTTCTTTGGTTACAATCGCAATTAAGTTCTCATGTATAAATATTTTCATAAAGATTTCTTTCTTGTTTTATGACTGTATTTAGTGTAAAGCGCACCTGAAACAGGTCTTTAGGTAGTTGTTTTTGAGAGTCTTTGGCATCACCATAGCCATCAAAATACGGCGGATTGCTCACAAACTCGATCAAACCAAAAATCAGAAATCCAAATGCGAACAAAAAATGAAAAATTTGGAAAAATAAATACATTAGTCTTTTTTCCTTAAAAATATTGATTCTCATGATAACAATCTGACATCAAACTCACTTTATTGATAAAGCATAACAACCACACTGAACAACCACTGTCGTTCAAGAGAATTCAATGGCAACAATCAGGCTTCCGCAATCACGCATTTCCATCCATCAAAATGTCTTTGCAAACTCAGAACTTTCTCACAGTATCTGGGAGTTTGTGCTAAGCTTGTTTATTACTTGAAAACGACATAATAAATCAACTTTATTATAGTTATTTCAATAACCTAGTAAATGACTAAATGTGACTGTTCGCATATTCTGTGGCAAAGTAGTCTAATCCTTTACTCCAACAATGCAATTCTTAGCAAAATTATTATGTCTTTCTTTAGAAAATTAATTGTATTTATTGTTTTTCCAATAGTAAAACACAAAAATATTTTCTTGGTTGAGTAAAAAACGGACTTGCTGTGCTGCTACTACGCATATTTCAAATGTCTTTAAATACTTTGACAAACTCAAAGTTGTTTGAATTTCTTGTAATCAAATACTATCTTGTTATAAAAACCATTTATGATTTAGGTAGCATCAAACATCATTTGTGGCTTCTTTAGTATCTTCTTGTTCCTCTTCCATTTTCACAGGTTTTTGAGAAACAAGTAAGCTATTCTTTTTAAGATAACATGCAGTTTTGTAAGGTGGATCAATAGGAGTTTGAACAGGAGGTAATGGAACATATTTCTCATCATCATTTGTACTCACATCATAGGTTTTATCAGAATCATAGGCACTGAGATCACCACAAGCAAGAAAAGGGACAATGAAACGATTGACACCTTCCAATCTAAACCAAACACATCAGCACAATGATGAATGAGCACTTAAAGCAATCACCAAGAAATTATTCAGGTACAAATGATGGTATGAATAAATACCCCCCTTCCCCCCTGCCACAGACACAAGTAATGTTCTGGGGATGGCCCTGAATGAGCAGCAATCCAAATTAATTTCATCCATTCTAATCAACAAAATCATTTGTTCAAAGCTTACTTAAGCTTTTAAAATTGTTATGTTTCAGGAGTTTCTATAAATACTTCTATACATGAGAACATAAACATATCCCTGTTCTGTTCTGGAATTGCTTAAAATGTGCCAAGTTTCGAAAAATAAACAATGAAAATTGGCTTGAATATAAAATTGAAGTTTATTTCAATTTTTAGTTTCAATCAAATTTTCCAATCAAAAAATGAAAACAAAATGTTCTGTCATTAAATTACTCGATATATTCTATCATATGTACATGCAGCAGAGATCTGATGATTTACCTTTCAAACACAGGATCTTGTGTGTAATCCAATAGAGGATTAGACATGTTTGGTGTATATCCTTCTGGAGGAGAGTAATCGCGGCAGACAACAAATGCTTCAATGCTTGAGTTTCGACTGCTACTTGGTTTAGCTATTGTTACTTGAGGAAAGAAAATTTTTAACTGACTATACAAAAGATCCATATCTTTCCCTCTGAATATTTTTGCCACAAAAGTTCCTTTAGGCTTAAGGATATGTGTGGTAATATTAAGAGCTGCCAACAAAAGTTGTCCCTGAATGTACTCATCGATATCATGTAATCCTGTGACATCAGGTGCACCATCACACACAATTAGATCAGCATGTTCTCCTTCAAAATGACTGATTATTTTATTGGCAGTTGAAACCTACAACACAATGACAAAAATGATATATAAGTATTAAGTATTGTTTTTATATGACATCTTAAACTTACTTTGGTAATGTCGCCTTTAATTTGTATTACACCAGGTAAAGGTGCCATTGGTTGTAAATCTACAGCCACAATTTTAATTGTTGATTCATCCTTTTTTATTAATTTTCTACTCAATACTTGACTCCAACTTCCCGGTGCAGCACATAAATCAACAACTCTGCTTACTCCCTCAAATAAATTAAAACTTTCATCAATTTGCAAGAGTTTAAACGCACTTCGTGCCCTCCAACCTTCCTCCTTTGCCTTTCTATAATAAATGTCACGTTTATCTTTTGACGTACGACCCATGACTTGCAAAATTTCAATTGCAGCCAAGAAATAAGCCAAATGATTTAAAATATCTAATAAATTTTAACTCCATAAGGCACCCCGTCCGAGAATTATATACAATGTCAATTCTTACCATGTCATGACGTCATTCAAAGTAATTTATAGGCCTTCATCGGAATTTATGATGCAACAATGGAACAATACATGTGTATTTGAGCAAATATAAACTCGAAAATTAATAATGTATAATCTTGAAAATTCCAATTAGCTTACTCAAATGGCACACTCAGATTAGCACATTGATTGATACTGTACTTTAATTAAACAAGCATGAACCACTTGAACAAATAAGCTAAGCAAGTTGACTGAGCAAGTTACCAATATCGACATACCATCTTCAAATCTTCAGCTTTCTGCAATTACTTGTAGCAAAAATTTAAGGACAATACCATTTAATTAAATCTTTTTATTGCTACAATATCATTAAATGCAATTCCTGAAAGGAATGTTGTTCACACTATTACATGTTAGGCAAGTAGTTTACTTTTAAATTTTGTAAAATCCCTATTCTGAAGGCCGTTTTTCAAAAACAATAAGTTAGATTTTACAATTAAAAATAGTATTGATATAAAATGTACAATATTTCATAAAATATTAAAGAGAAAATGGCAATCATTAAAACATTTTTGTAGCTATTACTGTAAAGCTTTCTGTGGTTCTTGTAATAAGTTCAACAAGTCAAATTCTGAAGGTTGCGTTTTTAATAAGGAGTCGATATCTGAGTTTTCTGCAGGTCCACTTGTTAATTCTTGACCAAGAATAGGGAAAAGAGAGTTATCTTGGGTAGATTTCATGTCAAGCATGTTTGAAAATGAATTTGATAATGGAGTTTGTAGGTTATTGGGTACTTGTGGTTTGTGGTTTTGTATCATACCATTGTTAGTTTGGTATAATGGTTCTGCATTAATGGTATGAATATTATTTGACTGTGCAGCAAACTGTCGTTTTAGATGATTTAATGATGCTTGTGCAGCATGGACCCGAGTCATGTCTTGATTGGTCATATGTTCACTACCATTATTATTCATGTCTGATAAGTTTGAGTTACTTTGATCATGTCGAACGAGAGAAGATTGATTAAAAACACTGTTGTGGGCATGATTTGGTACACTACTACTCCTTTGAAAGGTAAAAGTATTTCTTCGATTAATATCTAAGCCATGGAATCTACCTTTCATCATAGAATCATCTATGCTTGATGCTCTTTGAAAATGTGAATGTAATTTGTTTTCCTGATTGAACTGATAAGCATAACTAGAATATTCTCTTGGGAATCTTACTGGTCGATTTGGCAAAGCTGAATGATTTCCATATTGTGGTGGATTAAAATGTTGTAAATGAGATAATGCCCGGCTGGATTGCAATTGATTGACTTGTGTTGATGAAATACCACCTGAAAATTTTTGTCTTTGATCAATAGCTGAAGACCTTGATAATTGTTGTGCATGAGAATACGAAGGTAAACCATTAGTTATTTGTTGGGCAAATGGTAATTTTTGCTGCTGTGCAACCCGCTGTGCAACCATATTCATTTGATGTCGAGGTAGACTAGGCATTTGTCCTTGCTGCAGTGGCTGACGCATCAACAGGTTTTGGGGAATCCTTCCACTTGCATGTGATAAAGCAGATATATTCTGCTGGGGATTAGTTGCTACACCAGAAAATTGAACATTATTATTTTGCATTGAATAATTATTAACTAATGAAGTCATTGCTGGATTTCGTGCCTGAAGTGCTTGAGTAGTTGTACCAGGAATTTTTCTTGAAATGTGTAAACTTGATCTTCTTTGAAGCTGCTGTAAAACATGAAGTCGTGTTGGAGGATACGATAATCTTGGAGAATTAGTAGCTGCAGTTGATGCCAAGATATTTTGTTCAACATTTGTATTTAATGGCACACTTCTCTCATAACGTACTTTGCTAGCAAGTCTTTGCTGCAGTGCTTGTGCTGTAGATCGTGAAATACCATACTGTTGAGAAGAAGTAGTTTGTACCAGTGGATTATTATCAACAGTTAATTGATTAGCTTTTTTTTCAGGTATTTCGCTCAAGCTACTATTTACTAAAGTCGAACCAAGCATATTAGCCATCCTGTCATTTGAAGTAACATCTGCCTCATTTGAACTCTCATCTCGGCTTTTAATTCCTTGCAAAACACGTTCAAAGTAACTCAGCTGATTTTCAAGATCGTCATCATTACCACGAGTTGATGGAGCATTACTACCATCTCCGTCTGTCATTAACCGAAAATTTTCGTCTGTTCTTGTGCGACTTGGATTTAAAAACCCGTTAGGTGTTAATAAAACAGCACTGCCTGTCTTTTCCTCACTAATGCTTTCTTGCTTAACAGCCTCATCGGAAGCTCTTAAAGTATCACTTACTTGATTATGGTTAGGGAAAGTCGATTTAGCAAAATCAGGACCGTTGAACTGTTGCGAAACTCGCGCTGGCGTCTGTTCAATGTTTTGACAAGACGCGTTAGTGTAGATTGATGATTTTGAGATTTCTTGTTTCACAAAATCAGAGGTATGGCCATTAATGGTAGAATACGAAATAGTATTGCTAGAAGATGCGATATGTTGCTCGGAGTCATCGAGTGAATTGAAACGAGTCACGTTGCAATGAACATCACTAGGGTTCTCAAAGCGACTGTATTTTGCTGGTACTGTGGTTGATAAATCTTCATTATTTTGTCGATCTGTTTCATCATTTTGTGTGAGCTTTCTTTTCGTCTGAATCGACTGAACAGTTCAAATTAAATGGCGTTTAACACGATATTTAAGGTAATACAGAACTTATTACGATTGTAAAAGGCAGGCGGCATATATGACAATAAAAATATAAAGTGAATCGAAATTCAACGACCTCTATTTATAGCAATTATACTTTAATTTATAGGTTAAAGTAAATTACCTGCAAGCTCATACTCTTTCCTACTGCATTTGAAGACGATTTGCACTCATTTTCCTCGAGTTTTACGGCAATTTTACTTGTTGGTTCGGGACGAATTTTACCGTTCATCTTTGTTTTGTTTTCTAAGATTTTCTCTTGACATCTGCGACTGTCCAATAGTTGCTTTTGTTCTCTTGATGAATGAGTTTCTTCGAGTCGTGCTTCGCAGCTATCGTGACGTTTACGAAAGCAATCGATTCGTTGTTTCAAGCGTTCCACAATTTTTTGCCGCTTTGGCGTATTTGAAGGACAATCGCTCATTGCTCGGAAACAGAAATGAGAAAAAACTTTACGCAACGTAAGTGCATCACAATCATATGTAAGAGCAAATTGCTATTTGTTAAAGCATAAAACGAAAAAAGCTTTAAAAAGCCTGTAATATTGCTCATCTGTTTTACGTCCTACATAGTTTGTTCGCCCAAGCTGTATGTGACGTCACACAATGCTCGATCAAAACAAACTTCCTTTCGTATAATAATTACATTCTTACAAAATGTAAACATTTTGTGTTCATCACCTTGTAACATTTGAATGGAATTTTTTCGGTTCAATAATATCAAATGAAATGCAAATAATGATGTAAACGAAGCTCAACATTTTCTTTATTGCAAGTTATTGTATTCAGAAACTTAAATTTGTGTATAAAGGAATTTATTTTGTGAAATAAGATATAGCGAAACTTTGTTTGAATCGGAAGTTTAATAATGTATATTAAGAAATAATGAAAAAGAAATGCGATTTGATAAAGGTTATTTATAAGAATACGAAACGCCTTGCTGCCAAAAAGAAGTTTTTAGTATTTTTTTGAAAATAGGAAAACATTTAGCATAAAGGACTTCTTTTGTGTGTCAATGTCAAATACAAATTTTTGTAGGATAAAGTTCCGGTCCATCCTCAATGATGCTTAATGGTAAACTCAATTTGCTTTTCTTTCTTGCGTTGTGATTGGTTGAAATTCCCACAATGGTTGAAGTTTATTTGTTTATGAAATGTTTAGTACCCAGCAAAACTGAGCAAACTCAGGTATAGCTGAAACGTGATGTAATAGAAATAATGTGATATCCAAAATTCTAAGACCATGTGTTACTAACAGTTTCCTTGATCGTGTAAAATGTTGTAGTTTGTATTCACAGAAGTCATAAAATGAAATTTTCGTATAAGGTAAGGCTTACTTCGAATATACAATAAAATATATATTAATTTATTTTTATGATATAAAATGTGAGCTGACTAACCTGTAAGCTGAGCTAGCGGATCAGTGAGCTGAGAACGTTTACAGTTAAATTATTTATGAAAATTTAATTTTTTTACCATTAGAAGATTCAGTTAAATTATAAAATTATAAATGGTGATATTGTCATGATTATTTTTTTTACTTTTACATAGTTCTCTAATCTTATTGGTACTGTTTATACGAAAGGAAATTTACTATTTTCTTCAAATGGTGATCGTGTTCTAAGTCCTGTTGGTAACAGAGTGAGCATTTTTGACCTTAAAAGGTGCCATGTAGATTGAATTGTTCATTGCACCTCTTGTGTATATGTGCATGTTTCACATAATATCATTTATTTAAAACTAAAAAATGTCAAATTTAATTTGAATAGGAACAAAACAACGACTCTTCCATTTGAAAATGGCAAAAATATAAAATGTATGGCACTTTCTCCCAATGATCAACTTCTCATCACAATTGATGAAGGTTAAAAATTGATCAATTCATAAATACATTTTATTCATGGGGGAGGGTATCTCAGGTGCATAAGGTGTATTGGGGGAGGGAATCTCAGGTGTATAAGGTGTATTGTGGGGGAATCTCAGGTGTATAAGGTGTATTGTGGGGGAATCTTAGGTGCATAAAGTATATTGTGAGAGGGGATCTCAGGTGTTTAAGTAGTTTTCCTAATGTTTTACACTTTTAAATCATTGATTTTCTAAAAAATTGGGGGGCATGTCCGCTCCAGGATTTACATCCTTGCCCATTGTGACATATCTCTTATTGTTGTCATTTTGTTGCTTTGTTAGGAGTCATTTTTATCTCATCATGATCATTATGATCTCTTCGTGATTATCGTATCACATCCTGATCATTGTTATCTCATCATGATCATTTTTGTTTCCCAATATCTTGATTAGATGGAAAAAGTATTTTATCAAGCTTGCAGAGTTTTGCTACATTGCATTACTTCACGTTCAAGACTGTTGTTTATGACATAAAGTTCAGCCCAAATGGAAGGTGATTTTAGTTTTCTTGACATTGAACATGGTCATAAACTCAAGTAATTAATGCAAATTTATTATATTCAAGATTTTTCGCTGTCACTATTGGTATGAAAATGCAAGTATGGATAACTCCTGGTCGTTGCAAGGAGTTTGCACCTGTTACTTTACATAGAACTTACACTGGACAATATGATAACACTATTTGTATTGATTGGTCGTCAGATTCCAAGTTAGTGCCATTTTTCCCTAAAAAATATCATGTTCAAGAATTGTTTTGGTGATTGTCTTAATGGAGTCATTCCCTAAAGTATTTTATATATTGATAGAATTTAAATGACAGAGCTAAGCTGTTGATCAAATGAAATATTATCATTAGTTTTAATTCAAACTCATATTTGTGAACATGTTTTACTCTGTATCTCAGTATTTTGTGAGGTTGAGTAATTTCTATTTTCATAGATTTATTGTGGTGGGTTCAAAGGATATGACAGCTCGAATATTTTCTATTGATCCTGTAATTGGATTTGTACCCACTACTCTGACTGGACATAGAAATGTTATCATTAATTCTTTCTTTGAACTTCACTCTCTTAATGTATCCTTTTTTGTTAAATCACAAAAACTTTAATACAGTTACACAAATTGTGAAAATGTACATCAATGTGTGAAAATGGTCATAAGCAAATGTCATTAGATGATGGTCATGTATAATCTGGTATCTTTCTGGAAGTAGCGTTTACTTTAATACAACTGCAATAGATATATACTATAAGTCAAGATGGAGCTGTATTCACTTGGTCTTGTTCCCTAGAAATGAATAGAACCAAATTGAAGAAAGATTTTATGGAAGACGAGGATGATGGTATGCAAAGGTTTTATTAATCTTTTATTCTTTAACTTTATGTTTTCGTTATTATAAGCATATAATATACCAGACCATTTTTATCTATAAACGCTTGAACACTTTTACAATTTGTTAGTTTTCATATTTAACATAGCTTGTAGTGTTGAAGAGTTTTAGTTTATCAATTTGGTAAATGAATTCATTTTTGTTGCCACAACACCACTAAATAGTGTCAATTATTCATATAAATGAATAAAATGACGGTAATGTGTCTTTATCTTTCCTTTTTTTGAATAAAGTCAATCATTATTTGTAGAAAGATTACAATATTACATTTCATTACCAACGACTTTATTCGTAAATGAAAAGATTTTATGGAAAATACTTTCTAAAGGCAGATCTCATCGGCTTTTTATTTTACGATAACTGCTTTCTTTACCTTGTTGGCATTGGGTTGATTGAGTGTAGACTTAAAATTGAATTATAGCTGTTCAATTTTACATGCATAAAACATTCTATCCGTCAATACTTTAAAGATTTTTGTTACACAAATGGTGTAATTTGAAACAGTGTTTGGGTATTTTTTAGATGAAGAAATTCCTATAAAGTGGAAACGAGAAATGAAGTAAGCTATATCGTGATTAAAGTAAACTCGATCTTAAATAAATATGATGAAACAAGTGACTATTGTTGCTAATGTTGTTATTAGATATTTCTATCATCAAGACAACAGTGATTTGAGTTGTGCTGCTTTTCATAAACAAACAAAGATTTTGATTGCTGGGTTTTCGTCTGGAGTATTTTCTCTTCATGAAATGCCCGAATTCAATTTAATTCACACATTGAGGTAATGAAGCAAAAAAAGAGAAAAATGTAAATGAGTTTTGAAATGGATCAAAAATATTCTTCAGATAATATCTATTTCATTTTAATATAAAAATGAGCAAAATGTGTGCAAAAGAAAGTCACCCCATTCCCTGAACCTCCCTGTTATTGTTGATTTGTTTTTCTTGTTTATGCTTCACGGATATAGTATTTCTCAAAGAAGTGTTTCTACTGTCGCTGTAAATCCAAGTGGTGAGTGGTTAGCTTTTGGATGTTCGTCTGTTGGTCAACTTCTTGTTTGGGAATGGCGAAGTGAGACATATATTTTGAAACAACAAGGGCATTTTTACGATATGAATGTTCTTGCTTATTCACCTGATGGTCAATATATTGTTACTGGTGGTGATGATGGAAAGGTATATTTAACATTTGCACTTGACAATATTTTAGTTTTATTTATTGCTTTGAGCTTCTTAGGGAAAATTCCATCTTTGAAGCACTTTTGTTGTAAATATATATAATAGAAAAAAACATTTTAATTATTGAATGTTATTTTCTATATTGCTAGTTTAATATTCTGCAGGTAAAAATCTGGAATACAACATCAGGATTTTGCTTCATAACATTCCATGAGCATTCTGCTGCTATAACTGGGGTATGTTTCACTTCAAATAATATGGTCATACTCAGTTCTTCTCTCGATGGAACTGTACGGGCCTTTGATCTGAACAGGTAAAACAGTCTTGGAAAATTTTTAGACAATTTTTAGGAAATTTGACGTTCGTCCAGTTATTTGATATTTCTATTATTTATTTAGATATCGAAATTTTCGAACGTTTGCCTCACCACGACCAAGTCAGTTTTCTTGCTTAGCAGTGGATCATAGCGGTGAAGTCGTAGCTGCTGGCTCGTTGGATACATTTGAAATATTTCTTTGGTCCATGCAGACAGGAAGATTGCTTGAGGTATTATGTTTTCTTTACTTATACAAAGGCGTTTTGGGAACGCCAACTGCTATAAATTGTGGAAAAGAGTATTTTGAGCTGCTCACTTTTCTCCTGTCACGTCTACGATAGCAAAATTTAACAAACAGATCTTGGTTCCCTCAGGTAATCGCTGGACACGAATCTCCAGTCTCTTGCCTTGCCTTCAGTTCATCCCATACAGTTCTTCTCTCCGGTTCTTGGGATAAAACTGTGAAAATATGGAATATATATTCGAGTCAAATGAGTCGAGAAACTCTTTTGCTGAACTCTGATGGTTAGTTTATTTGATAAATGTTTAAGTTGTTGTCTTTATATCTTCATTTTATACATTTAATCATTTTTTTTCGTTGTTAAATTTATTAGTTGTAGCGCTTGCTATTCGTCCAGATGGAAAGGAAGTTGCTGTTGCAACTCTTGATGGTCAGTTAACTTTCTGGCATATATCTACAGCTATGCAGTTGCATTGCATTGAAGGACAGAATGATTTGGGAGCGGGAAGAAAGTATGGAGATAGAATGACTGCAAAAACGTCATCTATGTCCAAGTATGGTTAAATACGAACACATGTTCAACAATCTTTATCGTTATTAATGACTTTAGTTTATTTTTGTTAGATGTTTTACCAGTCTTTGTTATACTGCTGATGGTTGTTGTATCTTGGCTGGAGGAAAATCAAAGTTTGTCTGCATTTATAACATTGAACAACAGGTTAATGTAGTTTTTACATTGGATATCCATTTTAAAAATGCTTTTGTTGCTGCGTTTCCTAAATTGTTGCTAAAATATTAACAATATTATCGTCATTAATGCTTGTGGCGATGACCGTGTTGTATATCATGTACTATTTGAATATCATCTGTATTTGATGTTACTGATTTAGTATCAAAATGTCGTCTAAACTAATTACAGATTTTGGTGAAAAGATTTGAAATTTCTCGGAATCGTTCATTTGATGGCATGCAGGTTTGTGTTGATCTTCTTTGAATTCTTTGTCTTTGTTTGACTGGCGATATATAATCCTGTTTTAAAACGAAATCCTAGGAGTTTCTCAATAGTGGGCAAATGACAGAGGCTGGGCCTCTCGATCTTATTGATGACGAAAACGATGGTGAAAAATTAAGTGTAAAGTCTCATCGTAAAGGTATGGTGGTGTTTTAAACCAAGCATCCACTAAAAATTAAGTGTAAAGTCTCATCGTAAAGGTATGGTGGTGTTTTAAACCAAGCATCCACTAAAAATTAAAATGTTCTTGAGTTATGATTAACGTAAACTTGACTTAGAAGTATTTTTTTTAATTAAGTGTTTTGAAAATGTTTCTAAATTCTTTTTTTCTAAGATGATATGAGCTCTAGAAATATAGGACCAGAAATAAGGGTTAAATGTCTTCGTTTTTCTCCTACAGGTAAGTTATAAAGTTTACCAGTAAACAATTGTTTCTTGTCAGTCAGCGTTGAAATGATTTAAAATATATTCTACATACATTATGACTGTAACTATCTTTTCAGGTCGTGCTTGGTCAGCGACAACTACAGAAGGTCTGTTGACATATTCACTTGATGTTAAAATGATATTTGATCCATATGACCTATCAATAGACGTCACTCCACATATTATTCGACAAGTATTGAATAGACGAGAGTTTGGGAAAGCTTTAATGTTGAGTTTAAGATTAAACGAAGAAGATTTAATACTTCATGTTATCGAGAGTATTCCAACTCATGATAGTAAGTAATTATTTGATTTACTAAATTTTGATTTGATAAAGTGATAATATTGCACTGGGGGTGTTGGTTAACGGTTATTCGATTATATTGGTGGGAGGGGGGGGGGTTATTGATAGAAAGAAAATATCGGGGAGGTCCAAATGTTTTAAAATAAAATATTACGATAACAAAGTAAATTTATGTTAGTTCTGAGCTACATAACCTTCTGAGACTTTTATTTTGGTTGTTTTTGTTCTTTGTATGACATATTTATTATTATCATGGCCCTGCATTGGATGGACAATGAATTATTTCAATGACCTTGCCTAATTGTGCGGTATATTGGTGGCAAAGTTTAATAAATATATATATATATATCACTTAAAATCCGGAGAAACTTTTATCTTTTATGTATTAAATGCCTGGATTACAAATTTTCAAACATATATATATATATATATATATATATAAATATGTTAATAGACATGTTTGACTAATTGGCATGCAACATTTGTATTTTAGTTTTGCTGATCGTGCAGAATCTTAGTGACGAATATGTAAATAAAGTTTTAAATTTTGTTGCCAAACAAATGGAGAATTCAAAACATTTACATTTTTATTTGCTGTGGTGTTATCATCTTCTTACTTCTCATGGTGCGAAGTTAAAGCAAAGTTGTACAGAAATAATGCCTTTACTACGGACCTTACAGAAGAACCTCACCAGACATTTGAAAGATCTTGGAAAACTGTAGGTTGAATATCATTGTTTGAACAAAAATATCGCCGTTTGTATTCAAATCTGGGAGCACTGCGCTTATTTAATGAGGGGAGAGCAGAAAAGTATGAAAACATTCAAAATATGTTTTCACAAAATTATCTTGTCTGTTGAAAAAGTGGGGAGGCATTGCCTACTTGCCCCCTCCCCTTCCTTCTCTGTACCCCCCTTCCTTCTCTGTGCCTCCCCTTCTCTGTACCCCCTTCCTTCTCTTGTGCCCCCTTCCTTCTCTGTAACCCCTTGTCTTCTCTGTAACCCCCTTCCTTCTCTGTGCCTCCCCTTCTTTTTCTGTGCCCTGCAAATCATCGTTATAATAAACGAGCACTGGTTATTTGTTTATATACTGCAGCCTGTTTGACAATTCAAAACGCTTACACTTTACAATTGCTGACTAGTACATAACTATAAGAAGAAGTAACGAGTGCTCTTTTCTTTAGATGTGACAGTAATCGTTATAATCTTCAATATATTTTACAAAACTGCCAATTTGTCGAAAGATGCGAAAATGACACAAACAATCTTATGGCAACCGATATTGACATGGAAAATCTTACGTAAATAGTCAGGTATTAAATTTATTTTTAAAAAATTATTAACCCATCTCCCATGCATTTTCAATATTAAACTTTGTTATTTACTTTTCACATTTGCTACTTATGTACTCAAATTAAAGCGGGTTTTGTACACCTTATAGTTACAATCCGAGCTTTTTACTATGCACATTCAAACCCTACTTTGAACATTTAACCCTCTAGAGGCCTTTGTTGCTCACAGGCAACAATCACCAAACGAGATGTGTAAGAACTTTTGAAAAGGCACGGCTCCCAGTGCGTTAAACCTTTGGTGCAGGGGTCTCCAAACTTTACAGCCAGAGGGCCACATGAACTTTCATCCAGCATGTTGAGGGCCGACGAACCGTATACCGCTGGTCAAAGAGCGAATATTTTAATAAAACGAAGTACATTACACAAGCTTCATTAGTTAAGAAAATATTTATTCAAAATTTAAAGGTTAAATTTCAACCAAGAGTAGTATCATAACAAAATCACAATTAGTCTGTTCAGTTTTCTCAATGTGAGTGGTGAAATTGGCTCTCTTAAGTGTCTCTGGGCCGGATTAATCTCGTTAGTTTGGAGACCCCTGCTTTGGTGTATAGTACAATGAACATTTAACCCTTTGGTGTATAGTACAATGAACATTTAAACCTTTGGTGTATAGTACAATGAATATTTAACCCTTTGGTGTATATAGTACAATGAACATTTAAACCTTTGGTGTATATAGTACAATGAACATTTAAACCTTTGGTGTATAGTACAATGAACATTTAAACCTTTGGTGTATAGTACAATGAACATTTAAACCTTTGGTGTATAGTACAATGAACATTTGAACCTTTGGTGTATAGTACAGTGAACACAACCCTTTGGTGTATAGTACAATGAATATTTGAACCTTTGGTGTATAGTACAGTGAACACAACCCTTTGGTGTATAGTACAATGAACATTTGAACCTTTTGGTGTATAGTACAATGAATATTTGAACCTTTTGGTGTATAGTACAATGAATATTTGAACCTTTTGGTGTATAGTACAATGAATATTTGAACCTTTTGGTGTAAAGTACAATGAACATTTAAACCTTTGGTATAGTACAATGAATATTTGAACCTTTTGGTGTATAGTACAATGAATATTTAAACCTTTTGGTGTAGTACAATGAACATTTAAACCTTTTGGTGTATAGTACAATGAATATTTGAACCTTTTGGTGTATAGTACAATGAACATTTAAACCTTTTGGTGTATAGTACAATGAACATTTAAACCTTTGGTGTATATAGTACAATGAACATTTAAACCTTTTGGTGTAAAGTACAATGAACATTTAAACCTTTGGTGTATAGTACAATGAACATTTAAACCTTTGGTGTATAGTACAATGAACATTTGAACCTTTGGTGTATAGTACAGTGAACACAACCCTTTGGTGTATAGTACAATGAATATTTGAACCTTTTGGTGTATAGTACAATGAACATTTAAACCTTTTGGTGTATAGTACAATGAACATTTAAACCTTTGGTGTATATAGTACAATGAACATTTAAACCTTTTGGTGTATATAGTACAATGAACATTTAAACCTTTGGTGTATAGTACAATGAACATTTAAACCTTTGGTGTATAGTACAATGAACATTTAAACCTTTGGTGTATAGTACAATGAACATTTGAACCTTTGGTGTATAGTACAGTGAACACAACCCTTTGGTGTATAGTACAATGAATATTTGAACCTTTGGTGTATAGTACAGTGAACACAACCCTTTGGTGTATAGTACAATGAACATTTGAACCTTTTGGTGTATAGTACAATGAATATTTGAACCTTTTGGTGTATAGTACAATGAATATTTGAACCTTTGGTGTATAGTACAATGAATATTTGAACCTTTTGGTGTAAAGTACAATGAACATTTAAACCTTTGGCGTATAGTACAATGAATATTTGAACCTTTTGGTGTATAGTACAATGAATATTTAAACCTTTTGGTGTAAAGTACAATGAACATTTAAACCTTTTGGTGTATAGTACAATGAATATTTGAACCTTTTGGTGTATAGTACAATGAACATTTAAACCTTTTGGTGTATAGTACAATGAACATTTAAACCTTTGGTGTATATAGTACAATGAACATTTAAACCTTTTGGTGTAAAGTACAATGAACATTTAAACCTTTGGTGTATAGTACAATGAACATTTAAACCTTTGGTGTATAGTACAATGAACATTTGAACCTTTGGTGTATAGTACAGTGAACACAACCCTTTGGTGTATAGTACAATGAATATTTGAACCTTTTGGTGTATAGTACAATGAACATTTAAACCTTTTGGTGTATAGTACAATGAACATTTAAACCTTTGGTGTATATAGTACAATGAACATTTAAACCTTTTGGTGTATAGTACAATGAACATTTAAACCTTTGGTGTATATAGTACAATGAACATTTAAACCTTTGGTGTATAGTACAATGAATATTTGAACCTTTTGGTGTATAGTACAATGAACATTTAAACCTTTTGGTGTATAGTACAATGAACATTTAAACCTTTGGTGTATATAGTACAATGAACATTTAAACCTTTTGGTGTATAGTACAATGAACATTTAAACCTTTGGTGTATATAGTACAATGAACATTTAAACCTTTGGTGTATAGTACAATGAACATTTAAACCTTTGGTGTATATAGTACAATGAACATTTGAACCTTTGGTGTATAGTACAATGAACATTTAAACCTTTGGTGTATAGTACAGTGAACATTTAAACCTTTAGTGTATAGTACAGTGAACACTCAACCCTTTGGTGTAAAGTACAATGAATATTTGAACCTTTTGGTGTATAGTACATACTCAATGATAGTTTCTTGATCTGTTTGGATTAAACGAAGAAATTTGTGCAAAGGAACTCTACATTTTAATCAAGAAGTCTGTTTTGGCCTTGCAGTTTTCTTTCTCATACCTACGTGTTTAAGTGTTGGCGTATTGATTCGCATTGAATTTTACACAAAATGATCATTTGTCCATATCATCTGTTTTTACTTATTGCAATTATGGTCCTACATACTGCTATCATCTCTGATATGTTTATTTTGAAACATAATGAACCAAAGATGTTTCTCAAAACCAACATCAATATGTTCTCTCGATTCAACACTGTTGATGTATTAATCGAGAAGAGAAAAACTATAGAAAACAAACCAAATTATGAATCTAGGTTTGAGAAAATAACTGGAAATGAAGAACGAACACACCAAATAACTGGGAATCAGATTCGAAGCAAAGTTGAGACAGTTAGTGTTATCACGTATGTTGTTGTTGGGATTGTAGTCGTTCTTTCTTCAGGCTGTTGTGTTATATGTTTCGTAATGCTATATAAGAATTCAAAGAAAGAAAATTCATACAATGATCAATCATTTAACGATGTTGTGGTCAATGACGATAAAATTAATTCACATCTTAATATCAAGAAAGATATGTTAGAGCATTTTGCAATAGATAAAGAAATTGTGTTGCCCGAGGACAAGCTTGAAAAATCCTTTGATTTCAACTTTAAGTCATGTAATTCAAAAGAATATCCCTGTTTTTGTCATGGAAACAACGAAATAATATTCAAATACTAAGCTAGAGTTTCATTTGAAGTACAATGTTTTTTTATGTTATATTCTCTGCTTAATTCTTGTGCTTTATCCAACGTTGTTGCATTGCTAAAATATGTTTAGTCTTGTGTGACCATTTTATAACAAATGTTCACTTGTGGCGAGTGAGTATGATTTGTTGTCATCTTGTACCATAAATGTATAATTGTAAATACTCATGTATAGATTAAAATAGACTATTTTTTATGTAAGTTTTGTTCTTGTTGGACATGTTAATGTATTTCACTGTGGGTGTGACAGTTTGAGGCAAGGGGAGGGGTGATAAACAGTAGCGTAGTCAGTAGATTTAATTAATCCCGCTCTGTAAATATATTGTTCATTTCCTTAGACTTCAATCTATTGTTTTCACGGTCTGTTAACATAAAAATATTTGCACAACGTAATGATTAAGGTAAATGGTTTGAACGCTTGAGTATCGTTACATGTTTGTAGATGTAGATCGTCCAGGTTGGTATAGTCCTGAGAAGGACTGTTTTTGTTGTTGTCGAAACGTCAGTCATTCGCTCATCACGACATCTTCATTTGCTTTAAAGGGGTAACTGTACGGAGTAAAACCTTACTAAGTTGATAGATTTAGTCTATTTGATTGTGTTTCTGACGTTGAACAATTTCACTGCCTTTTAATATAAAGAATATTCAACCTGCTACTATAGCAATCCTGTATAGTGTAAACGGGGCCTAAGAAGTCGGGCTTGTACCATACTATTCATGAATTATTAGTAGATGCAAATGCTTAAAGGATAGGGGTTAAGATGGAGGGGGAATTTTAAGCTGAGGGAAGTAAGAGTTCGGTAGATAAGAGTGTATTTAATTATGGAAAAGATTATTAAGTGAATGGGTGTGCCTTTATTTTATTTTTCTGTAGTAACATTTTCTCGTAATATTTCAAGTTAACTACGTTTTTACACGAACTTTTATTACAAAATCAACAAAACGAGAAAAAACTGCACTACAGTATGATGTATGAAGTCAGTAAATTTTTCGTATTGTCACACATGTGTTGAAGAATGAAAAGAAAAATATAAAAGTTTGAAAATTGTGCTAATGAAAGGTCGGGAAGTGGAAAATATCTTACAATAAAATTGAATATTGTTAATAGTTTCTACTCTTAAAACGTAATCTTTTGAATTCTTTACGATAAACATTAATTACGCCAATCGTCCAAACTTTTGATTCAGTCGTGCTATAATGTTTGGTGGAATGCATTTCGGTGATCGACATCATCTACCCCCACCCCCACAAAAAATATTTTTGTCATGCCATTGCATCATCTTTAAAAAGGCAGAGAAGACATTAATGATATCAATATAGGCTATGTAAGTATTTTTTCATTTCTCTTGGTGGAATATATTTTTAGACAATGGATTGAAGTGCACTGAATTTATGAATTATATCAAAATCTCTTATTCAATGTAGCAATTATTCCGTAAATTGTGACAACATAGCGGTTAACCATTGTAAGTTTTGGTTTCAAAATTGTTGACAAAGCGAAAATATAATTTCTCTTTTTTCTTTTACTTCATGTGCAAATAAGGGAATGATTTACAAACAATTGCATTGTAGTGTCAACATTACAGCTACTAGTGTCAGTAGTTGTAAAATCTATAAGTGTAAAATCTTACCTTCGTAGGAAAGATTATTGAGTTCATAACATACGCAATACGTTTCATCATTTGAGTCGAAATTTTAGCTCAATTTTATCAAAATTAGACGGAATTTTGCAGTTTTAGGTTGAAGTAAGGTCTTTAGTTGCGTTATAGTTAACTTCTGTTGAAATAACAAGATTTTCTTGCTGTGTGCTCGCGGAAGTCGTAATTATTCTTACCTTGAATATTTGGCTTTATTTTTTTCTGGTTTTAGTTAACTTTAGTATGTTTTAATGATTTGAATGCTCAAAAATCGAGAAAATCCAATATATCGAAAATAGCAGCATTCTTGATTTTTGTGAGAAGTAAAAATCCTTGAATTTACATTGCGTGATAGTTGAGTTTCTGAGAAACATTTTCATTTTCAAGGTATCACAACAAACCAACAAACATATACCGTGGTACCCAGGGTCTTGCGCATGTTTTAAATGTCACGAGACCATAAGTAATCTAGCGGTTTGTTAGATTTCAGATTTGTAAACGACCAATAGTTATCAATATGCCAAGGTATAAATCTGATTTGAAATTTCTGCAGTAAGATAAGATAATGATGAAACGTCTCACATAACCTACATAAAGAAGATACCAAATGTCAAAGAACATATTACAAGAAAACAAAATTGTTATTTTAGTATAGATATTCAGAGAGCAATAAAAATAAGGTGTCTTCTGTCTACAACACAGGAAAATCTATAAAAGTACTCGTACTTTCAAAGCAGTAGTCAGTCTTATAATAAGTGAAGATTGTTGTATACAGACTGTATCCTGATAAAAAGAGTTAAAATCTTCTATCGACGAATGACCCAGTTTTTGGCTTAATGACAAAAGTGCCGACAATATAATTTTTAAGTTTGTTTTGTTTCTTTTTAAAATTTTAGTGGAGTGTTTATCATGATGGGCGACAATGAATCCTTGTCATCGGGATTTTCTTCCATTGAGACGAGTCGTGATAACTCGTTACAATTAGATGAAATGTATTACTTGAAATTTAATCACAAAACAAAAAAAACATCTCAATGTTACAATGAAGAAGAAACAAGATGTTCATGTCCCAACTCACACAAAATAGAACAATTACAAAAAGAAAATTTGTTTTTAAAATCACGTATCAATGCTTTAGAAATCAACATGACGCAAACACTAAATGAAAACGCGTTGTTAAGAGCCGAAATTACCAATAAGATGGACAATAAATTTACTCAAGAAAGTGCAAGTTATTTGCAAACAATGAACGCGAATAAGGACAGCATTGCACGAAGCGATGTTTTGAGAGATAAAGAAGTAAACGAGAGAAAAAGGCAGTCTGTATTTAATGAGTTATTCAAGGAAACAGCTCCAAAACCAGCTAAATAAACTTGGAGTTATTAATTGTAAATGCACCTTTCTTTCAGTAATGTAATTACATTTAATTAATTTAATTAATTTATATTAGAATAGCATATACGCTTTATAGCTGTGTAAATACTGAATACATCATTTCTACATTGTTTTTGTTAGTACATAGGGGAACATTTTGTTAGTAAATAGGTGAACATGGAATTTTACATAATCCATTACTGATTACCATGATTTAAATGAGAAATATGCTACAGTAAACATGCCTCAACTTTATTGTTCTTTACGTCAGTGTGTTTGCTAACCTATGCTATTTTATTTTGTGATCAAATAAGTAAGTAAGAACTGTTGCTTATACTGTATTTCAATTGGCTTACTTTAATCACATGACCAAAAACATAATATAATATTGACTAAATGTTCGTTCTAAGGATAGACATTGATTAAAGGCAATTTTTACAGTTATCAGTATAAGATGGATGGAATGTATATCATGTAGTTTGGTTACAAGTACCATTAAATAGATATTTTTACTTTTTTTTAAATAAATTGAGAACTAGAATCATATCGGAAAAAAAGATATATTTTGTTTCACAAATACATACAGTACTTCAGTACATTACACAATAACTATTTTCTAAATTACTATGATCGTTAATCGTCATTTTTTGCTGTAATTCAAGCTTCAGATAATGCTGCAACACCGGGTAATGTTTTTCCTGGAAATATAAAACATCATGTAACTAGATTGATCGTCTCCCTCCCCCCCCTCGGTATAACGATGATAACACTATAACACCCTACCTTCGAGCAACTCTAAACTTGCTCCACCTCCTGTGCTCACGTGACTAACTAGGTCCTCAGTTTTGTATTTGGCAGCACAAGTTGCTGTGTCACCGCCACCTTAAGAAGAAATTTCATTGTTTCAGTGGCATAGAAATGGCGAGAGATTGAAAGTTGCGATTCCTTTGTTTACTTTAAGTGAGAATAACAGCATTAGCTGTAGCTAAAAACGTTTCGTTTTACTCATATTCGATCGTTAATTATGTCTGAATTTTTTCAAAAAAAAAGCACTTTATCTCTTATAAACGGAATTAAAGTTCCCAGCTGTTGCTTTAATGATAATCCATTTTCGTCTTTGAAAACATGAAAATCATCAGAACAGAACAGAACAGAAGTCAGAATGGTTTTAAATATTACTTACCAATAATGGTGGTAGATCCATTCTTCGTTGCTTCAACTACGGCAGCCATTACAGCCTTGGTACCATGGGAGAAATTATCAAACTCAAAAACTCCTGGAGGACCATTCCAGACAATTGTGTGACATTTTGGGATGACTTCTTTCGTGAATTTTTCAATAGTTTTTTCACCAATGTCAAGTCCCATCCAACCATTTGGAATACCATCTTCTAACGTTGTCTTTCCAACTTCAGCATCATTAGAAAACTTACTTCCTATTTTGAAATCAACTGGGAAATGCAGCTCAACGCCATTCACTTTGGCTTTAGAAGATATTTTTTCAACAATTTTTGAACCTTCTTCATCAAATAAAGAGTCTCCAATCTATACAAAATGATTTTGAAAAAAATCAATTCTATGACTAGGTTACAAAAAAAAACACTTTCATAGCTAACTAGAGTTTAATGTTCAGCGCAATACACAAATCAAAATATACTGAATTATCTTCTCTTCCATTCAATACAATTGTCATTTTATTTTACCTTCATATTATAAAGAACTTTGGCAAATGTAAAAGCCATTCCTCCCGCGATTATCATCACATTTACTTTATCCAACATATTTTCAATCAATTGTATTTTATCTTTGACTTTAGCTCTACACAATAAAAGTTGTTTTCATTGAAATCATTTGTAGTATTTCACAAATGTCGAGAGATCTGCAACGCGCTTCATTTTTTGTTGTTCTTGAATATGATACAAAAACACAAAAATCCAACACTTTGGCTACATCTATCTTGGATGACGTCACTTCGCTATATCCATGTACGTAAATGTGTCATTAATGTTCATCGACTCATATATCTTATCTTGCAAGACAAATGTTACTTACCCACCTAATATGGCCAGAAGAGGTCGAACTGGAGAATCTAAAGCTTTTGCATATATCTTATCTTGCAAGACAAATGTTACTTACCCTCCTAATATGGCCAGAAGAGGTCGAACTGGAGAATCTAAAGCTTTTGCAAAATACACCAATTCTTTCTTTAACAGAAAACCAGCAGCTTTCAAAGGCAAATTAACTCCAACCATTGAGCTGGGAATATTGAATTTCAAAACAAACAAGATATAAACTTTATATAAATCTTACTCGTACGTCAAAACAATTCAATAATTCACTTTCAAACTGCAACATTTTCAACCCATTAGAATTTATTTTAAAGTGAATAAATATCACCTGTGTGCTCGATGAGCTGTCCCAAATGCATCGTTTATGTAAATGTCACCCAATTTTGACAAACTTTCCCGAAATTTTTTCACATTTTCTTCACTTGCTTTTATCTGATAAAAATATACAAAAAGTTTTGAAATTAGAATGGTTTATAATGTTTGTTCTTCAAATCTTCAACAATAATGACATCACAAAAATAAACTTCAACAAAAGCAAGAATATATATTGTGACTTTCAAACACCAACAGATGTTTTCACATTTTAGTTTTTAAGAAAAATTTCTAAAGACGACAAGATCACAAAACGGAGGAAAAAAGATGATGAACAATTATAGTTGCAATTTGAAAACTACATTAGCAATTTTTTTGCTAACAAGTTTTATTCTGCTTTTACTGGGAGTATTGGGAAACCTGGCTGTTATTATTTATAACATTTGTATGACGAGAAAGAGAGATGCCAGTTGTTTATTGATAATCCATCTTGCGATAGCAGATCTACTCGTCACGTTAGCACTACGCTTCCTCAAAATTACACTTTTCATCTTTGGAATGAAGAAAATCATGGAAAGATCTTTTTCAGAATAAATCACAACAGTATTTATACTTCGGTATTTCTCTCTGTTACCATTTTACTTTTTATAACAATCGATAGATTTTTTTACGTATTAAAACCTTTAAAGTACGAATTTATTGTCACAAAGAAGAGAGTTTCGTTCGTTCTTTGTGGCATTTGGTCGACAGCTTTAATTCTGTTGGTCATTTTGTTTATATATGATGGAGAAAGTGAAGATGACAATCAGCCTAACATCCTGATTTGGATCACGATAGTTATTTACCTAATCACAATCTGCATCATAGCCTTTCTCAATTACAAAATGTTAAAAATCGTCAAATTACAAAAACAGCGTATGTCGCAAGCTTTTAAAGAAAATACACAGAAATCAAAAAAGAAGTCAACATTGTTTCATCGTGTCATAAATGAAGCAAAAACCATAAAAACATTTGCTATAATTGGTGCAGTTCTAACATTTTGTTTTCTCCCTTACGTCGTTTTACTGATTGTAATGACACAAGTGAAGGAACCAAATTGTCAAATAAAATTAGTGATTTTGGAGTTGATTGGTATCAACTCTATTGCCAATGCATATATTTATGCTCTGAGACACAAAAAATATACTATTGCTTACAAACAGCTTTGTCTTTCTTTATGTTGCAGTTGCAATAATTTAAATGTGTAAAACATGTATTGACAGTAAATGAAAACTTTCGCTTCAGATAATTGAATTTTAATTTTTGTTTAGAATAATTAATAAAACATTGTTTCGAAATATTACCTAAAATGAACATTTAACTGTAGTAATAAATAAGAACAGTTTAGAAATTAAAATGTGTAAGAACTTTCAAAAATTGATGTAGCACGATAAAACAATTACTAGACAATTTCACCTTCTTGCCATCTTTGTCAACACCTTTTCCTTCTTCTTCAATATGAAAACGCAAGTTCTCAAGAAGTATAACTGTCCCTGAATACCATAAATTTGTTCAAGAGTCAGAAGAGCTGCCATCTTTTACAGTTGTACCTAAGATTTTTGACATTATACCTTTGGCTGGTTTAGCACATGCAGTTTCTACATCATTACCAACACAGTCAGGGAGAAATTGTATATCTCTAAAGTGTAGTTGAATTCATAACATTATTGTGATTTGAAAGAATTTCCATGTGAGCTCATTATTTAACTCAACAACAAAAATTTGCTATACATTCACTTACTTTCCTAATAATTTCTTTAACTCTTCAGCAACAGGAGAAAGAGAATACTTCTGGTTAATCATACCATCAGGTCGTCCGAGATGACTCATCAAAACAATATTATTGGCATTGTTGTTCAAACAGTGTTTAATAGTTGGTAAGGCAGCAACAATTCTATAAATAATTATTTTGTAATGTTCAAAATTGTGCAAGCCTTATTAACATTTTGCATTGATACGCACCTCTGGTTATTGGTAATTTCTTTTCCATTCAATGGAACATTAAAATCAACTCTTAAATAATATAAAATCAACCATTAGATAGTTTTTAGCTTGTATCAACTCATTTGTAAATATTTGCAAACAGTTTCTCTTCTCCAATCAAAAACACAATCTTCGGTGAGGACCAGTTTATATTATCAAAAATTACGAAAAGTAAGAATGTCCTTTATAAAATAATAACAAAATAATTACAGCAAATTTTTGCAAATTATTTAATATCGAGCTTTTAACGATCTCATTATTCAATGACAAGTCATTGTACATATTTTTGCAAACCTAATTAAAACTCTTTTGTTCGCAACATCTATTGCATCAATGCCAAGTTTATTCAAAGCCATTTCTTCAATAAAATATTGACTGAAGCTATTGAACAATGATTCCAGACAGACAAACACTGTTGACTTAACTTTATCGTGCACTTCTTCATGAAATCACGAAACATTCGTGTCAAACAATTGTCCACGCGTGACACCATTGGTGAGACCATCACTAACTGGATCCACAACACTGACCATAATGTATTGCAGACGCACCCTATACAGGCCAGATGTAATCCACGATGTTTCTCGACCAAAATTCACCGCAATGATTCAACAAAGGAAAGCAAGAACATAAGATCTTTCTTGGCATTATTGGTTGTGAATTTGTAAAGAATTATTGCAACGTTCACAAAGTATTTTTTCTAACAAATCGGTTTATCCACGTATACATATTTTTGAAATAAAAGTTTTTTAAATAATGTCTTGTATTCGTTCTTTGAAAACGATATCTCATCGTCTCAGTCGATCAACGAGTTTAGATGGTCATATAAAACCATTGTATTTGGTAAATGGTTTTCGTAAAAAATGCAAATATTCCTCGTCCAGCACGACAGTGAACCAACAAGGTATTGAATTTTTGAGGACATAAATAATTGTACAAGTTTTGTTTCTCATATGGAGATAACACATGTGGAGTTTGGTTGTAAAGATTGTTGGGTTTTTCTTGCTCTATATTTATTATAAAAGATGTTAAGGCTGTTGAGAAGGGTCAGCAGATACTGGGGGAGGGTAGTAACTATTGTGGAGTGGTGTCAATAAATACTGTGAAGTGAGGGCAATAGATATTGTGGAGTGGGGGCAATACAGAGATAATCTAATTAAAAGTTCAGACATGCTAAGAGTAAGATGGACATTTGTTATTCATAACATCTATATCGACTTTCTTCTGTATTATCTAGAATATTTTGGCAAATGCAAATTCAAAAAGAACCAAAATTTCACCAATTGATGTTGTATTTAATATGACTTGTGACATAAAACCATAGCATGAAACCATTGAACTAAAATACATGGAACACTACCTGTAATAGAAAAGTCACGCGTGTATAGTTAATCAATTTTCAGAACTTGAAACACAACACATACATGTCTGGATGGAATCTTGTGTGTCTGGGTGTAAGATTTGGCTTCAACTATTTTCTCTAGGTAGCATTCCATGTATTTTAGTTCAAAGCATGAAACATACTTAGACACTGAAGAACACTATAGAAAGTAATAATTTTTCTAGAATGGCAGATTCATGTCAATTTTTGATCATATTCAAACTATGTTACTTTGGTATAATTTTGCTTTTTAATTCAGGTTTTTTTAAGGGAAATATTGGAATTGTAAAAAATCAAAGTTTTTCTACCTCATCTAACAACCAAACATCGGAGGTAAAAGATAATATTTATACTTAAGTCTTTTCATGTCTAATTTTACCATTGAAAATTTCTAGTCAGAAATTGATCAGAATATAATGGATGAAGAAAATGTTGTTAAGGTTATCCAGGAGACCGAATCAGTGTCTGGTTTGTTTTTATTTAATTTTTCTGTCATTTTTTCATCCATATTTATGTTTTATGTCTCTTTTGAACATTGAGGTCCAAGTGATACTTACACATTTCAAGCTGAAACTCGAAGATTGTTGGATATTGTAGCTCAATCACTTTATTCTGAGAAAGAAGTATGTTGTTTTTTACTAAATTATGAATTGATTAAAATAAGTTAACTATCATCTCTCCTTGTTGACATATTTATTACATAATTATCAGAATATCTTCTATTTTGGCCTAATTTCTTATGCAGTGTTAAAGTTTGTTAAGTTTAATATCTTTTTTTATAAATATGGCTTTTTATATTTGCAATATAATTCATTATGAAAATTTGATTTCATTCAAGTTCACTGTTACTGTCCCCAATCTGTTGTTGAGACAACATGTGTTATATGTTACATGCTATTTATTGATCAACTCTATATGTACACAGGTTTTCATAAGAGAACTTATATCAAATGCATCTGATGCACTAGAAAAACTACGTCATTTATTCTTGACTGGAACTGACATGACAGAGAAAGAACAATCACTGGAAATTCACTTGGCAACAAATGAAGAAAATGGTTCTTTTATCTTACAAGATTATGGCTGTGGCATGACTAAGGAAGAGTTAATCGAAAATCTTGGTACAATAGCCCAGTCTGGTTCTAAAGCATTTGCTAATAAACTTCAGCAAAGAGATGATGTTGAAATGACTGCTGAAAACATTATTGGTCAGTTTGGAGTTGGATTTTATTCTGCTTTTATGGTTGCTGATAAAGTTGATGTGTATACCAGATCATATAAGCCAAACAGTAAGGGATACTTATGGTCATCTGATGGGTATGTTAAACAACATTGTTTTTTGACACAAAAATTTTGCCATTAATAAGTGCAAATATTTTTGTTTTGCTAAAGATCTGGTAGTTATAACATTGCTGAAGCTGAAGGTGTTGCTAGAGGAACAAAGATGATTGTTTACTTAAAAAATGATTGCAAACGATTTTCATTGAAAACAGAAGTAGAAGGTATGATTTGTTTTCTAAGATAATATTGATACATGCAAAGATGTTAGTATGTTGTAACATGTCAATATTTTGTTTCCCAGAAATCATTAAGAAATACAGTAATTTTGTTGGATTTCCCATATTTCTTAATGGCGTTTGCATCAATACAATTGAGGTGCGATGCTAACTTTGTGTAATTTAATTTCTTATGTTGTAATGAACAGGATTCAACAAGTGTAAGATAAAACAACGCTTTAATGAATTTTTTAGCCTTTGTGGACGTTGGATCCAAAGCAAGTAACAGAAGAACAACATGAGGTAAGTTCATATCTTTATTTTAGTGAACAGTAATCTTGGAATAACAATATTCAAAAACAAAATATGAGAAAATTTAAAATACTTTCATTCATATTCATATGTCACAATTTACTTTTTATGAACGCTGATGTTCATCAATTTTATAAATATTTTTTATTTACGGCTTTTTTAGGAATTTTATCGTTTTATTTCTCATACCTTCGACAAGCCTCGTTATCATTTTCATTTCAAAGCTGATGCACCTTTAAATATCAGAAGTGTGTTCTACATACCCGATCGTGCGCCGGAATTGTACGGCGTCGGCCGAATGGAGTCTGGAGTCAGCTTATACAGCCGTCGTATTGTAATTCAGACAAAATCAGATAAACTACTTCCAGAATGGTTACGTTTTGTTCGTGGTGTAGTTGACAGTGAAGATATTCCTCTTAATCTAAGTCGAGAAATGCTTCAAGATAGCGCTTTAATCAAGAAATTGAAAGACGTTCTTACAAGACGTATTGTTAAATTTCTTCATGAGCAATCGCGCAAAGATCGTGTCAAATACGAGGAATTTTTTAAGGAATATGGTGTATTCCTTAGAGAAGGTGTGGTCGTAACAAATGATGATCATATGAAAGAAGATATTGCGAAACTTTTACGGTTTGAATCATCCAGTGAAAAAGCGGGCGATCTCATATCTTTAGAAAATTATGTTGCCAGAATGAAGCCTGTTCAGAAATCTATTTATTATATTTGCGCTCCAAGGTTTGTTTTTCTTATCACCTTTGTTGTAGATCACCATTATCATCAATAACCATTATCGTCAATCACCATTATTGTCAATCACCATTATCATCAGTCACCATTATCATCAATCACCATTATTGTCAATAACCATTATAGTCAATAACCATTATAGTCAATCACGACTATCCTCAATCACCATTATCATCAATCACCATTATTGTCAATAACCATTATAGTCAATAACCATTATAGTCAATCACGACTATCGTCAATCACCATTATCATCAATAACCATTATCATCAATCAACATTATCATCAATCAACATTATCATCAATAACCATTATCATCAATCACCATTATCATCAATCACCATTATCATCAATCAACATTATCATCAATAACCATTATCATCAATCACCATTATCATCAATAACCATTATCATCAATCAACATTATCATCAATAACCATTATCATCAATCATTATCGTCAATACCATTATCATCAATCATTATCATCAATCCATTATCATCAATCATTATCGTCAATCATTATCATCAATCATCATTATCATCAATCATCATTATCATCAATCATTATCATATTATCATCAATCATCATTATCATCAATCACCATTATCATCAATCACCATTATCATCAATCACCATTATCATCAATCACCATTATCATCAATCACCATTATCATCAATCACCATTATCGTCAATCACCATTATCATCAATCACGACTGTCGTCAATAGCCATATCATCAATCACCATTATCATCAATCACCATTATCATCAATCACCATTATCATCAATCACCATTATCATCAATCACCATTATCATCAATCACCATTATCATCAATCACCATTATCATCAATCACCATTATCATCAATCACCATTATCATCAATCACCATTATCATCAGTAATCGTTATAGTGACCTTTAGATCACTTTTATCGTTAACCACCTTCATCATCTTCAACAGCCGTCAACTTGCCGAATCTTCACCTTACTTTGAAGCTTTAAAGAAAAACGATGTAGAGGTACGTATACGTGGAGATAGAAATGTTGCTATATCGTTGTTGGAAATTTTTTTATTTATCCTACGTATGATACTGCGTTTATTCATATCATCTGGATTTATTCTAAACGAAATAATATCAAACATTCATATTTTTATTTTAAGGTTTTATATACTTATGATGATAATGATGAGATGGTTCTTCATCAATTACGAAAATTTGACGGAAGAAACGTGACGTCAGCAGAAACATATTTATCAACAAGTGGAGAATCTGATGATGTAGATGATAAAATGTCAGGTAGGTTACATTCGTTGTTTTTTAAACTGTAATTGTTCAGAGATATTTGTTTTTATGGAGTTCAAATAACTGAAAAACTGGTGTTAAAAAGGCAAACTGAAAAATCTGTTTCTGATGATATTTTAATGACATACAGCGTTCTTTATTACGAATTAAGTCAATGCTATACAGAAGAATTTTAGATTAAAAATAATTTTATTATTTTATCTTTATAACTTTATCAATTGAATTATTTCAACTCCTCGAAGATAACAATGTGGATTTTATTTATTAAAATTGCCATAATGAAATTATCTTATTGTGTAAAAAAATAATTTGACTTAATTATCAAGATAATGAAAGTTTGTCACAAGAAAGTTCTGAAGAACTTGCCAAATGGATTGTGAATATTCTTGGAAAGCAAAAAGTCGCGGATGTTAAGGTTTCTTTCTTCATTTCAATAATCTTGTTAAGAACATATATTTTCTTGGAAATTATAAGGACATGATGTTTTTCACATAAAATGAGGTTTTAGAGGACTTGACGTTTTGAGAGGAACTTAAGTTTTTAAAGGACATGGTGTTCTCATTGGATTTTATAATAAGATCAATAAAATTACAAACACATCAATGTAACATTGATACAAATGTGCAAAATACTTAATATAAACAAAAAAAATGTTACATCGTTTTTTAGGTGTCACATCGTCTCTCCAGTCATCCTGTAATGATTACTGTTGCTGATATGGCAGCAGCTAGACGTTGGTTAAAAATTATCAAAACTGCTCCTCACGCAGAACAGTTTGAAACGATGAAATACGATATAATTCAGCCAACAATGGAAATTAATCCAAGGTACATATAGCTTAAAAACCATGTCCAGCCGACAATATAAAAAACATAGTAAAAAACAAATTCCGAAGAAACAATATGTATATGAATCATGTTTAACTTCTACGTGATATAAGAAGTTTTTTATATTGTCATACTGTTTCATCATATATAAACTGACTGTAAAATGACTTGAAGAGTCCTACAACATTGAGCAATGCCATAAGAGTAAAAGAAACAGTTGATCGTGCATGAAATAACATTACATTTCTCCATCATAGGAATGATGTGATCAGAAAATTGCATTCCATTATGGATAGTGATCCCAAGCTTGCCAAACTTGTGGCTGAACAGGTATTGTTTTCTTAGAATTCGTATCACTTTCCTTGAATTTTAAATTATATTGAAAGTGAAAACTGGTAAGGTAAACTTTGTTACATTGGTATAAACAGTCATTCGTTGTTTTTTAAACTGTAATTGTTCAGAGATATTTGTTTTTAGTTATATGACAATGCTTTAATCTCTGCTGGTCTTGTCAATGATCCTCGACCTATGGTTTCTAGACTCAATGTCTTGTTGGAAAAAGTGCTCCAACCTCTTTAACTTAAAATGAAATTAAAAGTTTGTCAAGACTCTTCAAATGAAGGAAAGGCTAGATCAAGGCTATTTTGCTGATCCACACATAAGCTTGACTGTCAAATAGATGCTATTATGCTAATATTATTTTTACTTCGTCCTGAGTGGCATTGATGTAAATTGAGGGTAAACTTTGTGTGAATAACCGTACGCGATTTTTGCTCTTGGAAGGCCACGCCTATTTTGTCCCAAAATGTATTTTTAATCCTCTTGGGAGTCTAATCCTTATAAAATTGTACAGAAAATATACAACTTTGTTGTTGGATGATTTCCTTGTAAATGCACAAACTTTGTTAGTTTTTTACTCACACAGTAAATGTGACAATTTTAGTTGTCAAGTTGATTCATTCAGTCGTGGTTCAATTATTTAGCCAGACGAAACTATTGTTAGTTGTTGCTTATTATGTTTTGTAAGCTTAATGATTCTTTTAAGGCTTGTTATGCGAAGAAACAAATAAAAATTTTTATCTTTCGTTCTGATTACTTTGATCATGGTAGAAATATTTCAATAATTTTAAAATGTTTTCATTTGCCAAATATATTATCATACTTATTTTTAAAATTTTACATTTTTCCCAACTTGCCAGAGTCACTGCCATATACTTAATATGTAAGTCAGAGTGTTGTTAACTTATTCAATATTAATAATGACTTGATATGATCAGAAAAAACAGTAAACAGCCAAAGATAGCATGAAGAAATTTTATTATTTTAATATTCACATTTTCAAAGATCTGAAAACATTAATCACTTCATCATTAAGTGTGACATAAATATCAAAGTTTACTCATGTGTTAAAATCACCAAGAAATGCTTAATTAATAACTGGCAATGACACACATATGTGAAATTGTCAAAGTTTTGTAGAGATATGCAAATTATTGAGTGTAATGATAAAGAATTTATGACTTTGTGTGCAATATCAAAGCAACAATTAAGCCATATAGACCAAGAACTTCAGCAAAGATGAGGATTAGAATCATTCCAACAAAAAGACGAGGTTGCTGTGCAGACCCTCGAACACCAGCATCACCAACAATACCAATGGCAAATCCAGCAGCCAAGCCACTTAAACCAACACTTAAACCAGCTCCTAAATCTAAGAAACTCCTGAAATAGAAATAATACCTTTCTTCACAATAAAATAAAGACAACATTCAGAATTTGAAGGTACATACTTGAATAATGTATAGCTTGAATCCACTGCAAAAAAAAACAAAAAAACATTTATGTGAATGACCAGGTAGGAATCAAACAAACACTTAAATGAATGAATGGGCCCTTTCAATCAATAATTATAATCAAATATTGCTTCAATGATATAAAAAAACAACAAAATAAGATTCAAATAAGGAAGAAAAGATATCAAGAAATAGTTGACGAAAGTTGACTTCTTACACGTGATCAATCTTTGAAAACGAATTATTATGTAAGTAGAGCATGCGACAATCGATAATCAGTTGAAATTCTCTTTCAACATTGATAACAAATTAAAAGCTAATATATTTTGAAAAGAAATTAGATGCATGTTGTAGCATTTTTCATTTTTAATCTATAAAAACTGTAAATTTATACCCAAAAACGTTTATCGAGGAACTTACTTCCATTGCCGATCAAAGCACCAACAACTAAACCATAAATACCAAGAATTCCAGCCATAACAACTGGTATAACAGATCTCATAATTAGCTCTGGTCTCATAACACTCATCGCTGCAATACCTGTCCCACTTTTTGCCGTTCCATAGGCTGCACCTAGTGCTAAATATCAAATAATTATTTTTAGGAAACAAATATGGCAACTGTCTGATAACTCCACCTTCTTACCACTAAAAACCATGGCCGAAGTAGCACCCATTACTCCGAAAAAGTGAACATAAGGAGGTTTCATTGAATCGTCAGTCGACATATTCAAAGTTAAAGTTTATTACACAGTAAACGTGGTGGAAAACCTAAACGATTCTTATAAAAAATGTCGTAATGTTCGTTTCAGAATCTTTATCAGAATCACATGACAAGCCACAAGGTCTCGTTCCCAGGACCACGCGGATTTTACTATATTAAAATTACATGAAGTTATTCATGAAGAGAAGAGCAAACAAAATTGTAAATGATTGAAAGATTACATTGAAAAAATGCATTTGCTAACTTATTCTTTATTTTCTGCTCTTAGACAACAAATGTATTATAAAACTATTAAATGCAGTAGGGATTATATGAAACTTCGTATTTGTAGAGGTAGGTAGGTAAGAATTAGTTCTGGATAAGGATAAAATAAGAGATTTCTCATCTGCTTCTAAACAATAATGAACTTGAGATTATGAGATGAAATGACATTGCTTGTTACTTCTATGTTTTTGTTCACCACATTAAGGTTGTCGTGGAAATTTATTCAGTATTTTTCGCAAGAGAAATTCACCAAAGACATTGTCAAAACTTTCTATTAAATATTTATGTTCATCAAGTTATCATGTACCAAACAACGGTGAGAATTTTGTTATAACTTATAATAGAATAAAACCGCTTTTATTTTGCTATTACTGTATTTGTGTATTTTCTGTTATTATTGATTGATTAGATGGACAAAATGACAAAGGAGATTATAATTTAGTTCACAATAAAAATACTTATGTCACAGAAAGCAGAGCTATAAACGATTATTTACTTGATTCAAGGTAATATATTTGCTTTTATATTGTTATTAAATTGTTTCCATCTTGTGTGACAAAGTTCTTCATGTTTATTAGTGATTTGAAAGATCTTGAGAAAATAACCGTCCGTAATGCTTATAGTTCACAAGTGGAACTACCTATTTATTGTTATCTCAAATCTCAGGTTAAGAAAAGGTAAAATTGGTATAAATGTATCTGATGAGATTTAGATTAGTTCAGTTTTAATTACACTTCAATTTAGTTAATGTATGTAAAAAAATTGCTTCTGTGTTAGTTAACCAGTCAATCTTACCCCTCCCTCTCCATCATCTCATCTATAGGTTGTGAATAAAAATGCTGTGATTTTTATCTTAAATTCAGAGCTATAAATAAACATGGTAGTATTATGAATATAAAGCTCAAACATAAAGAAAGACAAAGAAAACTTGAATCAGATGAAGAATATAGGAGAGGTATAATTTGCCACCAATGTACGTAACTTGTTGTTTATGGTGAAAGGGGGTGAAACAGTAATAACTCATGGGGGTTTTCTGTTTTGGCCAAAATAGTGTCATGGTGACTAAGAAAATGAAGTTGATTCATTTCCAATGATTAATTTAATTGTGCAATAAATTTAATGTTTGATTCAAATGCATACGTAGATTTCAGTGGTTTTATTGGTCATTTGAAGAAAACTATAAAAGATCAAACAAAAATTGATGCAGATAAAAAGGTGAACATTGTGTCATGATTTATGAAAACCATTTATAGTGACAACAGTTTAATGTTGATGAATTTCAGGCTTTTGGTGGTTATGTAGAAAGGGTTAACTTTCTCAAAGGCTCTGCACGTGTTGTTACATATGCTATCATAAGGTTTAACATGTTGTATTTTATTTCTTCAACATTCCACATGTTTGCATATACAGTTATGAAATTTATCACTAAAATCAACTTTCATTTTTGTCCAACAGCAACTTTACTGTGATGATGTTTAAGTTTGGGGCATATTTTTACACTGGCTCAGCCAGTATGTTATCTGAAGCTGTTCATTCTTTAGCTGATTTTGCCAATCAGGTTAGCTTGCATATGTGTATAATAATTTAATGTCTTCATGATGTGTATGTATTATAGAGCATTTTTATATTAGACACTCACAATTTTCTGAGACTAAGATCTTCATGGTTGAATATTAAACCAGAAGTTGTGATAAAATTGAGAAGTACCTTATTTAAGTGTGATGCATAATCATGTTTATATTAAAACAAGAGATAAAAGATTTTATTGATGAAATGTTAGTGGCTTAAATATACTGTTATGTTAAAATAAATTTTATTTTTTTCTTCTGAAATTCTGTTTTTCAGTGTTTACTAGCAATTGGTATTTTGCAGTCTATAAAAGCACCATCAGCAGATCATCCGTAAGTTATCACAATATTTTCATATTAAAAATAAAAACTTGCTATAAACATGTTGTTTTGAAATGTTTAAATGTCATTCTTTGGTGCATGCTCTCCAAAAGATAACTGTGTATTGAATTATTGTGTAGATATGGATGGTCTCGTGCTCGATATGTATATTCCTTGATCAGTGGTGTTGGAATTTTCGTCCTTGGTTCAGGTGTATCACTTTATCATGGTATCAGTGATATATTCAACCCCCCTGTTCTTGCATCATTGCCTTTGGTAATTTTATAATGTTAATATTTTTTAAACATTTGGTTGATGACAATTTCAAAGAATTAGACGTATCTAGTGATGTCAATAAGAACATCATTATTAAAGACTATGAAATAAGAAAACTATCAAATAAAGATTTTCTTAGTTCTTAGTTTTAATAGTTGAGTTTTTTTAGTCAGACAATTGTTGTTTGATTTTGTTGTAGGCATTGTCTGTATTGTTTGGATCAATGCTTGCTGAAGGAGGTAGAAATTCCTAATCTAGATAAACTGTATATTTGTCTTCATATTTCTTGAAAACAGATTTTGTCATATTTCAGCGACATTGGTCATGGCAGTTAACCAGGTTTCAAAAAGTGCCAGAGAAACTGGTGTTTCATTCTCAGATTACGGTTAGTTACTGTCTATGACACTGAAGCTTCATTCTCAGACTGTGGTTAGTTATTTTCTATGATATTGAAGCTTCATTCTCAGACTGTGGTTAGATATTTTATGATTTTGAAGCTTCATTCTCAGACTGTGGTTAGTTATTTTCTATGATATTGAAGCTTCATTCTCAGACCGTGGTTAGTTATTTTCTATGACACTGAATCTTCTTTCTCAGACTGTGGTTAGTTATTTTCTATGACATTGAAGCTTCATTCTCAGACTGTGGTTAGTTATTTTTTATGATATTGAAGGTTCATTCTCAGACTGTGGTTAGTTATTTTCTATGATATTGAAGCTTCATTCTCAGACTGTGGTTACTTATTTTCTATAAAGTGAATGTTTTGAACCTGTGAGTATTATTACATGTTTGTGGATGTAGATTCGTCCAGGTTAATAGACGTTAATGTTGACTGATGTTTGGACAACCTCAGCGATAGTCATCTTCAGATTCATGACATTAACACCAGCTGTTCTTTTGTATGATACCAAAGTTTCATTCTCAGACTGCCTTTGTTATATGGTTGAAAACTTTATAGTACATTATGAAATATGGCAATGAAATTAATTCTTTACTTTGTTTAACGTCACTTACACAAGAACACCTTGAAAATTAGGGAAACACTCAAAAACATCCAACTTATATTGCTGTGTTATGACTTTAGTTAAAAAAGGTCGTGACCCTAGCGCTGTGGCAGTTTTAGCTGAAGATGGTGCTGCTGTAGCAGGCCTTTTGATTGCTGCATCATGTCTAAGTTTGACATCTTATACTGGAAATGTCGTGTTTGATGCAGTTGGCTCTATTGCTATTGGAGGTTATATAATTTTAATAATGATTTCCAAATATCTCTGTACATGTACAAAATTGTCAACTATATTGTGTATGTATGTTTTACTTTTATTGTATGCTTTCTTATGTTTATTTAAAATGATACAATTTTAAGGATTGCTTGGAATCGTGGCGATATTTCTGATCAGTAGGAATGCAGATTTTCTTGTTGGAAGGTATTAACAATTATAGAGGTCTCAAATTTAATTATTATTTGTGCCTGTTTACAAATGTAGTGAAGTCACGCACATTTTTTATAAAAGTATATATTTACGTAGTTGGGGTCGAGAAAGGATAGTTGTACAACACATTTGATATGGTGTAGGGACATGAATTTTCTCATCATACACACACCACAAAGATTTTTACGAGGATCATCCATGGTTTATGTTAGTTTGCAACTAATATTGCATGATTTATGTATAGATCAATACCTGAGGAGAGAATACAAAGAATTACTGATATATTGGAGGAAGACATTATGGTTAGGTAAAGAACAAACATACAATACATTTTCTTGATCATTGCTAGAAAACAAAGAATTACAAAGACTTTGCATTTTTTAGATCCATTCATGATGTTAAAGCAACAGAGTTAGGTGAGATGCAAATTCAAATTCTATAGTAATGTAAGTGTCCTTTTTACATGAAGTATTTTGCAGGTGCCGACACTGTTCGTTTTAAAGCCGAAATAAATTTTGATGGCAGAGAAATAACAAGACGGCATTTGAACAGGAAAGATATAGTACAGTTACTAAAGGTCAGTGTTATATTCAGTGAAGACATTTGGCAAAACTTTATTATATAAAAGAGAACTAGATTGTTGATAGTAAATGTGAACAACTGAACATAGCTATGAAGAATCTTTGACGAAACTTTGCCATATTTGTTTCTACTACATGTAACAGTGTATGTTGATTTTTTTCGATTTTACCAGGAAATACAAGAAATGCAGACACCTGAAGAACTTGAGAGATTGTTGATGGATCACGGGGAGCAAATTATTGATACTCTAGGGCAGGAAGTTGATAGAATTGAGAGAAATATAAAAGTCAGAATGATTAGCAGTGTAGAAATGCCATTGAGGCACGAAAACTAATGTCAAATTTCAACATTTCTTATAGAATAAAAATCCTGAAGTACGTCATGTGGATCTTGAAATTTTATAAATATGTTGTTACTTAATTGCATAACATCTGCAATAGCATGGTTTGAACATTGATGGTTGTCAAACGTTAACTTCATCTATCAAAACAACAGCAACATTAACACAAGGAAAAACATCAACAACAGCAAAAGTATTTTCACTTGTTTATTGTAAATTATAATTATTATAAAGCACTTGTTCATAATTATTCACAATATGTTTCGTGTAAAAAATGTTATTTATTAGACTATCAAAATAATGGCCCAAAGATTATACTTGTAAGCAGAGTTTTATTCAAATTTTTATTTTCATTGTCATTTGTGTGCCTTTAAATGCTTCCGTAAAGAACTCGGATCAGTGTACTGTTTAAAACATCCTTCAATCTTACAATGATATGGTTTGCTTTCCATGTGTGTTCTTGTGTGTTTAAATCTATCACTTGAGTTTGAATAACGCTTATTACATCCTTCAAAAGGGCATACATATGGTTTCTCACCAGTATGCGTTCTATAGTGGATCTTGAGATTTTCTAAACGAGAAAATCTTTTGTCACAATCTTCATAATGACAAACATGTGGTCGTTCTCCAGTATGTGTCCTTAAATGTATCAGTAATTTATATCTTGCATTAAAACCTTTTCCTTGCCTAACACAATCTTTCCAATGACATAAATATTCCCTTGCCTCTTTATGAGTTGGTACATGTTTGTTGTTTAAATGATCTACCAGTTCTTCAATCCTTAAAAACTGTTCATCACAATCCATCCACTGACATAAGTGTACCTTTGGTAGATGACTGTACAATGTTGAAACAGGAGTATGTTGATAAAGTGAGATATTGCCTGTGTTAATATGAACGAGATGTTCATTGTCATAATAACTTGGTATTAATATTGCATTTTGATTGGATGAACTTAAAATAATTGAATCATCATCTGACTTGCACAGTATCAATTCTGATGGCTTGGATTCTCCGACAGTAATAACTGGTGTACTACAAAACACTGAAGTAAGTACTGTAGTCTCTGAATGTGTTGATGGTAAGATATGATGATTATTAAATATTGCAGCTGTAGAACATTGAATAAAATCATCTCCAACTTTTTCATTTTCTACCATTCTGTGCAACATTAACTCAGCACCTTCATGTTTAGTTTTATCATCATTTTTAATTTGGCTCTCATCAATTAACAAATTTTCCTCATTTGATTCAAGTGAATTCATTTTGTCAGTAAGATTATCATCATCCAATATTTTATTTTGTTTTAAGAACTTCTGATTTGAAGTTTGAGAATGAAAGCTACAAACTTTGAGATTCTGTGAATCAACCTTTTCATCATCTTCATCATCATAAATGTTAACAATTCTTTTTGCACAATCCATATCAACAATTTGTATTTCTTGGAAAATTCTCCAATTAAACAGAATCCAAACGAAATAGCTAGAAAAGGTTTATAAATGTTATAAGTTTTGAATTTAATAATCCCTAATATTATAAGATAAAAAATAAAAATAAGTTGAAAGCATTACTATCCACGTACTAAATACAACTTAGATTTATAGATTATATAAATATGCTGAGATTTTTTGGACAATATCAATTTAATACAGCATAAATTTTAAGCAAGATTAATAAACACATAGTACTTACATGTTACTTATAACAACGGCGGTGTGTTTGATTTAATATTTCTTTGAAAATATATGATTAAAACGTTAAACACATAAAACATTTGTGTTATGAAACTTTCGCTATGTCTATATTCCTTTATATGCGCCCACTGTAGTTTAACACAAGGTGTCCCATTACTTCATTTACGATTCATATAAAACATTGTATTAATGTCTTTGTAAACCAGGACCAGAACAGCCAGAGTAGAGTGGTACCTTGTCAGCCTTGAGTGGTAAAAACGTCATTTTTTTCTGTTCAATTTTGTTGGTTAGCTTATAAAACTTCACAATGAATAATGGGTAGTTTAATTTTCTCTCCTCTTTTTTTGTTACATAGTTTTGAAAAAAGGAATCCACAGCCAGGATAGTATAGCCAAGTATCAATAAAAAAACAAATCACCTGTAATTTGTGTCAATTTTCATAAATTTACTATAAAGATAACGTTCTTTCGCTTCAAACTGCAATTCAAATATTTGACAAGTTAATGTTTTTTTACGTTAGTTTATTTTATGGGCATATATTCATATAAAAAGTTAAAGATATGTGTAGTGTATTTGCACAGGCTTGTGCCAATTCAGGCCTTGCTTTAAGGGGCGCGCGATCGCACCCATGTTGACTGAAGCGAGCGATCCATAGCAAATATCAAATGACTGAAATACATCCATTTGCAGATAGTTGTGAAGTTTTTTGATTGCATGACAAAATAATGTATAAAGAAAAGTATTAGTAAGAAATAGCTTTAGGTGCATTTATGTAAGGAATTCTCTTTTCAATAATACAAAAATCACGTGCGCCTTTACATTAAACTACGATCTTTGGCCGACTTTGGCCAGCACTTGATCTTGATCTAAAAAGGGCGCGAATTTTTCCATAGTATTTTTTTTTTCACAACAGAGAAACGATCGTCAGTATACCTGTCAACACAATATAGGCGCGTGCAACGTTTTTAAAAATTATATTTTTTAACAAATGACGAGGTTTATAGCGAATATCAGCTATATGAATAAATAGTTAAGAACATACTGTAGTCCAAGGTGAATTAACTATAAAGTAAAAACTACGTCATTTATACGCATACTTTGAGGATATTTAAAAAACTTCAAGAGTCGCGAGCGCCACAAATTTTACGGGCGTGACTGATCACTGGCGCTCAATTTTCTTACAGCAAGGCCTGCAATTGAGAAGACCTTCAGGAGAAATGAAGACTAGACCAATGCAAGTCCGAGACCAAAGGCTAATAGAATAATTAGAAGAAAACAATGGATTTCAAAGGAATTTAATACAGCGTATAGGGGCTCATGTTCATATATGCATGTAATGATCTGAACAAAACCATATGAACTCAATACCATCCTAAAGGCATTGATTATGTCCCCCATTATCAATCATCCTTTGCTCTCGAGCCCCTCCCACAATTATCAATCTTCCTATGTCCTCAAGCTCCCCCCCCCAGTTTTCAATCTTCTCCGGCCATGTTCTATGACATAAAAAATACATTAATGAGAGCTAACTTAATCTTTGATATTTTATGAATAAGTCATTTTTGCAACACCCTGGTTGCATTTCAGTGGAAGGATAATATACGTAGAAGTTTTGATGGATGCTTTCGGCCAGTAACCTTAAACTTGAGAGATTTGAAACATCACTTCAAAGATATTAAGGGATTTGCCAGCAGAAATTTACGTCAGTGTGTGATACACAAGGTAAATTTTGTACGGAAATTAATTCGCTATAAAATTTATATGTGACAAAGTGCTTTCGTTGAAATCGAACGCGTACACGACTGCAGGAATAATTTGTTTGTTGAGTGTTGACCGTAAATCATATAAGTAAAAAAGGAAGAAAAACAAACACATTTGTTGAATGTATAACGTTTACAACGGAATATGAATGTTTTTAAATATAATGTGCACTACAATAGCCGTAAAACGATTGACAATAGAACATTCCCAAAACAATAGAGTTTTTACCCTAAACCGTCCCGTGTGCCTTAGGGTACTCTCTCTTGATTAAAGTATACATTAATTCTGGACGGTAAATATATCATTGCTCTAGCGAATACAGAGTCGTTCCGTTGAATTTTTCGTTGAATATTTTATTCATGATAATTAGCACGCTGTTAACTGAATATGTTGTGCATTGATGCAGGAAATTACTTTACTCTGATGTCAAATTTGCTCTCTCGTACGTGATCCAAATAGCTGTCATCTACAAAACATTCAAGTCTCTTTTATTTTAATTAAGTACAGACTAAACGATCCGAATTTTTGTTTGAACACCGTGGTTTAGGGCGTTTTATTTTATGAAGACTTTATTTTAAATATTCATCATTGATGTTGTCATCTTGTAACATTTTTCATTATGATCTCTTTGCTGGATTTTTTACTTCGTATTGTGATTTAATGTCCCCCCCCCCTGCATGGTATACATGTTTAACAAACCCACCAATAGCTACCACTGTAAGGTTTTATTGCTACGTCAAAGATAGTTTTCATTGATAAAATAGCTCCTCAAAAGATTTTTTAAGTGGAATCAGTTTACCCTTTTGTTAAATATTTACAAAATACTTTATTTCTATCAATTCAATTTTTTTAAGAAAACTCGTAAACTTCAAATGAAATGAAAAAGATTTGTCGGATTTATTGTCATTAGGAAAACGATGAATGGTTTTTTAAGTCCCTAAAACTTTTAAAAGATCCGAAAGAAACATTGCCAATCACCATCAATATTTTAAAAACTATACAACGTGTTCTCAGTATAATTATGTGGAATAGTCATTTCTTTGATTCACAAATACGGCAATAAATGAGCAGACATGCTGCGAAAAAGACCCAATTTTTTTGTATAGGACGTCTTGTAGTCGTGTTAGTATATTCAAAGGATGCTAACTGTGATTTAGTTCCATCCACCAGCGAAGAACATGGGTTCTTCTGCCAGCAAATTTTTGAGGCGTAAAAAGAAAGAAGAGAGTAAACCAAACACAGAAAAAAGTAGCAACGGAGAAGAGGTAAGTAACCTTTAATTATTTCCGTTTGGAGATCTTTAAATTATATCATTTACGATTTTTTCAATACATCTAAATCTGTTTTCAGTGAGATATAAGTAGCTATATCTGGGTCTTTGATTAGCTACCGGAAATCATAATTATCATCATCATACTCATTTGCTTGTTGCTGCAGATAGAAAAATACAGGTTTTCATGTTGTCATAAATGTAACGGAAATAATATAAAACGAGGAAGGAAGAGCTTTGTTATTTGTATGTTTAAGAATAACGACTCGTCAAACGCCGAGGATTTGACTGGAAATGAATTTGAATCTACAGCAGAAAACGAGAAAGAAGAAGAAGTTGAAAACAATCACAAAGATACAAGTAATAAAAGCCGGAAATTCTCACAAGAAGAAGTGGAGAAAAACAACGAGGTTCTAGATTTCTCTTTTATTAACTAATAATTTTATTGTAACCATGCATGTACATCATTTCAACCTCGTAATGAGCTTGGCCTGGTGCAAAGAAAAGAATTGAATATTGTTTTTTTATGTCTGATTTTTTGTTAACAACTATTGATCTTACAGTGTGAAGAAGATGAAATTAAAGAAGATACAACGAAAAATGAAGATTTGAAAGATGAAAAAGAACAAGAGACCATAGATGATGAAAAAGACTTTGGTGAAGAACATAAAGACCTTGGCGAAGAATATAAAGAAGAAAAGGATATTGAGAAAAATGAAGATTTAGATGAAGATGGTCAACCTGATGAGGAATATACGACTTGGGATGGCAAAACAATCAAAACAAAATATTCAGGAAAAGAACTTAAAGCTTTAAGAGGAAATATGCTCATCGAGTATCCAGAAAATATTCAAATTGTTCGCATTTTTACAAGCTCGACATTTACAGGTTTGTAATGAAGACGCAAACCGGTTGGCAACGCCTTGGATAAAATAATGTAGAAAAATATGGTGTTTTTATGAGTCTACCTTTCATAAGTTCTTTCGCAAGGTCGGTTTAAGATGTTCGTAGGACCTGGGCAGACAAAATCTGGGAATGTAACCTTCCGTTACTCTAAAGGCTATTGCCGGTTCATTTTTTAAATTAGAAAATTTAATTACAAATTTTGTAAAACATCTGGTTATCGGTAGAAATATAAACTTAGAATGCTGGGCGTATAAAATACTTGTATGTGCTAAATGAAAGTGTCTTGAGGTAAAGTACTTCGCGGGCAAAGTCCTTGATACAAAGTTCAATGCTCATCAAAACAATATGGCTGACTTTACCGTGATTCATCAATTGTCATACGTAGTCCACTTTTAATTCATAAACTTAAATTGACTTTAGGATTAAACACAATGTCTGTCTTTGTTTTTACAGCAACAATGTTTAATTTAACTTTGAATAAGTCATTTATAATTTTCATATCCATTTTTCTTTCTTTTCAATGTAGATACCTCAGTTGAGCGCAATACTTTAATGGAGTCTGTGTATCCTAAATTAAAAGTATTTTGTCAAAAGAAAGGTTATGAGTTTCAAGTTGTTGATATGAGATGGGGAGTTCGCGATGAGGCTACAGATGATCACATGACTACTGAATTATGTATGAAAGAGCTTTACGCATGTCAGAAAATATCTACTGGTCCAAATTTTATCGTAAGTTGAACGTCTTTATTATTTTATATTCAAATTAATTTTATTGAAAAACCGAATGCAAAAAGTTGTTTTTAGTTCATGTCAAAACACAAAATTGCAAGAATGATTGATCGCTTTCATAAGTATTCGTTTGATGAAGTTCGTTTTAAAAGAGGCTATCTATTGGTAAACATGCTTATATTTGCATTAAACCAATTCTGTTAAAAAGTAGGTCCCTGATTTCAGCTTTTTTTTGCCATGAATGAAAAGATTGAGACGTATTGAATATTTTACAAGCATTTGATTTTTCCTCCTGATTTACAAGCTTCTCCTTCCATTGTTGTTTTACACAAAATCTTTAAGTTTGGTTATGAATTTTCATTATCATAAAGTACATCGTTGTTTCAGACGTTTCTTGGTCAAAAATATGGTTATCGACCATATCCTGCCAAAATTGAGCAAATTGAGTTTGAGCAATTATTGAGCGCTGTCGAGAAGAGAACAGAAAAAGAAACGTTGGAAAGGTGGTTTAAACTTGACACAAACGCAACACCACACGAATATATTTTACAACCTGTGACATCTTTGTTACCCAATTATCGAAATAAAGAAAATGAAAAATTGAGAAGAGAAGCATCCTCTGAATGGTGGTCTAATTTTGAAACCATGCAAATTGCGTTGAGAAAAGCTGCCATTAAAACACTCAACGACAATCAGCGAATGAAATATATCATATCAGGTGAAAAAAAAATATGTAAAAACATTTGAAGATATTAAAACATAAATGAATACGTTATTGTTGCATCACAACTTTCAAGGTAAACATCAAAATCTTACCATTTGATTGTTAAAACAACCTGCGTCTGAAGCGATAGACCCTGTTTGTGCGGGGTTTTTTAAGGTCGAATTATTCCTTACAATCTGATTGGCTGTGACAGGGGGTAAAAAAACATATAAGTTTATATATTGTGTCAGGTTACAGGCCATACAACTTTCTATACGGACCCTTGCGTGGCCAATCAGATTTCAGAGAACACCTTGAAATCTGTAAAATATTAAGTTGGTCCTAAAATAGAAAATAAGTTCAAGCTCAATGTTTTATCTTTAAATTTAATATTTTTAGTGACAGAGGATGAGATCAGACGAGGAATTATAAATACGACCTCTCCTGGGGAACATTGCTATTGGTTCAAAAGGGTTATTGGTGATATCAACATTGAAGACAAAAAATCTGGTTTCTTTGTTGACAAGATCTATGGAAAGGATGAACTTGATATTGAAGCACAGCAAAATTTAAACAATCTGAGAGAAGTTGACTTACCCAATGTTTTGCCTGAAGGAAACATTAGTGCTTACAACATTAAATGGAGTAAAAGTGGAATAAATCCATCACAAGATACGTCACATGACAATTACATAAATAATCTCTGTGATGATTTCTATTCTGTTTTGACTGCGATGATTCAATGTGCAATTGACAAAAAGAAAAGCAAAGAGAGTCGAAAGGAAGATATATTTGACGAAGTATTTCAACATGCTCGATTTTGCCAGAAGAAATGTGAATCTTTCTATGGTAGAGATGTTTTCTTGCAAGATATTGAAAATGAAGTCAGAAATGGTTCAAAGATTTTAATTTTTCATGGAGAATCTGGTTGTGGTAAAACATCTGTTATGGCTAAACTGGCGTCTTCAATAAAGCAATGGATTGGCGATCCTAAAGCAATATTGGTTTTAAGATTTATCGGAACTACAACAAATTCCTTTGCAATCAGAAACTTGTTGAAAAGCATTTGTTTGCAACTTGTTAAAGCCACAGGTCGTGAGCATGTAGAAATGCCAGAGGTAATATACAATATAGTTGAATGCAAACGTTTTGGAAAAAATTACCTCAAAAATGTTGAAGAAAGTCAAGTTTATTGTACTGTTGAACTGAGAACGTATGATAGAACTGAACACAAATGACAGAACTGAACACGTATGACAGAACTGACACGTATGACAGAACTGACACGTATGATAGAACTGAACATGTATGACAGAACTGACACGTATGACAGAACTGACACGTATGATAGAACTGACACGTATGATAGAACTGAACACAAATGACAGAACTGAACACGTATGATAGAACTGAACACGTATGACAGAACTGAACACTTATGATAGAACTGAACACGTATGACAGAACTGAACACGTATGACAGAAATGACAGAACTGAACACAAATGACAGAACTGAACACGTATGACAGAAACGTATGATAGAACTGAACACAAATGACAGAACTGAACATGTATGATAGAACTGAACACGATTGACAGAACTGACACGTATGACAGAACTGAACACAAATGACAGAACTGAACATGTATGATAGAACTGAACACGTATGACAGAACTGACACGTATGACAGAACTGAACACAAATGACAGAACTGAACATGTATGATAGAACTGAACACGTATGACAGAACTGAACACTTATGATAGAACTGAACACTGACAGAACTGACACGTATGACAGAACTGAACACAAATGACAGAACTGAACATGTATGATAGAACTGAACACGTATGACAGAACTGAACACGTATGACAGAACTGAACACGTATGACAGAACTGACATGACAGAACTGAACACGTATGACAGAACTGAACACGTATGACAGAACTGACACGTATGATAGTGACAGAACTGAACACGTATGATAGAACTGAACACAAATGACAGAACTGAACACGTATGATAGAACTGAACACGTATGACAGAACTGAACACTTATGATAGAACTGAACACTTATGACAGAACTGAACACGTATGACAGAACTGAACAAGTATGACAGAACTGAACACGTATGACAGAACTGAACACGTATGACAGAACTGAACACGTATGACAGAACTGAACACGTATGACAGAACTGAACACGTATGACAGAACTGAACACGTATGACAGAACTGAACACGTATGACAGAACTGAACACGTATGACAGAACTGAACACGTATGACAGAACTGAACACGTATGACAGAACTGAACACGTATGACAGAACTGAACACGTATGACAGAACTGAACACGTATGACAGAACTGAACACGTATGACAGAACTGAACACGTATGACAGAACTGAACACGTATGACAGAACTGAACACGTATGACAGAACTGAACACGTATGACAGAACTGAACACGTATGACAGAACTGAACACGTATGACAGAACTGACACGTATGACAGAACTGAACACGTATGACAGAACTGAACACGTATGACAGAACTGAACACTTATGACAGAACTGACAAGTATGACAGAACTGAACACTTATGACAGAACGGAACACGTATGACAGAACTGAACACGTATGACAGAACTGAATACGTATGACATTTAAACGCGTATGCACTGTGATAAACATTTATGTCAGTTCACTTGAAACTAAAATATAAGAATGAAAACCAATGATCATAAAATTACACAGTGAACGCAAAAAACTATAGTTCGCTCTGAAATATATCAGCCTGGCAAATATAACTTATTGTTGAGTTGCTTCCTCTCGTTCTCAAACAGCAATATATGATTTTAGGATTTGAAATCATTAAAGGATCACTTGAATACGCGGTTAGAAGAATCTTCTGAAAATCATCCTGTGATACTTATCTTGGATTCTTTGGATCAGTTATCTGTGGACGATGGTGGTGTTGAACTTGAATGGTTGCCAAAGACTTTACCCAGTAATGTATATATGATTCTGTCCACATTACCTGGTGAAAAATATGTTTGTTTACCAAAACTACTGGTAAGTAATAAAGTTTACTGATTATTCATCTTTCTATCAAAATCTTTCACACAAAAAATGTTCACAATCATTCGATTAAGTTCACGGTGTATTTCATATGATGAAAGTAACTTCAATGGTTCGTTTTATAAGTTGTGTTCATTAAATTTTAGATGCATTTTCCAAAAACATCGTTTAAAAAAATTCCTGCGTTAAGTAAAATGGAAGCAAGCGGTATTTTGGACAAATGGTTTCATGTTGTGAAACGTTCATTGACTCATGAACAACATCAAAATGTCTTAGAGAAATTCAGCAAGTGTTCTCTCCCCTTGTTTTTAAAGTTAGCGTTTGATGAAGCATGTCGATGGAAATCTTACACTTCATTTGACGACTTGCAACTTTCGTCTTCCATTCGAGAAATAATTCATTCACTATTTGATCGACTCGAGCGTATTCACGGCAAAATATTGGTTAGTCATGCATTAGCTTATATCACTGCAAGTAAAAATGGTCTGACAGCATCAGAGTTAGAAGATCTTTTATCTCTTGATGATGAAGTCTTAAATGATGTTTATCAATACTGGACTCCACCAGTACGACGTCTACCGCCTCTTTTGTGGCTCCGAGTGCGTTCCGATCTTGGAGATTATCTTGTCGAAAGAGGATCGGACGGGGCTCGTGTAGGTTTCTGGTATCATCGTCAATTTATCGAAGTCTCTTGTGAACGATATCTTCAAGAAGATAAACTTAAATTTCACTTCAATATGGCGGAGTATTTCGAAGGCAAGTGGTCAGATGGTAAGAAAAAACCTTTCATAAATAAACAAGGTGAACACTTAGAAATGGATCGTTTGGTTGCCCAGCAACCTATTATGTATGATACAAGTGAAGATTCGATCGTGTTTAATAGCCGGAAGCTTGTTGAGTTACCGTTTCATCTTATCAAAAGTGGTCAGTTAAATAAATTAAAGGAACTCACTTTATGTAATTACGAATTTTTGCTAGCAAAACTTCGTGCAATGTCTAGCAGTTTATTAATGGACGATTTTAGAATGGCAGTTGGTGATTTTCCTGATGATGAAGAACTTCAAATGCTCTTTGAAACTATAAGCTTGAGTATAAATGCTTTGAAGATCGATCCACGACAGCTTTCCTCTCAGCTTATCGGTCGAATTTTTAAAGTTCAAGAAAATATTTATCCTTTCATAGCGAAACTACTTCAACAACTCAATTGGTCACCTGTCTCATATTTTGTTCCTAACATGAAGTGTCTGACATCATCAGGTGGACCGTTACTTCATGCAATATCCGAACATGACGGGTCAATGGTAGACTCATTATGTCTTGCGCATGACAACTCAACTGTGATAACAACAGTTCGTGGAGGTGAAGGTCTGGAAGTTCGTATTTTTGATGTTCGTGCTGGATTATTAAGAGAAAGTTAATACTTACAGATCCTTTCCAGATATATATCAGGTTTGGCATTCAATCCTCAGTCGTAGAGATCAGCAGAAATTGGTGATGATTGGAGGACGCAATGTACTTGTGTTTGATCTTATTAAAGGAGAAATTATTCATCAGATTCAAGCTTTAAGTGAAGATGTTCTATTTAATCAAACTGGCTACGACATTCCACCCGTGGCTCTTGGTAAAGATGATCAATATTTGGTAGCTCTAACTGACAAAGAAATCAAAATATGGAATATTGATACTGCGAAATTGGAACACGCAATTCCTGTAGAAAAAGTCGATACAAATGCAAAAATGGGAACTTTGGATGCAAATAAAGATCTTCTTGCATTCTGTAAAAGGATCTGTTGATGTTACAGTTCTTAGCATTACAACTGGAAAGTTTGTGCAAAGCATAACATCTTGCATTAAAAAGAGTCCTGGTGTGGAAATAAAGAATATAAAGTTAACCAACGAAGGAAAATTGATTGTTTTATCAAGTAATTGCACTGAATTAAATATCTTTGATGCAATCACTGGCAAACTTGTGAAAAACGTCACAGGTTTTTCCGCAAATACTACCATCAAAGAACTACTTGTTACCAAAGACGGAAAGAAATTAGTTTGTCAAGATAAATACGACCTAGCCATATGGAATATGGAAACGTGGAAATGTCGTAAAGTTCTTAATGATATTGCCAATGTTCATTCACCAAACGTCAAAACAAACAATGCAAGAATAGTCGTTCATTTCAATATAACTGACAACATCCTTCGTGTTTACGATGTTTCAAAAGATAAAGGAAAAGAAACAAATGTTGATTCTTCGTCTGTCAATCAGTGGGTTGTCAACCAGATTAATGCTCTTTACAAAAGTGAAGATGATCGCCATTTCATTACGGTGGGAACAGCTAACTCAGCGTCACATTTGAATATCTGGGATGTACACCAAGGGAAAAAAGTTCGCGTTTACAAGAATCTCTCATTCTATCCTAGTGTGTTGAAAATGGTCAGTTCTGCTGTTGGAGTTGCATATATTTACAACCAAACGATGAATCATTATGCTGTTCTAGATTTTGTAGCAGGCAAAGTGTTAAGACAACTTGAAGGCAAAGCTTGCAAGAGAATGTATATGATGGAAATTCTTGATGAAAACCGAATGATTTCTTTCACTCGAGGTCGTCGCCATCTTAGAGTATGGAACATTCATACTGGAAGGATCATCCGACAAATTGCTATTGGTCAAAAACGTCGCTTGGAAGCGTTTCTTTTAAGTGGCGATAAGAATGTTATGGTCATAGCTCAAGCTGGTTCTTACTCAGGTGAAATTGAAGAAAAAACCGTACCGTTGATTGTATTTAACTTAAAACAAGAAAAACAATACGAGATTTGTGAGAAAGATATACAACTGAAGATTGAAAGCATTGGTTCGTTAAGTAATTCAAGTATTTCTCACTTTGGAAGTTATATGATCACTGTAAATAATTACACTTCAACGGTCCTTTGGGATGTAAAAGCTGGGAAACGTTTGCATTCTTTGTCAAGTGATGAGTTGACAGGTGCAGTATACTCAAGTGTTATTTTAGAAAATAAAAAGATTGCATTAACTTCGTTTACTGGTGCAAAGAATGGAGTTTATATATGGGACATACCGAGTGGAAATCCTATCAAAGAAATTGTCACTGTTGTTGCAGTAACTGACATTAAACCTAGTAGAGATGGAAGATTGGTGTTTTGGAGGGATATGCAGGGTCCCAATTTTTTTGTTCACGACTTGGAAAGTGGACGAAATATCGCAAGTTTTACTGCAGATTTACCGATTGCACCACAAACGTTTAATGTCATAAATGATTATGTTGTCATTGGTTCAACTGGTTCAGTTGATCCTGTAATATTTCATTTGCGTGAAAACAATAAATCTTCAGCTGAAAATACTGACAAGTCAATATTTGAAGCAAAGGAAGATTTTGATGATGTCACTGAATTCTTTTATTTTGACTCGACCCAATTCCCATCAGATCCACGTGACATTGATAATGACCATGATGACGACGAAGGACAGACATGCTAAGGAGAGACCAATTTGTTCAAATATATTATTAGAAGCAATGATAGAATTTTGAAATAATGTTTAAATTGAAAATTTTTTATGTAAAATGTAGTTACTTCAACTTCCCTACTAACTGAAAATAGATACTGATGTTTAAAGTGGGCGTTTCGATTTCCAAGGAAACAAGGAAACAAAAGAAAATAAGAAATTCTCTGTAAAGAATCCCACACGATATAAATAAATGTTTACGACGCAATTGACATAGATTTCAACAATCGTTAGACGTGAAATAAACATACAAAACAACCAAAGATTTTCAGAAACATACCCTGTTTTTCCTTCCCCCCCTAACAACTTAAAAATACACCCTGTTGCGACATTTATTTTTATATAATTGTTATAAAAATGTAATTGTGACTCTTGCCTACTTTTTAACCGTGGATTTTATCTTCCACGTTGCATAAAACTTGATAACGCTTTCTTAATAAAGCACAGATCTTTTTATTTTATCAAAACTTTCTTTGTTTAATTGTGATATAATGTATGATATTTTGCATGACAATCTAGTCATTCTGGAACCTACAATCATTGTAAAAATATTCAAACAACAAAGAACTTGATCTATTTTAAGTACTCCACTTGATGTTGAAAACACCGACCTTACCGCACCCGCTTTTGTGATTCTTCTGTATTATAATTGCTAATTAATGTCATCAACTTGCAAGAGGTCACGTCCGAATTTATATACGGTATAATTAAACAAACAGTTGTTTTAATATCAAACGCAATACGAAAGTTGACTAGATCACATTTGCGTAAATAATACCAAAGAAATATGCCACCAAGAACGAACACGTATCGAAAACAAATATTCCATGACTGTGAGACAATCTACAATTCATTTGAAACGTTTTCGGATGACTCCAAGTTATCCATTCAATCAAACGATAGTATGGACAGTAGAATTCGAAGTAAAACGTTTATTGACAGATCTTTGAAAACAAGATACGATATAAAATATGACGATATATCTCTTCTGGATGAATCATCACCAAAAACATTGACGTACAAATATGAAGCAATTCATTGCGAACAATCACAAAAGAGCTTAAAATGCCTTTGCATGCAGTGTTTGGATAGAGAAGATAAAGATTTGTTTCTCAGAGCTGGAGAAGTAGCTAAATCAACGCGAAGTAACAGAAGATCTCGCTCCGGAGATAAAATAAAATTCGAATGGCTTTCTGATGATAAACTTGTTTTACACAGTGCATGTGTCGTGAAGTCATCAAGACGGCAGCATACGACAAGAAAAATATAATTTTGTATTTTGTACTATTCTATAATGCGAAAAACTGTGAGATATCTGGAAATAATCAACGGTGTTTCTCTGAACAAGAAAGGGTTTTGCTACCAATTGTGTGGCAGCACAACTGGGGAACCATGGTAAAAATATTACAAGGGCCGCCCCTTCGATAACCATATTAAAATGTAATAACTGCTACATCTGTTATGATTTCGCTTTCTAGCTTTTAAATTAAAATTTTTTGTACATAAGTTCACAATGTGTAATTTTTCTTGTTTTAATCCCCAGTATAATGATAATCTTCTAATCTGACAGGGCCCCCCATAACCCAGGTGGCCCGTGGGTTCGGCCATCCTGAGCCCATAGTAGTTACGCCACTGTTTGCTACGATAGAAAACAACAAATTTCAAATTTTACATATGAAATTTATTTCAGAAATTTTAAAAAAACGAAAGTCAGTTAATGACATAGTAAGTGTAAGTATTTCAATTGATTCAACAATAAAAAAAACTTGCTCTCTTTATACTTTTTTCGTGATAATGGAATTGTTCTTTTCGAACGTATAGCTTACAGAGAATCGTTTACATTTTTTTTACATTCCATTAGTAAAACAACGCAAGCATTCTTTATTATCTTGTCTGCTTTCATTTCACGTATGTGATCTTGGAGTTTTAACATTTCAGCAAACTAACTTAGCAACATGAACACGATCAAAGAATTTTATAATTTTCTTTGTACGTTTTAAGTAGGAAATTTTTGTGTAGGGCATTCATTCATCGCTTCCATCTCTTTAGATTGAATTTTTTTCAACAATTTAAAAATTATGGTGCAACGATTCTATTTTTACCATTAGAAACATTGTAATAAACTGTATTGTATTCAGTTTTGCTGATTGAGTTAATCAAAAAATAACAATGATACAAACATGAGTTACTCTATTCTTTGGGATTTATTTTTCCAAATAGTTTTGTAGTTCATAATATTTCGGATCATGAACTTTGATCCTTATATATGGACAAATATGGTCGATAATTTTGTCGACAAATTGCTCGCCTTTTTTTTCTGCGTTTAGTGAACATTGAAATGTTTCATGTTTGTAATGTTTGTCTACCATAGAATTTTATTAAGCCTATTACGAAGGGATTTTTCTTGTCACTACGACTTTGCTATGCATATAAAGGTTTGGGCTTTAATCAGAAATTGTTCATTGTTTGTTCTTGGCCATGGATCAAATGACCTTTTTCGTAACAGATTCTTCAAAAACCGTTTGTTCCTCCAGGCGAGACGACTCAGATAACTATACCGCTGTAAAAAGTAAGACTTGAGTACGTTTAGTTTTCAGTTTCAGTTTTTCTGCCTTCTTCAGTGACCTAGCTATCTGTCCACTGGCTCTACCATGGGTGGGCCCTACCCATATAGCCCTACCCAATGTAAAATGTATAATTGTTACTTAACACATCTCTCAGTGCATTGTGGGAAGAGGTCAGTACAAACAAGATGGAGACGTCAAATTCTCTGGAAGAAGCACTTAAGAATGTCAATTTACTTGATGATCTAGCTCTTTGTGATGAACAACCAGTGATAGAAGCACCTGCTGCATCAATCACTTATATTCCTAATTTTGACACCAACTTTGAAGACAGCGAAGCCTTTATTACATGCAATAGTAAATATTTAGAAGAAGCGAGAATGCATCGAGGACTGGTGAGAGTTAGTTTAAATCCAACATGTTCAGATTTTGTTGGAAAATCATCAATAAAACTATTGCTATCTTGATATGTTTTAATATATTGTTGCGAATTTGCTATTGATTTTTGATCGTGCTCTTACTAATTGTCTGTTTAAATTAAAAATGTTTTAGATGTTTGAAATGCCCTGAAAAATTAAATTTATCAAAGGGTAAATCTGTCTAACGATTCGGACTTAAAATGAACACTTATGTAGGAAATTTCTGCCAGGAATTCTACTGAGTGAATAATTACTTTAAAAGTTCATTGAAAGTTGAACATTGACCATGTGTGATAATACAAATAAAATAAAATTTCAATCTTTAAATGTCATTATTTTAATGACTTCATTATCTCAACTTATTTCACTTTTAAAAATGTGACAGTTGTTGCATTTAATTTGGCTAACAGCTCATTTTGAGGCAATTTAACATATTTAATTATTATATGTTCCTGAAGATCCCTAGTGTACTTACATATACCTGTTTTGATGTTCTTATTTTTATACAGGTTGAGTCTATGAAACTAAATGTAAAGTTCATTCAAGTTGTTGTAAGTCATAAATTTTAAAATAAATGTTATGGATCATAAAAAATATGTTAAATAATGAATAAAACTGATTTTATGTGATACAACTCTCAACAACACAATCAATTGATTGCCAACTTAAAAATATCATGTGTGCTATAGATATAATTTTGTTAAATGTAAATGTGCTATTAAAACCATGTTCATCTTAAACCTACCTTATTTTTATAAAATTAAAACAATTCTGAGCATAATGAATGTATTAATTTTCTTTAAATTATTAAAATAAAATAAGTACACCACACCCAATAAATTAATTTTTTTATTTGGACATCACATAATGTTTAGAAAGAAATGCTTGAAGAAGGTGAATCATTTGCTGTAATGTTGTACACATGGAGATGTTGTTCTAGAGCTATTCCTTCTGTAAGTAAAAGTTTTTTTAATTACAAGAAGGATGTTTTTCATTTAACCTTATCATGCATTATTTCCAACTGATTATCTCTATGTTATTAGTGTTGCAATATCTGTTTTAGGTCAAAAGTGATGATCAACCCAATAGAGTTGAGATTTACGAAAAGACAGTTAGCGTTGTTGAACCTGAGATAAATAAACTCAAGAAATTTATGTATTTTGCTGAAAATGCTGTGTCACGATTTTGTGAAGAAGTGAAAACTTTGTGCCATCCTGAAAAGAAGAAGGATTTCATTTCTGAAACATATTTACTGACGATGGGCAAAGTTCTTAACATGTTTGCTGTGTTAGATGCTCTCAAAGACATGAAAGCATGTATAAACAATGATTATTCTTGTTTCAAAAGGTAAACTAGTTATTTTCACTCATTTGATACTAAACAGTTGTTAAAAATTTAGATTAACTAATAACTTTTTTATATATTGATAACAAATCATTTAATTTTGGGAAGAAATAAGGTGTGCAAAAAAATTGATGATGAAGTTATGGAAATTTTTGAGCAAAGCCTATATTGATTACATATAGGGCACATGGTTTTTTGAATCGTGGCACAGTTGATACAGCTGCTATTGAGCTCTCTCAAAAACTCTCTTTGTTTTTGGCCACAAAGAATAAAATCAGAGACATTCTCAAACATGGCTTGGGAAAAATTGTAGGATTTGATGAGCTCTTATCAGATGTTGTAAATTTATGCTGTAAATTATATGAGCAGAATCTGTATTTGCTACCCAATGATAAGCATATGTTATTAAAGGTATGGAGACTTTTTATACTTGTCATGTGTTCTCTTGTTATCTATCTAATGCTCAGTCATTGAATCTATTTGTTCTCCTGTAGTATTTAATACATGGAAATTATTTTGTCAACTGACATAAAATTTAAAAAATTTCTTACAAAACTATTGTTGTTTGTTGTAGGTCATTGGATTCAGTTTGTTTCTCCTTGATGGTGAGGTCATACAAATTGCAAAACTAGATCAAAAGAAACGAATCAGTATTTCTAAAATTGACAAGTTTTTCAAAGTAAGTTGACTGTACATTGTTGATTATCAAATTAATTTGTATGTTAGTAATATTATTGATCAACTGTGTCTTTATGTGAAAATTTATTTTACCAAAATGACGAAAGTTTGTATTTTATGTTTAGCTTCTTCCTGTTGTTCCATTGTTTGGAGATATGCAAATTGAACTTGTAAGTTATGTGAAGATGTGTCCAAATTATAAATCAGATGCAGATAAATGGAATTGTGCAGGAAGCAATGCGGAAGAAAAAGTAATATCTCAGTATAACTTGTTAACAAAAATGGATACAATTCGAGATGAGCATCTTCATTATATCAGTGAACTTGCTCGTTATAATAACGAGGTGAGTCTTTTTAAATGCTAACGTGGTGTAGTTGAATAATTAAACATTTGTTTAAGTAGTTGCAATTTGCGAGTGATTAACATTACAAATGTCATTGATTATGATTGTAGAGATTGTTTGGTGAAATAAAATACTTAAAATTTTTCTGTAGATGATTACATCAAGTACTACACCTCGCAGTTCAAGTCAGCATCGTGAGTTACGAAAGTTGGCTTTGAGAGGTTTACAGTTACTTTCAAGTTGGAACACCCAACTTATGGAACTGGTAAGACTGAGAATGATGCATCTGTTTCCTGCTGCATTTGTCATTACAAATGTATTTGTTTACATATTCACTCTGCATATTTAGTACTCATGGAAATTAATCCATCCTACTGATAAATATGCTAATCCTCAATGTCCTGATCAAGCTGAAGACTACGAAAGGGTAAAAGTTTAAAGAATTTTCTTTTATACATTTTGTGAGGAAATTTGTGTTGAAGAACATGTAAATAATTGATAGATTATAACGGAGTTATTTGTTGATTTATGTATAGTTTTATTGACTTATACAGACTAACATAGTTGTCAAGTATCTTGTCAGCAAATGCCCATTATTATTGTGAGTTTTTCATGTTTATGTGAAGAATAATTTCCATTTTTATTTTAGGCCACTAGATATAATTATACAAGTGAGGAAAAATTTGCTTTGGTTGAGGTTTGTTTTTACTCGTTCTCTTTGTATGAAAGCCTTTTTGCAAGTTCAACAGTTGCAAAAATATTCTTTTAAAATGTGCAGATTCTTAGAATTTTCAAGCTAAATAAGTTATCTTCTGTTCCCAAATGAAATATCATTCATCTATCTCCCCACTTCCTTATTTACGATGGCGCTACGATCATTTTTTAACCAATTTACAGACTCGGCAGTAGCTAACTATTTTTGTATGCATATTTAGGTGATTGCGTTCATCAAAGGACTTTATGTTCTCATGTCAAAACTGGAGACAGTTTTTTCTGAAGCAATCAGACATTCCATTCATGATGATTTTCAAAACTTCATTCAGAAATCTTTACGTGAACCTTTGAGAAAAGTTGTTAAAAAAAAACAAGCGGCAGTTGTAAAAACGTAAGCTTTAGTTTTAGTGATGATACACCAAGAACTTTTTTCATATGCCATGTCGTTGACTGAAATACATGAACTCTTAAATCAACCCAAACTCTATATCGTCCGTTAATAATGTTTACAAAGATAAGGTTCAGTAAGTTAGGCTTTTGAGGTTATAATTTTGTCGTAATTATTGATTTGTCAAATTTTGCTAGCAAAACGGTTGTTTTTCAATTTTCGCATGATAGTCCATGATATGTTTTCAACTTTTCATTGTTACTTAAATATTTTCTTTTAGTGTTCTTATGACCATCCGTGATACTGGTTCAGATTTTAATTTTGATGTTAAGAAGAAAGATGATGATCCAATTTTGAAAGGAGAGAAAGACTCCAAGTCAGGTTATCAGGTTACTATTCCAGACAGAAATGTTGGACCTTCTAGTACTCAGGTACATTTTTAATATATCACCTTCACTTTATATAATACAATGTACCATATTTACTATAATGTACCACGTTCATTACAGGAACTTATATGTATTACATTTACCATGTGTAAAACGTTGAACGAAGTTATAAATTTGCATCATAAACTAGAGAAAAGGGATCAAATGTACTGCGTGACTTACATACGGAAAAATATTGAAATTTGATGTTCAACCATGTATAGTGGTATTTACATTGTAAAAAGCATTTCTTCGCAAGATTTGTATTGAGTTTGTATTGTTTTAAACAGTGCTTGTTATTTTGTACATTGCATATTTTCGTTTTTTAAATGTTTTTCTATCTGATGTCTTTTCATAAGTTGTATATGGTGCGAACGACGTTAGAGTCTTTGATTTCCGAGAAAGCTGGTGCTGGCAAAAGGAGCATGCGTAAAGAGCTAGAAAAGGAGACTGTGGAAGCGATCGAACAATTTTTGAAGTTTTCTTTTTTCTTCCGTCATTTGCTGCATTTCAGTGAAACATTAAGGGAATGTTGCGATCTTTCTCAACTCTGGTTCCGAGAATTTTTCTTAGAAATGACTATGGGCAAACGAATACAGGTATGTTTACGCGTCAAGCAGGCATTTGAAATATTTCTGTCAGATATTTTTATTGTAGCGACATTCTGCAGAAAAAAAATGGTCGCAGTGAAGAAGAAAGTTTTTTTCATTTAGTTTCCTATTGAAATGTCGATGCCATGGATTCTTACTGAACACATCTTGGATACGCAAGAGCCAAGCATGATGGAGTAAGAATTTACTAAATAATATGTTCACTTTTTTATATAATTGAAATGAAATGCTGGATATAACAAAAAGTTGAAAAGAGTTACCTTATGTTATTATTTCTTGACAAATTTGAGAGTTACAGATTTTCTTAGTGCAAAGATTGTAATAGTCACAAAATAAGATTAGAATAAGATCTTTCTTTGTTCTTGTAATTAGTTTTGTCTTGAGAAAATTTGTTTTTAATGTCCTTTAATGTAATAAAAGCAATCTTTTTACTTAAAGGTATGTATTATACCCCCTTGATTTGTACAATGACAGTGGAGAATACGCACAATCAAAATTCAAAAAACAATATTTATACGATGAAATTGAAGCCGAGGTAAAATTCCCTCATAGTTTTCTCCTTATTAATTTTTTCGTAGTTGTGTTTAACTTGAGTATTTTTGTTCATTTAGGTTAACTTGTGCTTTGATCAATTTGTCTATAAACTCAGTGAATACGTGTTTGCGTATTTTAAAGCTCAAGCCTGCAGGTAAATGATCCCGTGTATTTTAAGGCTCAAGCCTGCAGGTAAATGATCTCGCGTATTTTAAGGCTCAAGCCTGCAGGTAAATGATCCCGTGTATTTTAAGGCTCAAGCCTGCAGGTAAATGATCCTGCGTATTTTAAGGCTCAAGCCTGCAGGTAAATGATCACGTGAATGCAACTTTTCGTGTTCATTTAAAAAAATAGACAATGAAGATAAAATAAATATTTTTTTGTGTTTCAGTATGATATTACCAAAAAAATTTGTCTCAGAGTGTTCACGAAGAGAAATTGGCAGAATAAATTCTCCTACATCAAACTTATACGAAACTTTATTGAAACAAAGACATGTTCAGGTTTTAATGTATTTGTGATTTAAAATATTTATCATTTGAAAATTCATAATAAAATATGTCTATATTTCTTAATTCTCGATGCACTATTTCTGTAACAAGATTGTAAATGTCCAATTTTTGTAAATTGTATTTTAATTATTTTGACATGCATGCATACGTAATGTTTACTTTCAACACCAGTGAACTGTAATATAAACTACAACGATATTTTAATTATGTTGACATGCATGCATACGTAATTTCACCCTTCCTCATTTCATGCTTCCACATTTCATGCTTCCACACATCATGCTTCCACATTTCACCCTTCCACATTTCATGCTTCCACACATCATACTTCCACGGATCACAATTTACGATTTCTTTGCTCTATTGACAGTTACTTGGACGTTCTATTGATCTCAATCGTCTTCTTACTCAACGTATAAACACGGCCATGCTGAAATCAATAGATGTTGCCATTGCAAGATTTGAGAGTGGAAGTTTGTGTGGAATTGTTGTAAGTAGAATCATCGAATTTTGTCTAGTCACTTCCTAAATTTTTAATTTACATACGTAGTAATGCTGCTTTTAGCAAGGAGTAGTGATTTCAACCTGTTTGGGATTTATATTTGGGATTTTATTGATGTCAGAAAAGTTTGTTTTAGTGTATAACTCTAGTCATGTGGGACTATAGTCGTATGGGACTATAGTCGTATGGGACTATAGTCGTATGGGACTATAGTCGTATGGGGGACTATAGTCGTATGGGACTATAGTCGTATGGGACTATGGTTTAATGATCTTGAAAGCTCCTTCCTTTGCTATAGAATTGCTATTTAAATTTAGGATCTTGAGAATTTACTACAAGTCATTCATCAGACTCACGTTCTCCTATCAAAGTACATGTCTCTTATTCCATATGACGCAATGTTAAAAGAAGTTGATCACAGTGTTTCTGCTCCTTATGGAAGAACCACTCTTCACGTTTTCTGGGAGTTGAACTTTGATTTTCTTCCTAATTATTGTTATAACTCTGCCACCAACAGGTATGTATGTAAATCAATTTTTTTATAAATTGACTTCCATAATGTCACTTACAGCTTACTTTTGCATTTTTAACATTTTGCGATAGGTTTGTTAAAACTTCACTATCCTTTGGGGAGGAAGTCCAAAGAGAAAATCCACCAAAAGCTAGTCATCATTATTTTTTTGGAACTAAGGTTTATATCATGCGAACAACACTGCATGTTTTTTTCATCCTCTTTTACTACAAGTAGTAATTTTTTTACCGCTTTTACGTTCTAGGCTCAGAATGTGGCTTTTGCCAGCATCAATACGCTGTACAATAGTTTTGTTGGTCCGCCACATTTTGAATCGATGACGCGTCTCCTTGGTTACCAAGGAATTGCTGTTGTTATTGACGAATTGTTGAAAGTCATAAAAAGTTTGGTAGGTTTATGCATCGTTTTAAGTGCAAACTTTACAGTATTGTGAGCAGGGGGGGAATTCAAGGGATGACAATAGTGTAAATTTAATACGGGGGGTGTTCAAAATGCTTGTTTTACGTTTTATTGATTTAAAACTATTCAAATCGATAAACAGACCGAATTAAGACAAAACAAATTAAGGCTAACAGCGATAATAAATTCGAAATGGAACTTCAGACGCTGTCGAAAAGTGTTATATGAGTGGCACTGTTTATTACAATTATCATTTCAAATTGATAATGTTATGATAATAGGATGTTGAAATATCCCGTCGAAAATAAGTTAAAACTTTGTAAAAACTCTTCAACATTAAATGATTCAAGGGAAATAAATAATCCTTGTTTGCACTGAAGCTAATGGACGGTTTGAAGGGTATAAACCAATCAAAAATGCATGGAACTTGTTTAAGGTTGTCTTTCTAAAAAAGGTAGAAGTTGTTTGCAACATTGAAGTATCCTTGAGTAATGTAGTTTATTTTATGAGAAGAACTCTTGTAAACAAAAGAAAAAGTTTAAAACCAAAAAAATACCGTTTTCGGTCCATATCTCCCGATACCCAGGGACATGAAGAGCACTACAACAGTGCATGTTCACATTTCGATGAAAGAATTCGGCTTTTGTCACGCTATTCTACTTAGGGATGGCAATAGCAAGCCACAGCTCATCAGACCACTAAAGTAGGACGGAGGGAGAGCAGTCTACGTCTGGGAATCAAAAGGCAGTGTTTTTTTATACTTTGCATTATCCTTGGGATCCATAGTTTCATTAACAGCAATAAAATAGAGAAAAGGTCTTGAAAGCTGTCTATTGTAACTATAGTTGTCTATTGTAGTTTTGTTTACTTAACCGAGGTAGGATCAATTTGCAGATCGTTGGTTATTTAAGTAAAACTTTCTTTTATTTAGCTTAATGGTCAATTGAAGAATTATATTGTTGAGTTGATTCAAGGTCTTCCCAAGAAATGTGGTTTACCACGATATGAATATGGCTCTAAAGGTACAAATAATTATAAATATAACTTAACTATTTATTTCATATAGTTTTGATCTAAGAATTAATTTTCTCCCTCAGCTGTACTGGAATATTACCACGCGCATCTTGAACCGTTGGTGCAATACAGAGAGCTGAGAACTGATGTATGTCAATCTTTCAGAGAAATTGGAAATGGAATTTTATTCGTAATTCTTATTGAGCAAAGTATGGTAAGCAAACTGTAGATTTTTGATGAAAATATCATCGTTCTTGTAATGAAAAAGCATATCAATTTTACATCCATATTTTCGTTTACAGCATTATCATCGTGTTAACTTTATAAATATCATTTTAGTCTATTGATGAAGTTCTTGATTTATTACATGCTGCACCATTTCAAGGAATTATACCTCGTCCTTATCTTCAAGGTAGAAATCTAAATTAACTTTTTACTCAACAAATGTTATTTGAAAGGATTGAGAAATTTTTATTTTCATGCTAAATTTAAACACGCTTCACGTACATATTAATATACATCAAAGATGTTCTTATGAACGTGTTTCAGCTGTAGTCAGTCGTGAAGATTTCTTATTAGACCAATATAGATTTTCATGTGTGTCCATAGAAGAACTTCAAATTACTGTCGTCTGTCTTTCTTTGTTTTTATGACAGGCTTTATTTTGTCTTTTTTGTCAGAGGGAGAAAAGATTGAAAGTAAAATGAAAAAACTTGAACAACAATATGCTCCATTTCAAATTGTTTCTTTAGTTTCAAAATTGGGAACAAAAGAGGTAACCAGGACAACAAGTGGAAGAGTTGTGCTGTTATGTTACAATCTTCATTTCACGTCATATTGACGTTGAGCTCCAATTAAAAGTTTTAATTTCATTGCTTGTAGCAAATAAGGATCGCCCAGGAAGGAGAGCTTCTTACAAAGGAAAGATTGTGTTGTGGTTTGTCACTTGTCGAAGTAATGTTAAAAAAAATCCAGACTTTTTTGAGCGATGAAGTTTGGCAAACGTCCATTCCACAAAATGGAGTAATGACGATAGAGGAATGTAAAGATTTTCATTCGTTATGGAGTGCGATTTTATTCATTATCTGTCAACCTACTGGACAGTATGAGTATTCAGTAGAGTAAGTACCTACATTACTGGACAGTATGAGTATTCAGTAGAGTAAGTACCTACATTACTGGACAGTATGAGTATTCAGTAGAGTAAGTACCTACATTACTGGACAGTATGAGTATTCAGTAGAGTAAGTACAACATTACTGTTTAGAACAGTTGATCTCTTTTACATTCCACGTACAATACTCAGAATAACTGGCAATTTTTTTTAACCAGGCAACTATTTGGTGAAGGTTTAAATTGGGCTGGATGTTCCTTCGTCTTGTTATTGAATCAACAAAAGAGATTTGAAGCTTTGGATTTCTGTTCTCATATTGTCAAAGTATATGATGTTGATCCCAGAGATGAGACTGTCGCTGGTGTTGTAAGTTTTAACGTTAAATCATGTTTAACTAAATTTTTTGATGACAAACTTCATATGTATAATGTTGATGTTAATGTTTTAACGTACGATACGGTTTAACTAACATTTTCATGTTTTTTTTCAGAAACTGAGACGTCTTGTAGAGAAAGCAAGAAACGTGAAGATCTTAAACATGCAAATATTTGCGTCGTTGAATAAATATTTAAAGTCAAGCGAAGGATCTTCAGAACAAGTGCGATGTTTTCAACCACCAATACATCAACCTTACGTTTCTTCTATTTAGTACGAAATAAAAATGGTTTTTTACCTCAATTTATTATCGTCCGTTATAACATTCATATAATGTTGATTGTATCAAACTTTTTTCTAAGTAAACGTATGGCTAAATATTGTATAATTCCGTTTTTATTTGTTTAATTTTTTAATTCAATCGTGAACGAATCGTCAAGTTTATGATTGTAAAAGTTGAAATGTAGTAATTCTTGTAATTTTTATAATTGTACTTTGATATTACATTATAAAGCGCCATAAGCGAAAATTAAAAGTAAGTCAATGTAGAATAAAAGTCAACTGTTCGTACATTGTAACAGTTTGAAAAGAGAGAAAATTATTGAATTATTTCGTGTGAAAACATTACGTACACTTGACATTGCATAGTGATTGTACATCAGAGATTGTAACGGATACAAAATAACGTGTTTACAGCAAGGATGGTGTTGAAAAGTGAAACTTATGGCTGAAATGGAAATTTGTCACATACAAATCAAAATATACCATTTATTTTTCTGGTACAAATATAAAATTATTTATTTAACAGGTAATATAACCACTTTGTTTCATTTCATAAAATTTTTGAACTTATATAGTCTTTGGAAGAACACATGATTATATAAAACACCACTGATATAACCAAAACAGCAATCATGAAGAAAAAACATGAAGAATGACCTATTGACAAAAAAGCAAATAAATATAAGCCGACATATCTTTTAAAACAAAAAATAGCAAACATGACTAACCTGTCTTTTTAATTTCAACTGTACTGGAATGTTCTTCAAAAGATTCTTCTAAGGTACAAGTAAAATGCAAAGATTTACCAAATTTTTATATTTATTTTAAAGTTCCAAACAAAGCATTACGATAGACGAAAAAATGATGTGCTATCATTTCTGCAGGTGTATTCCTTGATCACCTGTAATCCTCATTCATCACCTGTAATCCTCATTCACTTGAACATTGTGCAACTCATTGAGCAACACAGAAACATCAGTTTACCCTTTGTTACCTGAGTAGCTTTAAATAGTGCTCATATTAATTATGAAATCAGTAGAATATAAACCTTGTTGTTTCTTTTCTTTCTCTTGCTCTTTCAGTAATCTTTGTTTTCTTCAAAAGCTGCCCGTCTTTCTTCCTTTTCTAAAAGTTTTTGACGTTTTCGTAGTTCTCGCTCTTTGGTAGCAATTGCTTCATCTGCCTCTTTTTTCTCTGTTTTCAACAACAAAAAATGGAAAAAATTTTAAAAAATAAAGTTATCCATAAATAAATATCATCATTATAAATTATTTTGCACAATTTTTACCTTTTTCCAATTGCCTCTGAGCTTTTAATTTTTTCTGTCGAATTCTTTCCTCCTCTGAATTCTTTGCCTTAAGATATGCAATCATCTAGGAAATACAACACATGTAATTTCTTCAACAGACCAACAGAGATTTTTTAAATATGGCAATAATGAAAATATTGCAGAAATCTCAATTTGAGCCTTACATTTTCTGCTGAACGCCTACAATCGCTAGGGTTGAGACAATCTCCAACAACTTCATGCATTAGTGTTTGAATTGGATTTTCTTTCAAATCTAGCCATTTCAACCTCTTGAGTTGATAGCAGCTGACAGGAATCTCTGTTAACTTATTGCAATACAAGTCAAGTTTTTCTATGTTAACAAGTCGACCAAAATCATCTGGTAATTCTGTCAGCATATTTTTGCTAAGATCTAGTTTTGTTAACTGTGTCAACATGGAGAATGTTGCCTATAAATTGCAAAATTATTTGAATCAAATTACTTAACAATACAAAATATAACGGGATTATTTATTTATTTGTACAATACATAAAAATATTGCAATGCGATAAATTATCAGTGATTTAAATATATTTATAAGTATAGAAACAGAAATAATTATTATCTTACCGGTAATATTGTTAAAATATTACATGATAAATCAAGCGAAGTAACTTTTGTTAATGATGCCTAGAAATCAAATATTTAATTGACACTATGAAAGTCAAATCATCAAAATAAAGAAACACATTTTGACATTCCTACGGAACAACTCTCACCCCCAGGGAAATAACTCTAACCACTTTAAATTCAAGTAAAATAAAAATTTTAGGTATTTACTGTCCAACATATCGTTTTTCAAGGTTCAACTACTTCATATTGATAATAAATACTCTTCATGATAAGTTTAGAACATACTATTTCGCGAACTGGGACTTTCGCAAGATTACTTAAACTCAAATCAAGCTCATTTCCATCTAATTTGCTTCTTATTTCTTCTTTCGTGAGGGTTTTCTTACTCATTTCTAGCAGGAAATTTATATATTATAAAAATTTTTGGAAGGAACCAAAACTAAACTAACACATCATCACATAATGTTTACATTGGCGCCCGCGATACACAAGAATAATTATACTTTTACTAAATGAAGTAGTTCTTATTTTTGACATTACGTAAGTTTTGTAACACATTCAACATGAAATTATGGTGAGAAAAATTCATGTTTTCCTTTCCCCTGTTTAGTTTTCTGACATTTTCCTTATGTTTAGGCCAAATTTATAGCTCAGATCATCGTTCTCGGTGGTCAAGTCATCGGTAGAGCTTTTGCTCAAGCTTTGAGGCAGGAATTTCAAAGTTAGTATAAATTTCAAGTTTGATACTGTTTGATTGACATTTATAAATGTAATTTGATTTTTATGTTGAGGAAGATGTTAAATGATCATGTAAAACTCAAAGAAAGTGCTATCATCTCCCAGTGAAATGTTTTGTTGTGGTAGCAACACAGTTGACATCCGATGTAAATAATAAAACAAATGCTTACAATTTTCTTCAGCCATCCCTAGTCTTTGACAGTACAAATTGACCATTTTATATTATGAGACATACTTGGCTGCGGTACAAAAATTTATGAAAGAATATTTAGTGAATGTATTAAAAAAGTTTTGTAGTGAGTTTCTAAACCCTAAGGAAGATCTGAGAAAGTCATTGGAAATGAAGAACTAAAGGTTTAGGAATGTAGTTTTTGAAGATTTTTTTATTAGTGGTAAATTTGGTTTTCTTGTTGACAATCTTAGTCTCTGATTCAAACTACAATGTAACCAATCATGATGGTTGATAATTTCTATTTGTTTTTTTAATTGTAGGAAGTCAAGTTGCTCAAGATGCAGCAAGAGCAGCTACTGAAGGTGTTAAAAGAGCGGCAACTAATAGCATGTTGGGGATATCATTAGAAGAAGCAAAACAGATATTGAATGTGGAGCAAATTGAAAGAGAGACAATTCAAAAAGTATTTCATCGTGTATTTGCTTGTTTTGTGTTCTGTATAAAAAGTAAATGTTTTTATTATGTTTATATAATATTTAGAACTATGAACATTTGTTTAAAGTAAATGAAAAGTCAGGTGGTGGATCATTTTATCTTCAATCTAAGGTACTAATTTCTTTCTACTATGGTTTATGTTACTATCTGTTTTATTAGTTTTCTCAGTTAATTACTACTCATTAATCATTACTCTTTAGTTAATTACTATTTATCTGTTAATTATTACTTGTTAGGTAATTATTACTCATTATTTAATTACTGCTCATTATGTAATTATTATTGTACATGTTCCATTAAAGGTTGTTAGAGCAAAGGAAAGATTGGATGCAGAACTTGAAGTGTTAGAGAAACAAGAAACAAAAAGTGATGCAGATAAATAAATAAAGCAACAAGTATTTCAGTGTATCCATAACAAAAATTAATTAATAATTTGTTGTTTATGTTTTCAGTGTATAAAGTATTAACTATTGAACATAAATGTTTTATTACTTTGAGCATATAGAGAGAAGTTTGACATTTAGTTTTTATATTTTAATTCTTCTAGAACTATGTCAAACTTTTTATGCAACATTTTAATTTTATTAAAAACAACAACATATCGAAGACTAAGTTTGAAGATCAACAAGAAGATGTTAAATTTTGCTCAAAAAATCCACAATTTTTTAGTAAACCTGTAGGTTGTGTAAAGCTATTTAAATTCCATCCAATGCAGCAGTTGACAGTTTCATTTTCATTACTAAAATTTTTTTTGTGACTAAATTTTTTCCTTCTAAAATTTTAGAAAATTATCTTAACCTGTGTCAGTTTTTATAATAAAGTTTTATAACAAAGTTCGACGCGCATAAAAACTAATCAAAACTAGTCAAAAATAAATGGGAGAAAAACATGATGCTAAACCAACATTGATGCTGGTATGAACATCATTATTTTTGTGGATATTGCTACGGAGTAAAAATTGCCGAGTATAGCAAATCTTGATGTCAGAAAGGTTTGTGTTCATTATTAGCGCGTTCAAATATCTATTCATACGTCATGAAATAACCATCATCATTATTAATTTGAACAACTGTCATGTTAAATGCCCAATTTTTTTCTGAATGTTCCGTTAAAGTAATTTTCAATGAATCAAAACAAATTTATTGCTCATTGAACACGGCCGCCCGTAGCTTATGTATACAGCAACTCTGGTCGGTAGTCTTTATCCTTTATTGTCGTTGTGTCCTATTGAAATATGAACCGCCTACATTGTTTTGCATTCCTGTGATGTTAATGTACTTGATAATGATCTGAATAATACGAACTGAACAGTTTTACCTTTGTACAATCATAATGATGTCTGCATTGCAACTAGAAAATTTATTCTATCCCGCTGTAGTCAGTCTTACTGCAGCGTTACAACTGGGTAAGTTACGGCTAATGCTTGTGGTTGATTATTTTTCTTTCGTTGTAGTAATTTTGTTTACTAAAGCTTTATTTCATTTATCAACGTACTCGACCATCGTAAAAGCCAACTTACAAATGTTATATGAATTATTTCTAAGGATCGCTTTATCGTGAGATAGTTTATCTGAAATACCATAATTAATACACTAACCTTCAACTTTACCATCATTGATATATGATATTAAAATTATTGGTTACATTGTTAAAATAGTGCATATTTCTTTCATCCAGCACGTTTTACGAGAAGAGTAGGCGAAGCAAGAGGAAGATACAAGGTTTAGTAATGAATGAAAATTTCCTTCAGATCAGTGTTAAACATGCAAATAACATTTTATATTACAGAAATGATTTCTTTTTTCAATTGGAAATTTTACAATTGTGTTGTTATATAGATCCCGATTCCAAAGACGGATGGAGATCCAAATTTTTCAAGAATATTTCGAGCCCAGTAGGATTGAATCTTTTTATTACTGTCGTTTCACTATCCATAATGATATGTTATCTTATTTTACAGTCAAAACACACTGGAATTTCATCCAATATTCATTACACTTTTGTGGATCAGTTCTTTGTTTTTTCATCAAGGTACAGTTGTAATATTGCTTCTTTAAGCTTAATACTTTTGCGTAATCAAAAAATTGGAAGATTCCTTCCAACTTAATGAAACATTTTAAGGGTAAAATGTTTAAATTCTTTAAGGTTTTTATAAAGAAACATTTTCTACTTAAATTATACTTTCCACGAACTCAACATTTTCATTTTCCAAAATATTCATGTTTATGATACGCATGTTTTATTTACATAACTAATGACGTTATATTAAATGTTGTTCACAAAGAAAGAAACTCGAGGATGATTAAAGTAACTTTCACCGAATCATCAAAATTATTCAAGTTCATTGTGACGTTTGACACAAGTTTATAAATGTGACATAAAACTATTTACGTGAGAACATATGAATATCCTTGCATGGTCATTGTTCAAATGCTATGCTATTATCCACGTACATAAAATTTTTTTGAGGTCTTTATTTTAAAGCTTCATAAAACGTTTTAACGAAAATAAAGACGAATACCAACAACAATGATAATAATAATTTTGCGTCAAAACGCTGGCAAATAAAATCATCATCTTTGCTTTGACACTTCTTTCGTGCTAAAATGTGCTGTGTGTTTAATATTTCCTCAAGAGAAATGTCTTGTACTGAAGTATCGACCTTTCTTTATTCTTCATATCCTCTCGCTTGATTGATATGTTAAATGTTTGCCTTCACGTGCTTACATCGTGCAAAATGGGTGCTGTGGGCAATTGACACGCTCACTAGAGAAAAATTGTTCAAAAAAGTTCGTTTGCGTATTGTTTTTTTCATAGTATTAGTTCATACTTTGATTACTTCGTGTAGAATTCCTTCTGACAATGTCAGACAAAATTACGGATTGAAATTGATTTATAATTTCATTTTCAATTTATCCAGAACTTTCTTCCGTTCTTGGTGTTGTTTACCTCTATGCAAGATACAAATATTTTTATGGGTATGCCAAATCGTGTGAGAAAAGGTAAATATTTTTAGTATTATTTTTCTCACAAAAAATTATGCCGAAATAACAAAATATTAATTCCCGCTATATTGGTGAAACTTCTCGCCAATTATCTACCAGGATAAAGGAACATACTCACACAGACAAAAACTCCACTATCTACAAACATCTTCAAGCCTCACCTTCATGTAAAATCAAATTCTCACCTTCCTGTTTTAAAATCATCGACACTGATCAATCCACTTTCTCACTCAAAATCAAGGAAGCTCTACACATTAATAAAACTAATCCCGATTTAAATATCCAAGTTCACCACTACAACACTATATTTACTTTATAATAATATTTTTTGTTATAAGTTCTTAATACTTATTTTTCTTTTCCTTTTTTGTAAATATTTTATATTTAGTAACTGAATCATAATCCTATTCATTGTAATTAATGTATTTATATCATATTACGTATCATATTACCTAACACTAACCATTCTGCACTGAAGATGGCATTCTGATAATGTCGAAACATGTTTGCTCTCAAAAAAATCGTCGTTTTTCTCAAGTGTTTTTTAAAATTGCTGCTAATTAGAAATTATGGTAAAATATTAATGTTATACTAATTTAAAAAAACCAACATACCTATTCTATAGATTTTGAAAATGAGAATTTATTATTATTTATAGAATTTCAATAGCTTTTAAACCAAACCTATAACAATATTTCAATGATATAATCTGAACACATGCAAATTTAATTGTCGCCAAATTGTTAATTTTACATCTCAATAGCGTAAATTGTTCTACTTTGTGCAAATTAGTTTATTTTAAAATTCAAGTGACGATTACTATCCTGTTTTTTACGGAAACTAGTATCAAAGTATTTACTTACTTTTCTTCTTTTTCTTATTTTCTAGATTAGCTGGCTTAAGAATCGCTATGAATGTGTTGATGACTTTGTTAATTTTCTGTGTCATTGGCCTCGCAATGGTTGGATTTACAAAATATTCTGGAAGAGAGATAGATTTGTCTAAACTTCATGACAAACTACACGAATACATTAAAGGCCCATTATACAGTTTACAGAGAAGATGTACAAATCTTTCTAAAAACATAATGCCCTTCATAGACAGTATCACAAGCCAAACTCTGCAAGCTTTTCAATTTGTTAGGACGTTCTTCACCAACTTTCTTACAAGTTTTCAGCTGTCGGAAATGTCTAAACCAGAAGACCTGTAATTGGTCCTATATCTTTATTCAGTTGATCAATTCTCTATTTTCACATTATGATATAGACATTTAGCTAAAATGATATAGTTTTCTTGATTGTATTTTACAATTTACATTAACTAAAGAGATCCAGTTTTTTGGTGTAGAAAGCATTCATGCTCTCCATCAAACTATACATTACAATAAATAGAATATTATTTTGAATATTATTATTATTCTTGTACAGTTAAGAGAGCAATATATGAGGGAAATATTTGTTTCAATTGAAAAAATAATTGGCGGATAAAGTGGGCTAAAACTTGATTCAAATCGCCTCGCTTTCAAGCCTTGTTGGGCTTGTTGTGGGCAAGTTGTATCGTTAACAATATTGAAATATTTTACTTTCATTGAAAAAAGATTTGTTATTTCTGAGGTTTCAATATCAAAATTGATGTGTTAGACTTTGTACAAAGAATGCTCATTGCTTACATCATTTATGATATCCTAACTCAAAAATAAATTTATTTCTTTAATACTCAGCGCTACTTCTCGCTGTACATAATTTACATAATGTACATAATGTTTGTATTTTGTCATGTGAAAATCTGTTTCAATTGTTCTTAGCATACATACATTAAAGCTATATCTTAGTGGCAATTTTTTGTAAAATGTAAGTCGTTTGACTGGACAAATGTCGTAGCTTCTTAACTATTCTCACAATGTGATGGCCAAAGGAGCTCTGTCAGCAGCTTTTTGTTCAAAACTTTCGGCATTATGCTGATAAACTTCCTGGAGGCAATCAGGCAACAGCAGTGTTTGCTTCCGTTTGATTTTCTGTTGCAAAGCTTCCGTCTTTGTGATGCCGTGAATAAATATACACAGAACAGACTCCTTTTTGTAACTGCACTCAGCAAACGTTCTTGTTACTATTGTTCTTTAATGGAGCCAGTAACTTTTTCCTGCAAATAGACACGTAAAATTTGTTAATATCGTTTGGAGGAATGTGTGGCACATAAACAACAATTATGTCCTATTTCGACAACGCAGACAAAGAACTGAAAGTTGATTCAATGTTTAAGCGTTCACAGGGGAAAAAAAAGTTATCTACAATCAACTATAAAGAACGAGTTTTTGTTTTAACACCAAAGCAGCTTCAATATTATGAAGGTACACCACAGGTAAGTTGACTTCATGATTTATTGGTCATTGGTGTTGCTCGTTATTGCATCGTTTATTGTATTTACGGTTTTATTAAATTGAATACGCTTCTAATTACATCTTTATTTATTATTTCTAACATGATTTCTTTCAACCTATTTTATCTTCCTACACACTTACTTTTCAAAGTTTATTGAAAATGGGAAAGTGCCTATTGACGTTTTAGTTATCACTTTGTTGATTTAGATTGATTTTCTACTTTATTGTTTAAAACAATTACATATACTTTTCATTTCATAACAAATTAGTGAACAAATATTGCTTAATCCCCTCTTTAGGGTTAGCAATTGAAATACATTTGTAAATTATTAACGTAAATTTAGAAACGCGGTAAAATGAAAGGAACAGTTGATCTCATTAAAGTAAAGGTTGTTGAGGCAGTTGATGATAATGCCTTTGATAAACAATATTGTTTTCAGGTAAATCATTAAAAGATTAAAGTGAAAAATTTTGCAACCATTACTAGATGTAATGTAATTGATAGAATCAAAGGTGATCAAAAATTTCTCTTTAGGTTGTTTATCAAGAATATACCTTATATATTATTGCTAATAATGAAGAACAACAATCAGAATGGATATATGCTATCCAAGAAGGTTTGTCTCTATTGATGTAGATGTAGTGCAAAAGGAAAATTATATTTTCTTTCTTTCTAATTTCTTTCATTTATGTTGCCATTCGTCATAATACAGAGTGTCGAAAAAATAAGACTCTTTTATCTTACTATCATCCTGGAGCTTTTATTGGTAATCAATGGACATGTTGTCATAACACAGACAAGCAAGCAATGGGATGTCAAAAGACATTTGTAAATACGGTATCCAATTCACAAGGTAATGGAACTTCTTAATGAGGATTATTTTTTATGCATTAGTGGAGTTTTGTATGCTTATGTACTACTTTACGTATGTGACCACTGTTGGGAATATGAATATTTGATCGTTCATTAACAACTGCTTAACCTAAATATTTAACCTGGAAATTTTGTCAAAATAATACCAAATCAACTTAGAAAAGATTTAGATTAGTCAAATGTGCCTCATTTAATGCCATACATAACTGTTTGTTGAGCAGATGACATTTAAAGAAATGTTTTTCGGTTATTCAACTTCTAGAAATATTTTTAGTTTTTCTAGATAAACCACTGCCACCATTGCCCCCTACACCATTAGAAAATGAGGTAAATTATTCATGTAATTTTTTTAAGTTAGATTAAAATAACATCATAACTAAATTAGTCTTTCTTGATATATTAGGGTCTTAATGTTGTTGCACTATACAGTTTTCAAGGAATAGAAAGTGGTGATCTTAGCTTTAGTAAGGTAACATATGTTTGCATTTGGTTTTTTTTCATACAAGATTTGTAAGAATTCCATTTTTAGGGTGATGAATTTACAATTTTGATTAGTGAGGGTGAACATTGGTGTCTCGCTAGGGATAGAAATGGGTAAATATTGACTTAATTATTTAGTAAGTTTAAATAAACATGTCAAGTATTGGGAAAAGCAAGAACACAAAAAGAAGTGGAGGGACTGAGTTTTGTTTCATAACTAGAAATTACATTTTTAGTTGACTACTTGACTTACTGCTCAAACCAGATGAAAACAGTAAAATACTTTTAAATTTACCTGCCATATTATTAGGCAAAAGGGATATATTCCAGTGAATTATGTTCGAGAAAAGGGAGGTTTGGATACTGAATGGTATGTTGCTATGAACTGGGTTTTTTTTTATATAATTATACAAGCTTAATCTTATTTTGTTTTGATGTTTTTGATATTTTCCTTTGTTTTAGTTGGTATTTTGGTGACATAATGAGACATGTTGCAGAAGATAAACTTATTAAAGAGGTATGTTGATCTATAATTGAAGATCTGTAATATTATATGTTTTCTTTTCTGGGAAATATCAACTATCTAAGGTTGTATATAGTTATCTTCAAAACAGTAAATTGAGTAGAGGAATTGCAACTCGCTTGTTAAGAAATATATTCCAGCAATTTTCATTAAGATATATAAGTTTATTTTTTGCCTGTGTCAGCAGTTTTTAATCATGGAAATCAAGTTCATCATTTATTGATAAAATTTGTCATCTTTAGCAAAAGGAGGGCACTTTCCTTGTTCGAAACTCAAGTAAAGATGGTCTCATGACTTTGTCTCTTTTGTATGTGTATTTGAAAAATTATTTGAATTTTCTTGAACTTTCACTACAATTTTAACTCTCTCCAAGTGTGATATAACATTTGCATATCTTTCTTTGAATTTAGACATGCTGGTGTTGTGAAACATTATCATATTAAACAAGATGAAAATAAATTTTACAAAATATCCCCAAGACATTGTTTTCCCACAATTCCTGAACTTATTGAGTATCACAAACTAAACAGCGGAGGTGTGTTTCATTGTTGACGTGCTACAATGGCGTATTTTCTGTTATCTTTTTGCATTTTTCAAGTTTACTCACTCTCATCCTTTAATTGGGAGACATTGATTTTAAAATTTTTGCAGCTACTATTATTATTCATCTTTATGCATAGGTCTTGTGACAAGGCTGCGTCAACCTCCATCATCAGACACCAACCCTCCAACTGTTGGTTTAGGACATGGTAAGTTTCAATCAGATATGAACACCAACCTTTTCAATGATTGCAGTCTTTGATATTTATATTTTTTACAGGAAAATGGGAAATTGATCGCTCTGAAATTAATCTTGGGCATGAAATAGGCAATGGTCAATTTGGGGTGAGAAAATATTGTTTTGAATGGTATTTAGGATGTTTGAATCAATTGATGATGTTGACAACATAGAAACCAAAATAAACAATAAAATGAAGTTTTCAACATATTTTCAGAGAGTATGTAAAGGATGGTGGCGCGGCACCACTGAAGTTGCTGTTAAAATGATGAAACCAAATTCGATGTCCGAGGATGATTTTATTGAAGAAGCAAAAGTGATGCAGTAAGTTATCATTGATATTCGGAGACAAAACTAGTTGTGCTCCATGGCTCCTGATTTCTTTTGAAAGCCAATTAACTTTCAAACTAAATCATTGGGGCACAAGTGAATATATGAATATCCTCCCTCCACCCCCCATCAATTAACGTTCTAGTTACATCCCTGTTTGCATTCTACAATAATCCCATATGTATATTATTTTATAATGTTCAATGTCGTTTATTAAATTATCATGAACCATACTTTTTGCCAAAAAAAACCATAAAAAATATCATTCCCAGTTTGGCAGTTTATGGTTGAACCGCATGCATGGTTAAACCGTTAAAGATGTTTTTCCTTCGTTTTTATACCATACCTACATCTCTATATCATAACTGTGTCTTTATATCATATCTGCACGAGTCTCAATATTTCACGTTTACTTTCTAGACATTTCCATCATCCAAATCTTGTTCAGTTGTATGGAGTTTGTAGTCAAACACCCATCTACATCATCACAGAATTTGTACCCAATGGTATGTAATAATGAGAAAAACTGTTTGCTGAGAATAAGTTTTTTATTTTTGATTGAAATTTTACCAACTTAATCAATTTTGTTTCAGGTTGCCTTTTAACCTTCTTGCGTAAACAACGCAGTCAAAAATTATCTGTGCTTTGCGAAATAGTTTTTCATGTTGCGTCTGCAATGGCTTATTTGGAGAGTAAAAATTTTATTCATCGAGATTTGGTATTTACTGTTGTATCTTTATCGAAGTACTTTACCCTCCTGCATCTTACATTCTACAATGACGAAAGTCGTATCAACTATATTTCCTATTTAGGCTGCAAGAAATTGTCTCGTTGGCATGAATCTTGTTGTTAAAGTCTGTGATTTTGGTCTTTCCAGGTAAGAAATTTTACACCAAATTATCGTTAGAAACATAATTGACTATGTCGCTAAATTACATCCTGTCTCAGAAACTGATCTGTTACAATTATGCAGTGTGTCGTTGAAATACATGTCTCATTTTTTGTTCACATAAGGTTTGTGATCGACGATGAATACACAGCCTCTGAAGGAACGAAATTTCCTATAAAATGGGCAGCACCTGAAGTTATAATGTACAATAGATTTAGCAGTAAATCTGATATTTGGGCGTATGGTAAGGAGATTAAGAAAAACCTTTGGCTTACCTCATTTTGAATGAAAAAATTTGTTTTTATATTGAGGTATTTTGATGTGGGAAGTTTTCAGTGGTGGAATGTCACCGTACGCAAGTTATGGAAACCCACAAGTAGTTAGTTATGTAAGTACTTTGAAAAAATAGTTTTTATCACTGGCACTTTGAAGGCTGTAGTTGCCTTTTGTTGACTTTGTTATTTCTAATGTACGACGAGTGATTTAATTTTCAAGGAGACTTTCATATTTATCCAGTGTTCAAAGTTGAAATTATTGTTGTATGTTTTGTAAATTGTTGATTTATTATGAGCTCTGGAATCATGTCACTATTACATTTAGATAATGTCTGGTAAACGTTTAAAGAAACCTGAAAGCTGTCGTAGTGGTATTTACACCATAATGAAAGATTGTTGGCTTGAGGTGAGAGACGTACATTTTCACAAATAATCTTTGATATTAAACAAAGGTTCTGCACTTTTCGTTGTCCTAAATTTAATACGAAAGGCAGGACTTTTTCTATTTTTTAAGTCAAATTTTAATATCAAACTTTCGTGAAAGTATTAAGTGGTTTACAAAAAACGTGTATGTCAAAAAACCACATCATCGCGCTCTTACAGAAGTACTTTGTGTATATTTGAGAATGAAAAATGTTAAATCTTGCCCTTTCTTACATATTATGAATTACATCTTCATTCAAAATGACTTCTAAAATGCATTAAATTATGTTTAGTGTCCAGACCACCGTCCTTCGTTTGGAATAGTCATTCGAAGGTTAAAATCGCTTCTAGGTGAAGATTATGCAGACGCATTCGATTAATTTCATGTTAAGGAAACTTATCATAATTTAAATTATATACGTTGGTAGAAACCCTTAAATATCATTCTCAAAACTATTTTATAAAATTTTGATGAACTATGACGAAGATAAAGTGTATTGAGAATATCAGCTTAATTGCTAGCATAAAAGGAACTGCTGGGCACTGGTTAGTACAACAAAGTACTGCCACACACTAATAGAAAAATTTTATGTAAACCCATCTTTTATCTTACTGATATTATCCACTTGTATTATATTCTTGGTTTTTTGTACTCGTTAAAACTGTAAATATAACATCACATTTGTCATTCTTTATTTGCTTTTCATATGTAATAATCTTACTAAGTCCAGAAATTCCTTGCGTACCTTGGTATTTGTTGACTAGGTAGGTAGTGGTATTTGTGGTAGCGGATAGACAATAGACATTCAAGCATTCACAGCTACAGTGACTCTACAAAGTTTGTTGCTTTATGTTTGTTTTTCGTTATGTTTTTGCATTTGTTTGTTTTACTCATAAGTATAAAGAAAACTCAGTACTATCTAATAATATAGAAGAAAATAATTCTAGTAATATCCATGAAAAGTGACCCATTGACACCAGACGCTTTGCAGATAAAAATGAACGCCTTGTTGTGGATTTGCTAACCATCAAGTTTAATTGATCAATGTAAAAACTTTCAAGATATCTTTATAAAAATGGCTGATGTCGACAATGGCGTGGCTCCCATGTCAATATTGATAATATTTCGAGGTTAGCATTGTTTACGTACACATTTATTCAAATATTATATGTCCCAATAAATATTTACGTCAGCTGTTTATTTACATATTTTTATAAATCTTAAATAAAGACATAAAAAGTAACGGAAAATTGATTCTGCTTCAGCTTGATATTAATTTATGATATTCTATAATCATCAAAGTATAAGTAACTATAGTCAGTATTGTGAACAGGAGAAACCTAGTGATACAAGACGCGAAGGTTGAGCAATGACTAACATTTATTTCTTAAACAATGGAATACATTTGCGCATAATTGATTTAAAATATTCTTTAAACGAAAGTGAAAGCAGTGTAGAATGATGAGTGAATCGTTGGACTTGTTTCCTAGAAAGATTTTTACTTGCGATTCACATGCAGAATTTCAAGGTAAAATATTTGTTTCTTTGACATCATATTGAATTCGTGGTAAAATTTCTCTATTTTTCAAATGTCTTGGTCAAATCATCAAACAAAAGATTAGCAGAAGAGAAACAGATATTGGAAAAATATTTTGGCAAGAGAATTACATGGTTTGATCAAAATTCATCAAGCAACGCTAAAATGGAGGTTGTTTTGAATACAAACAACGGAAACATTTACACACTTCGAATCAGTATTCCGAACGATTATCCAAATGGTTTACCAATAATGGTCGTTTATAAGTCTCCTGCACCGATGCCTGACTGGATTAGCGGTCCAAAAACACACACGTTTGGCAAGAATGAAGATGGTCATTTAGTTATATGTTATTTCCGTCGTGATCGCTGGAATGCTCAACGTAATTTACTAGATGTTTTACTGAAAGGTAGAATTTGGCTCGAAGCATACGAAGGTCATTTAGCTACAGGCCAAGATATGGATTATTTCTTAGCTCCAATGCTTGGTAAAAATGACATTGAGTTAAACAGATCAAAATCTCAGTGACAAATATAGTGTTTGATTGCTTTCTTTGCACGTTTATTACACCTTCATCTGGTCCTTGCACATCATGCTATGTAATTGATTTCTTTCTAAATAATTTCAGCGTATTTTATGCCATTAAAATGTATTTCACGCCTTCATTATAACGTAGATTTACTGAGAAATCATTTGAACATGAAACGTCACGTTTTGTAATGCGAATAAGTCTAACAGCCTTACATTTATCTAAATAGTTTATTAGAAATATTTTTACCATAGAAACCTCTCAAACAACGTACGTGTCTTTCTCATCCTCTCATTGAACATTCAAAAATTTTGTTGTGTATATTTGATTTGTTCGATTCAATCCTATTCTGAATTCGAGATTTTGCTTTTCTATGTACATTTTCTATGTACAATGTTATCGCCTTTTTTATATTGCCATAAATTACATTCATGTTTAATGAAAAAATAAAACCTCAACAAAACTGTTACATTTCCACACTTTCCACATCATTGGTTATTGCGTTGCTTTTGGCACATGACGTCATAGGTTCCCGTATATGATGACGTCGTCGTTCATCAAATAAGGTATAGTATGGCTTCAGTGGAGCAACAGGGTGTAAATGACAATAATTTTATTAGAGAAACTGCTTTAAATGGCGACTATTCTCAAACTACGGCCACTATAGATTTGTCTGATAATTCTTCTTTCACTAGAATGGAGGATATGTTAAGAGTTGCTACGGATTTACAAAATAATTCAACGCATTCAAGTATGTATAAATTTTCAAGTTCAACGTTTTCTAAGAGCTTTTAAAATACCATTATTCCAATAACGTTGTTGTATTTTCTTACACCTATAAACATCACTTTATAAGAAGTCGGACGTATGATACGATTGTTTTCCATTACGAAAAGGAGAGCTATTTTCGGCTGATAACTATATCAAAACAATATAATTTGAAATCGCTCGAATTAAAAATGCATTGTTGATTATAGAAATCACATGTGGAGATATAGAAAGTTGCAATGTTTTTATTTTTTTAACATGTGTAATTCCGTATGCTATTTACCAATTACTTTGCTAAAGACATGGCATTTACAATCTACCGAAAAATTCTGATTACCGTAGTTTTGGTTTATCACTGTTGTATTTGCAATTGATTTACATTTTTTTCATTGTTTTCTAATCAAAGATCGCAAATTGTAAATTGCCAGTTGTATCTTTATGACTTTATGTCGTTCATAGCATAGATCTACGTTTAGTATTCAGTTTCTTGCTGAATAGAGTAGGACTTTGTTATTGGTATAATCTTCATTTGTTCTTGATTTGTCATTGTTTAGATTCCCCACAAAGTAATCGAAATGAAAGTTTGCCCTCTGGAAGTAGTAATAATGTTATGGTTGAAAACAAAGGCACTTCTCTAGTGCAACCTAATACATCAGCAAGAATGGAGAATCTTAAGAAATGGAGTATATCAACATATAAATGTACAAGACAAGTCCTGTCGGAAAAGTTTGGTAAGGGATCAAAGACAGTTGACGAAGAATTGGAAAGCCAGGTTGCTGTTCTTAAAGATACGCAAAAAAAATATATGAGTCTTTTACGTGTTGCAAAGCAGCTTACACAACAATTTTCTGTTGTGTTGGGGACGCAACGTAGCTTGGGTGATGTTTTTAGTGAGTTAGGTCTAAAAACACCTGAATTGCATGATGAATTTAATTACAATGCAGAAACTCAAAAGACTGTGGCTCGTAATGGAGAAACTCTTCTTGCTGCAATGGAATTCTTCACAGCCAGTTTGCAAACACTTTGTTCAAAAACATTTGAAGATACCATGGTTACAGTTAAGGCATATGATGCAGCTCGACTTGAGTATGATGCATATAGGTCGGACCATCAATATTATTCTCAAACAACACCAACGTCATCTGCGGCAACATTTAAAGCAGAGGAAGCAAAGAAAGTTTATGAGAAACAGAAAGAAAAATTTGAGAGAATAAGAAGTGACCTGACAATCAAGTTGAAATTTCTTGAAGAAAATAAGGTTTGCTGCTTGTAACCAACCGTTTCTTTTTGATACAAGTATACAAAATTCCAATTAAAAGTGCAAAGTTTCCAAAATCTGTGAATGCATATATTATATGTTATAACCAAATTTCGTAAATGAATCATATTTTTTTTCAGATAAAAGTTATGCAAAGACAACTTTTACTATTCCATAATGCAAGTGCAGCATATTTCTCTGGAAATAAACAAGCTCTTGAAAACACAATGAAAGAATTTCATGTGAAAATGTCAAGCAAAGAAAATCCTCCATCCTTTATTGAGAAAAAATAACTTAAACCAGTAAACCTGGAACATTTGTCTTAACATAAACCAATGTGTTTAGTAGTATGGAGTCTATCTTTGATGATACTTTGGTGGTAATGTTCATTTTGAAATTTTCTTTCCATAAAATATATTTCTTTCTTTCTCATTTCCTATTTTAAGCATTGTTTTTCTGTATGTTTAACTGTAAAAGATAGTAAATATATTAAACTATGTGTTGCAAGATGTGTTATGTGCTAAAATTTATATAAAATCTTAAAAATGTAATGTTTATTATACATTCGTTAAAATTGTTATATATCTCAGTACAAATGAAGCTCTTAACATGACAACATTCTTTGATGGCTAACATAACAGGTGTTTTATTTTGATTTTTACGCACTGTTTGATTTTAGCTTTTCTCATTGAGAATTTTTTCTTCATCTTGAAATATTACAGTAATTTCTTTAAGATTATGTTCCAATTTTGTCACTGTAACTTGTTCTATAGAAAGGTTATTTTATCTGTCTGGGGCTACATTTTATCTAACCTGTCTGGGGCTACATTGAAATAAAGAAGAATAAAAATGTCTGCTCCAAGAGCGGCCTGTGTTGTTCCTGTTCTCACGACGTTTGCTGCTATGGCTCTTCTGTTCTACGTCGCCGGAAGAAATTATTATGATTTGTATACAGAAAGATTGACTGATGTGAATACCACTAGCAAACGTCGTCAATTAACTCATAAAATGTCTGTTGACAAATTAAATTCCCGAATATGTCTGACTTCAGAGTGCTTACAAGTAGTCAAACATATTCGTAATTCACTTGACATGAAAGTGAAACCATGTCATGATTTTTATCGCTTTGCTTGCGGTAACTGGAAAAGACATAATCATTTTCCAAACTCTTACAACGAATATAACACGTTTTCGAAATTGTCTCGTCATATCGAGAGACAGTTAAAAGGGTTATTAGAAGATAATTTTGATGTTAACGCAAGATCAATCGAAGTAGAATCTGTTAATAAAGCAAGAAATTTTTATAAATCCTGTATGAATGTTGAAGAAATTGAAAGACTTGGAGCTTTGCCTATGCTAAATTTTATCGAAAGTATAGGTTCATGGGCACTTGCTGGTCAATGGAAGGCCTCAAGATGGAATGTTTTTAAAGTTTTAAAACACATTCAAAAGTTATACTATCCTGCATCACCATTTTTTTCTGTTGAAGTTACAAATGATCACTTGAATTCAAGAAAACATCTCATTAAGGTTTGACATAAATACGGACAAATACTTTTTGTGGCGATGTCTTTTTTATTTTTCTTATTATATATATAGATCGAACAATCTGGACTTAGTTTACAAAGAGAGATATACTTTAAGCACCCCGAGGTGAGATGTGGTTAATTGAAAATAAAGCATTTTTTGAAAATAATTATGATGTAAAGTTTAACAGACATAGGTTTTGTTTTACACACTAGATGGTGAGAATTTACCAGAAATATATGTCAAAAGTGGCCGTTCTTCTTGGAGCCAAGCCTAAAGATGCCGAACAACATATGAAGGAAGTCATAGACTTTGAAACAAACCTTGCTCGAGTTAGTAGGAGTGAATAAGATGAGTAATTTACGATTTTGTTGTTTTGTGTAAGCACAGTTAACCATATTTCTATGACAATTGACCAACAGTAGACACCCCACTATCACTTAGTTACGCTATTTCATGTAATATAAATCATTTTGACATTTTCCATATATATAGGTTACAGCATCTGCTGAAGATAAAGCTCAAGGTTTGTATAGAAGAATGACAATCCAGGAACTCTGCCGTCGAGTACCTGAGGTAATTTTTATCGTACAGTAACTAATAAAAATCAACGTTTTCCCCCTGTAAACATGCAAATACAACCTTTTAGTGAGTGCAAACTTTTAATGAGGAAAATCTTATATAATCATTACATATAGTTTGACTGGTTCAGTCATTTGAAGTACATCTTTCCTGAAGCCCACATAAAGAAAAGAGATGTTGTTTTAGTGACATCACCTAAATATCTTCGTAAAGTAATATGGCTACTTAAAAATACCCACAAAAGGTAAGTGTAAGAACATACATGTTATTTAAAGGGGAGATGTGGTCAGAGAATGGTGAAAAGAACATGTTTTTTAGTGTAATATAGTTTTATATAGACGTGATTTGCACAATCTTTGCAGTTTACAACAGAGTAAAGATCGTCTCTCAGTAAGATATTTTAAATGAGTTGATTATGAAAAACCTACTAGATTAAATGCCAAAAGACAGTATTCTAAAACAAGTCGTTTGAACAACTCGTACAAAAAATAAACGGATATAAACTGTAATTGGTGCAATACATCAAGCTTACTTCTGGTGAATCTTATTCGTTTATTGTGGAACTAATCTATTTTCAATGTGAACGTAACTTTTTTAATCATTGTTTTCTGTCAACAAAATGCTCGAATGCGTTTTTCAAGTACATTTTTCTAATCCAATCAGGTTGCTTTCTAACTATATCACGTGGCAAATGATTAGAGAAAAGATTGGTCTGCTTTCCAAGCCATTCAGACAAGCTCGTTCTGACTTCAATGAAAATATTACTGGAGTGAAAGACAATGAGGATCGTTGGAGGATATGTACTAGTATCACCAATGACAATATGGGTGTTCCCATTGGCAGTTTGTTTATTAGGAAATATTTTGATGATAAAATTGTCAACTCGGTAAGCAGTCATGTTTTTTTTACAACACATGAATTAATTCATTCTACAAATATTAAGTAATTATTTTTTTAGACATTAAACATGATACAAAAAATATTGGACGCATTCAAGCAAAAAGTCACCAATCATAAATGGATTGACAACACAACAACAGCAGGAATACTTGATAAGGTGCACGATTAAAGAAATTTCCTTCAATTACTATGAAAATCCATGTAAATTATACATGACATGATATTTATCCTTCAACAGGCAAACGCTATTAATAGTAAAGTTGGTTATGCTCCTTACGTAGCAAATCCCAAGTCTCTTAGAAAACGATTTCAAAATGTGAGTAAATTATGGAGCGAATACATTAACAATCTGTGAGTAAATTATGCAGCGAATACATTAACAACCTGTGAGTAAATTATGCAGCGAATACGTTAACATTTTTGCACTGACCGTTATAAAACATAAAATAAGTAAATTACTATCTGGAAGATTTACATAACGTACATCCTTTATCTGTGGAAGATTATTACATAAATAGATAGTAGTCAGTGATGAATATGAGGCAAAATCACTTACGCACCTTTACGATTGTTCATTTGTTCCTGAAGTGACGAATGCTGGTAGCCTCTGATATTACTGTTCTTTATTGTTTTATTTAAATATATTCCTAAGATGATATGTTTTTATTCAGCTCGAAGTGGATACAACTCGGTTCTTTTGGAATAATGTCAATGTTGACAAATGGATCAGACGACGTCTATTTGCAAAATTGAGAAAAATTGTCGATCCAGAAAAGTTTGTAAATAAAAGCAGTTTACTTGTTCATTATTATCGAGAGAGTTTATACAAAGTATTTTTTCTGGAACATGGAAAGATGAGTTTTTTGAACTAATAGGAAATAATGAGCTGTTTTCTAAATCCAGTAAAGATTTGTTTTCAGGACTTAAAAAAGAGCTAGAAGGAGTGATCATTAAAATAGTGGTAATCGCATGTTCGATCTTTCAAGCCTTGTGATTGGTTTCACTCACTTTATAGATGGCCAATGTTTCCGCAGACAATCAACGCTATGTACCAGTTCTATGAAAACGAAATAGGTGAGACGTTTATACTTTTATGCATAACTGATCGTGTCATTGATATTCATGTAAATACTTCTTTCTTGATTTTTATAAAATTGTGTTTTAAGTTATTCCGGCAGGAATTTTAAGACCACCATTTTATTACAATGGAAATGTTCCAAGGTTTGTACATAAAATATACAGATGACTTAGCTATAGTAGTAACAAGAAAATTTTATTTCACAAAAATATAATTTGATTACTTCAAATGGAGATATTATTAAAATGTCTAAATGTTTTGCGCACGAAACGAGCTATTTTCCTTTTAATCAACACAGTATTTATGTATTCATGTCTGTTTAATGTTCAAAATATTTTTTCTATACCTACATCATTTATATGTTACAAAATTATGCATGAAGAAAAAACAATTATTGTTGCAAAAAAAACTATCAATTTCAAAATTTGATACGATCTCCTCCAAAAGTCTCTTCTGACTTTATAAAAAGTTTTATTTTCCCATATAACATAAAATATAATGTTTTTATAATGGTGTTGCTGTAGATCTTTGACTTACGGAGCGATCGGCACTATAATTGGTCATGAACTAACACATGGTTTTGATAACACTGGTACGCAACTGAATATTTTTCCAACCTTTATTTTAGGTATCTCATATAGTTTCAAAGCCGTTATAAATGTTCCACTTACGAAACAAACTTTAATAGTCGCTTCTTTCTTTTAATTTTGAAAAGTTCATGTGCTAATATTAATGGTTTCTCCTCAACCTCAACCCCTTAAGCTTTCTTTTTCTCCACCACGTGCACCCTCTTTAGTTTGTTTTTCCTTCACTCTCCCCCTTCAGCTATAGTTCTATGGATACATAATACGTTCTAAGATTATTAAAACAGGAAATGTCAAAGACTTCTTGTTTAGACGACAAACTTTTTTTTCTTCATAATCGGTAGACCCGATTTTCGCAAAACGTGTAAACAAACAAAGGGATGGTGCCAGAACTTGTAGTAATCTTATTTTGTAAAACATAATCCCTCATTAAGCATTATTTTGTTTTATCAAAGTAACAACAACAAAAACATTAGCAAGAGCATTTACTAATTATGGATGTTACGGTATCAACTTCGTTAATCAGGTCGACGTTTCGATAAAAACGGAAATATAATAGGCGAATGGTGGAAACCATCAACCATAAAAGAATTTAATGAAAGAGCGAAGTGTATAGAAAAGCAATATTCAAAATACAAAATACAAAACAAATATCCAGTGAGTTAAATTGTTGCTTGGTTTGTGTCACTGTACGACAACTAACTTTTGTATATTTTTCATATTTTTCTAGTTGAATGGCAAAGTAACTTTGGGTGAAAATATTGCAGATAATGGTGGAACAAAGTTATCTTATTATGTAAGTTAAAACGTTATTCTGGCCAAATCTACTAAATTAAGATAAAAAGTCATTGTTAAATTTTAAGTTGATTGTTCTGAGGTGTTTCAAAACATGACGTACATTTGCTATTTTCTTATCAATCACCTCCCACTGAGAACAGACGTCATCATCTACAAATTTTACAATGAATTTATGGTGATGATTCGTATTATCCTGAAGATAAATACAAATTATTTTATAAGGGCATTTTCCGTCTCAAATATGTTGTGATATGACAGTCTGTAGTTCAATTTACGATAATAGGTTTAGGTCTCCGCGAGCTTCACTCTTCAGCGAGTCTTTTTACGCTACAAAACATAATCAAAACGGATATACTCTTCCGGATATTAAAGCACTTGGTAAAATTCTGTGCATCTATCATTGAGAATTGAAAAATACTTCAAATGTTGAAAGATGAAAATCAGGAAATGTTGAGAAGGAATTTATCGAAGGATAGATCTTAATTTGCCTTGACCGCATTTTTCTTTTTAAATTACAACAAATGTAGGGTTAATGAAACATGAAATTCCACTTATTCAATAAAGAGGTGATTCCTCAAAAGCAAAATAAATTTGCTGCACATTTTCTAAACTTCATAATTTATAACATTTTATTTACTTTTCGATTGTTTATATTTTAAGGCTTATAAAAATTGGTTGAAAGAAAACGGAGGAGAAATGTTACTTCCTGGATTGCCTTTCACCAATGAACAATTGTTTTTCATTGGTTATGCTCAGGTTCACCAACTTAAAACTTGTAATATGCGGGTATTGAAGATGGTTAATCATAGTTTGGATGTTTATTTTATTAGGAGTATTGTGGTATAAGCAATACAAAAGCTGAATACATATCAAGCTTAAATGAAGTACATGCACCACCCCAGTTTAGGTTGGTTTGTTTTTTCCCGTTGCAAATTTATAATAATTTGTCTTTTGTTTTAGTTCATTCGCCAACTTAGTTCATATTTTATTTTCAGGGTGATAGGAACACTGTCAAATTTTTTGGCATTTTCGAAAGCATTCAATTGTAGAAGTGGATCGCCGATGAATCCAAAGAAAAAATGCGAAGTTTGGTGAAAAGTAACGGCATATAGTATATCATTCGTTTTGACTTTTTGTAAAAACTGGTTTTAATGGTGTTATTTTTTATGTTTCATGCCTTGAGTTTTTCATACGGAAATTCACATTTTTCATTTTTTTTGAAAAGCTATGTGACCGACCTAAATGCGAATTTTACCAACTTAAAAAACAATTTTTATGACCATATGAAGAGATATGTCTGAATTTTAATGACACGGACAAGACTTCAAGCAAATCATCTTTTCTAGGGGTCTGGGGGTGGAAAAATTATAAATAAAAATAAGATTTTCTGTGGTGGGTTGAACGGGGAACCCATAGCCACCTATAGCTCACTGCAATAGCGTTGAACCTCTGCTCCGTGGTCCCTGCAAGAACTATTGAGGCGAACATCTGTTCAAAACAGCTGTGTAAAATAGTTCTCTTTGTGCTGTCAAAAATAACATACGCTTTAAATAATCTTCCTGTCCAATACACCCTTCCATTACGTTGTATATATACATATTTGATATAAAATGCTTCCTTTAGTTATAGTTAATGCCTAATGTCTTACATTATAAACATTGCTACTAACGTTAATAAAGTCAGTCTCGAACTGGTACGCTACACTATGATAGAGACACAGCCCACTGTACAACTTACATAAGACGAATAAAATGCCGCGTTACATGACTTATGCCATAACACGTGTCGCGGGCTCACACTATAACAACAAGTCAAGTTCACACTTTTTAAAAAAAAGCCAAAAAGTCACTGTTCCAAATTCAAGACGAAGCAAATGTCCTAGTCATTTTTTATGGAGAGAACTGCATTAGTTCAAACTTCAAGGTAAAGAAATAAGAACCATATTAAAATACAAATTTAAATTGGTTATTGGTGCAATAGTAAACATAGATAATGTGGTTTCACCAAATTGTAAAAATTAAAAATGGCGCCAAATTCAAATTTCTGTCAAATTTACTTACAATGAAAACCCTCTCGTTTTTCTAAGACGTTTAGAAATTTAGAGAAATCAACGACGAATAGTGAGATTTCTTGCTTTGAATAAACTAAACGTAATCTTGCTTGCTGGCATTGGTCATGAATGTTGGTCATCAACATGTGAGCTTACTTGTAGAATGGCAGTACTTACTTTAGACCTTGATAAAAATTTTACTGCCAATAGATACTTTTTGTTAGAAAATTTCCATTCAATGATAGACCATTTAAAGTAATAAATGCTTCAAATAGTTGGTCTAATATAAGCTTAGATTTACAATATTGTACCACTGGTATAATTTTGGTTGAGAAGTTTAGCAAAAATTGTGTACAATCAAGGCAAAGAAATAGAATTTTCAAAAAACAATGTTTAAATTGGCACAATCCCAATCATCGAGTCAGGCACAAACATCATCTCAGACTGCTTAAAATTATACAATATCTTAGATAAAGATGAATACAAACATCTGATTGTAAAACAGCATTTGATTAAAGAGTAAAAAACAGGAATGCTGCAAATAAGTAATTGACATTTGACACTTGGAAACAAAAATATATTTTACAACTCCTACCTTGTACAATATCGTGTCAGAAAACAATTCATAAACAATGTGAAATACATAATTTTAAATCCTTCTCTGATCTACTTTCACAATATTACTCTATTTCCTAACACCAACCGAAACCTCAAACATAAACCCAACCCAAACCATAACTCCATCCCTAATCCTAAATCCAACCCTGATATCCACCCTAACCCTAAGTTAAACATTTAAACTAGCCTTACTCAATTATGGTTAAACTGTCAGTTTTATGGTTTCCACATATTAGATCCCTGTAGTAAAATTGAAGACTTGATAAGGACACAGTGGTTTGACCACTGTATAATCGTATCAATAACTATCTCTACCTAAGTATTAAATGTTACATAAATTAAATGAGTAAAATTACTTACCTGTTGTGAATAATTAATGACATTATCGTAACAATTTCATCCTCATTGTTAACAAAAAGTTTTCAGTAGAGATCCAAACTTGTTACAAATAGACAAATTTCACCATGAAAAGTCATTAATTTTGTCATTTCAATTGTTTGTCACTGTTTTATAATAATAATTAATAATAATTAACTAAGTTATCAAAATAGGTTGAAGTTTTGTTTGTCATTAACATAAATATTTTGACTCACTCAATTTCCATACACCACCATAATAGAATTCAACAAATTTTAAATTTAAAACATAGGACACATTGTTTATGTTTGTTGATGTGCTGTGTTAGAAAATGGTACTAACAATTTTGAATGACTTTGTGAAGTGAAGACTAGGAACATATAGCCAACATAATTTTAAAGCCAGCTGGGCAACTCATAATTGAAATTATGTAATGATATTTTTCAAACTCTTTCTGTGAAAGATTTCACATTATTTAAGGGTGTCAATTTTACATTTTATACCATATCATCACTGATCCAAACGGCACATTTTATTTTTGGATTCATTATGCTCCCTGATTTGCAATCAAATGCACGGGAAAATTCTTTCGAGTTTGCTAGCACTCCTTGGACCCTTGAAAAATTTGATTTTATTATAAGTCTAAAATTTGATATCAAGGTCCGAATTAGCGCTTCGCAAGTCGCAAATTGCGAAGTGATTTCGATTTTGGCGAAATATTGCGAAGCAAATTTCGTAAAATTGCGAAGCTCATTTCGCATTTCTTGTTATTTAATGTAAATTTGCTTACTGAAAGCACTCTTTTTATAATGCTGTAATTGATGTGTTTTTATTATGCTTTGCGACCACTACCTAATTTTTAAAATACGTCAAAAGAAATATCAAATGATCAAATTTCTTGCACTATTTGCATAATTTCAAAGCGTTGGCCTCATGCGTTGGCCTCATTTACATCATGCCTCAGGAATGTGACTAACAGGAATTTATCCAAAAATGGTCGCAACTTTTTAAAAAACGTCGCTATCAATTGTAATATGAAACTTAACATTTTCAATATTATCTGAAAACGCGAAGTGACAAAGTCACAAACTAATACACACTGCATACGTTAACGATGGCGAAGCAAAAGACTGTAGAAAATTGGGAGCGAGATTTAAACGTTAAATTGATCAAAAGTCTTAGTACAGATAAGAAAAAAGTAGAAGCGTTAAAATGTTCTGTCTGTGGAATTCTCCTCAACAATTTCTTCAATAGCTGGTTTTGCAAGCATGGATAGATGGGACAACATCTGTCAAATTAGATAGCTTGAAGAAACATGTCCAAGGTAAAGCACATCAACATGCAAAATGTCTTTTGATCAGAAGTCCTTGGGCGAAACTTTTGGCGCAAATTGTTGAACGATCTCCAATTGGAAGAGATTTGATGAAAATGGAAGAGAATGACAGGAAAGTAATGATTACTCGTTTCAACACTGCCTACTATTTAGCCACTTCAGAAAGACCCTATAGCGATAGTGAGGGCATCATTACGTTAAACGAAATGAACGGAATGATTCGCAGTTCCAAATTCCAAAACGAGCGTGCTATGGCAAACATCACTGATTCAATTGCTGACAAACTCAAGCAGAAGCTGATGTCTGAATTGAAGAAAACACGCTATTTTTCTTTGTTGACCGACGGCAGCACTGACAAAGGCGTTTCTGAACAGGAAGTTTTGTATCTCCTTTTTATAAGCAGTGAAGGTAAATGAAATACACTGAACTGAATTATTTCGATTCTTGTCTTTAGACGCGTTATTTCTATTCCTTCAATGGACAGGTATCCCTCAAAAAAGGTTTTTAGCAATTGAATCACCTACATCAACAAGTGCAGATGGCCTTAAGAAGATGATACAGGATTGCTTTTCCCGGTTTCTCATGAACAATTTCCCAAGACAACTGGCAGCGCTAAACGTGGATGGAGCTTCGGTAAATTTGGGTAGCATAAACGGACTTGCAGCCAAACTTCGCAAAGACTCACCATGGCTGCTTACTATTCATTGCTTCAACCATCGCCTTGAACTGGCTGTTAAAGACGCATTTAAAGAACAGGTATGGTGTCACAACAGTTACACTTCTTTTGTTTAAGATGTTGAATTTCAGAATAATGTGTTCATAATATATACATTCCTCATTTAATCAGAACTTGACGAAGTGGATGAGCTCCTGACTAAATTGTATTACTTGTACCAAAAGTCGGCAAAGCGCTATCGCGAATTGAAGGGATTCGGCGAGATTTTCGAAAAGAGCATAGCAAAGCCAGCCAAAGCCTTTGGAACGAGATGGATCACCCACAAGTTGAAAGCCATGGAGACCTTTGTTGCCAATTATGGCGCATACATGCTACACATTGAGTCATTGTCCAAAACAGATTCGGTGCCAGCAAAAAGAGAAGAATTGAAGGGTTTTTTTGTCAAAATGGACGTATGCAAAGTATCCTATGCTGATGACAGTATACATTGACATTTTGACGCCTTTGAAGGTAATTAGTATAACGCTTCAATGTTCAGATTTGCTGTCTCATCACAACATATATAATCTGGTGCAAAATTAAGAGTTGTGACTTTTATTTTAGGTTCTTAGCCTGGGATTCCAAAGGAAGTTCACGACCCTGTTAAAGCGGTGAAGCGCATTAATGAATTTGAGTGGACCATGGTCAAACTAAAAGAATTTATCAATAAATGCGTTCAGGACGACTCCGAAAAACTTATTAATTTTACACGGTTTTTGAAGAAGTGCGAAGACACAACGTCCGACGACGGTAAGTAATTGATGAATGAGTCCCTGACTTTACGTACGCTTGAAATGCTTTTTTACACAGTAGAACCTCACCAACCTTTGACAAAACGTCAAAAAATTACCAGGCATCAAGTGGAAGAACTTGAAGACGATGAAGATGAAGCAGGTACTTTTAAATGTTATAATTAGTGTTTTGTAAATGTAATACTTTACGTCGTAACATTGCCTTTTCTGTTTCTGAAGATGTTTTTTACCAAAAAATAAAGCTAAAAGGGTTTAATGCGTCCCGGAGGAAAGAAAGAAAACTTATGAAAAATTATTAATGCAGTGTCTAGGAGTGTGCAAGGAAGATTTGAAGAGTTCCGAGAAAGTGCGAAAGAGTTTCGACGCTCAGCTAAGAATTGGTGAAGAAGGATGCCCGCTAGCTGAATTCATTGCGGAGGAAGCTCTCAATATTGGCTAGAAAAGATTAGACGCCCAAATGGTACAAAACTACAAAAGAATCCAGCAGAAAAGCAATCAAAGTCAGCGTCATCTACAAACGTTGTTGATATTGCAGCAGCTACACTTTCCGATTTGGAAGAGAACGAATGCGAGGATTTTAGTTTATAGTTTTAAAATTAATAAAAATATTGGCGTAATCATGTGCATTGTAAAATTGCAAGAGGAAAGTAAATCGGTGGGGACGATCGGAACGGGCGGGTCGGTAGGAACTTATTCGAAAAAAGTTGCGAAGCAATTTTTTTGCGATAATTCGGACCTTGGATATACAATCACAATGACCTCTACTGCACAAATAAAAGTTGTAGATTTATGTTATCTAATTTTGCATTATTGTCTTCACCTTAATGTTTCGTCTGAATGCGGATCTGTTAGAGTTGCAAGATAATCTTGTGTTGGCCTACTGTTGCTGCAGTATCCCTAAACATCGTAAATATATTGAATTATTTTGGAAATTTTTTCGTAATTTTATCGATAAGAATTATTTTTAAATGTGTTTACTTGTGCAAATGCTACATAAAATAGTTGTTCATTTGTGAAATTTAAACCAGGTAGTGTCATATCGTTGTTTTCATTTGACCAATTGAAATATGCCTAAAGAAATCGGCAAATGATAATCATGTCATCTTGCGTGTCACCTTGAGAAAATAATCGACGAAGTTTACTCCTTCGTTATTGTTTAGAATATGTGTAAAACCAACATCCTTTAGGTATAAATACCGTTTGTGAAGCTCTGAAACCTCCGTTATCAGCGATATTTTCTCCAAGAGTAAGTTTTCCGTTCAACTGAAAGAAAATATGATTGAAATCATCATTTTAAGAGCAATTATCTTTAATATAATTTTGTAGTTTTTTCTCACCTTATATGCACCTTTAACTTTGTAATTATTGTATTGCTTTTCTATGCAGTCTGCTCTTTTCTTGAAATGTTTTAAAGAATTTGATCCCCACCAATTTTTAGTTAGCTCTCCATATTTGTTAAACTTTCGCCCTAAACAAAATGGGAAAAAATCGAAAATAAACATTCCAAGTGAGAAGTGGATGTTTTGAAATTTTAAATGATTTTGAAAAATTATGAATAATTGAACTAAAGCTGTAAGGAATAAGATCACATCAAATAGTTATTTTCAATTCATTCTATTTTTCAAACCAGACCTTGCAATCATTGAAAACGACAAGCAACGACATAAATCAGCCGTAAAAGACACACCTACCTGTATTATCAAAACCATGCGTTAATTCATGTCCGAGAATTGTTCCTATAGCACCATACATCATTGCCCTAAAAACAATTTTTAAAATCCTCGTAACATTGAGTGAAGAAATTCTATGAACTCATGAATAATGTAATAACGAATTAGAAGATAATATACAAATAATATACCAAATTCTGTTAACACTCATTGTTAAAATTGTTGTTAAACAGTTAGTATTATGATGATGACCCCAAATTTCTTTTAAAAATTTTACCTTGGTCCTTTAATTCCATGAAAAAATGGGGGCTGCAATATTCCTGCGGGAATTACTGGAAAAAACAATGTTTTTTATAACCGTGCAAATAATAATTTCAACGTTTACGAAAAAAATTATAATTGGATTTGTGTATATGAATGGATTTACCCATTTCGTTTTCATTAAAGCTATACATAGCATTGATTGTTTGTGGGTCAAGCGGCCACCTATAAAACATAATCATATCGAAGTTAAAATATTTTTACATGCTTAGGGCGCAGTTTGAAAAGAAAATTGAAACATACTCTTCCTTGTCGACTTTCTTGCGAAGCTTTTTTAACATTCGTTGATGCGACATTTTCAATAAAGCTATTTTGTTTTCAAATAGTGTGTCTACTTTGAAATTCACCTTAAAACACGAATAGAGTTTTGTGATGTAGTGATGCAGGTTTCAAAGTCCGTTTACTAAGATATAAGTTCATGTAAATAGAAATGTAAAATAAACCATTACAAACCTTATCGTACTTTTGCAACCTCTTCATGAACTTGTTCTTTTATCATAATAATTGGGATAACCAACTTGATCTCGCATTGTGCCTGCCTAAAGAGAATATACACTCTGTTTCTTTATTTATCATGCGTAACTTAATTTATTTTCTCTATTTATAGACTCTCTTCGAATTATCTCCCTCTTGAAAGATTGTAAAGATTACCCAGCCTCTTTATCCCTTTCTCTAAGTAAATTAAGAAATAACTGGAAAGGCAATCCACGGATTATACAAAATGCAAATTATTTTGTTTTTCAACAAACAAATATGCACTTGCTGGATTGAGTCTTTAAACAAATACAAATACGACATTGAAGCATGTATTGCATTATGCGCGAGCAATTTTACTCAAAAAATTAGTCAGCACCAAGTCTCTTTTACTCCCGACCCCCCCCTTCCTTCTCGTCAAGTAATTTCCCTCTTAAAAAGTAGCAGAAATTTATAACCCCCCACATGGTTAAGTGGAATAAATATGGTGTTTGTGTTTTTAAGGTGTTTATGAGATTAGTTTTTTTTATATTTTTACACACCTTATCTTGTACAGCGTCAATCGTTAATTTATCCATCCATTTTAGCCCATTAACGTTTTCTTGAAAAGCCTTTCGTATGTTTACTATCATATCTTTGGCCTAAATTCGTGAAAAGGACGATCGTTTTTGACAGATGACTTGATAATGAATACTGAATGCTAATGGAAATGATTATCCTTGGTTCGTGGAATTTTTATACCTGGAGGTAAAGCTAGTCTATTGTTTAATTTTATTCACTCATTGTTAAACATTATTAAACAGGTTTACACACACATACTTCACGTTTCTTTTCTTTATTGAAATATTTTTTACTGTAAGCCTCGCCAATAATGTCGCCAAGATAATCGTTTGTCATAGATACACATGTTTTCCATCGTTTTTTCTCGCCTTTTGATCCCATCACTTTGTTCGTGTAATCAATGCGTATATTTCGGAATTTCTTGGAAAGATTTGGAATTTCGTCTTGTATGACATTCCAGACAACATAGTTTGAAAGAACCCTACAATGAATTGCGTGTAAAAACAGTTTTTAATAATAGGCAGAAAAATTTCTTTTTGTACTTACTCTTTTGACGAATCCTCAGTGATATTTCCAAATTTTTTAAGATATGGAAGTGTTGGAACAATAATTTGCTCATTCTCCGTAATTTCTGTGATGTTTCCAAAAATGTTTTGAATATGTTGTTTCCATGGAAACTGTAAAAAACGAAGTAACTGTTCTCCGTGTTGATGAAAATGATTTAGTCTATTATGAAACTTTTGACTGGCTAAAACTGTCTAAGGAGGTGGTGGTAGTAATGATATTGGTAGTATTGGTTGTGATAGTGGAGGCAATTGTAATGGTAGTGATGGTGATAGTAATGGTAGTGATGGTATAGTAATGGTAGTGATGGTGATAGTAGTGGTAGTGATGGTGATAGTAATGGTAGTGATGGTGATAGTAATGGTAGTGATGGTGATAGTAATGGTAGTGATGGTGATAGTAATGGTAGTGATGGTGATAGTAATGGTAGTGATGGTGATAGTAGTGGTATAGTAATGGTAGTGATGGTGATAGTAATGGTGGTGATAGTAATGGTAGTGAATGGTAGTGATGGTGATAGTAATGGTAGTGATGGTGATAGTAATGGTAGTGATGGTGATAGTAATGGTAGTGATGGTGATAGTAGTGGTAGTGATGGTGATAGTAATGGTAGTTGCGATGGTAGTGGTGATTGGGGGAGGGTGTTTTTGTATATTCAGCTGCGCCCGACTGACTTCTTTTGAAAGCCGAATCACTTTTTAAAGAAGTCCGTAAAGCACAACTGAATATATTAATTTACTACCCCCCTCCCTCCCCCCCAATTTTACGTTCCAGCTACGGCCGTGGTGATTTTCATTGTTAAACTCTGAACTGCATCAAAAAAACATGTTTTATGTGATGCAGTTATACAAATAAATAATCACCCAACTCAATTACCTGTGGTACTTCAGCAGCTAACTGCTTCATTGTCATTTCTTTAAACCACGTTTCTGTTTTATCTGCGCTTGCTACACTGATCTAAATAAGTTTTCTAAAAAGCTGAGCGTCAAAAGAGAAATGGAGTTCGGGTTTTTTGTATGAATACCTTTGCTAGCTTCGTCTCAAATTCTATCAGCTCTTTCGCTTGTCTTTCTGCTTTGAGTTTTTCTGTTCCCAACGCAACAGCAACATCGATCATGAATTCCTTGTATGCTTTAACGATCTGTTGATTTCGGTAAAAAAGTTAGTTGAAGTAGCCGCTTCTTTAATTAAACTTTGGAATTTTATAGCTATTTTTTGTGTTTTACCTTTTTGTTATCAAAGTAAACTTCGCGTGAAAGACTGGGACCCGCTTGATCTATCTATATAGTAAAATATTGTTTGTTTGTACACGAGTCACACGTTTGTAATTTGAACAGTATTCAACGTTTAAAATATAGTTTGATGCGTATTATGTAGCTGGGATAATCTAATAATAATGTAGTTTAGCTAATGTATGAATAACAAACGGACATTTAGATTATTTTACATTTTATAATTTTTATATGTAAGTTTAGAATGCGGTACATGTGTGAACATAAGAATGAAGAGGTCGTTGTTTGCACTTGACTCAAAATTTCTTTACTAATTTTTATTTTTTGCAAACGAAGGGCTGTAAGTTCATTGTTATGTTAATATTGATCAACATTAAAATTATTATTTCAAAATTATTATTAATGTCTTTTCATAATTATTACATCATGTTTTCTTGTTCTTCAACATCCTGTATCTCATATAAGTGGAAATATTTTATGAGTTTAAGCGTCAATAAACTCTGCACGAAATCATTTTCTTACGTCATGAACACATGGATGCAATTTAGCTATGACAAATTCTTGGCTTGTCGTCCTTTGACTACTTTCCCAATTTTTATCATTCTAAAGTATCTACAAGGAATCTGTCATTTGGCCGGAAGAAGAATTTGGCGTAAACAAATTAAGACGCATATTATCTTTAAATGCTTATACGATGATTATCTTGTTAAAGTCAAGAACTATCAATAGTCATAAAAATAATCCAGAATACCTTCTAAGATCAAATTTAATTCTTTCAATCAATCCTATTTATAATAATAGATTACTGCATGGTTGGTGAGTGCGTACGATTTTTATGCACGCGTTGAGGATTGAAAAGCGTAATAAACTTGCGTAGGTATTTATTTTGTTGATTGAGAGGAGTATTGTCTATGCTTCGAAAGTCGTGTTTCGACGATGAAAATTACAGAAGAAATGTAGACATGTCCTGCTGTTTGTATCGTTTTTCCTTACATTTATATCGAATTCGCTTACGGATAGTGTCTTGGCAAATTGCAAAGCCATTAATAAATGAAATGAAAATGATTGTTTTTGTTTTCTTTAATTTTAATACCACTGTGTGACTTTAATCTTAATGTTGTTCGCCATTCGTAATAAAACCATAAATGGATAAATCTTTATGTGCATTTTGTTACTAGTGAAAAAAATGATAAATCCAATCAGAATGCAGATACGACGTTTTTCACAAATGAAGAAAATGATATGTCCAATCAGGTTCTCGTAAATTTTAGACATATGATTTTTATTTCACCGTTTTTTTGCGCATAAATTTCAATACTCGTATATGATAATACTAGTTATATAATAATTCTATAATAATATAAAAGACAAAAATTGTAACCTTTACAGAAAAGCAAGTTTCCATTGTTGAAAAATATAAGTCGTACCTCCCGTCTTACCTCTAAAATATGTCTTGTATTATTGCGTGGATCGTTGCTGACATACACTGAAAATAATGGACCTCCTGCAGAAGAATATTTCTTTTGAACTTTAAGTATTGTCTCTCTAAGGCTCCATGTTTTTTCGTTCCAATGTTGAGCATCAAATAAAGGAGATGAACCAACATCACGAATTAAATTGACCAGAGGTTGAGCTCCTAATTTATCAGCGCTTTTTAAATTCATACAAGATTTATAGAATATTTTTGCCTTCTCTTGGTATTTATTTGTAACTTTTTCAGTATTTTCTTCGATGATTTTTCTTAGTGCCTTTTCAACTTCACTGTTTAGTTTAGCAAACGTTGAAAATGTTGATGATGTTTTAGGAATAGGATTTTTTTCAATCCAGCCACCACAGGCAAATTCATAAAAATTCTCACAAGGATCAATTAATGTATTCATTGATTTCTTCACGTAATTTGCAATTTTATTGCATTCCTTACTCTTGCAAACTTTTGTGTTGCGAAATTTTAATGAACGCTGAATCGCTCCTCCGGTGCTCAGAAGTTCATCAGATCGTGGATGTTTACTAGAACGGATAAAAACCTGTACAATACAAACTAACAAAACTAAAAACAAAATGACAGAGATTTGGTAGTTTCTTCTGTGTGACATGTCTTGGAATTTTAGCACTGTTGTCCTATCCTTTGGGAACAATGTTTCTCCATGAAAACTAAATGTTATAATTAAAAAGATTTTCAATGTATGTGTAAAATTGCTGTGAAAACTTGTGAACTCTGAAGTTTATAGCAGGTTAAACTTACATCATTATTCATTCTACCTGTTTCTTCGTATTTGATCATTCTTAAATATATAAATTTATTCAAATGTTTGTTAAATAATGCTAATGATAATATGGTGTTATATGCTGGTAGACGTTTTTAACTGCGTCTTTACTGAGTATATAGGAAGACATTTTTAATTAAATTTTGAACGCGAAATCGTGGAATGAATCAATTTTAACGATTGAATGACAATTTAGCATCAATTCAAGTTCTTGGGTATACAAAACAAATTTTAAATGTCGATAAACGTATTTTCCTTTACAGAGCGTTGGATTTTATAGAAAAAAAAGTAAAACACTTTGTACAGAGCAACATATATAAATACATATTGTATTACTTAAATCCATAGCATTAATTTGTATGTTTAAGTTGCTAAACATTAATATTGATTGAATTTTGTTGATCAAATATAATGCTAAAACATAACGACGAAAATCTTTCGTCATGTAATACGGCTAGCTAACTGCTTCAGAAATATTTTTTGTCTTTGTTTGTAAATATATGAAACTAAATCTAAATTTTTAATCCAATGAAGTTCTTACTACAATCACGTGATTCCGTGATTTTTCAAACAAAAAATGAAGAGGATAACAACAAACTCTTCGACAACATTTATTAATCTCATTATTCTACACTTCACATTTCTTTCAATTATAATTCACAGAAGTAGGTTGTCTACTAAGGAAGATTTTTTCTTCACTGCTGTTTTTCAAATTTCCTGTCTGTAAAAGGACTGCTACGTTTTGTGCACGTGGGAACGAAATGTCACGTGATGAAAGTATATTCAAGGTCAGCAAGACGCGAACTGAGTCGTTACTGTTCCAAAATAAAAGTTTGCAGATGTTGGTATTAGAAGTCTGAATTTGTACCCAGAAATTATTATAAGTTCATTTGTGTTTTTAATGATCAAGTACGCTTTGGTTATTTAAATGGTCGCATAACAATTTACTTTTGGTTGAGGAAAAATAAAAAGTAAACATTTAGTCTAGCTCCTTTATAAATGTTTTCTGTAGAATGCAAGCACATTGTAATCAATGAACAATTTATCTAATCTTTTATGCTATAGTTTTTTATATTATATATATTTCTTTATATTCCATGTTTCTCTATACTCTATCGCCCGTATTCTAAAAGCTCACTCACACTCAAGGAGTGGAGCTTCAAAATCTCTTCAGAATTAATCGAAGAACCCAATTTCACTCAACTGATTGCTTGATTTGAATTATTTAGAAGAAAATCTTGCTATATATGCAGAAATGACTTTCTCAATGGTTAGACAAAGTGTAATATTTATATCGCACTCAATGACTGTGAGTGTGAGTGAACTTTTAGAATACGGACATATGTTTCTCTATATTCTATATTTAACATATAGATTACGAGCTCGATATTTACTTTAAGATGATAGAAAGACGAATATTGCATCATGAAAATCGAGAGCGAGTAATGTAATTGTTTTATGAGAATCATATAACTAGTATTCCTAAAGTGAAGTCTTATAGTTCTCCTTAATTTTTTTGTTTTATGCATTGTTCGTTGTGTTGTTATTTTATATGATTCTGCTAATTTTGTATACTCTGTGTTCTCTTAATACCTGTCGTTACCATACTTATCACATTGGTGGTGAGGTTCAGGCATGGGCAACCTAGCCTAAGTTTTGGGCAACCTAGCTTAAGTTTTGGGTTTCGTGGAGTTCAGGTTCTGCATAGAATAACTTGCATTCTAGACCTGATTGCCATATGCATGCCTTCACTTTATCACATTGATGACAATTCGATGGAACTGTTGGAAGACATACAGACAGAAGCAAAAATCAATTTCGCAGGACGTTCTGCTTACGAATGCGTTGAATAATGTATACCTTCCTACTTCATTTGGTCCCAGGCCGCAACTGGTTCCTCCAATATTAACCTTGGTTTCTATATAACCATATTATATTCTGTAGTTCTCTCCATTTTATGTTTCTCTCTAGTCCATGTTTCTTTATATGTGCACGTGATTGGAGAAATTGGGATAAATTGTACGGGAGACTATAAGTCTTATAGCTAAGCAAAAAGGAAATTTGAAATTTTAGATTCTCGGTTTTAGCGAAGCTTGATCGGTTACATCATTTGTCCAAATACCTCCTTACCATGGCTTTAACTGATATTTTCGTTTCTGTAACACAGACAAAATGACCATATGAGATAAAATATTTTAAACGTATTTCACAGCTTCATCGCTTCCGTGTTGATGCAATAATTAATAAATTCAATCAATTTTGATATAAATAAAGCATCCCCTTATAGTGGTGATTGATGACAACTTAGTCTGCGGTTTTGAAAATGATTTCATAGTCACTACTGTAAACAAATCATTCCATCCTCAAGTGTTTATCGAACGTTATTCACGAACGTTAGAAAAATTTTATTTTTTTGCTTTCGGGATAAATATGCAGGAACATTGTCTTAGTTTTGTCTTTCATCAATGATTTCATTGTTCGCAAAGTTATTTACTTGCGCGATCTTGAATAAATATGTTCTCACTTGTGGTTTTAAAACCACACCATGTCTGCATGAATTTTGTAATTTAATGACATACTTTTGCGACACTCAATGTTGTACTCGCTCCATATAATATATTTTTTTTGCCAAAGTTTGAGAAGAATAGTTCGATAATTTTATAGAGAGCAATAATTGGCATTTTTTGATCTGGTGATTTCAGGACTATCCCGAGTCCAACAAAGAAATTAAACATTCGTGATAGAAATATTTACGATCAAAACAATTTGTATAGAGTATAGAGTATTGCACGACGTGAGATCTTCATTGAATAATGGGAAACAGCTTCATTGGTGAATATGCCGTTGTTACAACAAGAACACAAAGTGATTATGGTATATTTCTATAAGTGTTAAAATTTTTAAATATTTTTCTTTCTGAGCTGTGATGTTGGTGATGTGACGTTGTAACTTAGATAGAGGACAGGGGAACATTGGTTTTGAAATAGTTTGCATAGTTTTTACACAAACACAAGGCGTTGCAATGTGAATTTGTGCCAGGTTGTGAGTGCTTCCTGTGTCTGAAGCATCGTTAAACGTATCTTCAAAAATTCAAAATTATATATCTTCAAAAGGCACACTAACTGACTTTCATCTTTTTTGCAACAACAATTTAACCATTCATTAGCACAAATTAATTTTCAAAGAAAAAATTTCAGTGGTTTTGTTTGTTGAATAACCCAGCTTCCTATTTAATATTCATATTTGTATCGTGAATTAGATGCCAAAAAAACAGCAAAATTATTGTTTATTTTGGATGTAAATATCTGGAGAAGTTGCAGATATGATAACACACACGCTATTATTTTAAGAACAAACATCCTTATATTTTGCACAAATTTTGTCTCAAGTGAGATGAACAATTCTTAATTATATATAGTTAGAAATCCGTATATAATTTGCTCAATTTTCATGTTATATCTCGATATTTAAAACATTTTTTTTCATTTAATTTACCACAAAACTGAAAGGATAACTGCGGGAAGCAATTTTTTTTGGCATTTATGTTTTACATGGTTTACATTTCTATACATTCAAAGGAACAGATTTCCTTGGTAGTCTTTATTCGATCAATTTGAGTAAAATTTTCCAGTCTATTGAATGAACGTCATCGCGCGGCGTTTTCCCGACCGCACTCAATTTAATTGCTTTATCTCTGACTTGGCATGTGTGAACTGATTTTCTGTTAAAATTGGCCAGTTTTTTGTCGTTAATTGCATCGCTGAATTGAATCACAATTATTATTTCAAGAAAAAATCGCCTCAGTCTGGCATAATGGTATAGACACTTAATCTTCTTTGAATAGAGTTGACAAAACGCTATGGCATTTGCCTAATTACTAATAAGCATGTTTTGCAATAATAATAATGAAATTTAATGACAGGAAAGATTTTTTTGCAATCGATATTTTCAGAACATGAATATTTTATCAAGAAATTCTGTTTGCCTTACTATGATACTTTTTTAGTTTTTTTTTAAATCAGAAAGAAGAACAAAATGCTAAGCCCTGATTGAACAAACAAATATTTACAAGTTGTTTTCACTTGCTTAAAATTTCATTATCATTCATCTTATTATTAGAATTCAAAATGAAACACTTACGTGTACTGTGCAATTAAAGTTAGAACTCTTAAAATCATGAAAGTTTATTGTTCGTGGTATGTACATGCATGTAATCACTATTATTTGATCAATTAAATGACCAAAATTGGTGTTTTATAACTACCAATATGTCTATCATTAATAATATCGTTACCAATATGTATATAGAGAGAAAGAAATAAGACTTCTTTCCTGTTTGTAGCCAGCCTCCCCTGGTAACATTCTTGACCCCCCTAAAATGTTATGTTTTCATATATTGTATTGTTTAAACGACAGTTATGCCCCCATTAACTTTTGACTGGCCCCCCTTGACGGAAAATCGTGGCTACGCCACTGGTACTGTTTCATTTATTTAACGTAGTTAAATAAGATGTCAATTTTTCTTTTGAGGAAGATGATGCAAGCATTAATGTGTGAAGATGATTGACAGGCAAACATTAGATGAAAAATTTATTTTGTCACATTTACGTAATAAGGTTTTTTCCAAAATGTTTTTTCTCAAAATTTCAGAAAAAGGCGATGTGTTGCAATTAATAACTTAATAACAATTGTTTTTGAAAGTAAGCGCACTGATAAAATATCTTTTTATCTTTCATACATGAACATTTCTTCTGTTTATTGAATTTTCTTCAGCAATTGTTGAAAAAATGTCAAAAGATGCATGTTCAGTTTACAGAGCAAATTTTTCTTATGAGCTTTTAATTTATGAATATTTATGTGTCTTGAAAACAATTCATAGACAGTAACGTTTATAATAATGAATTAAATTTCGAAAATTTTGACCATAATTATCATGAATTAATTATTAAGACATTTTTCGAAATCTTTCTATCAGCTTTATCCTTGAATGCATTCAAATGTTTCAAATAAACATCGTTGATATAATTCTATCTTCGAATCGATTAAACAAATTGCATAAATTTGTTACTTCAATATGAACACGTGATATTGACGTTGTTGGTCATAATAATCTACGTCGTATCGTATTTAATTAATATATGGAGTAACATGACACCAATGACTTAAAGATTGCGTCCGCCCGTTGCTTTTAACATTGTGATTAGTTCAACGTAGACAATACAACCGACAATGAACTTTTTGATATTCACAAATTGCGTTCTTTTTGCGCTTATAACAATCCCCACGATAGTTTACTCTGATGAAGATGATTATGATCCTTGTAAAGCAGGTTGGTGTATTCAAAAACATATTTGTCTCTTTTTGAAAAAAAACTTAGCAATTTATTTCGCCAGTCTTGTCTAGTCTTAGCAATACTATGATATTCGTACTAATCATTGTCGTTTGTAAACTCACTTTCTTTTTTTCTTACTTTCAGCTGCCTTTGTGAATGGCGACATAGCCATAACAAAGTATCAACTATCGAGAGTAAAACGAACTAAACGAGCAGCTACAGCTTTGAGAAGCCGTCTTTGGGAACACGGAATCATACCGTACGAGATCGACTCCGTTTTTTCTGGTAGGATACTTCTTCTCTTAATATAGTTATCTTGAAAATTCGTCTCCTTATCGCACACCATTGTGTAAATGTTCACACAATAGTATTTTTATGATTATTGCTGTATTACAAGCCAATATATAATCATAATAAACGTACTACGTGCTTACCATCACTATTCAACGATATCAAATCAATCCGACTCACAGTTTGAAGTGTGTATGTATAACGCACTTACATATATATAGCTTACGCCTGTAAAATATGTTTCTCATTGTTTTATTAGTGTGTGCAAACACAAAAAGACGGATGCTGTCTTTTTAAAGTGTAAAACTTTAAGTATCCCTGTTATTTTACAATATTCTCATATCGTTATAACAGACAATATTGATGTTGCAGACGTTCGGGAAAAACGCTAACGTGTATTTTAATAACGACATTCTACCACTCGCTGTACATTTATCCTCAATATGTAATAATATTTGTCTTTGTAAATTGGAACATCGATATACATTTGCAACGTTTAGAATGTTGGAAAGTATCTCAATAACTTGATACTGCGATGTGACGACACATAAAGTCCTTTGAAAATCACAATTGATACTCAATGAAATTGTTCCACGCAAAATATGCAAATTTGTGTCAGCGTGCATCATAAAACGCACGTCTTGCGCATTTTTTGCACATATAGAAACGCGTGCTAACGACGTATTATGGCAACATAGGAAATAACACGACAGAGGTCATAAAATCAGTTTTATATGGTGGGGCTTTATCAAATCTTACAATGATTTATTGTACAAACACAACTTTACTGTAAAGAATATTCATCTGTTTGAATCTTTCAAAATAATATAATCAGTTTTTAAAATGAGATAGATTTTTAATCGCACGTCTAAAGTTGGACGGTGGATACTATTATTCAAATTTCAACTTATCTCTTTCCTGATGCGTTTGATTAAATTTTTGTCTGCGTTATCAACTTACCATCGTTGTGTGTTGTATCATATCTGCATTGCTTTGACGTTAATTGATAAGCTTTTAAATATCATATGAGCAAAGATTATTGCCAACGCATAAAGTCATAATTACTCTCAATTTGGCGTCGTGCTTTTTAACTTCATTAATCCCGAGAAATTTATAGATTACTATCAACGACTGATACGCAAATACTTTGTTATCATTATTTACACATTCAGACGTTATTATTGTCTTTAATCTGTCCATAAAATCGCGACGCAATTTGATAACTTTTATGTTCTCACATTTAGTAATGTTGATACTAAAACCATGGTTTCATTCTTAAATTTTCAACAATTGAAATTTAAATAATTGAATGTGCGAACAAAATTATTTTACAATTTTTTTCGTATTCCAATGAGCTGTGTTGACAAAACTGAACCAAAAAAGAAACATCTTTGAGAAGGTTAAATTCCAAATTTCTTGCTTGAGTGATATTGTCTTAATAAAATTTCTAAATTTAGAGCTGAAATTGTCATCAAAAGGATTTGAGACATGACTTGCGTTTTCATATTAAAGTTTTGCTCATAAAAGGTGTAAAGAAACTTAGGATCTATGGATTTTATGATTTATCTTGAAAGATAAATGAAACTGGTAAATTCTAGTATTGGAGCGTTATCCCACTTTATGAATCGATAATCCGATATTAATATTGTCTCATGTTGCAGTGAAGTTTGAAAGATCTACATTATTACAAAATTAACCGTTGACAGGAATGATCACACATCAAAATCTAGCACTCGCCAATTATTAAATTATTTAATTATCTTTAAGATTCGGTAAATAACTGGCGGCATAAGCTGCACGCTTTTTTTATACAACACTTTCCAAATATATTTATTAAAGAGCAGATTAATTTTTCATTACTTTTACAATTATACCGTTATTGATTAAAATTTAAGTGCGTCTTTATGTTGTGCATCTGTATTATGCGTGTGTGAATATTTCCATGTTTTTACCATTTCTAGTAAATTAATATTTTCTATCCACTCCACTAAAGATCAACTTTACATCATTTAAAAAGGAAAAGTTTTTTATTCATATTAAATCTTTTGCAATCGCATTATTGCAAATGTTATTACAAAAACCACTTTATTGATAAAAACCAAATTATTGATATTGATGTAGTGCAAATTATAGAAACGTTTCGTAAGTTGCTTCTACAATTATATAGAAATCGATCTTTATGATAGGATCTTCTCTTACGTCATGAAATACAGTTCTGCAACTATCTATTATTATTGCAAAAAATGTACCATTTTTTACAAAGTGAGCAAATTACTTGTATTATCCTACGTACAAATACACGCATGGGATGTCTTTATAGTCAAATTATAGTTTATGTATGATGGAAATAGTTTTGTTATTTAATAAACTATACAAAAAAAATAACTTATTATTGATGATCTCATTCTATGTGTAACAAATGAAGTTTTGAAGAGCTTCCTGATAAACATTGAAGCTCATTTAAGATTGGTATGTTTTGTAATAGTTTGTCACACTTCAGAAGATAATTATGTGAAGAATGTGTTTATCGTGACGTGTCGTATATACGTGATCTCCTATTTTTACGATAAATTTTTTGTTCACCTTATTGAAAATGTTCTTCGCAATTCTCAGTTTGTTTGAGTAATTGAAAATTCATAATTCCACAAAAAACATAGCTACTGACCTGTCTTTACTTGAGCTTTATACTTATGTTGTTTATTTGGGAATAACACGTTTTTTTGATTTTCTGTAAAATGAGAAGTCAATCATTTCTTGCTCTTTCTTGCCCTTGAGAATTGTTTTAAAAGCAAGGGATGTTGTTCCACTATTGTACATGAACATCACTTGTGTACATCAACCGAGACGGGAGAAAATTGAAAATTTATTTTGATTATGTGATTAATCACTGTCCGACTAAAATTTTTAAGGTATTTACCGTAATAGAAGAAATAATTATTTTTTATATTAAATTGAATTTTAAATTTGCCTTACTGTGACTACATAACGAATATTCAACAGAATCTATGATCGTATTATGTCTTTCAGATTTTTCATAACTTAATTGAAGTTCTCAATCAGTATAGAAGAGTATGAAGTGCAATTTGGTATAATCCCTTGAGGTAGACGAATAGTTTGGTCAAATTTAAGTAGTTTTATTCACCTTTGTTGGTAATGCAAAGAGTTTGTCGCAACAGATTAAAGCAGTTTCTTGTTAATCAATGTCTGTAATTTAAACCATCGCATTTTCACGAACTTTTATAGTCTGGCGGGGTTATTAGGAAAATTTCTATCATCAACTTCTCAAATAAGCATTTTTCTTGAAATCGTGTTTTTATATCGAAATCTGAACTGGATTTTGTAGGAATTTTAATATTTGAAAAATATCATACCTGGGCAGGAGTGGGCGATTTATCAGTAAAATGGGTGGGTACCACGTTAATAATGAGTAAAACATAAAAATGAATTATGAAGAAATCTCTCATTTTCTTCTGTGAGCATTGCTATGTACATGAATTTTGTTGAACGTATGAATTTCTGTGAGCATTGCTATGTACAAGGATTTGTAATAATGTAGTTGAGTTTGTTACAAGCTCAAGTACTCCGATCGTTTAAGAAGATTTTTGAATGTTACAGTATTTTCTCTTTTTAGCTTCTGGAAAATCATTAATTGTTGAAGCTATGCGACATTGGGAAAATCACTCTTGTCTCACGTTTGTTGAACACTCTGATCAAAGTGATTACATATTCTTTCAGAAGGGTCATTGTGGGTAATTATATGTTTGGAAAATATTTTAGATGTTTTAGATAAATTATAAGTAAACTGCACCAGACTCAACTTCTTTGAAATGATCGTTTGGAACTATCAATTGATTTTTAACAAATCATTTAAAATTTTTTTAAAATGAAAAAGAAACACATCTTTCAGTCTGTTACCACTTGGCCTGCTGTTTACGGTGATGTAAATGACGTCATTAAGTAGTTTTAAATGTTTCTTTTTACGACTGACTGTGCTTTTTCTTCACATGACGTGCAAGCACGAACTTAATTATTCACACTTGTCGAATTAATTTTTTTGCTCTTGCCAAAAAATGTGAAAAGGCAGAGATTAAATGTCCCCGCACAAGACATAAATTGTCCTTACATTAATTCATTTTGTTTATATATTGTATAGTTTTTAAGGTATTATTGATTCAAAACCTTTGTTATTATTTTATTTTGTCAGTTGCTGTTCGTTCGTCGGCAGAAAAGGAAACGGTAAACAAGGAATTTCAATTGGCGATGATTGCGAAACATTTGGCATCATTGTACATGAAATTGGTCACGCACTTGGATTTTGGCATGAGCACACACGCCCAGATCGCAATCGATATGTCAAGATAATTGCTGAAAATATTGAAAGAGGTAGAATGATCTTGAAAATGTATATGGCAGCATAGAATTTATCTTTGCAATAAGTTTTTGTTATTTGAAGTATAAGTTAATGTAGTAAAGAGTCTTAATTGTATTCTTATTACATCGCTATATAGTATATTTTTATAATGCTGCATTTTTAGCTTAACGATAACATTGTCAATTTTGAACCTCAAAGTATAGGAAAACATGTTCCAGAACACAACATTTTCTAAACTCTAGATGAGTTTTTAAAACAAGAGAAAAATTGTGGCAACATTTCGACTTTATTTCACCTATATTGTATGTAGTCTTTATTGTTTTCAGAACATGGTTTTTCTTATATACAAGAGTTATACAACGTTTTTATAAAGTTATTCATTACTTTCATTATTTGTTAAGGAAGGGAAAATAATTTTGCTCTGCTTAACTATGATGAAGTAAATTCATTGGGAGAAGAATATGACTTTGCAAGTATCATGCATTACGCTCCCAACTTGTTTTCAAGAACATTTACATCAAATGTCATTGTTCCTAAAGTAAATATCTCCAGAAGTCTTTTGTCGTCTATTGGTCAACGCAAGCAATTGAGCAAAGGAGATATAGTTCAGATCAACAAGTTATATCAATGTTTAGGTACGTAAACTCGACATTTACCATGCAGTCGATAATTTTATGAAGTAAAGTAAGAAACATACTCCGAAGAAAATATTTATTGACGATGAATTTGCAATATATACCTTTCCTTCGCAGTATGTTTCTTACGTATGTTTTGCGTCTACGATCCAATCATTAAAGATTTTTAAAAATCTATGGTAAATAACGACATGCGATCTTGAATTTTTCGTATAACTAAAGAAAGTTACAGTATGGATAGAATTTAGACGCGAGACTTTATTATTTGTTGTTGCATCTTTTTTTACTTCAAAGTTTTTAAATCAAGAATCTCGTGCACTATTCTTGTGATTATATTTTTACTTAACTTGAGCAATAACTATATTACAGAATGTGGAGGAACATTACAAAATCCTTCGGGTACAATTTCCAATCCATCTTTTCCTTCTTTTGATCGAAAATCTCGCTTGTGTGAATGGCGGTTGTTCACTACTCCAGGAGAAATTATAGTTTTGAACATGGACGTGTTCAAACTCAGAGAAACAGAAGTTGCGAGGAAAATTATGTTGAAATTAGAGATGGTCGACCTAAAGGTAAATTAATTGGGCGATATTGTCGTGGTAACCCACCTCCGAAAACGTTGGCATCATATAGCAATCGACTACTGTTGAAAACAAAAATGAGTAGAGGGTCAAGACAAAAATTTCAATTTCGTTATAAAGGTAAGAACGTGTCTAAACAATCTTTTTAAAAAAATAGCATTCTAGGCAGTCACTGTGACATATTTTTATATCGAAAATATAAATAGAAATTTGAATTTTGCTTTTTCGTAAATACTTACCACAACATAAAATAACATGCTTAAACTTAACTTTTTTACAGCTACTTGTGGTGGAATAATAAAGCTAGACAGAGGAGAGATTCAGTCTCCTAATTCACCTTCTGGAAACCGATTCAACAAGTTGTGCGTATGGAGAATTATTGTAAAAGAAGTAAGTAAATTGTTTTAATACGTTTTATAAAAAGATTTGTTAATCTTTTTTCATTTTATCGTTTACAGGGAACAAAAGTTGGAATAAAATTCAGTAGTTTTGATGTTGAAGACGCTCCAAACTGTATGTATGATGCCGTATCAATATATAATGGATTAAATGAGTCTAACATGGTTACTCGACTTTGTGGTAAAACAATTCCAAAGATTTGGCCACAGATACTAACGAAGCTCTTATTAAGTTTGAAACCGATAATTCTGTGGAAAGTGAGGGATTCATTCTGAAATTTGTCAGCGGTTAGTTTTTTGAACCTGAAGAAATCTTGTCTAATATATTTCATATCCATTTACAATGTTTTTATCGTTTTTAGAGGTTGACGAATGTAAATCCAATAAAAGTGGATGTGAACATTTATGTGAAAACACGATAGGAAGCTATAAATGTAAATGTCATATTGGTTATGAGCTGCATTCGAATGGAAAAAATTGTGAAGGTTGTCAAATTCAATTATTTCATTTCTGTTCGTGCATCATGTAAAGATATCTTACGTTTACATTGTACAGTGGCATGTGGTGGGAATTAAAAGATAGAAATGGTACAATCACTAGTCCAAGTTACCCAGATCGTTATCCTTCCAATAAAAAATGTAGTTGGTCCATTAAAGCACCTCCTTTACATAAAATCCAGCTGAGTTTTAAAACATTTGAGCTGGAGGAAAGTGGTGAAGTTAGTAAACAACATTGACACTTATTGAACGACTCTATTTATCCTTGCTGTACGTTGATCAATTTTTCGTGTGTTTTTGCTGCGTAGGGCTGTCATTATGATTATCTTGTTGTGAAGAAGAATAAAAAGAACGCTTCGCGACATTGTGGAAATCGAAATCCAGGTGTTATGATGTCCATTACAAATGAAATGCACATTGAATTTGTCTCAGACAGTTCCATGTCTAAGAAAGGTTTTGAGGCTGAATATTATACAGGTTAGAACAATTTAATTTTGTGAAGCTGACTGGCTTATGATTTAGTGAAATTTTAAATGAATTAATCCTTTTCTTACTTTTCATAAACGGTTTTGTTGTTCAGACTTATATTGTTTATCCTTCCTTCTATTCATGCTAAAAACCAAATTCATTTGCAAACTTTTTCATCATTTAGACAAAGATGAATGCCAAGAGAATAGTGGCGGATGTGAATATAAATGTGTTAATGTTATTGGCTCGTTCATCTGTCAATGTCGAGATGGTTTTAAGTTGCATAGCAACGGACGTAATTGCATTGAAGGTACAAACATCCTCGAAGACAATGACACCCAAACATTGGATTGCTTGTGTCGTGTAATTGTGATGTGTGAATTGTCATATTTTATTTAGGGGGGAGTAATCCGGTCTTAAATCACCCTACTGGAACAATAAAAACTCCCAATTATCCCGAATATTACAAACCAGACTTGAATTTAAGATGGACGATCATTGTATCTCCTGGTCATCGTGTTCGACTTGTGTTTGAGGTTAGTGCAGTCACGAATTGTGCTGCTAGAATTTTTTCACGGAGTGTGAGTTGGAGCATCAGATTGAATGTAATATGTACACATGTCTTATTGTTTATGAGGACTTTTCATTATCTTTGATTTAAAAATCTTCACTGCACAATAATATCAATGCGTTCAATTAAAACTACACATTCATAGATTGTTCTCATTGACTGCCTTATTTTGTAGAACTTTAAAACATCCTACTACCTGTATGGCCGCTTTGCAACACGGGAATGATTATCATGATAAATGTAAAACCTTTGAAATAATTTATAGGAATTTAGCTTGGAAAATGATGAACTTTGTAAATATGATTATGTCTTGGTGGAGTCAGGATTTATTGATGAAAAGAAACTGTGCGGTTCGCATCTTGAGAACGACGACAAAATCAAACTTCAATGTCGAATAAAATGGTTATCCAATTCAGAAGTGATAACACACATCAAGAAAGAGGATTTCTTGCGGTTTATAAGACTGGTAAGCAGTTATGTTGTTTTTTTTCGTTCACTTCTTTACTGCGGGGCATGCTTCCTTTTGGGCATGCAAAGTTTAACAATTCTAGCATTACCGTTAATAGTGGAGGCAGAGCCGGGAAAGATCCTGACAAATAACTTGTATGTTATCCCCTGAAAAAGATTCTATTGAAAAAATACATATATAATTGCAAACTTGAATCAATATTTCAATGTTTGTTTTTTTTAATTTTTTTTTATTTCAGTTTGTGGCGGAAGACTTCATGCTGACGAACATCAGAAACATATTTTATCTCATGTCGATTTTAACCTCAAAAAACCTTACCCAGGAAATGCAAGTTGTGAATGGCACCTAGCTGCAAAGAAAGGCTACGTCATTAGGATAAAACTAGAGATGTTTGAATTGCAACAAGACGACAATTGTACTTCTGATTTTTTGAGAATAAGGGATGGCTCTAGCAGCAATTCACCGATTATTGCAACACTTTGTGGTGTAAAGACGGGTTTAGAATATCAAAGCACCGGAAATAATATGTATTTACGTTTTCAAACGGATGGGAAAAAAGCGAAAAAAGGATTCTTGATTGGATATAGAAGAAAAATTTTATAATCTCTTAAAAAGAGAAAGAAGCTGTGCCCAGATTGTCGCAATCCCTTTTAAAACGACATAAAAAAGTCATTAATTTATTTTTAACGAGAGGATTTTAACAGTAGAAAAAAGCTTCGTTTTCTTCACTGATGAGACCACAGAAATTTTGTTGAATATTTCTCGTAATGTTAATTTCAAAATTCTTGTCTTTAGTTCATTGTTGACAATCTATGCCCAGATAAAATATAATACCACTGACGAAAACAGATGGAAAGATACTATACATAAATATATATATATATCTCTGTGCATGCTTTTATAAATAATCGTTCTTAGCCGGATGCAATGCATACATTTTATAATTTAACTATCTTAGTCTGGCGAATTTCTACTAACCCCAGTTAAATAAGCAGTGCTACTTACCTGCAAATACAAGAAATAATCTATAACTGCTATAACTGCAAAAGTAATATAAAGATTAATAAATTATGTATTCATAATGAATAGTTAAAGTAGAGTGGAGTACTGCTTTTTATACGAACAAATACATTAATTATATTCAATTAACTTAATCATTACTTCATAACCATTTAACGAGAAAATTCAGCTAAAACAAAATAATATGTATACTGATTGATGTAGTTCATGTTATCTTTATTCTCTTAATGTTTGAAGAACAATTTTATCACGTTTTTGCTGGTAAACATCATTGTTAAGTTATTTTTATTTTAAATTAAGATTGAATGGTATTCATTTATTATTGGACTTTTTTTACATAACAATTGGTCACGTTCAGCAAAAAATGTGATTAGACATAACAATTGACAGAATTTATTAAAAAAACTCCATAAGACTTTGAAATCATCCGACGATGATTCGGCGGCAATAATTAAAACCATATGAGGCGTAGCCGCCTTTCAAAAGAATGCTTGAAATTTGAATGTGCGGTAACTGCAATTCGTATGTTCTTTTAGCAGTTTCTCACTTTGCTACTAGGACTCTTCATACCCCAGAAATGCAGGGATTGTACGATGGCCTTAGGCAAACTTTTGTATGACGTCCTCCTTTATAAGGTACACACATATAACTTGAGAAACGTGCAATTGTTTGAAATACCTTTACACGTAGCGCAGATTTTATCTTTAGTTGCATTGATTATAAATTTATCAAAGTAGCAATTATCCTCTACGTGGAAATCAATTAATGCATGAAATTGCGAAAGAATTTAATATCTTTCACAAGGATTATCATTTAGCCTTGATATATGTATAAATATATATAGTATACAAAATACTTTCCGAATTGGTACTGACACACTGAAATTTGTTTGTTTGACTATCATTTCAAGGGGAACTAAAAAAATAACAGTTTTTACGACAACTTGTTCTTGCAGCACGTAGCTAGAACATTGTTCTTCATAACAAAACAAAGAACTATTCAATTCACTTCTCGATGATGATTGGCTGTTCATATACACGTTTTGTTGTGGTAATATGGAGTTTCCCCATTAAAGTACACGTTCACGTGCAATCTTTCATTATTGCTCGTACACATTTGGCTGAGAAATGACGGTGAATAAAATTGGGTTTGTTGGAGCTGGAAAGCTTGCTCGCGTACTTACATTTGGTTTTATCAGAGCGGGAATTTTATCAGCAAAAGATATCGTCGCTAGCGCTCCTACTGAACGTGACTGCGAGGAATTTCGCGACATTGGTTGTCCTGTTACAACAGACAATAAAGAAGTTGTAAAAGAAAATCCAGTTGTAATTTTGGCCGTAAAACCTCAATCTTTGCATACAGTTGTACGTGAAATTGCTCCGTTAGTCACTCGTAATCATTTAATCATATCGCCAGCAGCTGGTGTTACAGTTCGTTCAATACAAAATGAGTTACCTGGACGTTCTCGTGTTGCTCGTGTAATGACGAATTTAGCTGTGGAGTATTTGGAAGGTGCAACAGCATTTTGCCAAGGAAGATTTATGGAAGAGGAAGATTATGAGACAATTATGCATCTATTTTCATCTGTTGGATATTGTTTTGAAACTCCTGAACGTCTGATGGACGTTATGACTGGTCTTGTTGGAGGTGGTCCTGCTTACATGTATCTTGCAATAGAAGCTCTAGCTGATGGAGCTGTACAAGCTGGTGTGAATCGACAAGATGCTATTCAACTTGCTGCCAGGGCTGTTTCTGGTGCTGCTAAAATGGTGTTAGGTACTAAACTACATCCAGGTGAGCTTAAAGACAATGTGTGTTCTGCAGGTGGGTCTACAATTGCTGGTATATTTGCACTGGAAAGGGCTGGTTTTCGTGGTGCCTTAATGGATGCTGTAAAAGCATCTTCAGAGAGCGAAACAAGTTGGTGTTGAAGCAACACAAACAATATCATACCACAGAAAGTAATTTGAATCTCCATTGTTCAATTTTTAGAATATAATTCCTATTTGTTTGCTTAATTTATACATTTGGATTTTCAATTAATTATTTTAATAATTTTTATCCAAGCATTGATACCATACTTAAATATACATTAAAGTTTGGTGAAATAACCCTTTGACAACTTTCCAAAACAATTTTCTTCCTTCATATTTATTTGCACAACCTAAGTGTTTAATACAATGATAATATCAATCTTCAAATATCAGTTCAACAGAAAAATTAATTTTAAAAGTGGTCCATGTTTTCTTTTTATGAGGATTATCCAATTCATTTCTTGATAGTTTTAAGCTAAAACAAAACATAGATGTGCAGCTTTTTGTTTATTGAATCTTATGGCATCTATACCCTAGTATCTCTTCTATATTGTGTTATCCATATACATCTTATGGCATCTAACCCTAGTATCTCTTCTATATTGTGTTATCCATATACATCTTATGGCATCTATACCCTAGTATCTCTTCTATATTGTAATAAAGTAAATGGTTTGAACCCGGGAGTATCGTTATATGTTTGTAAATGATGATCGTCCAGGTTAATAAAGTCCTGAGAAGGACTGTTTTTGATGTTGTTGACTGACGTTTCGACAACCTTAGCGGTAGTCATCTTCAGAGTCAAATGAGGAGTAAACGTCAGGTTAGGCGTATTTGTTGTCTGGTTCTTACGTCATTGTATTGTGTGTACAGGAAATGTGTATTGTCATTGTGGATTAGTGTTAAGTGTTCAAACGTGTTTTTGACAAAAACAACTATAACTCTGACTTTATCAAACGCAACACTTACAAACCCAACGAACCCAACGAAACGAACAACTCAGTGACAACAGCAACGATACCTTACATCAAAGGTACGTCTGAGACTATCTCGCGTATCTTACGACCATACAATATACGTGTCGCACATAAACCAATCACAACATTGCGACAAGTACTAACGAACATAAAGGACAAAGAACAACCCAACGAACGACAAGGTGCAGTTTACAAAATAAACTGCTCCGACTGCCACGCCTCCTATATCGGGGAAACTGGCAGGAACTTAAACATAAGACTTACTGAGCACAAACGAGCTACTAAGAAACAAGACAAAACTAATCACATTGCCGAACATCACCGAATCACAAAGCACAACATTGACTGGGACTCGGCAAAATGCATCACTTACAGTACTGACTATAGACAACGGCTTACATTAGAAAGTTGGTATACCAACTTGGAACAAACCCCTGAACAGATCACAGCAATTACCGGCACCTTACAAACGACTTATTCACAATACAAACAAACGATCAACTAAAAACATTACACTTCAAACTAATTCACAATGACAATACACAATTGACACCCACACACTACAACTAAAAACGTCACACCTAAATCACACATCAGAACTAAAAACAAAATATTTCACTTCACACTAATCCACAATGACAATACACATTTCCTGCACATTTCCTGTACACACAATTCAATGACGTAAGAACCAGACAACAAATACGGCTAACCTGACGTTTACTCCTCATTTGACTCTGAAGATGACTACCGCTAAGGTTGTCGAAACGTCAGTCAACAACATCAAAAACAGTCCTTCCCAGGACTTTATTAACCTGGACGATCATCATTTACAAACATATCTTCTATATTGTGTTATCCATATACATCTTATGGCATCTATACCCTAGTATCTCTTCTATGTTGTGTTATCCATATACATCTTATGGCATCTATACCTAGTATCTCTTCTATATTGTGTTATCCATATACATCTTATGGCATCTATACCCTAGTATCTCTTCTATGTTGTGTTATCCATATACATCTTATGGCATCTATACCCTAGTATCTCTTCTATATTGTGTTATCCATATACATCTTATGGCATCTATACCCTAGTATCTCTTCTATGTTGTGTTATCCGTATACATCTTATTGTCTATTTTATATCCAATTGTTCATATAAAAAAACCTTTATGACCTTATTGGATGAAAAAAACATCTTTGTCTCTCCAGCCTCAGTTGGAGATTGTTTTGTCATATCAATAGTTATTTTGTCCAATGCATCACAAACAGCATCCTAAAAATAAAAATTTTTGCCTATAGTAATGAAACATTTATTTTTATAAAAAAATATGAAGCATTTGCTGATTGCTCTCCAGCTGTGTTAGCATTTGCCTGTGCAAAGTTGTTGTTTTGCTCTTATTCCATCATCCATGGCCAAACAAACGTTTGCCAGGGCGTTGGGTTACATATGAAGGTAAACGTTATCATGAAGGATGTTATGAACGTGAAGCAGGACCAAGATGTAGTTTATGTTGTAATGTTATTGTTGAAAAACCACTCCAGGGGTATTCTGGGAAATGGCAATGGGTAAACGGCAAACAATATCATCATGAATGCTTTATGAAAACAATTTACAATGATATCAAGGCTCGGAAATCTTTGAAACTTGCACAAATAACTTGTGTGACCAACAAGTAATTAATGAAACAGACAATTTGACCTTAACTGGTTAAATATAATCCTTCACTATAAGATAAAATAACTGTAAGTCAATGGAATGACAATTACTGCTTTATATGACAAAATCTATATTGTTACTTATTGATAAGACAATAACTATCACTAATTATTATAAATTAAAATAAATATGTAATTAATTCAAGTCAATAGATTATACAAAACAATAACATTTATATTTATATACATTATATTCATTAACCTCAATAGTAATAAAAACACATTTCATAAATTGTTATTGAAAATGAGTCATGTACTGTAAAGTGTATTCAATGTATGAAAATGCAACACTAGAAATCAGTATTAAAATAATACAGCTTTAGCATATAACACATGCTATTTATAGTTATTGTAAAGTCATGTATAATGTCGTTAAAATGTCAGCATTAAACAACAACAACCTGAAAAATTAAAAAATCTGAACATTCATTTTATTTTCAAAATATGGATATGACATGGAAATAGAATATTTTTAACAACTTTACTATAATTCTCTATCCAACATAATCTATCCCCCTTTACCCCACCTCCACAATCATTAATACATGTGTGTTAACACCAACGTTCACGCATGATAGTGGGCTTTAAAAGCATCAAACATTTTGCAGATGACGTTATCTTTCTCGTTCATCCACGCTAGATTTCCCGTAATAAACGTCGCTTGAACCTCTAAATTCTCATTTAATAAAATAATATCAGCTTCTGCGCCATAATTTAAAGTTCCTTTTTCGTGAGTTATTTTCAACAATTGAGCTGGATGAAGGGTTGCAGCTTCCAAGGCCTCTACTTTACTACAGCCTAGATGATAACAAAGACTTGTTAAAAACAACGGGAAAAAATAGTTGTATATCATGTAAAGAAATAATCACCCATTTTTCACATCTCTGGCGTTGTTCTTATTGCCTTAAATAGATGGTTTTTTACCTGCAAGTTTTTTGAATTGTCGAACACAATAATCCAAAGAAGCGATGCTGTTAAAGATATGACACGTTTATGACATATTTGCTTGGAAAAAAGATAAATTATTATCACTAAAGTATAACCTTCCAGCTAATGTCTTTTGTCCTGCAACTGTAACCATATTTTCGGAGATTTCAACTTCAATTGTGCCAAGTTTGTGTTTTCCAGGAAGGAGGCCAAGCGCAGCAATTGCATCGGAAACTAAAACCAGTCCTACAGAAAGACAGAGAATAAAAATAAAAAATGAAATGTAAAACTCGTCTTTGTCGATCTTCATTTTGTTTATTCAGAAGAAAGATGAAGAGGTGCAAAGCTATAAACCTTTGGGAAGAGATGAAAATCAGAATTAAGAAAAAACATTAAAAAAATTGACGTTACATACCAGAAACCAAGAGTAGCCGGCAGTGTTAAAAACACAATAATTATTAAAGATTAAATTTATAACAAAATTTTTAAAGAAAAGTAAACAAGTAAATAAAGTTGGTAATTGACATGGGCGAAGTTGGAAGTTAGGTGAAAATAGTGTAACGACAAACTTCGTTTTTTCCTGGATATTCGACACTCCGTCCGCAATACATTGACTTTGATTTTAATTATTATTACTAATATTATTATCATTATTATTATTATCATTATTATTATTATCATTATTATTATTATTATTATTATTATTATTATTATATTTATTATTATTATTAATATTTGTCTCTTGAGTTTCATTTAGTTTTATGATGGACATTGAAATGAAGTCAAAATTGTTTACAACTTTTTTTGTTTTCCGGCTCAATGTGGCGTATTCTGAATTAGTACCGTCAGGGTGGCTCCTATGTGCAATACGTAATGCTGAAGGATGAGTGTGAATACCATCAGCAATCATTCCAAAATAAATAGGTTGTGGATTATTACTTGTCAATAAACCTACAACACCTGGATCACGATGATGAAACTAAAACAATAAAAAAAGATTGCCGTTATGTCATACATAACAACAGAGTTTACTGTATATTATTACACAACAAACAAAATAATGGACGAAGTAAATAAAAACACTACGTAGTAAAGACGTGAGAAAATACAACATTCACATTGTGTAAAACTGTGTAATATCTATATTCTATGGCAAATTTTGCCAATCAAAATTATCAAATGCCTTTAACTTCTTACACACTAATGTCCTTAACTTCAAAGTGAAATTGTGAAAGATAAGCGTTGTACAATAGACTTACGGGCAACATGGCATTGAATAAATGTGTTATAAATCTTGCTCCCGATCGAACAGCGTCCTCGGCAACATCAAAACTAGCAGTAGTGTGACCTTAAGTTGCAGTAAAAGATGTATTACAATGCTATAGTGACTATGTTCAATATACCATTAAATTAAACAGCTCTCCTGTTCCTAACTTTTACGCAGTTTCCTCTAAAACACAATCACGACCATGAAATGCTCATGTTTTTTTATATAATTACATAAAATTTCTTTCTGGTTTTGTGATTACTAAGATATGGCTTAAATCCTCACCTATTGACACTATAATATTTTCTTTCACGAGATATTTTATAACTTCCATAGCAAAAGATTGTTCTGGTGCCATTGTAATTATCTTAACGAATCTCAAACTTCCATAAAAATCGATCATTTTTTTAATCCCTCCTAAATCGAGAGTTTCCACATATTCTTCTCTATGGGCGCCTTTCTTTTCTTTGCTGATAAAAGGCCCTTCGAGATGTAAACCTACAAATTTCAACGTTTTTACTAAAAAAGTTTAAAAAAATCTATTCATTGTATAGTTACATTTTTGACGTAATTATACTGAACTTATTACATTTATTGTGAATATATTTCGGTTCGTCTACGGCGTTTAGTTTGTAGCGAGCGAATTTTGAGTTTTCATTCAACGTTTTAAGACGTTTTAATTTTGGTGGCCATTTTTTAAAATAATGCACTCGTTTCTCATTGAGATTGAAGGTTGAAATTAAAACATTTCAAAATAAACGTAAACTAAGGATTTACTTGCCAAGAACCTTTGCACCACAAACAGTTTTTGAAGATTCTTCAATTTTTGGAAGAAGCTGCGAAACAAAGAAAAAAGACGCAGGTGATGTCTTTATTATAAAATATCAGTTCTTTTAGATTAGTGAAACAAGTTATCACAACATGTAAACAACAAATAATGAAACCTATACAGAAAATATTGATGGCTGGTGATTGCATAAGTTTTTACAAATTACTAATTAAGCAATCAAACCAGATAGTGCAAACAATTTTAATCGTGCTTTACAAGTATGGTAACATCTAAATATTTCATAATCCCATACCTTATGATAAGTTGTTTTTGAAGAGGTAACTATGGTAGGACAAAAGATGTGATGCCAAATCTAAGAAGACTTTTGACACTTTATAAACCACACTCAATAGACTCAGTATCTGAAGTGAAGTCAACACCAAACCCTCCTAGAAATATTAAAATGAACACTTAATTTGAACATGCTAAGTTGCTATAGAACATCTAAAATAGGATGATTTGTTAAGATATTTGAAACTAAATCAGTTAGCATATCCTGTGATCTGGTTGATTCAAGATTTATGGATTTTAATAATGACAACTAACAATAATTTCTATTCTAGTGTTTAATATCTTTCTAAAATTCAATACTATTCAATAGCAATGCCCCTTTTCTAATCATGCGATGCAAAAGATTTTGCTTTCACTCACTGCAAAAGCAATGTGCAGAATTTCTTTAAAGAAATTCATAATAATTTTGCAGGAAAATTGTACTTCAAATGTTTGGACCTTTCTTTGCCACTACAACCCTTACTGTTTAAAACTTTGATGACATCAAGGGAAAAGAACAAAGCAACCAACCATTTATTTGGACATCAATATAACCAGGTGAAATCAACAATCCTTTGCAATCAATCTTAATATCAGCAGCAATGTTTTCATCAAAGAACACAACATAAGGATTTAAGATAATTCCATCACGAACCCAAAGATCATCTTCCACTATCTTATGATCTTTAAGTAATTGGCAATTCATAAATTGTATAAGTTTGCCATCAATACCCATTCTTTGTTGTTTTATTGCATTAAAACAACTTGTCTCCTTAAAATAATATTAATTTACTAATTTGAAGCTTCAACTGATCATACAGTAATAATGTATGGTGATATAAAATATTGATATATTTCGCCTTTTTATGCCTTATAAACATCAAAACATTGAATTCTCCCAACTCAATTGAGTCAATTCCTTCTTTTATTACTTCCTTTTCCTCTTCTTCTTTTTACTTAAGTCAAGTTATGATGACGTCAGCGGAAGTCCGCTAACATCACATGTCCAATGTCCTCCTGTCAATGTTCAATGTCAAATGCTTTTGCTGCCGTAAATTTATTGGTTTTCACTTTTTACGAATTTCGTTGAAAATAATTTGTGTGATATGCATGGAAGATGTCAAACTTAAAGGCAGTTCACGAAGAAATTGAGAAAGCTCTCGCCGCCACTCTAAGACAGCGCTTTATTGATGGTTTGTAAGTTTTGTATCTATGGTTGCCAACCTGGAAAAACTTTATTCAATCTTCGAAATATCTTCAATTCAATGAACCTTAAGTTCACTTTGATTGGAACAATATTATTGTATGCAGTTTGTGAACCCATTAATCCACATCCTCCTTGGCATTGTAATGATATTTTGAATTTAACAAGCAATATTTTTCTACTTAACGTTAAATACACCATTGCTGTAAATGCTTCAGATATACCATGATGTATAGTTGTCTGGTAAAGTTTCTTTTCAACTATCATATTGTATGTTATGAAATACAACAAATTCTTTTCATTAAATAGCTGAATTTGAAGAAAGGGAATTTGATGAACGAGATGTAAAGATTGTGAAGAAAAATAATCGTTATGGAGATCTATATCTTCGTCTATTTATCAGGTCTCGACAAGGAGATTTGGATAAAGCTTATAAAACTTTGGTAATATGTACAAGATATATTGAGCATTAGCCCCCCTTCCCCTCCTGCTCTGCTGTTTCTGAACTACATGCAAACTTGTGGGAAGATGGACCAAACCATGATATGTCATTTGTTTATTTAGATAGATTGTCTTCGTTGGCGTAAAGACTCATCAATACATGGTAAGATGTAATGAATGTTTAACCATCCTTGAAGTTGTGTAATAATAAATGATGGTCACTGGTCAATAAAGGCAAGGTGCACATTAAGGGGAGGAAGGGGCTTTAAAACTACAAACTGTTTTACCATAAAGTCAGTCCCAGGTCCCATTTTTCTTAGAATGTACACGGATGGTGGTAAATTGATAACCGGGCACTATATTCATATGTAATATTTAATCATTACAATTCATTTTTATGGCATGTAATGAAGTAGAAGATGCATTTTTAAATATTAGCTCCCCAATTATTAGTCTAACACCTAGCCTTATATGTGCCTTGCAATGAAGGACAGGTTAATGAATCATTTAGGTTGCCATGTGTTCATGTCAATATATGGTTTAACGTCATCTTCCTAATGTAAAAGCCACATGAGGTTGCTTATGTTTTTACTTCATGTAATGTATCATGAAAATAGATTTGAACGAGGACAGTTTTAAAGATGATAAAGAAGTTATTGAAGAAGGACTTTTGTTTTACCATAATACAGACAAAAACAAAAATCCCATTTGTAAGTACATAGGATAACATTTAGTTCCATAAAGTTATTCAAACTTAGTTAAAAACTTTAGTTTACATTACTTTGCATTCCCTCATAAACTAAATAAGCAATTTCATATGACCAAATTAGAGCCTTTTAGAACCTTCTAAATATTTTTTTATTTTGTAGTATATTTTCAAGGGAATAAATACAAACATAAAAAAGATGATGATAAAAGGAAGAAATTACAACGATTATTTGGCTATCTTTTAGAGAAGCAGGTGAGATGTATTTTATAAATTGTATAAATGTGGATAGTTTTCATATAATGTAAGTAGGAGCTTTTAAATGGCTAACATGATAACATTATGACCATTGTTTTTTATTGATTATTCATCTTAAACAGCTATAATCTTTGTTCTTTGTTATGTTTTAGTTTGAAAGACGTTTGGGGAAACAAATTCTTGTTATATGTGATCACTCAAATGCTACAATGGAACATATAGTACAGTAACATCACCATTGCCTTTTTTATTATATTTTAGTTTCAAAAAACATTTTCCTCCATTATAAACAAAGTTAAAAGCTTATTCCATGTGAAACAGACACCACGTATATTCTTGCATAAATACATAACCAAGGAATTGAGCTCAGATTTTAATATTTTGTTTCATGCAACTTAGTCTGCAGTATATGTCAATTTAATAAAACGGTCAATAAGATTATGAACTAATTGTTATGATTTTAATAATTTTGATAAAGTCTCTCTTGGTAGAGTTTGTGCAAGTTTCTAGAACTTGTTATGTTAGGCTCAAGATCTGTAATGTGAATTTTCAGCCCTTGGCTCAGCATTTATCATTTTTCCTTGTTCAGTAGTCATCGTTATCTGAATAATTATGTGTTGAAATCATTATTCTTTATTGTTAGAGATCAACTTACTAACATTACTGGTTTAACAATTGTACATTACTATATTTTCTCATAAAAACTTTTGCAGGATCTGAATTTCTTCAAATTTGTCGCCAATTTATTTAATATATACTATCCCAATATTTTAGGTAAGATTTTTATTGACAGTATTGTCATAACAGTATTGTTTATTTTCATTATTTTGCTTTTCCTTTTGAAAATCATCAATATATTTGTCATCTCTTGTTTATTTTAGATCATTTTCTTATTGTGGATGTATCATGCGTGTTTCATGTTAGTTTCTTCATTTCATTCATTACAAAAATATATACCTTAAAATGGCTCAATTTCTAAATTTTCTACGTAATATACAAGCAATAATTTGCCTTGTTTTTAACGTAAATATTTCAGCTGCTTGGAGGAACATTCAGAAGTGGTTAGGACCAGATATTTCACCAAAATTTAAGTGAGTTTGGCGTATTTTACCGACAGAAATTATTGATTTAATATTTTTTTAATCTTTGCTGTATATTTGAACTTTTGATCATAGATTTGTAACAAAGATTCAACTCACTGATTACGTAGATAAAACAAAACTTCTTACGTCGTTGGATGGAAAGGTAAATGTACTACTATCTTAAATTTTTTTTTCAACTTCTTGTATGGTAAATTTTTCAATTCAACAATTATTAAATTCTTATATTTAACAAGGATAATTACCAATATTGTTATCCTCCAAATGATGACACTCAACATCCATTTCAACCACTGTAAGTGATTTTTACTCAAACTGTAAACTCAGCTGTTTTGCTTTATCTGTTAATTGCTTGTAATTTTTGCATTTGTTAATTTGTATTGATGTGAATCCGACACAAACTGCATGATAACCGAAATTTTAGTTTCTTGGATGATGTGATTGGTCTAAATGGGGATGGTACATTTGAAGACGCCATTGAGAATATTGATTCGTCGGATGAAATGTCTCAAGGAAGCAATGCTCGATCAAGTGACGTACGAAAATTGCTTCAACATTAACTTTTAGTTAGACTCTTTCTTTTGCTACATAGTTTTATATGGCTAATGATTGCAGAAATAAAATAATAAAAATTTGTAAGAAAAATAAAAATTGTTGTTTACTTTCACGCGTTGTATACATGTTAACATTGTTTTTCTCTCACTTTTAGACAATTAAAGGCTCACCGGAAACACTTGTGCGAAAAGTAAATTTTTAATTACACAATTATTGCTAAAGTAAAGATGACATGTTAATTTTGTCCTTTTATCAATGCCTTGAATAATAATTTGAAAACGATTGACAATAAATTCAGAGAAAATCCATTCAAGTTTTAGGTGATTTTTTGGACAATTAAAATTTCGTGTCCTGTATACTTTAATCTTATTTATCTTGTTAAATTATCTGAGTATATAAAAACGTTTGAGATTTTATGTGTACTTATGCATTGTAGCGTTTTTCAAGACTAAATAACCTAACACCACAGTCATCGATAGAAGTACTACCCACTGAAGAAGAATGTGAACCTAACGAGCTGGTTATTTCGTAAGCATTTTGAACTCTCTTAGCTTGGCGATTATGTTAATTAATTTGTAGTGCAAAGTTTCCAAGAAATCAAAATAATGTAGGAGTTAATGATATTAATGTATGAAACATTTTATCTATGATTTAAATTACGAGTCAATAGGCAATGTTTTTTTTGAAATTTTGCTCTATTCGTGGACCTTAGTTCGTTGTAGCTAATGTGGTTGCCTTATGGTTTAATCTCAATGATAACTACGTAAACACTTCACTAAACTGGTGAAGACATTGAAGTGTAGTAAACATACCAAATGTCGTTGTTTAGAATTTTACTATGAGTGAAAGCGAGATTTTTTGTTTTTCATTAGGTGCTACCGAAAGTCGACTTCAATCTCAATTTTCAAGTTCATTTTAGGCCAAATGAAGAAATAATCTTTTGTGAAGAAGAAAATTTCGAAGACGTTCAGAAAACGTTGAGTTTAAAAAACGTTTGTGAAAGGAAAGTTATCTATAAAGTGAGAAAAATTATTCATCTTCCATGAAAGCTTGGAACGACTCTAAAAATAAAATGTTTTTTGTGTTTGAATGTAGATCAAAACAAATTCGGCTGCCAATTTTCGTGTGAGACCTAGTGTAGGGTGGTTGGAACCTGGAGCAACTAAAGAAGTGACAATAATACTTTTGTCAAAAGGTACATTCTTTTTCTAATCACTGGTAATAAAGTTTTATGAAATGAAGATTGATTCTTATTACTGTTGGTTTAGCTGAGTCGAATACAGAAAAACAACGTCATTGGAGCAAAAACAAATTTCTTATTTTGTACGCTATGCATGATGAAGAAATTTCAAGAGATACAAGCATCACTGAGCTTTGGAAGACCATTCCAAAATCTTGTTGTAAAGAGTACAGGTATATGACGTTGGTTTGAAGCGTCATCTTGTTATAGTAAACAACAAATCATTTTTTTTAACTCGTTTTAGGTTAAATTGTCGTATTTTAGATAGAAATGGATTGGAGAAGCGACCAAGAACAATTGATGATGCCATCGAGATGAATTTGAGACTACAGAAACAGCTGCTAGAACTACAAAATAAGGTTTTTCCCCCACCACCAAATTTTTGTTTTGTTTTGTTTTTGTTTTATGTAAAACAAATGTTGAGCTATTTTGGCTGAACTACGTTTCAAAATAACTGGAAAGGTTTTTTTAATTGGCGTGGAAAGGTTAACAAATTTTGGGGCTGTCGGGCTAGTCAGTATGAGTTAATTTTGTTGTTTTGATGGACAAAAATAAAAAAGAACATTAAATTTCGTTAAATTTTTCTGAAAAAAATTTTTTTGAAAGAATGCCAAATTTTGAGGGAAGTTCACATTCAAATAAGGTCTTTTGTTTTAGCTCTTTCTCACACAAACAGTTAGGTTTATTTTTAATTCTTTAAAATTATAGATGTCAAACGTCACAGCTCCACTTGAAACTATTCAGGACCAACTTCTTCAACAAAGAAAATATTTTTTTTTAGGAATCTCAATCACTATTTTAATTCTAGTGCTGTTTTGTTTTTACTTGTTACGTTAAGTATTCTTAGCAAATAATTTAGTCAGTACTTGCAGACTATTACTGGCTATAAAATGTAAATCGTGTAAGAATGTCAATAATTAAAGTTAAAATTTAAATTTAGAGAAACAAACTCTACTTTGCAAGTGCTGAACTGTAACGTATAGCCATACCAAACCATTTGCTGTATTCCTTCTTCTCATTTTTCTCATACGACGAATACAAAATTCTGTTCATGCTGATGAATGTTTTTAATAAACGTGAGCTCGAATTTTCGTTGCGTAAGCACACCCTAACCCCAAACACACCTTTCCTGTCATTATGTAATTCAACGAGCACGCAGTTCATCATAGTTGTGCATGAAGTAAACATTTGTCCTGATCAAAGTCTTAAATTTAGTTTTTATGCGTATTTAAAAAAATATTTATATTAGAAATGAAAATGTTTATGTTTAGCTTCTGCCGAATCGTTGCTATCAATATGGTTTAGTGAAGTGCTTTAGTCATGATATTTAACTATTTATAACATGATACACATATTTATAATATAAAAAACAAACAAGTTGAGAGGTACACATTCCATCGCAATTATTCAACTTTTTTTAAAAATTACTGTCAACACTATTATGTCACCTCTGATTTCAGCAACAGTCTCAGCTTCAAAAACCTAGCTTTTCAGGCCTTCTAACTACCTCCTTCACACCCCAGTTCACACCCTTCTTATCACGAGTTAGGTCATGCGTCAATCATGTGATCGCATGGATAACAATGGTAAGTGAAGGATAAAACTGCTCATGAATTTAAATTATTACGTAAAGAAAGAGAAGCTCGCGAAATCAGCCGTTGCGTTGTGGCAATTTAACCTTATCGCTCAAAAAATTTAATAAAAAAGATAAAAAAACTCAAGGTACGTGTGTGTATATAGTCTAGGATTGTGATGATAGTGTTGCTCGTGTTTGCTGTGTTCATCTTGATCATTTTTACTTTGTATTTGTCTGCCTAATAATTTAAGGAATTTAAACGATTTCATTTGATGTGTAATGTTTTTTGTTGGGCGAAATGTTGTTGGAATTTAGTTATGACTTTGCATATTTCAGTCTTTTTTGTTTTTTAAAATGTGTTTTAACATAGAAACGGCAGTTTCAGCATGAAATAACCGCCATAAATCGTCCATTGATTACCCTTAACAATATTTATATTGAGAATGTTGTTTAAATGATATGTATAAAATTGTATTTTAAAATGACTTCTGGTTTGTGTGAATCTAAGGAAGCATGTGTAGTACACCGGAGTTTTCATTGTGAACTAAATTATTTTTTTATTTGCGAAATGAAAACAGGAAACCTTACACCTATTCAAATCGATATTTGAGACGTGAGCATTCCCTCGTCCAACCCATTTTCTTCATTTCTACATAATCCGTTTACATTTCAGCGCATTTAATACTTGTATGTTTTTAACTTTTCTCACTGATTCAATACTTTTTAACCGTTTTAACTTAAAATCAGTTCTTGTTTGCGAAAGTAGATTGAGATGGGTTTGAAATTAATTTGTTGCGTATATTGACATTTTACATAACACAAAATCATTATCATTTGTAGTAAAGAATGTCAACTGTTCCTGAATCCTGTCAGTTGACTAAGAAAAATTTAAATGAAGATAATACTACAACTCAGGTAAATTCATCTAGCTTTGAATTGAAAATTATTGAGTTGATGGGATTTAATTTTATATCTTTCACCATTTTTATATACGCAGAATGTTCGTGGTTCTGTCATTGGGGCCATTAAGAAAGCGGTTTTTGTGATTGGAACCGCTTTGATCTTGTTTGGTATTGTCCGTAACACAGTAACATGGTAAGTTAGTGATTGGAACTTATGTCGCATTTAATGACATGTGAAGTTTTACTGATTAAAGATGTCCATGTTAACAGACTAAAAGACATGCTATTTAAAATATTTCTATTTAAGGTACTTTGGTCTTATTTGGGGCTCCTCTCATGATTTTTGGCAAAGAAAGTGGAATGTAATTTATGATGCTGTTGATGGTGATGAGTATGTTCTTTCAATTTTTGGTAAGTCTAGAAAACATTAAACTCAAAAACCAAGTTATTGTTTTTTACCATTGAGAATTTACATTTTTGGTTACTGTGAAAAAGTTGTAACTCTTCATTATTGTTGGTTTTTTTTTATAGGAACAAATCTTATTGGATTTTTGGTTTATTGGCTTGCCAGTGCATTTTTTTGTCTTGTTGACTTAACTGGGAGACCTTCATGGGTTTTGCAATTCAAAATTCAAGACAATAAAAAAGTACCAGTATGTGTGTATTTTGTTGCTAGTAACATTGCATTTAATACCATTTACTGCAATGACTGCAAAAAAAACAACAATATTAAGACACTTCATAAGTTCACTTTGCATTTTTTTCCAAATTTCACTCAAAACGACACTAACTAATAATATTTATGCTAACTATACAACTTATTCACTGTAAGCAATTCATATTAAGAATGTATATATGTACCTGTGCATTTTGTTTATTTTTTAATTGTCACTGTTATTTTAGGTTGACAAAAAGAAATTCATAAAGGCTGTCCTCTTGGTTTTGTTCAACCAATTTATTTCCGTTCCATTCTCTGTTCTTTTTTACTATCTTTACAAGTGGCGTGGTTGTTCGTTTGGTCGCCAGCTTCCATGTTTCCAATGGGTTCTTTTTGAGATTGGAATGTTTACAATGGTCGAGGAAGTTTTGTTTTACTACTCTCATAGGTATTATAACTATATAATTTGGTTTATGGTTATGATTACCATTCAAAACCATGTATATATGACAAATTAATGTGTACTTATGAAGTAATATGTACTCTTCAATGTAGATTACTTCATCACCCTCGTTTGTACAAGCATATCCACAAAATCCATCATGAATGGACTGCTCCCATCAGTATCACAGCAGTATATGCTCATCCTATTGAACATTTGATCTCAAATATTATTCCTGTTTTGATGGGGCCATTAATTATGGGATCACACATTGCTACAAGTTGGTTGTGGTTCTCTCTTGCTATTTGTACAACCCTTGTTTCTCATTGTGGTTATCATTTACCTCTATTGCCATCACCTGAAGCTCATGATTGGCATCATCAGAAGTAAGATAGTATAAAAACATGAATGAAAAAGAACTTTAAGTATCTTTCGTAATTACTAGTCTGATTATTGAAAGGAAGCCTCCATTATTTGTTTGAAATTTTGTTGAATTAATTTCAGCATCATACTTTCATTATTTAACCACTATATGTTATAAGCATGATAAAATTGTTGACCATAATTTTCCAAATGAATTTATTGCAGGTTCAACCAAAACTTTGGAGTTCTTGGTGTTTTGGATTGGTTGCATGGCACTGATGTCAACTTTCAACAGTCTCGTGCTTATGCTCGTCATTTGTGTTTCTTCAGTGTCACACCAATGAAAGAACTGTACCCAGATGAGCCTGCCAAAGGTTGCAAGAAAAACTGAACAATTTCTTGCTTGTAAATATTAACCAGCAATAAACATATTCCCAGGTTATTTATTTAAAGTTGCTGGAATGGTGTGTGGACTCACTTATTAACATTTGTATATAGAAACCATGGAAATGTTATTAGGTATTAAAAGTGAGCATTTATATCTTTACATTATATTATCTTATGTTATAGTGGATTAAGTGTGATATAGTGGATGATATAGTGGATTATGTTATAGTGGATTAGAGAAAGAGTTGGTGTTGAGTGTATCGAGAATTGGGTAAGGCGCCAGCGTTTGAGGTGGTTTGGGCATGTGGAAAGGAGGGAAGAAAGTGCTGAAATTCGTAGAACGTTGCATATGAATGTTGATGGAGTCCACAAACAAGGTAGACCGAGAAAGAGATGGATGGATGCTGTGAACAGTGATATGAAGGCGATGGGTATAACGAGAGATATGGCGAGAGATAGAGACGTTTGGCGTAGAAAAATTCATGGACCTGTCAACCCCCCTGGCGGGGATTAATAGTGGCCGGTATACAAATGTTGTTTGTTTGTTGTTGTTGTTATAGTGGATTAAGTCCACTACTTATTATTATATTAATAATTGAAGTAAATTTTGTCGTGAGTGAAACAAACATCCTTTTATTGGGCAAAGCACGTTATTAATATCATTTTATATCCAAGTTCAACAACTAATTTTTTCACACATTTCAAACAATATTTTATTGGCACATCCACAATATGAAATTCTACATTAGCAAAAAACAAATATTGTTTACAACTAAAATTGAGGTCTTCTTTTACGTCCACTGTACTTGGAGTCATGTCGAGTGTCCTTTCCCTGTTTACGTCTCCTTGCCTTCTTTGCTTCAATCCATTCTTTGCTTTTCTTAGGTCCTTTACCCCACTGTGGTTTATTTAAATGCTCTCTCTTATGAGAGAAACTTATTTGGTTGCTCAGTGAAATGTTTGATCCTAGTCCCAGTCCCTGAGGGAGGGAAGTCGTGTTTCCACCAGTAAAAAGACACAGAAAGATTTTCTTAGCTTTGCTGCTATTGGGATAATCAACAACAATACCACCAGTAAAACCAGCCCTCAATGCTTGCGTTGTAACAAGCTCCATTTGCTGTGGATTTTCTGGATAGAATTGGAATACAGCTTTACTGCCACGCGTAATACATGCGTATAATGAAGAAAAGAAAGTGTAAAGACGTTTGACAGGATTATCTGTCTTCTTGTTTGACGTACATAGCCATTGTAAAGCTGACACAGAAATACAGCCGTCAAAACATCCAGGACGAAAAGGTAAGGTTTGTCCGGCATCATGTAAAATAGTATCTCCTTCAACTTCTCTTTCTTTAGCGACGTCTAACATTGCTTTACTTATATCAAATCCAACCCAATAATGCCCAGCCTGAGATATCACATCACCACTTAAACCTGAACCACAACCAATATCAAGCAAAAATTTCGGTTCTTCGTCGGTCATACCCAATAATTCTAAGGTTCTTTCAGCGAGAGAAACCTGAATATCGATTATCCTAGAATTACAAGTATATTTTCTCGCTTCTTTCTCGTTGTAAAAAAGTTCTGGAGGACCGCTATTTTCAGGTCTTTTTGACGCCATCTTGAAATCAAGACTGAAGGTGACACCACTGAACTCTATATACACATTTCATTAAATGAAGCTGAAGCCAGACCACAGTAATTGAGACACAAAACTATGTAAAATTCTGTATAATAAATATTCGACAAAAATACTGTGAACACATGCGAACAATGTTTTTTAAATAATGATTCGTAAACATCTATACCTGTATGTATAACCTCGCTTACTTTCATACGGCGAAAACGACGGGGGGGATTCATACATGTTTTCCACATTTAATCAATTTGTCCTCTTGGCTATACGCCACAAGTTGTGAAAATTCAGGTTGCACGAGTTTGCTCATACTTTAAAGCAATGACACAACTTTAAGGATTTAGAATCGTACAACTTTAAGAATTTTCATTTTCGAAACTGCTAGCTTGCATGTGTATTCATAAGAATAGATTTATTACCAATGCGAAAATTTTTGAAATTGCGGGGGGGTTTCTCGACAGACCCTAAAAAACGTGTGAAATGAATGCGAGTGAATGAAATTTTGTGAAAACTAACGATCTAGGAAAAACTTGTGTGTGTTGATTTTATTTATGGTATTAATTGAACAAACAAATTTTATCTTAAAAAATCAAACGCTAATAAAGCAAGACCAACAAATATTTTCAACTTACAATGTTTTTACTTCATCGTCACGTGATTTGTCGCAAACCAACATAGACAGCAGCACAACATTTTTGCAGAACAGAAATTTAAATTTAATTCATAAACATTTATACAACTTAAAAGATTTCTAAATTAGTTTTCTACGACTACGAGTCCTCGGTTTGGTTTCTTTGAACATGGTCCAATTTTGACAACTCTTCTTGAAACTTCACAGAAATAGCAGGAAATTTATGCTACAAAATATAAGTAGTTTAACGAGAAAGAAGTATATTAAATTATCGCTACGCGAATAGTACAACTTACCTGCAAAACATGAAGTCCTTTTGATGAAGCGACAATCAATTCTCGTACTCCATCGTTAGTCATATCAATATAATCCATAGCAAATAAAGGCGACGAAAAACTTTTAGTCCAAAAAAGACAAGCTTTTAGCCGTTCTGTTTCGGTTTCTTCCTCCTTTATTTTATGCATTTTGTACACTAAAAGTTTCTAAATTTTAACCATTAATGAATAATAGTTACCATCAACAATACTTATTTTTAAATTGACATAAAAATTATTATTTTAGTAGTGGAGGACTGAGGATGGATCCCAACGATGACTATGTAAATAAAAACAGTGGGGATTCGCGCTCCATTTACATAACCTGACCCAAGTCTATTCAAATTAAACAAAGAAAATGTGAAAGCAAAGAATGGTTCTTTACCTGACCATAAGTTCCAAGCAATATTTCATTTGTTCCACTCCAGGTAAGATCATTTACATGTGAACACAGTACGCAGTCATATTGATCAGAGTCAGGAAGTATTATGAACTTATTTAAACCATTGTTGATGACATCTCTTAAATTGACAAAATTAAATCCAAATTTTTACATGCGAAAAATATTCACACGTGAATTTTTGATCGACATTATTTGGACACTATTTCATATGTGACGTCAGAAGTTTGTTGTTCAAATTGTCAAAGTTTCTGAGAGCTGATCGATATCTGAAGTCTGACTTTGAAGTTTTAATTGTTATAAACACTGACTTAATGAAAGAAGTATAGTATTTAACTTACGCAAAATGAACAAAGTAAAATTTCTTTTATTTCAAATGCCTATTTTTAACAATTGAGAAAAATGCTGTACTCACTCGTAAACAACAGAAGGTTCAATAACAGCAGTTACCAATAGATGGACAACACCACAGTTAGTATATTTTATAACATTCTTTCTTCTTGTTGATGCAAGCAGTGCTTGTTGATTGAATATAAAACAAATTTAATCAAAATATTATAAGCCTCTAGAAAAGAGAACATTTTTGCTGTCAAATACCTTTCATTTCTTCAGAAACCTCTCTGGAATTTGCTTCAAATGTAAAAAATTTAACAGATGATATGGGACCATCATGCGAAGTAAGCCATTCTTTCATGACTGCTGTTAAACCAAAATAACCGTTACATAAATTTCATGTTATTAACAAATATAAATTTAGCGCTTGTGAAAAAAGTACCTTTTTCTGTACAAAGCGCTACTTTTAACGTGCCATTTTGACAAGCGTAGGCACTGATACGCCTTTTGTTTTCCATGTCATAGTAAATATCCATGGATATAACACTAAAAATTTTAGATAAGTTTACTTAAAGAAGGTTGCTTGTTATTTGTATACATTATGAATGAATAACACATTTGGTGAAACGATGGCAGAAAGGTAAACTTTATTGTATCTTTCGATGGAGCTGTATTCAAATTACAAAACTTCGGAACAACGACTCTTGCCCGCTCGCCCCTTGTGACAAGTTATTCCTTGCGTATTGCGTCAACATTTGTAATACAGAGTGTACACGCAAGCGATACCATGGAAACTATATTATATAATGTATTAATGTGAATGTTTAATAGAGTTAAAAGAAACTGCATCATGATTCCTATGTGATTTGTAGTATGATACAAAAACATGATTTTCATCTGTAAAATTTTATTCAATTTTGTGCAAGGATTTGAAGCAATTTTTTACCTACTGGGGAGATCTTTAAATTCCAGAAAATAATCTTCAACCTTGCACTCAACAAATAGTTGCGTTTTGTCATTCTAGGTAGTAAAAATTATTTTTTGATATGTTGTATGCTAAGCTGCAATACTGTAAATTAAAAAATTCAGGTTAATTCATTGAAAGGGTCCAAATAAGCACATTTACATTTAAATTTTTTAATGTATTTGAATTTCTTACTTGTTTAAATAAATGTATTTTCCTATCACCACCACTAAGTAAAAAAACTGTTTCTTTTGTCGTACTTTAAAAGAAATTTGACATTACTACATGACAAGTGAAATACAGAAACCTTAAAACTTGATGAGAACACTTCACAGAGTTGAACTATTTAACTTACTTTGCATGAATTAATTGAAATGGCACAAATTCCAAATCAAATGTCTGAAAGTTATCTACAAAAACAACCAACTAACAAATATTATCTATTAAACGAAGATATGATCTTCGCACTTAGCTGGACAATTTAAGCAATCGTCTCAGGACCTGAAAAAATCAGGTGACTCAACGGGATGTATGGTACGGGATAAATATTATCTATGATACATACATCACTGTGCATCCATGAGCATTAAACAAACTTGTAAGTGAATGGTTCTAAGAGGGAGGCTGTACAAAATGTCAAACTTAAATTAGAACTTTCACATTTTACCATAGAGAGCAAATAATAGAGGTTAATAAACTATTTAATACATGACAAATAATTATTAATTATACATAATGAGTTTCTTCATATGCACAAGACTTTCTTCTTAATATCATGCGTTCCTACCAAAGCTTAATTCATTCTGAAATGCTGTGCTTCCAGAATAGATATTGAGGAATTTTCTTTCATGACTTGTGTGACCATTCTATAGAGTAAACAGGTGTATGATTTCTCTGCAACAACCAAATGTTTGAAATGTATGTATTATAATTTCATAGATACCTTAATATATGTTACTCCAAAATAAAATATACTGTCTGATTCAAAAGCATCGATAGACACAATATCTGAACCTGAAAGATTTCAGATAAATAAACATAAAAATAACTTATGCATAAAGAAGACCGCGTTGAAGCGATGGCGTATTATGGTACATATTGCATACACAGAAAAATAGCTGAATTAGGCACACTATTTTTGATTTTCTATCTTTTAAAATTTCTTATGGATGCTGACAAGCACTAAATCAATCTATGTAGAATATCTGTCCACTCTCTATTCACTTCTATAAAATGCTTTGTTCTTTATACTTTGTTATTTATATTGACCACTTAATGATACTATATAAATAATAATTGTGAACTAAATGATATTTTAGTTTAACTTTAGTTACTTTACTGTTATCGTTATGTTTTACTATTTATGCAGTATGCGGTATCCTCAAATTTTTGAGGGTGCCTTGTAAAAATGGGCAGGTATTCTATAATCGATCTTTCTTTGCATTAAAAGCATACATTGCAATAAACACACCTTGTAAATTTCTGAGAGATAAATTGTGTGATGATAATGTCGAAGTAGGTCTTGCACTTTGTTGTGATGTAATACACGTTACACTTCCCTTTAAACTTGCCATTAATACTTTATTACATCCATGAACGGTGTCATAAAATTTCACCAAGCCATATATATTTGTTTGAGAAGAACTGGGGAAAAATTGAATTTCGTTTAAGCCAATTTTGTTTTCTGTTTCTTCGTCTTCATCAGCCATATTGGATTTTGGTGTTTTTGCTGAATTGCAAAATTCAGTCTTATGTGTGCATATGTGTACATATAACACCCTCAACTACACGTAGTTAATTTTCACGTGGACACGGCATTGTAGAATTAGAAAGTTGTATCTGCTTGGAGAACAGTCGGCAGTATTGTAGCAAACAATAATCTATAACATCATGAGTTCAGAAAGATCGTTTATTATGATTAAACCGGACGGTGTTAGTCGTGGTCTTATTGCCGATATCATCAAACGATTTGAGCAAAAAGGATTCAAATTAGTTGCCATGAAATTCATGAAGGTAAGTTGGATTTCACAACAAAATACGGCCATTTACCCTGTTATAATTATCTTGATAATTTTCAATATGGCCAAAATACAGTCACTCATAAGTCTTGTCCTATTTTTTTTAATATTGTGAAGATGAGAAATGGATATACCGTTTATGTGTTCAACATATGTTAAGAAGTCAAGAGCTCAATTTTTCTTGAGGGAGGGGTGGAAGAAAACCAATGGCTTGACTTTTTGTTTTGCTACAATATATTGTGCTATAACATGACATTGAGACATGTGTAAAGATTATTGGTACTGACTTTTTGCTGTAAGGGGGGGGGAGGGTGTGCATGCCAACCCACACTCATCAAATGAATGCATCTGAATGCTTTTCAGACTCAATTTTATTTTTGCTTCTTTGGAATAACCTATGATAGCTAGTTGCAGCGCAACATCCTGATTACATGTCTAAAGCTAAATTACCTTATTTTAGAAAACATTCCGCTATGATAATAGTGATTTTGTTTTTCCTAGGCAAATCAAGAACTATTAAAGAAACATTATTCTGAACTTAGTTCTAAACCATTTTTTGATGGCTTGGTAAAATTTATTTCATCAGGACCTGTGGTGCCTATGGTAAGAGTATATTTTATCATTATTACTTTTAAATTATAACTGTGCATTTAGATGTTTATAAATACATGTGTTTTATCAGGTATGGGAAGGCAAGGTGTGGTTAAAACTGCTCGTCAAATGCTTGGAGAGACTGACCCTGTAAGTTAAGAGAGTAAAGTGAAGCAAGTTGTTATCCAGCTTTCAAAGCAATGTTGTTATCCTGCTTTCAAAGCAATGTTGTTGTCCAACTTTCAAAGCAATGTTGTTATCCTGCTTTCAAAGCAATGTTGTTATCCAGCTTTCAAAGCAATGTTGTTATCCTGCTTTCAAAGCAATGTTGTTGTCCAACTTTCAAAGCAATGTTGTTGTCCAGCATTCAAAGCCATGTTGTTATCCAGCTTTCAAAGCCATGTTGTTATCCAGCTTTCAAAGCCATGTTGTTATCCAGCTTTCAAAGCAATGTTGTTGTCCAGCTTTCAAAGCCATGTTGTTATCCAGCTTTCAATGCCATGTTGTTGTCCAGCTTTCAAAGCCAAGTTGTTATCCAGCTTTCAAAGCCATGTTGTTGTCCAGCTTTCAAAGCAATGTTGTTGTCCAGCTTTCAAAGCAATGTTGTTGTCCAGCTTTCAACGCCATGTTGTTATCCAGCTTTCAAAGCCATGTTGTTGTCCAGCTTTCAAAGCCATGTTGTTGTCCAGCTTTCAAAGCAATGTTGTTGTCCAGCTTTCATAGCCATGTTGTTGTCCAACTTTCAAAGCCATGTTGTTGTCCAGCTTTCAAAGCAATGTTGCTGTCCAGCTTTCAAAGCAATGTTGTTATCCAGCTTTCAAAGCCATGTTGTTATCCAGCTTTCAAAGCCATGTTGTTATCCAGCTTTCAAAGCCATGTTGTTGTCCAGCTTTCAAAGCCATGTTGTTGTCCAGCTTTCAAAGCAATGTTGTTATCCTGCTTTCAAAGCCATGTTGTTGTCCAGCTTTCAAAGCCATGTTGTTGTCCAGCTTTCAAAGCAATGTTGTTGTCCAGCTTTCATAGCCATGTTGTTGTCCAACTTTCATCGCAATGTTGCTATCCAGCCTTCAATTTTGCATTTGATGTTCTGGGCAATTTTTAGCATATTTTTTGGTTTTCTTTGCTAAAATACCTTTGTTGAGAGTCAATGGCCAAATCCAGCACATTTAAGAATTTCCAAAATTTTTATCCACAAAGAAGATATTTTAGATAATTGTGTTTACTAACCATTCGTGGATAAGAGAATTTTTTCAAACAAATAGATCAATTCAATTTATCTTTGAAAACGAATTAGTGCCTCTTCAGCTGTAAACAAAAAAGTGCTTATTAAAAATTTTCCATGTTTATTGAAAGGCAAAGTCTTTACCTGGAACAATACGTGGTGATTATTGTATTGATATTGGAAGGTCAGTTTTCACTATTTTTTTAACTGTGTTGAATAATATTTTCATAAAATAGTATACAGTAGGCCAGAGTCAACAAATATTTTCTTTTGTAGAAATATTATTCACGGCAGTGACTCTGTTGAGACTGCAAAACGGGAAATCAAGTTGTGGTTTAAAGATGAAGAGCTTGTTGATTGGATACCTAATAATGCTTCTTGCGTCTATGAATAGATTTTATGCAATTTGTAATCTATTTTCCTTCAATGAAATAATAATTCCTTGAAATGTCACGAAGTTATGCACTTTTTCTGTTTGTCTTGAGAGGTAATCTTGCTCATTTTTATACTTTGTTTCGATTTTTTAGAATGTGTAGTTGATTGGTCTTTACAAGGCACAAACGTAATATAAGATGAAATATACTCCAAAAAACATCAGCCTGTACACAGTAGGGCGGATATCAGCAATGTTTTAATTTTTTTTCAACTTGTTGCTTTTGAGAATCTTGTCTCTCGTTTGTATGAAACAAATTTAGAATTTATGAGATCATGCGTTTTCCAGTGCTATTTATTCGCTTTAACTTGTTTTCACAAGGATTTAATAGTGATAAGCCACGTGCAACTATAAAAAAGATCTAATGGATTTAAGGCTTATAAACATGTGCAATCGTTGAGAGAAGTCTGAACGACCTAATTAGCTACTAAAACTTGCTACAAATTCAACCGAATGAAAACACTGTAACTGGAAGTGCAGAATAAGGATAATTAAAGGTTCTTCTCCTTGTGCGAAAACTTCTAGAAATTTATCAAGTTCAAATATTAAAAAAGCACTTGTCCAAACTGGATCTTGAGGATGGATGGAAATCATGGATTGGAAGACAGTAATAAAGTTATTGAATCTAGACGACTGGCAATAAAATATTGCGTCTTTTCAGCATTTGCTGCTTTCTGTAGTGCTGTATTTGCAGTTGTTGGTTTATCTTTAGTCACTGAACATCGTTTTGGTGGTTTATCATCAATAACTGTTGTTGGATTGGTCTTCACTGCTTTGGCTGCTCTATCAAGTATTCTTGCATTTGTCTTTAAAGGAATTTCCAAATATTACTATTTATAAAAAAAATTACCGGTGCATTCTTTGTGAATTGTACGTGTTTGAAGTTTGGTAATCAATAATCCTAATTCTGCGATATTTGGACGGTGGTTTGAACCGATGTGAATTTTACTTTTTTTTGATCAATAACATTTTTACTTACATACATCTTTTGATGACTTATTCAAGATTAGCATTTTCTTTCTGATCTTTCTAATTTACTGAATAAAACATTTTCCATGTTCCCTCTCATTTAAACTAAAATAAAATTCAGCTTCAATGTAACTTTTCATTAGTTTTGGTTAGACATCTCGCCGATATCAATCAGGAAAGAAACTGGGATCGCCCTGAAGTTTCGGTGGTTTGGTTTTATACTAACGTTTCTGCATTATTGCAACAAGCAAATAACCGATATTTTGCTTATGTAAAAAATAATAAAAGTTTTGAACTTTTCTTTGATTAATTGTGTTTTGTAAATACGTTTTACCATGACGACAAAATTACCTCAAATAACAAAATCTATGCATGTATGTATCGGTATGGATATCTTTCTAACTTCGCTGTGTTACACTTCTGTGTGATAACTAGATTTTTTGCTGTTATTGATGCAATGGACAGTCACAATGTGATAAAATAAGGATTCAGGTATTTTAGAGCTGACTTAATTAAAAACGACAAGTTTTTTTAAAATAAATATGTTACAACATCTCATGATGCCATCTTCAGTATTATAAGGAATATTATGTATGTAATAAATATATGAGTAATATGATACTGTGATACAATTTATGCACTTATGAATAAATTATTATATTACAATGAAATAGTGGTTAGAATTAATGAAAGTATTTACAGGCTGAATATACTGTTAAAACGAAAAACTTGAACGTTAAGATTAGGGTTAGTTTTGTTAATGTGAAGTGATTCTTTGATTTTGAGTGCGAATGTAGCACCTGCAGTATCGATGATTTTAAAGCAAGAGGGCGAATAGTTAGTTTTGCATGAAGGTGGAATAAATTCAGTTATTAGCAGTTTCTTAAATGAATATATGGCGTCTGTGGATAGTAGTGCGTCCTTGACGTTTTTTCACAACTACTACATTTTCTTCAATGTGATCTACTGTTGTGTCAAGATACTTTTTGTTGTTCAATAACCGGCTAAAAGAATATACAAAATTTAAGAATGCAATATTTGTTATTAAAGTACAGTAAAACTAGGGACACAAGGATACTGCAAAGTTTCAAAAAGCAAATTTTCTTCAACATTCTAAATGAAAAGCGTTTCAGATTAACTGTTTAGAAGAATTGTTTTAGCAGGCTAAACAGTACGTCCATGACGAAAATGCTATGTAACAATGCAATTGTATTTAAAGTAATAAAGTTATTCCCAGAAACTATGCACGTATAAATGTATATGTTTTCTTGTGATGACATAATGAATCCATGAATCACACCAGATGATGAAAAGGTGTCGAGAGTTGCTAAATAGCAGCAGAAACGTCCATAAAAACAAATAACAGAACTTGTTCACTAAACGTAAAATACACAAAATTTACAAACGACAAATTTTGTAGAAAATATACGTGGTATTTTTGAACCATGCATAACGAGTTTTTAAATAGTATATCTGTATAGTCATACTCTAGAACGCTTTTTTGTGAATCTTGCCCGTCGCCCAGGCAATATTCCCTTTGAATATGTCGAATAGATGCAACAACTCAAGCTTTTGAATAACGAAATTTTTATTCCCTGGCAATGTTTATCAACTACGTATATCGCTCACTCACTCAGACTCTCTCTTCAACTCATTTACAACAAAACATCAATCAAAATTCTTTTAAGCCTATTGGTTAACGAAATTAAACAACTAAGGAGAATTTGTCTCTCTGTCAGTAGGACATTCAATTACATAACTTATTCCCAACACACTCCCCCTATACATCTGAAGATAAGATGTATATCTAAATGGATTACTGTTCTAGGAAGTGTTTCAAATCTCTTCGTTTTCTTCGTCAGCAATCGATTTGATGATCCCCGCTGCATTTTCAGCTGCCTTACGCTTTGGCTTGAATGGTTGAGCGTCTGGATTAAGATCAGGTCTCTCTTCATGGCTCTGTCGATCACAAGCTAATTCCATTGGGTAAAGCAATTGAACTGGTCGTTCTAGGTTTCCATTTGGCGTTTTCAACATTACCCCACGTATCACTCCATCTCTTCCTGGATATGTCTCTATAACGATCCCAAGAGGCCATTTCCTCTATTCTTTTCGTTGGATTTGATCAGCACGACGTCTCCTACGTTTACAATGAACTTTTAGTCCCATGACTCATGTTATGTCGTTCTCGCAGTGCAGTGAGGTATTCTTTCGACCATCTTTTCCACAAGGCTTGTTTGCAAGATTTCAAGTATCTTGCCCTCTTACGTAAGTCCGGATCACTTTCGACCCATAATTTCTGTTCTGGCAGATGATTGGATCTCTGGAATAAAAAAGAGCTCGGGTGTCAACACCGGCAGTTGAACATCGTCTTCAACATAACTGAGCGGTCTTCTATTGATTTGCACTTCAACGTCAAGTATCACTTCACACAGTTCTTCCCACTTCAGATTTGCGCCTCCAATTGTCTTATACATCGCTTGTTTGACAATTCCTATCAGCCGCTCGAACTGCCCTCCCCACCATGGTGCTCGGGACAAGTTAAACTGCCATTTAATGTCGAATTCCTCCAAATAACCTTGAAGACGTTCCTCCTTTCGTAAACTATCTATCCACTTCGCAGTTTTATGAACGTGCCCCCCATTGTCTGAATAGATCTTCCTGGGTCTTCCCCTCCGAGCAATGAACCGTTTCAAACTTGGTATGAACGTGGAAGCAGATAGGTCCGGCATCATGTCCAAGTACACTGCTCGAGTTAGACTACATGAAAACAGCGCCAGATACGCTTTGCAATCCTTGCTTGACTTCCCTTTGTAACGTATTGGTCCCGCGAAATCTACGCCAATCACCTCGAACGCTGTTTCGCCACAAGTCCGGTCCTCGGGTAACTTTCCAGGAGGGGGTGTGGGAACTGATGTCGCTCGATATCTTTTACAACCAAAACACTCCTTTCTAACTTTCTTTACAAGGCTTCTTAACTTCGGTATCCAATACGTCTCTCTTACAGCAGCCATTGTCAATCCAACACCTCCATGTAACGTTTCACGATGCAACTTTTCCACTACTCTTTGAGCTAGCAAGGAATCTGTGGGAAGGTAGATAGGATACTGACCCACAATTCGGCCACGACATTCTAAAATCCCTTCTGTATTGCGCGTAAGATTAAGTTCTTTGCATTGTTGCTCGTACTTTGGTTGTAATTGACCTTGCTTTTGGGCTTGTTTGACAAATTTCATCTTAGCCTCTTCAATCTCGGTAAAGGATAATGGTCCTGTTCTCTTTTCCCCTTGTGTACAATTGTTTACGAACCTGAAGAGCCATGACGACACTCTTAGAGCTCGTTTAAGTGAGCATTTTCTTAATAACTGTTCCAGAACATCACCACTGTACTGTTTTGTTGTCATTGCGATACTTTTTTTGGGAGACTGTCGCTTCTGCTTCTGTTGCAGTAGTTGGAGTTGTGGTTATATTAGTTGGCCATCTGCTCATATCAGATAACCATTCTGGACCGTAGAGCCACGTCTGATTTAATTTCCCACCCCCTGCTGGCCAAATCTGCAGGATTTTCGGATGTGGGTACATATCGCCATTTTATTTCAGGATGTTGGTGTATCTTACGGACACGGTTTGAGACAAACTGCTTATACTGGCCCCGTCCAAGTATCCAATGCAAGGCGACAGTGCTGTCTAGCCATGCAAAACTTTGCGGCCGTGACAAATGATCCAAAGCGTTTCGCACATTCACAAGAAGGTTCGCTGCCATGTGGGCTGACACAAGTTCTAGCCGTGGAACAGTTAGGTCCTCTTTTGCCAGACGACTTTTACCAGCAACTAGAATTTGAGTAGTTCCCGATTCTTGATGAATAACTGAGTACACTGCAGCTCCTACACCTTGTGTGCTAGCATCCCCGAATGCGTGCAGCTCTAAAGACTTGATTGGTTCTCGGAACCCAGCTAATGATCGCGGAACACTTACTTCACACGGAAGATTGCTCTCCCAGCAGTCCCATCGATACTTCAAAGAATGGCTTAGCCGTACATCCCACAAGAGCTTCTCCTTACAGATATCACGATAAATTATCTTTCCCTCTAGAATTAAGGGTGATGTAATTCCCAAAGGGTCATAAACCTGAGCCAATCTACTCAGTACTTCACGTTTCGTTTTTGCCGATTTCTCTGATGGGATCACTATGGAAATCTCGTCACTTTTCTTTTTCCATAACAGTCCCAGCACTTTAGATTCTCCAGATTTAGTTCCAAGTTGTTGTTTTGCTAAAGTTTCTTCTTCATCATCCTTTTCTTCTTCATCTGCTTCAAGCTCATGGGCATTTGAGTTCCACTTATGTAAATTGAAATTGGCGTCGTTGAATACATCGATTGATTTCCTTTTCCTTTCCTTGGCTTTGTCTACTGTTTGTCCCCCACTAAGCAGATCGTCGACATACATAGATTTCTTCAGTTCCTCAACGATATCTGGCATCTTTGTTTTCCAAGTTTCTAGGTGATGCTCTAGCACTCCCCCAAGCAGAAATGGGGAGCAAGTTAGGCCGAAGACGACTCTTGTGAATCTATATGTCAAGGGTTCAGGTTGACTGTCACTCTTCCAGTGAAACCGTAAGGCATCTCTTTCTTGTTCTTTTATTCGGATCTGGAGGAATGCCTTTTCTATATCGCCACAAAGTGCAACTGGAAATGAACGATGATGAACCAATACGCTCCAAAGCTTATTCTGTAACGGCGGGCCTGGGTAAAGGCAATCATTCAAGGATGGAGCACTTGGAGTCGCTCGAGCGGATGCATCGTAAACTACACGGATTTTCGTTGTTTGTGCAGCTTCACGTATCACGGGTTTATGAGGTAAGTAGAACTCCCTACCCACTGGGGCTCGGTTACAAGTTCAACTACCCTTTGCTGACTTGTTCCTCAATAATCCTGTTATACTCACTGGCCATTCCTTCCCTGTCTAATCTCTTTACAAGACTGTTGAGGCGTCGCAAACTTCCTTCTTTGTAAGATGGTAAGGGAGGATGGTTACCTCGCCACAGTAGACCAGACTCGTACCAACCTTCTGAACTCCTGACCAATTGCTCCTTAAACTCTCCATACACTGAGGTTTGATCGTGTTCTGAGGTGTCGGCAAGTCCTAAAACATCCAACCGGCACAACTTCTCATAATCCTTTTGAGTGGTTTGTGTTAGTAACATATGATTGTGATCAAATTCTTTTCCAGGGGACATCACGAACCATCCCAGCTTGGTCAACTCCGCGATAGGTTCGCCATCTTTACCTATTCGGGGACGATTCTTTGTTTTTATTCTGGCATACTCCCCTCCCCCAAGAACTACATGTACTGGAAGCTGAGCCTTCGTGTCACCATCTTGGATATCAACCCTTTTAAGTGTGAGTATTTGGAAATCATATGGCTGTATTGGGGGTTTTTTACTGATAAAAGTTCACTTTTTTCCACTTTAATTAAATCTACTTCCATACCAAACTCTCCATCGAGGGACTCCACTTTAGTTGCATAGGTCTCCAGACGTTCTACACTACTACTCAGGAGCATGTCCACTTGTTTTGTTGTTATGTCAGCAGGTTTCATGCCAAGGACACTTACCAACTTTGCAGATGCATCGAGCTGCCAGCCCAGAATCAACTAACGCTCTGCACATGATCCCATTAACCTTTACAGTCAAGATTGGGAAGACTCCTTCGTTGGTTTTGTTGCAGTCATCAGGGTTTTCTTCCCCATTGCTTGTTCACACAAAGAAGTATGATGCCTTCTCGCAATGTTGACAGGTTATTTTACTTGTACAATCGGCTGCTCTATGCCCTTCTCCGGTACAGTTGAAGCAGCGGCTTTTTGCCAATATTTGTTTCCTTTCGTTGATATCCGTCACCTTTGAGCAGTCAACTGATTTATGATCGTTTGCATCGCAATATACACATTTTCGCTGACCGAATTTGGTGTTGAATACTCTTTCACGGGACTGTTTCTATTTTCCTTCCTTTCTCCTTCACATATAGGGTTTCTAGGGTTTCGCCTAGTCCATAATGTTAAGGCTTCTATTAGCTTAATGTAATCCCATTCATCCCAGTTGGGATCGGTACGAACCAAGTCGCTTCTTATACCAGACAATTTGTCCAATGTCATTGCAACACTTCCATTGATCTGCTCCAGTTTTCCCATAGTTTCTAAAGACTGTGCAATAGGTGAGTCTTTCGCAGAATTTATGCACCTTCTGTACATTGGCATCTGGTATGTTGGGTAAGTCAAGAATTTCTTTGGTGTAGGCTTTAATCACTTCTGACTCCTTTCCATACTTTGACTGAAGTATACTTTTGCTCGGTTATACCCTTCACTAGTGAAAGGTAGTGCTTCTATGGAATACTTGACATGTTTTCAAGCAACTCTCTCAAGTATGAAAATTTTGTTACATTGGAAATATTTGATTTGTCAATAGTCTCGCTGAACTGGTTCCAGAATCTTGGCCAATCTTTGTAGCTTCCGTTAAATTTTGAAATCACTAGCTTTGGTAGTTTAGCTTCCAGATTGCCACTAATTGTAGAATTCATTTCTCCTGTCTCTTCTGGTTTGTCCCTCTTGGACTCTTCCAATTGAGTCTTGTAGTGCAGCTTGGTTTCATACAACTCTTTCTCGAAATTCAACTGATCCTTTCTTAAATGTGCTTTCTTACTTTCATTCACTTCCATAAGCCACTTGCGTAATTGTTCTATTGCATTGTCAGCTTGACCGATGGTATTTTCTATCGATTCCTCCCACTCGGAAATGCTTTCGACTTTTCGCCGCTAGCTATTTTCAACCCTTCGACTGTACGTTTGGCGGTATCTGCTTCTTTTACTAATTCATTTAACGCATCACGATGTCTTTCGATTCTCCCGTGATTATCTGACGCAAGAATTCTCTCAGTTTTCCCGCAAGTGATCGTAATATGCTTGAGTTTTGCTTCAAGTGCTAGCTCCGCAGCTTCCTGCTTCGACATGTTTCAATACGAATTCTTGTTCTTGATCGAACTATTTTCACTTATCCCGTCGGAGGTGCCACGTTTTGTGAATCTTGCCCGTCGCCCAGGCAATATTCCCTTTGAATATGTCGAATAGATGCAACAACTCAAGCTTTTGAATAACGAAATTTTTATTCCCTGGCAATGTTTATCAACTACGTATATCGCTCACTCACTCAGACTCTCTCTTCAACTCATTTACAACAAAACATCAATCAAAATTCTTTTAAGCCTATTGGTTAACGAAATTAAACAACTAAGGAGAATTTGTCTCTCTGTCAGTAGGACATTCAATTACATAACTTATTCCCAACAGCTTCGACAAATTTTATAATCTTTAAATCTGTTCAGAGTTTCGTCCGTAACTTCTTTAGAGCCTCTTCTTGTTCATGTAATCTTTTTTTCAATTGTAAGACTTTAACCTCGCTCAACATCATTGCTTGGTTTTCATTGCTCAATGAATGGGACAATGAATGGGACAAGTCGACTTGGTTGTATGATGGTATGTTTACTTTACTTAGAGAGCATCCCAACGACTTTGTTCGTTGATCTATAGTAGACAAGAAATCTTTAGGTGAAATTTCACGGAATTGGTAGCATTTTCCCTCGCTTTTAACGTGCTGTTGGTCAATAGCACATGTACTAGTCCATCCTCTATAGTCCAAAGGTCGACTTATTTTTGCATTTGCTGGTACATTTTCTGTTTGGCCAACAAAGAAACATTCTGTTGGTGCCGTATGCCAAGATACGAAAGGATATATTGGTTTCCAAAATATTTGTGGGCTGCTGCTTAATTCTACGATTGGAATAGTTTCTTTTGCGCATGTTTTTAATTGTTGTTCTGACAGTGGTGGAGAACATTGTGGTGTAATAGGAAAATTATTTTCATTCGACGCATTTCCTTTTCCCATGAAAGAAGAAAATTGTTTCCAAACGTTTCCTTCAGATAAAGTAAAGACGCTTTCAATGACTGGCATACTACTTCTTTGACTACATTGCTCAAATAAATGTGTACACAAGTCGGGTGTAGTTTTTGTTTGTGTTGTGTTTGTTTGTGTTGGGTTTGTTTGTGTTGTGTTTGTTTGTTTTAGGTCTCCTGTCGTGGGCCTTTTTAAAATGCTAGCTGCCTCGTTGCTCGTTTTGAACTGGATATTGTGAAAATCATTTGCAAACTTTTCGTCTATGTCTTTCAGATTTGAATCTTCAATATTCTGTTGTTTTGTGTTCAAGTGAACAGTTTCGACAACGTTTGATTGTTTGTGCTCTGTGTCTTTGGAATGTTTGGTAATGAAGTCTTCTCCTTTCTTCATTTCTAACATATTACAATGTGTAAGTTCGTTAACATCTGCCTCTGTGCTAGTTTTAATGAAAGGGTTCGGTCTAGTTCGCCTAAAAATACACAATTTTAATTTATACAATTGCTTTTGCAAACCTGCAAACTATGCATTCATTATTCATACTATTTGTTTACTTTTACGGAGTCTTTTGCTTCGTTATATTAATTTTCCTTTGTATAAGCAACTATTTTAATCAGCTAATCAATAACTTCCGTGGGTACGTAATGTCTACTCGCGGCGTCATAAAATAATGAGCAGATAATTTGGGACTTTAGAATGAAAATTGTTTTTAATGGCTCATTGAGCCGGGCAGGTGTAAATAATACTTTACTCAGGCGCATCGACCACCAGGTCAAGCATAAAGTAGGCGGGAATTATGGCATTTTGCCATACTGTAGCCATAGGCCACCATATTTCAGTGTAATGGAGTCCTTGACCTTGTTAAATAACCATGAACATCCCGTAACAAAATGATATTCTGTATATATATTTCTTAAAAAACAAAATGACCACTATCTGCCATTGTTTGCACTTAAATCTTAACATATCTGTTCATTTAATCTTAAGTATGTGCGATGTTCGTTGGTAAAAGATAGTTTATATGAAACGTAATCTCGTCGCGATTATATAACTTTAACTTATAGTGACACTATTTATTATTGTTCACAAAAGAAATCCAAATTTTGGTGACTTTAATTAGACTGCAAATGCTAAACTACCGATGAAAACAATAAATTGTATTCGGTATTCATTATACATACCTAGGTTGTTTCTGTTTACGTTTCATCTTGTAAAACTTGTGTAACGTTTTTCAAATTAGCTAATGATTTCCGAGGGGAAAGTTCTAACAAAGTCTTTACTTGGCGATAAAGTTTTAAAGATTTAATAGTGCGTACACATAAAATAATTTGAATCACTATATGCGCAGTTTGCATGTTTGTTGAATAGTGACATTCCCAACGGAACTCCATATATGGTATAAACTTGTCATTATTTTGTTAATATTAACTTTTGTTTGATTTGCGTGGCAATGAGCCGCGTGACAATCCAATCAAACAAAGCTTTAGCAATAAAATGACCTCGAAAAAAGTATTGCTGTTTTCGTAAATTATTTTACTAATTTATTTACCTTATGCGGCACATTTTTGGTAGTTGGTCTTCAATAGATTTTTTCTTTAAACATTGTGTGTTTTATATGTATCTGAATTTTTTGCTTCTAACAATTCTAACAACCAAATTTCATTTCTTGACATTTTGATCACCAAATTCCCAAACAAATGTCAAACTTCAGTTTATCACAAGAAAACATACACTGGCTTACTTACTAACTTCCTTGGCTTTTCTCCGTTAAACTAAAAAATTGGCTTAGTACGTACTCTTCTTGAAAGATATTTTGTTATGACTGACATGGATGAACTGATTCATGCTACTGAAAATTGCACTTGTCTAATATTTGCCCGACATGTGAGTTTTATTGACAACGACAAAAAATTGACAATTAATATATAGTGCTGCTTTATTGCTAATGTTAAAAGACCAAATTCACGTTGACAAAGTATATTAAAATTTGAAGCTTGGACATAGCTGAAGACTTTTATGAAATTATTGCTCCACTAGCAAAGGTAGATAATTGATAATTTTTTTCTTGCGAATTGACTTCGTGGTTTTTGCTTGATCCTGATTCAATGTTATTGCTTTCTTTTGTGACTCTATTAGTTTCATTGCTTCTTGAATCTTGGCCTCTCTGAGTTCTTGGTCGAACTTCACGGTTTCCAAAACCAAAATTGACGAGAAGAGTTTTCAATGACTTTTTGTATAATGGCAGTCTCCATGCATATATTGTACTGTTAATAACAAAACGAATGCTGGATAGTATTGGATAAAATCTCCAGAATGATTGAAAACTGCTGTTCAACAAACATTGGTAACAACCAGTAACATGAAAGCAGAAAGCAACAAAATATGGAAGAATGTGAATAATTAAACAGACTGAAACTAAAATACAGTGTTAGCAAGAACTCTAGACACTTTAAGGTTCTCTTCTAACAATTCCTTATGACTTACGCTCGACTTTTTCAAAGCTTCGATGTTTTTCAAAAAAACGCAATGCGTGTATGGATGAACAGTCAAAGTGATAACACACAGAACAATGAAATTTCCTGCCAAAACACGAGTAAGCATGTTGTGGACGTCGTTGTCAAATGGTCCGAAATATATTACTGGCATAATGGTGATAGCAAAGCACCATGGGAAAATAACTACCATCGCCACTGCACACTTGTTGGAAGTAATTTTTTTGTAGATATACGCATGCGTGATAGCCAAATAGCGGTCTAGAGAAAACACCATTATCATCAATAATGAGCATTGAGAACCAATAGCAACGATGCAAAGGGCAATGTCGTGATTCGTCAGTGTAACACTTGCTTGCAGGTCTGGTGGTTTCAACTGGATTATCCAGTGTGCGATGAAGCCAAAAACTGAGAGTAGGTCCGCTATAGCAAGGTTCATGAGGAAATATGATGTTGCATTTCGTAAACGTACCAACGGATCTTTGTATATCACTAGCAAAAGAATGCTATTTGCGATTGTTGCAATTATGTAAAGCAAGATTCGAAATACCCTCTCGACTACTTTATTTTTTGGGATGCTCGAATAGTCACTTGCAAACTGTGAGCAATTTTCAAACGCCTTGAATTCTTCATATGTTATGGGAATTGTGAAGTTATGTTCGCACGAATTATTCATTATACTGTCGCAGTCGTCCTAAATGAAAATTACAAAATAAAAATGATTTTCGGCAGATAATTTTAACTAAGGAAATAAATGATTTGACCTCGTATACAATGAAGCATAGTAATTTATTTAACTATGATTATTTTATTGCTTGCGGCATTACTATGAAAAAAGGATGCGGAAAATGAAACAGCGTCAATTACCTGTTATCTAATATGACATATATATATAGTACATGCGGTATTATTCCTATCAATAAGACCGATGTATTATCTTTTAATTATTGTAGCTTTGCCGACATACCTCTTTGTCGCAATTTTGTCACAAAATTATCGATACGCAATTACCAAAACAAAATTTTGTACAAGTGAATACTGATAACCTATTTCAAATTCTTTCATCCGAAAATAATTATTCAGGACAATAGTGGTCATAGCAAATTTTTACGATTTTTTACACAAGAAAAAGCTGGAAGATAGTCAAATGGCCTGAAAAAGCGTAATTGTCTGTTATAGCAGTTTGAGTACGGAGTTAAATAAACAACAACTAAGGCAAAGTTTATAAAGTTTCTAAACAATAAAGTGTCTCAATTTTAACTTGTTATTTTAGCTTGTTGCTTTCGCCCGATGATTCAATACGTTTTCCCCATTTACATAGCTTAGAATTATAATGTAAATTTTTCACATAAATTTGTTTACCTGTACTCCAAATGTTGTATTGTAAAGCCAACAAGAAAACTATTCATAATACGTAGAAAAATAGCAGTGCATTAATCTTAATCCACTTTTAAGTTTTAGGATTTTAGTTAAGCACCTACAAATAACTCGAGCTGTGACGTTTAAAACCTTTGGTAATAATTACGTTTAAAACGATTTGCAAAACAATACGAGTCGTTTTCACAAACATATAGACAGAACTGCCAATCTGCTCATGAAATGAAACATGCATAAATAAAGTAGTATGTCAGTAAACATATGGCATGAATATCATTACAGATGCTAATATATAAAAGAATTATCGCTACTGTAATATATAACTAAAATAAGTATGTATTTTCATCTCGGTAATTTACAGACGTAACCACTCAATAAACTTGCACCATTATAATATACAGTAAGCCATCTGCAATCAAAGAATGAACAACGAAAATTAAGCCAGCGCGCAGCTCTAACGATCTTACCATATAGAAATCCCATGGTCAGAATTTTATTTTATGTCCACACGCCATGAAAACTTCACACAGTATAAATACATGCAGAATTAAAGTGAAATTTTTAATAATTACGCATGGGTAATTAATAATATTTGTGGGGTCTCGTATCCTTGAGACATGAGTTGGAAATGTAAAATTTAAAAATCCCCATCTCCATTGTTTTATTGCGATCTAAAATTGACTTACTTTTCAATTCTGTAGTACCATCAACTTCTAATTCGTACGTGGTTTAGATGCATTAAATCTCTATAGCTATCTGTCTACGAAGAAAATCTCACTTCAAATGGAAATGATTTGAAAGATTGAATAGAAATGTTTAATGGATGTTCTCTTTACTGCTAACAACTATCTATAGAAGTGTTTTATGTTGACAACAAGAATAAATGTCAAATCAAAATCAAAGAATGTTATCTCAGTGAACCTAATACACAAAACTACTGCTAATATTGAGGCCATTTGATAAATAATTACAACTGATTTGTAGATACGATATTAGACTGACTTCACCAGATGTTTAAATGAAATAGTGAAAAAGATCTTCGATAAACGTTACTTAAAGATTCAAATGTAGTTAACAGTTTATTCAATGTGAATTCACGCTGTTGTTATTTAAAGATGTATATATCGTGCTGTTAGTTAAAAAGGCAAAGGCCTCCTGCTAAAAGAATTGCATCACACATATGAAAAACTTTATTGCTGAAGTAAGGTGGTTAAAATATACTACAACAAGAAGTAGTTTATTGTATTAGGAACTAAATCAAACAATAGGTGTTGCTGACAGATTAGCCTCTTTTCAATAAAAAACCAAGCCATGACTTGCCCATTACTATTTCACACAACTATGTACTGACATGTATTACTTATTTGTTCTAAAGAGTGAAAATTATTTTGTAATAATTCTGATTCCAGTATTGAAATATGTTTCATTTGATTTTATCTTATGTCTATCACGAATGTGGAATAAACAGAATGAATGTAAGGAATTTGATATCATGCAAACGAAGTCTACAATTTATTTTAGTGCATGTTATTTGTCTTAAATAAATTTCCTGTAAAATGACGATGTAATATCTCATAATTTCTGTGTACAAGTACGTAAAAAGAACAAATGTCAAACAACGACCAGCCTTGATACTTGTGTCATGTCATTTGATGATGACAAACTATATCCAGTTAAAGTTAAAGCCACAATGATAAATTACTTTGATGAAATAAGTCAGATACAATGACTTTTCAAAAATCGGACTGATTTACTAACGCGTGTAATCATCTACGTTGTGTACGACACAGGTCATCATTTAACTTGTGTTTTCAAGTGGAATATTATTCGTTAATTTTACTTACCTTTATTGTTTTACCGGCCTCTTGTTTTTCTTAAGAACTCAGGTGACGTCTATGCCTGTAAATGATTATTTTAAAAAACTGTCAAGCATTTATTCACTTCGTAAATTGTCGATCAACACCTTCGTCTGTCTTGCTCATCTCCTTCATGAAGGATGATCATTTAAGGGTAAATCACATTGATATGACACATAGAAGACATAGCATCACTCCACGTCGGATATCATTTTAATCCCTCGGAAACCTGCAATTCTTTTAATGTCTCTGCACTTACTATACCTTTTAAAACTTATGGCTACTACAAAATTAATGATAGTACTACAGCACTAATTGGTCGAAAATCTATTAAATTTAATACCTAAAACAGGTCGCTCATGGATTCATGGTGGTCCAGACAGATGTACACCAAAAAGTCTTTAACTTCTATATGCTCAAGAACAAAGGAAGCACTTTTTCATCAAAACTGATCTACTCCCGTCTGTGCATCTGTTACATAAAGTCGAAACTGAAGATGGTTCACGCTAAGCCTGTTTACAAAAGTCGTATGGGTAAATTATGTATTAATGGGAAGGGATGTCATCTTCATTTACATTCGTCCTCGTTGAACTGAGCGTCTATAAATCATTCATGGAACATAAAAAAGTTATCGCTGAAATTTTAGAAAATGAATAAATTAACTTATTTTACATTATTTTCTGGAAATTCTCCCAAACTTTCTTTTTCTATAATCATCAGAAAATTATATTTGTTTTAAAGCCGTATTTTCATATAATTTTTTGATTTTTTATTGCCAAAAAGACATGTTTTATGTTAGAGCAACCGAAGTTGTCAGCTGAATCAATATTGTTTTTTCTTCAGTCAGGCTGACGCAAACGAATATATGCATATTCTTTATTTACTTAAGCTAAAATATGGATAATGCATATCTTTATTGTCAAATGTAACAAACGAATAAAATGTAACTGTATGTCTAAACAAATGTAAAATATTTACCTGAAAATTCCAGGAACCAGAGTAATACTCCACTTTTTGTTGGGAACAAGTTAAACGAAGCCATTTGAGGAAAAAACTCTCAGAAAAGAGGCGTTTGCATGAGTTTTATGTCAATTGAATTTCATGACCACTCAAAACTATACTTTTTGTCCTGCAATCGAGTTTATTTGTTATCACGACGCTTATATACAAAGTGTTTGTCATGGTTGCAAGTTACAGCCATGGTTACAAGTTACAGCCATGGTTGCAAGTTACAGCCATGGTTGCAAGTTACAGCCATGGTTACAAGTTACAGCCATGGTTGCAAGTTACAACATGGTTACAAGGTTACAACAAACAACGACAGAAAAAAATCATTTTTCCTTATTGTCAATTTGATGGATGGGAATTAGTACATAGAAGCGATGACATGTCAACAAAATGGCTGTCTTCAAAGAACAATTTCTGCTGCTCACGAAACAAATTTGCTAGGATTTCAACTGTCTGCAACATGAAAGTGACTATATCTGAGACCTCACCGAATAAAAACGTCTCAATACTTTGTCCAAACCTCTCCGTCAGTAAACGATGGAAATACTTTCGAAGAATATTCAAATATCGCCAAATGGACTTCGAGTTTGCATTATGGCAAATGTTGTATCTTTTTATTTCTCCAAGCAAAGTGTAAGTTATATTATTCTTGAAATTTTTAAACAGCAGCAAATGCCTGATTCCTAGTTAAATAAAAGATACAGTTTTAAAATTAATTTTCTGACGTTTTGCTCAATTGATGTATTGAAATATGAATTTTCATTGTGAATACAGTTACTCGTTGTTTGTAGAAACACTTTAACTTTGACGAACTCATAAAATTGCGCTCTCTTGTGAGAAATATTGCGTGGAAAATTTTGTAGTTTTAACTTGAGCTCAACGATTTTTTTCTTTAAACTATGTAAAAACGATGCAGACAAACAAATTTGTATTTAAATGTGTAGTACTTATAATAACTATGATTAAATTATCAACTATATATTAGAAAGTCATAAAACTCAAAAATTTTGCTAGCTTTCATTGCTCTTATTTTGCTATTAACCAAGTAATGGTTTGTTTTTGTATGAACTTTTCTGTTGGTTCGTGTATGTTGTAAATTGTTCAGTTTTCAAAGTTTTTTGTATTAGAGTTTTTGGAAATTACAAAGTAAAATACTTGCATTGAATAATTACAAATTATCTTAGTTAAAAAAATTTACACTTTATGGCATAACTAAATTCTATCTTTAATATTGTGTAAAAAATTGACTAAATTTCATTTCATTTTGCAGGTATCGAAATTTTGAGTATCATAAACGTAAGTTTATATATTTTATCCATTGTGTTTATTTAAAATGTGAAAACTATTTCATGATTTCATGACTTTATTTTTGTCAGATACAAAGCATCAATGGGCAAGAGATGATCCTGCTTTTCTTGTTATTTTAAGCATCTGGCTTTCAGGTAAATCAATACAAAACAAAACATATTTAGTTTGAATACTAACTGTCACTTTACCACTGTTACAAACTGGTTCACTGTGGGGATTGAGAATCTCAAAAAATTAAAATATTCCATTGTATTGTTGTTTAGTGTCTTGCATTGGATTTTCAATTGTTCTACAACTTGGCTTTTTTGCATTTATTCGTTTTACGCTATGGGTGGTTTTCATGGAATTTGTAGGTGTTGGTCTGCTTGTTGCAACAATACTATGGTGAGCCATAATTGTGTGTTAAGATTCCTCATTTCTTTGTAACTATTGAAACAATATTCAACATTTAATAATAAATTATTGTTAAATGTGTGTAGATTTAGATTGTTTGGGGGGAGGGGAGGGCTGATATTCATTATTTGCAATGTTAAGTTCTTTTAAAATTAAGTGTTTTCAAAGAATTATGAAATGTATGTACATGCAAAATGAGCCCCTAATTATCAATCTTCCTTATGCCTGTTGTCCAGGTTATATACCGTTTGTTATGGTATTGATCAATATTTTGTCCTCTTTAGCTGTAGTGGCCAGCCTGGTACATATAAGTATTAAAAGAATATATAATGCGGTTTAGATTGCTGGAACTTATAGTTGTGGGGTGAAGTTTGTAATCATAAAAATAAACTAAACCTTCAAGGGATTATTTCATTTAATCACAGCAATTGTATTGAGTGTTTACTATGTATTCTGAACTATAATGGCTTTCTGTGTTTTGATATTTTGTCATTAATGGTAAAAGTAAATAATGATTTTATTTTAGGTTCATATCTAACAAATATTTGAGAACTCGGAATGCTGAAAGCAAAAAACAATTTGTCGAGTGGGGATATGCTTTTGATGTTCATCTCAATGCTTTCTTTCCTCTGTTGGTTATCTTGCATGTTATTCAGTTATTTTTTGTAAAATGTAAGATGTTAAAATATATTATCGATTTCTCATTTATCAAGGTGTATTAAAGTACATGTTGGTATCTTTGATTAAATTACCTTTCAACAATTTACCATCTATCTTGTCACATGACAGATTTTGGAAATGTTTTAAAATTCATATTTAACTAGTTTGGTTTTGTATTGTTTAATTGGAGTTATTGTATAGTATGAACTGTTTATTGCTTTCATAGCACACATGAACTCTATGGAATATTTTTTTAGTTTTGGATCATAATCATGGTTTTACAATACTGTTGTGTAACACTCTCTGGTTGGTTGCATTTGTTTACTATGGTTATATAACATTTCTAGGATATAGTGGTAAGTTTACAGTATTTTCTTACTGGTAATTTACTTATCTACAAATAACCGTATTCTTCCAAGATCTTTGTCGATACTTCAATTAAGTGCTTCAATAAAAAGCTAAAACTACTGCTACTTGTTTTGCTTCCTGCTGTAAAACGTAACTCCATGGGAATATTTTTTTGTCGTTTGCAATAAATAAAGTAAATTCTTTGCAGCCAACTGAATTACAGGCCGCTTTGACTCTTACTTGTCAATAGTTGTTCTTTCTTTCTCTTTATTGAGCCTTCACGAAATACTCACCATCAGACTTGCGGTACAGAAACTTGTTTCTCTGTAGTGGTTAAAATTTTTGCGTATACAAAGCAGTTAAACCATATTCTTAAAGTTTTTTGTGTAAATATTGTATAGCAATAATATATTTATCTTTTATTTTTAGCATTGCCGTTTCTTCAGAAGACTGTTGTTTTACTTTATCCTGTACCGCTACTTCTAGTTTTGTACATTTTAACAATTGTCTATTCATGCAATATTGGTCATGAAGTGTTGGATTTTTACAAAAATGTTGTACGGTAATACTCGGCATTAATCCTACAACAGGGTGATTTTCTCTCGTATAATGAGTGAAGCGAGGAACGCGACTCTTAAACAACACTTGAAATGGGTTGTGAAACGGTACATTGTATTTTGAATTACGGACAAAAAACAATAGTTCGAGAAATAGTTCATGAAATGAGTCAAGTTATTTGTAGTTTTTTGCAAATTTAGCAAAAAATGAAATTTGTATTAATGTAACCGAATTAGTCGTCAGTAGTTCAATTACTTTTGTAAAACGATACGTTTTGTTAACTGCGTGATGTTACCTAGATTATGGGAATATTTTGATCAATAAACCGAAAATTTGTTTTCTCAGAGTACGAAATAATGCAATAAATTTACCCGTGGATTTAGCTTTGAGGCATTGAAATTTTAACAATTGATTTTCAGTTAAAAGGCAACAATTAATATTATAAAATGAATATTTTCTACAAAACTACAAAACATATTTGCCGTGCAGTAGAATTGATAACTGCCCTTAGTGAACCTCACGTGTAAAACAAAGCAAACACGATGCAAAGCACCTAGTTGTCCCTTTTTTTCACAATTACATAAAATAACTTTTCTTTTGTATTGGAAACTGGTAATAATTGCACTTTGAAGACACAAAGTTGGACTTTTTTTAGGAAATGCGACTGTTTTATTTAATCATGCAGTACTTTATTTAAATGTCATCACTAGTCAAAGTAATCGTGCGGTGGAAATTTATTTTAAAGCTAATTTCCTAGAGAGGAGTTGAGTAAGTATTTTCAACTATAGTTTTATAGACTAAATGAATAGTTGAAGCTTGAAATTATAAATTTCTGTTAGAGTTTTCTATGAACAAGCACACTATAATCATCGCAAAATTGCATTTTGATATATTAACACTGAGTTTCTTGTCTATGAAAAAGCAATGATAAGGTAGTATAGAAATACTATATGTTTTTAAACAAAGAATATTTGAGAAATATTTACTAAAGCATCATACTTATTTTATGTAACATTGAGCACGTGAAAAAATTTATTACACAACTGAATCTACAAAATACCATCTTAGCTAGGTTGTAATACATAACTATAAAAAATTAATTTGAAAATTTCATGACCTTTTTGGGTGATGTGGAAATTTCATCAGCCTGTCTTTTTTTATCAAGCAATACAGGTGCCTTGCATTCATCAGTGTTTGTTTTATCCACAAGAACTGCTCCTTTTTTAGGCAGTATTGCATGTTTCTTTGTCCATTCTATTGCTTTACGATTGAAATCCTGTCTGTGGTACTTGAACTGTTCTGACTATACAATATATATGAATGCATAAAATGAATAAGAAATCAGTGAACATCAATAAAAAACTGAAACATTGTCTTCTGATTATATCATCTAACTATGTTATTATTATAATAAGTTAAGCAATGGTAGAAATTTCCATCAATACATGTTGAATAATAAAAAGAAAGTAGAAATGAAGAATTGGTCATCTAAGTTTGACATGAAAAATTTTATCACCATTTTCTTTGATGATTAACTTTGCTGCTAATAAAACTAATTTTTCATACAAACCAAATCACACAATAACTCAAAAAGTTCAGATCCCAAATGTGTGTGACTGTTAGACTAAACATGAAACATGACAAAGGTTGATGTAAAGTTGTAAAGATACTTACAATTTCTCCCATAAGTGGATCTTCAGGATTTGGTTCAGCCATTAAAGATTGAATTGATTTTAAAACAGTTGAAACATTCCAAGATGGTTTCCAAGCACCCTGCATAAATTTACTATTTTGTTTTGAAGTTAATATGTTAGAAAATATGCTAAATCCAAACACATGAATACCTTAGGAGGCATTTTTAACACATCCAGGCAAATACGACCAGAATTATCAATATTTGGATGATAAATGGGAGTGATAAACTTTACTTTTGGAGGTTCAAATGGATACCTAAACATTAAATACTAATAAATTATGAATTCCAAACAAAGATACAGAAAATCCACAGAACAGAGATCTTATTCTCCACTCATCTAAGCTGTCAAGCTATGTTTGCTAGCATAATTTAAGAATACTGGCTATCTTGTAAAAATTTACCATTTAAATCTTTCATTATTACCTTTCAGGAATGAGAATATCAAGTTTAAATATGCCACCAACATATGGTGTATCTTCGCTTCCAACAATATCTGTAAAATTAAGATACGTACAAAATTTGACAGCATTTAACAATGTGTCTTCCATAAAATTTTACTCATTTATTGATGCTGTTTGAGTGTACTGTCAGTCTGTCAGGCACTTAAAATCGTAACAGTACTGTAGTGATTTTAAATGCAAAAATTTCTAAATGCCATCGAGTTAAAAACTAGAGATATGGATCAACACAGTTTGATTCAAAAGCTTACTGGCTTGCAAGTAGTCAATACGATCTTCTATCATCCAACATGAAATTCCCGGAGAAGGATCATTTTCCATCATTTTCAACTCTCGTTTCATCCTAGTTTCACGCTGCATTATTATTTATGGTTAAAATAAAATGGTTATGTCGTTTGCCGTTATGGTGACAGTAAAGTTTTCCCCCGCGGGTTTACTTCGTACATCTCCACAAAGAGATTTTACCAAAGTGAAATTTGCACTCACTACTACCACCAATCACCACACTCCACACAAATCATCGCTTTCTCATTCAACTAAATGCTATCGCTCAAAATAACAATTAAATTGGAAAGATCTTTTGTGGCATGGTAATATATTAGCCTTTGAACTCAAAAATAATTGCAGATTATTGTAAAATAAATTTAATCATCTTAATCATAAATTTAATCATTTTTGAAAGATAAATTTATGCTATTGCATAAGGTTAAAGCAACGAAAAAACGGATCAAAATGCACGAACTAAAGCAGTCAATAATAAAAGTTGTAATGTGTAGGTGAGAGGGTGATATACAATAAAAATGAGTACCAATTTGGCAGGAGTTGCTAACATTTGCTCTTACATTCTTCCCATCATTTATAAAATAAGGGTAATCAAAATGCAATCAAGTGTAAGGAGCTTAATGTCTATAAACACTTATATGTAATCTTGGTAATTATGACACTTCATTATGAAATCTGTCAACCCTTAAATAGCACAAGAAATAAGTTGTTTTTGAAAAAATCATGACAAATTTACGTTTGCTTATTAATATAGCTAGGAGTTATTTAAATAATACAAAAACATTTGTAGGTTTTTAATCTTGGGTCAGTATATATTTACATTTTTCTTTTCATATTGTAATTAATGACTAACAGGTAAATTCGGAGAAATGATTGGAACCAATTTGTTTCTGGTATCCAGGCATACTTATTACCATCTCCTGCTGGTCCCGCGAAGAAGATAAGATAGGTATGTTGAACAGCAAATATAATTTATTACTCTAAATAAAGTTCATCGACTAAACAACAAGAGTAAAATATTTTTTGCGAATTTCAGCATTTAGAAGTCAGTTCTGTAAATTATTCCAGTAATTTTTTATATGTGAAGAATCTGCATTAAAACATCGCAATAAGAACTATAGTCTTTTCCATGAAAATTCGTGTACTATAGTCTTTTGCATGAAAATTCGTGATCTATAGTCTTTTGCATGAAAATTCGCGTACTATAGTCTTTTGCATGAAAATTCGTGATCTATAGTCCTTTTCATGAAAATTCGTGATCTATAGTCTCTTGCATGAAAACTCGTGATCTATAGTGTTTTGCATGAAAATTCATGTACTATAGTCTTTTGCATGAAAATTCGTGATCTATAGTCTTTTGCATGGAAATTCGTGTACTATAGTCTTTTCAATGAAAATTCGTGTACTATAGTCTTTTCAATGAAAATTCGTGATCTATAGTGTTTTGCATGAAAATTCGTGATCTATAGTCTTTTCCATGAAAATTCGTGATCTATAGTGTTTTGCATGAAAATTCGTGATCTATAGTCTTTTGCATGAAAATTCGTGATCTATAGTGTTTTGCATGAAAATTCGTGATCTATAGTCTTTGCATGAAAATTCGTGATCTATAGTCTTTTGCATGAAAATTCGTGATCTATAGTCTTTTGCATGAAAATTCGTGATCTATAGTCTTTTGCATGAAAATTCGTGATCTATAGTCTTTTCATGAAAATTCGTGTACTATAGTCTTTTTATGAAAATTCGTGATCTATAGTCTTTTGCATGAAAATTCGTGTACTATAGTCTTTTCATGAAAATTCGTGTACTATAGTCTTTTCATGAAAATTCGTGATCTATAGTGTTTTGCATGAAAATTCGTGATCTATAGTCTTTTGCATGAAAATTCGTGATCTATAGTCTTTTGCATGAAAATTCGTGAACTATAGTCTTTTGCATGAAAATTCGTGTACTATAGTCTTTTGCATGAAAATTCGTGTACTATAGTCATTTCCATAAAAATTCGTGATCTATAGTCTTTTGCATGAAAATTCGTGATCTATAGTCTTTTGCATGAAAATTCGTGATCTATAATCTTTTGCATGAAAATTCGTGATCTATAGTCTTTTGAATGAAAATTCGTGATCTATAGTGTTTTGCATGAAAATTTGTGATCTATAGTCTTTTGAATGAAAATTCGTGTACTATAGTCTTTTCCATGAAAACTCGTGAACTATAGTCTTTTAATAAAATTTCGTGTACTACAGACTTTTGAATGAAAATTCGTGATCTATAGTGTTTTGCATAAAAATTCGTGTACTATAGTCTTTTGCATGAAAATTCGTGATCTATAGTCTTTTGCATAAAAATTCGTGATCTATAGTCTTTTGCATAAAATTCGTGTACTATAGTCTTTTGCATGAAAATCCTTGTACTACAGTCTTTTTCATGAAAATTCGTGTACTATAATCTTTTGCATGAAAATTCGTGATCTATAGTCCTTTAAACGAATTTTCGTGATCTATAGTCTTTTAATAAAATTTCGTGTACTACAGACTTTTGAATGAAAATTCGTGATCTATAGTGTTTTGCATAAAAATTCGTGTAGTATAGTCTTTTGCATGAAAATTCGTGATCCATAGTCTTTTGCATAAAAATTCGTGATCTATAGTCTTTTGCATAAAAATTCGTGTACCATAGTCTATTGCATGAAAACTCATGATCTATAGTGTTTTGCATGAAAATTCGTGTACTATAGTCTTTTGCATGAAAATTCGTGATCTATAGTCTTTTGCATGAAAATTCGTGTACTATAGTCTTTTGCATGAAAATTCGTGATCCATAGTCTTTTGCATAAAAATTCGTGATCTATAGTCTTTTGCATAAAAATTCGTGTACTATAGTCTTTTGCATGAAAATTCATGATCTATAGTCTTTTGCATGAAAATTCGTGTACTATAGTCTTTTGCATGAAAATTCGTGATCTATAGTCTTTTGCATGAAAATTCGTGTACTATAGTCTTTTCAATGAAAATTCGTGTACTATAGTCTTTTCAATGAAAATTCGTGATCTATAGTCAATTGCATGAAAATTCGTAAAACATAGTCTTTTGCACGAATTTTCGTGATCTATAGTCTTTTGCATAAAAATACGTGTACTATAGTCTTTTGCATGAAAATTCACGTACTATAGTCTTTTGCATGAAAATTCGTGATCTATAGTCTTTTTCATGAAAATTCGTGATCTATAGTCTTTTGCATGAAAATTCGTGTACTATAGACTTTTGCATGAAAATTCGTGATCTATAGTCTTTTGCATGAAAATTCGTGTACTATAGTCTTTTGTATGAAAATTAGTGTACTATAGTCTTTTGCATGAAATTTATGTACTATAGTCTTTTGCACGAAAATTCGTGTACTATAGTCTTTTGCATGAAAATTCTTGCACTATAGTGTTTAGCATTAAAATTCGTGTACTATAATTCCCGCATTTTCACAAATTTTCACAATTTTTCATACAAAGACTATAATTCACGCATTTTCACAAATTTTAACAATTTTATACAAAAAGACTATAATTCACGCATTTTCACAAATTTTCACAATTTTTCAAAAAAAGACTATAATTCACATTTCTGAAATTTTAACAATTTTCACAAAAGACTATTAATCGCATTTTCCTGATTTGAATAAAGACTATAATTCACGCATTTTAATAATTTTCTGATTTTCATACAATAACTATAATTCATGCATTTTCTGAAACTTTCTGATTTTTGACAAAAGATTATCATTCACGCATTTTCATAAATTTTCATGATTTTTAATACAATGACTATAATTCACGCATTTTCCTGGAATTTTTATTGATTTTTTACAGAGACTATAATTCACGCATTTTCTGGAGATTTTCTGATTTTCACAAAGGACTATAAGTCACGCATTTTCTGGAATTTTCTGATTTTCACTGAGACAATAATTCATGCATTTTCAATTTTCCGTAATTTTTCCACAAAGAGACTATAATTCACGCATTTTTGCAATTTTCTGATTTTTAATACAAAGACTATAATTCACGCGTTTTCAAAGGGTGTAACAATTTTTACAACCATTTATTTCCATTTCATTCAGACTAGAACCTCATCCATTTCCATTCCATTCATTTCTAATTTTCCAAATTCACCTAAGACCTCATTCCACGCATTTTCTAAAATTTCATGATTCCACCTAAGACAATAATTCATTACATTTTCACAAATTTTCATAATTTTTCATTAAAGACTCAATTCCATTTTTCTAAAATTTTCTAATTTTTACAATATTTATAATTCATGCATTTTCATAAATTTTCATATTTTCATTCAAAGACTATCAATTCACATTTCCACAAATCTTCACAATTTTCAAAGACTTCTAATTTGTTTCCTGATTTTCAAATTTTCTAAATGACTATAAATCCACTGTTTTCTAAGAATTTTCCTGTGGTTCACAAAAGTAATAATTCATTACCTTTCCTGGAGATTTTCATAATTTCCAGACCTAATCCATTTTCTAAATTCACTAATGGATTCCTTCCATTCCATTCCTTCCATTCCATTCCATTCCATTCCATTCCATTTCCATTCCTTCCTTCCTAATTCCATTTTCCAAATTTTCTAATTTTCACCTAAGACTATAATTCATACATTTTTCTAAATTTTCTAATTTTCCTAAGACTAATTCACATTTTCATAAGATTCTAATTTTTTTCTGAGAGACTATAATTCATGCATTTTCTGGAGTTACAATTTTCACAAAAAGAGAGACCTATAATTCCACATTTTCAAATTTTTCTGAGATTTTCATGAGACTATAGTTCACGCTTGTTTTCTGGTTACGATGATTCAGTTTTCTGATTTTCGCAAAGGACTCATTCACGCGTTTTCAGTTTTCTGATTTTTTCACAAAGGATATAATCACGCATTTCCTGATTTTCCTGATTTTGATAAAGGATTTCATATGGAGATTTTTCCAGATTTTCATCCAAAGATAATTCACGCGTTTTCCTGATTTTTCTGATTTTCACATGAATTCTCGTTCACCGTTTTCTGGATTTTTCTGATTTACCGGATAAATCCACGCATTTTCCTGATTTTTGATAAAGACTATAAAGTCACGCATTTTCATAAATTCACGATTTTCATTCAGACCATAATTCACGATTTTCCTGAATTATCCAATTTTCACCAG